AAACCCAAAAAACACATTTTTAGCGAAAAATCTCGTCAAATTTTCGATTATATTTTTTTTGAAAAAAATCATAAGAGGGGACCCTTTTGTCAAAAAAATGATTTTTGAGATAGTGAACTGATAATCAATTCTACGTTATTTTTCACACTTAAAAACCCAAAAAAACATTTTCAGCTAAGACATTCGTCAAATTTTCGATTATATTTTTTTTTGAAAAAAATATCATAAGGGGGGACCCTTTTGTCAAAAAAAATTATTTTTTAAATAGTGAAATGAGAACAGAACATTTTTGTTATACAAAAATTTTTTTGTTCTCAAGTTTTTTATCATCATGTCAGCAAACACATGTTTTCTCACACCCATACCATCCCAACACTTATCCCCCTCTCGATGCAAGCACTAGCAAAAAAAGGGGAGAGAGATGTATTCGATCCTTCCCCCTTTCTCTCAAAAAAATAGTTTTTCACTTTTTTTCCCATTTTCTCATACCCCTTAAGATTTTTTTTCGAATGTAGTGCGGGGAAGGGATAGCTGCTATATCTATAACAGAGCTTTGAAGGATTAACTCCTTGAAGCGTCAAGCGTTGGGTTGTTCATCTACTAATAGTGAACGTGAGCTGGGTTAAGACCGTCGTGAGACAGATTAGTTTTACTCTACTGTTGACTTGTTATTGCGAAAGAAAGACTGCTTAGTACGAGAGGAACAGCGGGTTCAAACATTTGGTTCGTAGGGTTTGTGACTTGTAGTAGCCAAGTACTCACAGCGAGGTTGCATTTTGCTTCTTCGAGATGGGCTCGAGAGCAGAACTGTCATTAAAGCAGAACTGTCCAAGCGTTGGGTTTCACACATACTAATAAAGAACGCGAGCTGGAATCAAACCGAGAAACAGGTTAGTTTTACTCTACTGTTGACTTGTTATTGCGAGAGTAACTGCTTAGTACGTAAGGAACAGCAGAATCAAACATTTGGTTCAAAGGCATTGTGACTTGTAGTAGCCAAGTACTCACAGCGAAGTTGCATTTTGCTTCTTCGAGATAGGCTCGAGATAAATTAAAAAGAAGAACTGTCCAAGCGTTGGGTTGTTCATCTACTAATAGGGATCGTGAGCTGGGTTTAGACCGTAGTGAATAGTTTTACTCTACTGTTGACTTGTTATTGCGAAAGTAAGACTGCTTAGTACGAAAGGAACAGCAGATTCAAACATTTGGTTCATGGACTTGGTCTATAGGCCAATAGTCCAAAGCTACTATTTGAGAGATTACAACTGAACGTTGCAATCTTGCCTTGTCAAGGCGATAACTCTTTGCATCCCGGTATCGGGAAGCATCTTATCTAGTGGTAACACTAGAGCTTATGCCCTATTAATGGCTTTGGCATTGTAGTGTTTATCTGCAATGCTTGCCAGATCAGAACATTACTTGTATACGTCTTGGTCACTTGATCAAGGTGTTGTATTCAGTAAAGCAGTCATATATACTGCGATCTGTTGAGACTATTCCTTGATTGAGTTTTTTGATGCCCTCCAAAAATAGTTTATCCTAAATTTCATTTTTACTATTTTTTTGTATGTATGAGGTTTTTGTTCAGACGAACCATAAAGTGCTGTATTTTTTCAAGAGAAGATTTTTTTTTATTTTTCTCTACTTTTTGATAATCAATTCTACGTTATTTTGAAAACCCAAAAAAAACAAATTTTTAGCGAAAAATCTCGTCAAATTTTCGATACCAAATTTTTTGTTGAAAAAAATCATAAGGGGGGACCCTTTTGTCAAAAAAATTATTTTTGAAATTATAACAAAAATTTTTCTGTAAAAAAATAGTTTTTCACTTTTTTCCCATTTTCTCATAACCCTTGTTAAGACGAACCCAACAGTGCTGTATTGTTTCAAGAGAAGACTACATATTAGGTCGACAACATCTCGATTTGTCATTATGACCCGAAAGCATGAAGAGTTTGTGGAAGACAAGCACTCACAACGAGACGACATATTAGTTCTTCCACAACAACTCGATTTGTCAATATGACACGAAAGCTTGAAGAGTTTGTGGAAGACAAGCACTCACAACGAGGTTGCATTTTGATTTTTTGACCACGGCTCAAAATCCCAACTTTCATATCATCATCTCAACAAATACATGTTTACTCACACCCAGACCATCCCAACACTTTCCCCCCTCTCGATGCAAGCACTAGCAAAAAACGGGGAGAGAGATGTATTCGATCCTTCTCGTTCTCTCTGAAAATAATAGTTTTTCACTTTTTTTCCATTTTCTCATACCCCTTAAGATTTTTTTTCGAAGTGAGTGCGGGGAAGGTATAGCTGCTAGACATTGTTAGGCGAGTGACAAGCAAGCGCGTCTGTTGGATGTGCGTAGTGAAGGGACTGTTGGAATTGCTGTTGGGTATAAGTGTCTTTATGATGCTTATACTTTGGTGGTGGTTTTTGGCAACCTTTTGCGGCTTGTGTACACTCAACTTTCTAGTGACATCGCTGGTGGCTGACTGTAGTTGGTTTTCGGCTTTGTTGCGTCTATATGTTTGGTGTTTGTTCTAGACTTCAGTTTAGACTTACTAAAACATATTGTTGCATCAGTACTGTGCGAATTGAATTATATTTGGTAACGGTTGTTTTCATTGGGATGTTTGCGAGAGTAAAACTTTGTTTTGAAGAGTTAGCTTCTTTGAAGTTAATTTGGATAACATTGTTGATGCTTGATGATTAATTTTGTCAAGTATCAATTGCTTCGTCTACTGAATGCGATATACCTGTTTGATTCTTTAAGCGCGATATGCTCAAGTAAATATCTCTTTTTTGAGATACTTGTTTTTAATGACTAATCCTTTTGGATTAGTTAATATAAAGAATTGAATTCAATCAATTCTTAGAGTAACACGGAGAGTGCCTGCAGCCGCGGTAGTTCTAATTCTCCTAGTGTATCTCTTATTGCTGCGGTTAAAAAGCTTGTAGTTGGATCTAGGTTATGTACTGTCGTTCGCTTTCGGCGTTAACTTCAGTCGTAGCTTCGTATATCAGCTGGTTTGAGGGTGGGAAACCATCAGCTACCAGTTGGTTTACCTTGATCAAATCAAATCATGGAATAATGAAAAAGGACTTCGGTTCTTTTCGTTGGTTCTAGAATTGGTTATATGATTAAGAGGGACAAATCGGGGGCATTCGTATCATTACGCGAGAGGTGAAATTCGTGGACCGTAGTGAGACGCCCAATAGCGAAAGCATTTGCCAAGAATGTCTTCATTAATTAAGAACTTAAGTCAGAGGTTCGAAGGCGATACCGCCCTAGTTCTGACTGTTAACTATGCCATCCAGCATTTTGAAGAGGTTCACCTTTTCGAGAAGCAAAGTATGGTTGCAAAGCTGAAACTTAAAGAAATTGACGGAAGGGCACCACAAGGCGTGGAGCTTACGGCTTGATTTGACTCAACACTATCCGGTCCGGACACTATTAGGACTGACAGATTGAAAGCTCTTTCTCGATTTGGTGATTAGTGGTGCATGGCTGTTCCGAGTGAACTGTCTAGTTTATTCGGAACGAGGCTTTAGCCTCTTCTTAGAGGGATAAGCGGTTCTTTGCCGCACGAGATTGAGCGAGAACAGGTCTGTGCTTCTCTTAGGTGTCCGGATTAACGAGGAACGCCTAGTAAGTGTGAGTCATCAGCTCACGTTGATTACGTCCCTGCCCTTTGTACACACCGCCCGTCGCTATCCGGGACTGAATTGATTCGAGAAGAATGATTGCTTTGAGGCTTCACGGCTTCTTTGCGATAAGAGTCTTTCTGATCGTTTTGGTTTGAACCGGGTAAAAGTCGTAATAAGGTTGCTGTAGGTTTACCTGCAGCTGGATCATCGCCGATTTTTTCGACGAGAAGTCCATACTTCTTTTACATTTTTGAACATCTTGACAAGATGCCTATAAGTGAATGGTTGTCCCCTGATGTGGCAATATTCCAAACATTCCAGGCTTAATGAAATGTTTTTAAAGCTTTAGCTTGATAAATGTTCGTCTTGTCAACCTTTAACCTAGTATATTTGGTGGCTATACGTGCTCGAGATTGAAATTCATTTTTCATTCGAAGAGTAATAGTCTTAATGAGAATTGTTGCAGTCAACAGTTCCGCCAAATTTACTTAAAAACGTTTGCTATGTGATCAGTCATCGATATTCGTATCGAAACTGTTCTAGCTTAAGCGATAGATCGGTTTATAATGGCGATGGTGTCCTGAGGCGAGCTCAGAGAGGACGGAAACCTCTTGTAGAGCATAGAAGCAAAGGCTTCCTTCATTTGTCAGTACGAGTACATATTATCCTGAATAAGAGGTGTCAATAAAGTAACAGAATGGATAACTAGCTCGCGATAGTTATTTGTGATGTTATTTGTTGATTCTTCGATATTGGCTCATCCTATCATTCACTTAAAGTACCTTATCTAGTGGTAACACTAGAGCTTATGCCCTATTCATGGCTTTGGCATTGTAGTGTTTATCTGCAATGCTTGCCAACGCCAGTTCACTCTGGTTCAATGTCAGGGCAAAAATCACTTGTATACGGCTTGGTCTCTTGATCAAGTTTTGGAGTATTCAGTGATGCAGTCATATATACTGCGATCTGTTGAGACTATCCCTTGAACTTTTATTTTTTTGCCCTCCAAAAATAGTTTATCCTAAATTTCATTTTCGCTATTTTTTTTTGTAAGTTCGAGGTTTTAGTTCAGATATCCCTTGATTAATTTTTTTGCTTTCAAATAATAGTTTTACCTAAATTTCATTCTTGCTTGTTTTTTGTGCCATTTTATTAGCAACACTTGCGAATTTAATGGTTCGACAAACTTTGGAGAAAAAAACAGAAAAAGTTATAAGCTTTCAGATGTCAATTCAAACGAAGACTATTTTATGATCAAAGTTGATCGAGTCTCGAGTTTCAGAAATATACAACAATTTTCACACACAATGCTTTATTATAAGCTACAAATCTTGTTCGAATCAATGGCGGCGACGTTGCCCGCGAAAATCACTAGTAGACGGAGCTCCTGCGTCGAAATCATCATCATAATCATCATCCTGTTCTTGTTGAGTTGGTTGTTCTTCAGCGTCGCTGCAACCAGCATTACCAGCAGTTGACGTATTCGCAGCAGTTCCAACATTACCAATTGATTCACCTCCCTCATTATCGTTTCCCTGAGTATTTTCGCGATTCTTCTCGTTTTCCTTCTCTTTCCTTTTTCTTTCCTTTTCCTCTTTCTGATCCCACTGTTCCCAAAATTTGAAAATGTTCATATCCACTTTTTTCTCTTTCAATTTCTCAACATCCAACTTTCTACGAATTCCATAACCGTCCATCAAATTCAACGACTCGCGACTCAATCCACACGGGTCCAACGGTTTGTAATACTCAGTTCGACGATGTTTCGTTTCATCAAAATTTTTGCCATTTTTCGCAGCACGGTCATAAAACACACGTTGCCTTTGTTTTTCCTGCAAATAGTCATATTTCAAAAGTGTCGGAAGAAATTCGGGTCCAAATATTCCAAGTCTTTTTATAAAAAAGTCTCCCTCAACTTACTTTTAACTCATCTGCCCAACGCTTATTCTTCTTTCTCTCTTCAAAGTCCTTCTCCGATTCGCTCGGAACTCTTTTTCTACATTCTTTCCGTACAACTCCATTCACAACAGTTATATCAGTATATTGTTCTCTGGTCAACCCATTGAGAACCGCTTGTGTTTGTCGTTGTGCCTGGTCTTTTGTTGGCACGAATTTGGTCGGTTTTTTGTTCCTCTGTCCATCTTTCTTTCCTTTATCATTCGATTTCTCCTTTTCATCCTTTTTTTCATTATTTCTTTCATCGCCGGCCATATCGAATCAATACAGTTGTTTATCACTAGTAAACGATTTCGTAAATCTAATAAATCTAGAACTGACAAAAGCAAAACTGGAGCAAGTGTTCCATTTTTTTTAAGTTCACGCAAAAATCATTTTTTTTGTTCTAGAAAATTCTTTTTTTTTGTATTCATTTTTTAAAGAGCAAGGCAAGGTTCATCAAAGCAAAATTCAACAGAGAAGAGTATGTGCCTTGTGGTATGGTGGTAGAGTGTTCGTTTGTCAGGCAAGAGGTGATGAGATCGAATCTCGTCCAATGTGGCAAATAAATGTTTCACTTTTTTTTTCTTTTCTGAAGATTTTTCTTTTTTTCTCTACTTCTTCCGTTTTTTTTTACGTTTTTCAGGTTTTAAAAAAATCTTCACGGTTGTTTTTTGGTTAGTTTTGATACAGGATTTTTCGTATTTTCATAATTAACATATTTTTATAGAAAACTCTGAAAACAGTTCAGTACTTTCACTATAAAAGCTTGGTCTCTTAGTTTTCAAGGAAACGGTTCAATTATTTTGAGATAGTGAACTGATTATCAATTCTACGTTATTTTTCACACTTGAAAACTCAAAAATTACATTTTCAGCTAGAAATCTTGACGAATTTTCGAAACCAATTTTTTTTTTGAAAAAAAAATCATAAGGGGGGACCCTTTTGTCAGAAATTTTTTTTTTGAAATAGTGAAATGAGAACAGAAAATTTTTGTTATACAAAAATTTTTTTGTTCTCAAGTTTTTTTTCATCATGTCAGTAAACACATGTTTTCTCACACCCATACCATCCCAACACTTATCCCCCTCTCGATGCAAGAACTAGCAAAAAATGGGGAGAGAGACGTATTCGATCCTTCCCCCTTTCTCTCAAAAAAATAGTTTTTCACTTTTTTCCCATTTTCTCATACCCCTTAAGATTTTTTTTCGAATGTAGTGCGGGGAAGGTATAGCTGCTATATCTATAACAGAGCTTTGAAGGATTAACTCCTTGAAGCGTCAAGCGTTGGGTTGTTCATCTACTAATAGTGAGCATGAGCTGGGTTAAGACCGTCGTGAGACAGATTAGTTTTACTCTACTGTTGACTTGTTATTGCGAAAGTGACTGCTTAGTACGAAAGGAACAGCAGATTCAAACATTTGGTTCGTGGACTTGGTAAAAAGTTGCCAAGTACTCACAGCGAGGTTGAACTTGTTGATTCTTCGATGTTGGCTCATCCTATCATTACGAAAGGAAAGCTTGCTTGACTTGTAGTGCTCTACTGTTGACTTGATATTGCGAAAATAGAACTGCTTAGTACGAAAGGAACAGCAGATTCAAACATTTGGTTTAAGGGCTTGGTAACAAGTAGTAGCCAAGCATCCAGAGCGAAGTCATCTATCAGTACGAGTACCTATTGTTTCGAGTAAGAGGTGTCTGCAAAGTAACAACAGGGATAAATAGCTTGAGGTAGTCAAGCGTTCATAGTGATGTTACTTGTTAATTCTTTGTTGGCTCATCCTATCATTACGAAAAGAAAACTATCCAAGCGTTGGGTTGTTCATCTACTAATAGTGAACATGAGCTGGGTTAAGACCGTCGTGAGACATATTAGTTTTACTCTACTGTTGACTTGTTATTGCAAAAGAAAGACTGCTCAGTACGAAAGGAACAGCAGATTCAAACATTTGGTTCATGGACTTGGTCTATAGGCCAATAGCCCAAAGCTACTATTTGAGAGATTACAACTGAACGTTGCAATCTTGCCTTGTCAAGGCGATGATGCTTTGCATCCCGGTATCGGGAAGCATCTTATCTAGTGGTAACACTAGAGCTTATGCCCTATTCATGGCTTTGGCATTGTAGTGTTTATCTGCAATGCTTGCCAACGCCAGTTCACTCTGGTTCAATGTCAGGGTAATCAATCACTTGTATACGACTTGGTCACTTGATCAAGGTGTTGTATTCAGTAGAGCAGTCATTTATACTGCGATCTGTTGAGACTATCTCTTGATTGAGTTTTTTGTTGCCCTCCAAAAATAGTTTATCCTAAATTTCATTTTTGCTTTTATTTGTAAGTTCGAGGTCTTTGTTTAGACGAACCATAAAGTGCTGTATTTTTTCAAGAGAAGATTTTTTTTTTATTTTTCTCTACTTTTTCTTTTTCTTTCACGTATGAGACAGTGAAGTGATAATCAATTCTACGTTATTTTGAAAACCCAAAAAAACAAATTTTTAGCGAAAAATCTCGTCAAATTTTCGATACCAAATTTTTTGTTGAAAAAAAATCATAAGGGCCCTTTTGTCAAAAAAATTATTTTTGAAATTATAACAAAAATTTTTCTGTAAAAAAATAGTTTTTCACTTTTTTCCCATTTTCTCATAGCCCTTGTTAAGACGAACCCAACAGTGCTGTATTGTTTCAAGAGAAGACTACATATTAGGTCGACAACATCTCGATTTGTCAATATGACACGAAAGCATGAAGAGTTTGTGGAAGACAAGCACTCACAACGAGACTGCATATTAGTTCTTCCACAACAACTCGATTTGTCAATATGACATGAAAGCTTGAAGAGTTTGTGGAAGACAAGCACTCACAACGAGACTGCATATTAGTTCTTCCACAACAACTCGATGTGTCAATATGACCCGAAAGCTTGGATGGTTAGTGGAAGGGAAGCACTCACAACGAGGTTGCATTTTGATTTTTGACCACGGCTCAAAATCCCAACTTTCATATCACTATGTCAGCAAACACATGTTTACTCACACCCATACCATCCCAACACTTATCCCCTTCTCGATGCAAGCACTAGCAAAAAACGGGGAGAGAGATGTATTCGATCCTTCTCGTTATCTCTGAAAAATAATAGTTTTTCACTTTTTTTCCATTTTCTCATACCCCTTAAGATTTTTTTCGAAGTGAGTGCGGGAAGGTATAGCTGCTAGACATTGTTAGGCGAGTGACAAGCAAGCGCGTCTGTTGGATGTGCGTAGTGAAGGGACTGTTGGAATTGCTGTTGGGTATAAGTGTCTTTATGATGCTTATACTTTGGTGGTGGTTTTTGGCAACCTTTTACGGCTTGTGTACACTCAACTTTCTAGTGACATCGCTGGTGGCTGACTGTAGTTGGTTTTCGGCTTTGTTGCGTCTATATGTTTGATGTTTGTTCTAGGCTTTGGTTTAGACTTACTAAAACATATTGTTGCATCAGTACTGTGCGAATTGAATTATATTTGGTAACGGTTGTTTTCATTGGGATGTTTGCGAGAGTAAAACTTTGTTTTGAAGGGTTAGCTTCTTTGAAGTTAATTTGGATAACATGGTTGATGCTTGATGATTAATTTTGTCAAGTATCAATTGCTTCGTTTTTTGAATTCGATATACCTGATTGATTCTTTAAGCGCGATATGCTCAAGTAAATATCTCTTTTCAGAGATTCTTGCTTTTAAAGACTAATCCTTTTGGATTAGTTAATAAAGAATTGAATTCAATCAATTCTTAGAGTAACACGGAGAATGCCTGCAGCCGCGGTGATTCAGATCTCCTAGTGTATCTCTTATTGTTGCAGTTAAAAAGCTCAGAGTTGAATCTAGGTTATGTACTGTCGTTCGCTTCTAGCGTTAACTTCAGTCGTAACTTCTTATATCAGCTGGTTTGAGGGTGGGAAACCATCAGCTACCAGTTGGTTTACCTTGATCAAATCAAATCATGGAATATTGAAAAAGGACTTCGGTTCTTTTCGTTGGTTCTGGAATTGGTTAACTGATTAAGAGGGACAAATCGGGGGCATTCGTATCATTACGCGAGAGGTGAAATTCGTGGACCGTAGTGAGACGCCCAATAGCGAAAGCATTTGCCAAGAATGTCTTCATTAATTAAGAACTTAAGTCAGAGGTTCGAAGGCGATACCGCCCTAGTTCTGACTGTTAACTATGCCATCCAGCATTTTGAAGAGGTTCACCTTTTCGAGAAGCAAAGTATGGTTGCAAAGCTGAAACTTAAAGAAATTGACGGAAGGGCACCACAAGGCGTGGAGCTTACGGCTTGATTTGACTCAACACTATCCGGTCCGGACACTATTAGGACTGACAGATTGAAAGCTCTTTCTCGATTTGGTGATTAGTGGTGCATGGCTGTTCCGAGTGAACTATCTAGTTCATTCGGAACGAGGCTCTAGCCTCTTGAATTACCTCTTAGAGGGATAAGCGGTTTTTTGCCGCACGAGATTGAGCGAGAACAGGTCTGTGCTTCTCTTAGATGTCCGGTTTAACAAGGAACGCCTAGTAAGTGTGAGTCATCAGCTCACGTTGATTACGTCCCTGCCCTTTGTACACACCGCCCGTCGCTATCCGGGACTGAATTGATTCGAGAAGAAGGATGATTGTTGCTTAGAGGCTTTGCGGCTTCTTTGCGATGAGAGTCTTTCTGATCGTTTTGGTTTGAACCGGGTAAAAGTCGTAATAAGGTTGCTGTAGGTTAACCTGCAGCTGGATCATCGCCGATTTTTTCGACGAGAAGTCCATACTTCTTTTACATTTTTGAACGTCTTGACAAGATGCCTATAAGTGAATGGTTGTCCCCTGATGTGGCAATATTCCAAACATTCCAGGCTTAATGAAATGTTTTGAAAGCTTTAGCTTGATAAATTTTCGTCTTGTCAACCTTTAACCTAGTATATTTGGTGGCTATACGTGCTCGAGATTGAAATTCATTTTTCATTCGAAGAGTAATAGTCTTAATGAGAATTGTTGCAGTCAACAGTTCCGCCAAATTTACTTAAAAACGTTTGCTATGTGATCAGTCATCGATATTCGTATCGAAACTGTTCGCCGATGGTAAGCCCTTACATAGACGTTTTGATCTATGGAGGTACTGAAGCGAAGGCAAGACGAAAGTCTGGCCACGTCGGGCAGCATTCGAGCAAGCCTCGGATCCTGTCTTAGTCAAGGGTAAATTGGGTCCTCGTGTGTGAAGTGCAAGAAACATATGCGAGAGACGGAAGTAGCGGATGTGTGCGACCCTTGCACGTCAACCATTGAAGCTAATTCCATACCCCAGAAACTGACGGAACGGGAATACCCGAAAGATGGTACAAGACCCCTAGCACTGGACGTCAGGCTTCGGCCTGATGTCTAGTGCTAGGGGGTCAATTAAACCCGAAAGATGGTTTAAGACCCCTAGCACTGGACGTTAGGCTTCGGCCTGATGTCTAGTGCTAGGGGGTCAATTAAACCCGAAAGATGGTTTAAAACCCCTAGCACTGGACGTTAGGCTTCGGCCTGATGTCTAGTGCTAGGGGTCAATTAAACCCGAAAGATGGTTTAAGACCCCTAGCACTGGACGTTAGGCTTCGGCCTGATGTCTAGTGCTAGGGGGTCAATTAAACCCGAAAGATGGTTTAAAACCCCTAGCACTGGACGTTAGGCTTCGGCCTGATGTCTAGTGCTAGGGGGTCAATTAAACCCGAAAGATGGTTTAAGACCCCTAGCACTGGACGTTAGGCTTCGGCCTGATGTCTAGTGCTAGGGGGTCAATTAAACCCGAAAGATGGTTTAAAACCCCTAGCACTGGACTTCAGGCTTCGGCCTGTTGTCTAGTGCTAGGGGGTCAATTAAACCCGAAAGATGGTTTAAAACCCCTAGCACTGGACTTCAGGCTTCGGCCTGTTGTCTAGTGCTAGGGGGTCAATTAAACCCGAAAGATGGTGAAAAATGTCCCCTAGCTAACAAGTTAGGGGACACCTGCAGAAACCTTTTACCTAGGAGTGCAACCGAAGTAAAGGGTCTTCTGATTTCTCAATCATGAGCTTGCACCTCCTCTGATTGAGAATGAAAGAAGGCAGGAAGTGAAGTTAAGGAGTTAACTGGGGTCTGACAGCCCAGCTGACCTTGACCCACACCCATTGCATCCCGGTATCGGGAGGCATCTTATCTAGTGGTAACACTAGAGCTTATGCCCTATTCATGGCTTTGGCATTGTAGTGTTCATCTGCAATGCTTGCCAACGCCAGTTCACTCTGGTTCAATGTCGGGGCAATCAATCACTTGTATACGACTTGGTCACTTGATCAAGGTGTTGTATTCAGTAGAGCAGTCATTTATACTGCGATCTGTTGAGACTATTCCTTGATTGAGTTTTTTGTTGCCCTCCAAAAATAGTTTATCCTAAATTCTATTTTCGCTTTTTTGTTCAGACAAAATTTTTCTTTTCCCAAGTTTTATATCATCATCTCAGCAAACACGTTTCCTCACACACACGCCAGTCCAACACTTATCCCCCTCTCGATGCAAGCACTAGCAAAAAACGGGGAGAGAGAAGTATTCGATCCCTTCTTGTTTTCTCTGAAAAAAATAGTTTTTCATTTTTTTTTCCATTTTCTCATACCCCTTAAGATTTTTTTTCGAAGTGAGTGCGGGGAAGGTATAGCTGCTAGACATTGTTAGGCGAGTGACAAGCAAGCGCGTCTGTTGGATGTGCGTAGTGAAGGGACTGTTGGAATTGCTGTTGGGTATAAGTGTCTTTATGATGCTTATACTTTGGTGGTGGTTTTTGGCAACCTTTTGCGGCTTGTGTACACTCAACTTTCTAGTGACATCGCTGGTGGCTGACTGTAGTTGGTTTTCGGCTTTGTTGCGCCTCCATGTTTTATGTTTGTTCTAGGCTTCGGTTTAGACTTACTAAAGCGTGTTGTAAACTTCGTTTCAAAGAGTTAGCTCTTTGGAGCTCTTCGGAGCTAACTCTTTGAAACAAAGTTTGAGCAGTCATTTATACTGCGATATGTTGAGACTATTCTTCGATAAAGTTATCTAGTTTCAAAAATAGTTTATCCTAAATTTCATTTTTCAAATTTTTAATTTGAAAAATGTTCAATTTAAAAATTTTTAAGCTTAAAAATTTTTAAATTTTTTTTAATTTAAAAATTTCTAAGCTAAATTTAAAAATTTCTAAGCTTAAAATTTTTAACTCGGAAATTTTTAGGTTAAAAATGTTTTAATTTTTCAAATTTAAAATTAATTTTAAAAATTTTAATTTAAAAATTTCTAAGCTTAAAAATTTTTAAATTTTTTTAAATTTAAAATTAATTTAAAAATTTCTAAGCTTAAAATTTTTAACTCGGAAATTTTTAGGTTAAAAATTTTTAAATTTTTCAAATTTAACATTAATTTTAAAAATTTTAATTAAAAATTTTTAAGTTAAAAATTTTTTAAATTTTTAAATTTAAAATTAATTTTAAAATTTCTAAGCTTAAAATTTTTAACTCGGAAATTTTTAGGTTAAAAATTTTTTAAAAATTTAAAATTAATTTTAAAAATTTTAATTAAAAATTTTTAAGTTGAAAATTTTTTAATTTTTAAATTTAAAATTAATTTAAAAATTTCTAAGCTTAAAATTTTTAACTCGGAAATTTTTAGGTTAAAAATTTTTTAATTTTTCAAATTTAAAATTAATTTAAAAATTTCTAAGCTTAAAATTTTTAACTCGGAAATTTTTAGGTTAAAAATTTTTAACTCGGAAATTTTTAGTTTAAAATTTTTTTAATTTTTCAAATTTAAAATTAATTTTAAAAATTTTAATTAAAAATTTTTAAGTTAAAAATTTTTAAATTTTTTAATTTAAAATTAATTTAAAAAATTTCTAAGCTTAAAATTTTTAACTCGGAAATTTTTAGGTTAAAAATTTTTTAATTTTTCAAATTTAACATTAATTTTAAAAATTTTAATTAAAAATTTTTAGGTTAAAAATTTTTAAATTTTTAAATTTAAAATTAATTTAAAAATTTCTGAATTTTTTTAGTTTAAAATTGATTTGAAAATTTTTTCTTTTAAGATTTCGTAACTTTTCATTTATTTCTTTCTTCTTAATTATCGTCGTTCTTTCGAAAATTCTTAACCCAAAAATTTTTTTTCAGCTCGAAATCGTCGTCTAGCAGCGTCAATGGCTCCTCAAACTCCGAAAAGACCACGTAAATCGGTGAGTTAATTCTTTCGATTAGCGAATGAACCTATTACAATAATTTTGTTTTTCAGAGATCTCGTCAAAAACGTCGTTCATCACCGCCATCAAATCGCTCTCCAAATGTTTCACCGCCGCCGAGTCCGGCCCTAACAAGAGCAGCAAAGAAAAAAGCAGCCATGCTGCGAGCTGCGCAAGGACTACCACCGCTGGTCTCTCCGAAGAAGAATCCTCGATTTTTCCTAGACCCGGATGTGAGTTTTTGTAGGATTTTTAGATTTCCCCGAGCTTCTGTAAGCTTCATTCTTAGAATAATCCTATTTTTTTCAGCCGCCAAAAGGCGTTCGGTCAGCAATCAGAAATCCATTCAGCTGTATCCAAAAGAAGAGAGCACAGTCAACTCCAGCTCCTTCGAAACCGGCCAAAAAGACAGCGAAAAATACAAAGAGACAACCTGCACCGAAAAATGTTCCAAAAGCTGCTCCAAAAAAGGCGGCTCCCAAAAAGGATACGACAAATGGATCAAGAAGAAACGTAGTTGCGAATATTATCAATGAAGAAGACGAAGAACCGGGAAATCGTGAAGATGAGGAAGAAGCAAATGAAGATTATGACCACGGAGAACTGCGAAATCGCCAACCAACTAGAGCCCAAGATTCGCAAAGAACCCGAAGAGCAACAACTGCACCTGCACCATCGGCCAGAGAAAATACACAAAGACAAACGCGTCGAATTTATGTGTCGCCGCCGAGAGGAGGGCGCCGCCACAGAAGCGGCGCAATATATCATTATGAGCCGTTGGAGGTTGGTTGTTTGCACTCATTTCATTATTAATATAATTAACGCATTGTTTTTTTTTCAGATCGGGCCCGAATTTCGAAATAGATTTGAGACAGATGTGAGAGTCAGCCCGCCCATTCAAGACCGTCTTCAAACTCAACCAACTCAAGTCAGTTTACATTATTGTATTGATTTATTCAATTTTACATTTTTCAGACTGTATCAAACTCGCGCTCACGCTCAACAAGAAGACAACAAAATCCTTCCAATTCACGTCGTCCCCGTCAATCCAGCCGTCGCTGAACTACCTCGAATTTTAATAATGATCTCCTTTAATTTCTCTTCAAACCAATATTTCATTTCTCTTTCATACTCGAATCTCTACAATGTGCCATCAAATTATAATTCATTTTCTTTCAATGATATTTACATTTTACTGTAAACATTCTTTTTTTGTCGCTGAATAAAGCATATTTGACAAATTGTGTTCAAACAAAACAAAACAATGTGTTCCATCCAGTTGTTGTACATTTGAAGGCTTCCTCCCTTGTTCTGGGTTCATTGCATTTCCTTGAACTTCTTTCACTTGAGCCTTCTTTCAAATATCAATCGAAAGTATCAAGTGAAAATTATAGGGCTGCACGATGGGGCGAGGGGATCGCCCTCGCCTCATCTCGTCAAATATTTTTTTTTTTGAAAAAAATCATCAGGGGGGAACCTTTTGTGTTTTTTGGTTTTTCAAAAAAAAAAGGGGGGACCCGAAAAAAATATTTTTGAAATACATAGTGAAGTGAGAACAGAAAATTTTTTTTAAATAAAAATTTTTTCCGTTCTCAAATTTTTTATCATCATTCCAGCAAACACATGTTTTCTCACACACATACCATCCCAACACTTATCCCCCTCTCGATGCAAGCACTAGAAAAAAACGGGGAGAGAGAAGTATTCGATCCTTCCCCCTCTTTCCCAAAAAAATAGTTTTTCACTTTTTTCCCATTTTCTCATACCCCTTAAGATTTTTTTTCGAAGTGAGTGCGGGGAAGGTATAGCTGCTATATCTATAACAGAGCTTTGAAGGATTAACTCCTTGAAGCGTCAAGCGTTGGATTGTTCATCTACTAATAGTGAACATGAGCTGGGTTAAGACCGTCGTGAGACAGATTAGTTTTACTCGACTGTTGACTTGTTATTGCGAAAGTAAGACTGCTTAGTACGAAAGGAACAGCAGATTCAAACATTTGGTTCAAGGACTTTGTGACTTGTAGTTGCCAAGCACTCACAGCGAGGTTGTATTTTGCTTCTTTGTCAACGGCTCGACCTATCATTACGGAATGAAAGCTTTGTGACTTGTAGTTGCCAAGCACTCACGTCGAGGTTGCATTTTGCTTCTTCGTCAGCGGCTCGACCTATCATTAAGTAATGAAAGCTTTGTGACTTGTAGTTGCCAAGCACTCACGTCGAGGTTGCATTTTGCTTCTTCGTCAGCGGCTCGACCTATCATTAAGTAATGAAAGCTTTGTGACTTGTAGTTGCCAAGCACTCACGTCGAGGTTGCATTTTGCTTCTTCGTCAGCGGCTCGACCTATCATTACGGAATGAAAGCTTGTTAAGTCAGTGGATGACAAGCACTCACGTCGAGGTTGCATTTTGCTTCTTCGTCAGCGGCTCGACCTATCATTACGGAATGAAAGCTTTGTGACTTGTAGTTGCCAAGCACTCACATCGAGGTTGCATTTTGCTTCTTCGTCAGCGGCTCGACCTATCATTACGGAATGAAAGCTTGTTAAGTCAGTGGATGACAAGCACTCACGTCGAGGTGGCATTTTGCTTCTTCGTCAGCGGCTCGACCTATCATTACGGAATGAAAGCTTTGTGACTTGTAGTTGCCAAGCACTCACATCGAGGTTGCATTTTGCTTCTTCGTCAGCGGCTCGACCTATCATTACGGAATGAAAGCTTGTTAAGTCAGTGGATGACAAGCACTCACGTCGAGGTGGCATTTTGCTTCTTCGTCAGCGGCTCGACCTATCATTACGGAATGAAAGCTTTGTGACTTGTAGTTGCCAAGCACTCACATCGAGGTTGCATTTTGCTTCTTCGTCAGCGGCTCGACCTATCATTACGGAATGAAAGCTTGTTAAGTCAGTGGATGACAAGCACTCACGTCGAGGTGGCATTTTGCTTCTTCGTCAGCGGCTCGACCTATCATTACGGAATGAAAGCTTTGTGACTTGTAGTTGCCAAGCACTCACATCGAGGTTGCATTTTGCTTCTTCGTCAGCGGCTCGACCTATCATTACGGAATGAAAGCTTGTTAAGTCAGTGGATGACAAGCACTCACGTCGAGGTGGCATTTTGCTTCTTCGTCAGCGGCTCGACCTATCATTACGGAATGAAAGCTTTGTGACTTGTAGTTGCCAAGCACTCACATCGAGGTTGCATTTTGCTTCTTCGTCAGCGGCTCGACCTATCATTACGGAATAAAAGCTTGTTAAGTCAGTGGATGACAAGCACTCACGTCGAGGTGGCATTTTGCTTCTTCGTCAGCGGCTCGACCTATCATTACGGAATGAAAGCTTTGTGACTTGTAGTTGCCAAGCACTCACATCGAGGTTGCATTTTGCTTCTTCGTCAGCGGCTCGACCTATCATTACGGAATGAAAGCTTGTTAAGTCAGTGGATGACAAGCACTCACGTCGAGGTGGCATTTTGCTTCTTCGTCAGCGGCTCGACCTATCATTACGGAATGAAAGCTTTGTGACTTGTAGTTGCCAAGCACTCACATCGAGGTTGCATTTTGCTTCTTCGTCAGCGGCTCGACCTATCATTACGGAATGAAAGCTTGTTAAGTCAGTGGATGACAAGCACTCACGTCGAGGTGGCATTTTGCTTCTTCGTCAGCGGCTCGACCTATCATTACGGAATGAAAGCTTTGTGACTTGTAGTTGCCAAGCACTCACATCGAGGTTGCATTTTGCTTCTTCGTCAGCGGCTCGACCTATCATTACGGAATGAAAGCTTGTTAAGTCAGTGGATGACAAGCACTCACGTCGAGGTGGCATTTTGCTTCTTCGTCAGCGGCTCGACCTATCATTACGGAATGAAAGCTTTGTGACTTGTAGTTGCCAAGCACTCACATCGAGGTTGCATTTTGCTTCTTCGTCAGCGGCTCGACCTATCATTACGGAATGAAAGCTTGTTAAGTCAGTGGATGACAAGCACTCACGTCGAGGTGGCATTTTGCTTCTTCGTCAGCGGCTCGACCTATCATTACGGAATGAAAGCTTTGTGACTTGTAGTTGCCAAGCACTCACGTCGAGGTTGCATTTTGCTTCTTCGTCAGCGGCTCGACCTATCATTAAGAAATAAAAGCTTGATTCATGGCTTTGGCATTGTAGACGCCAGTTCACTCTGGTTCAATGTCGGGGCAATCAATCACATTTACAAGTCTTGGTCTCTTGATCAATATGTTGTATTCAGTAAAGCAGTTAGTTATACTGCGATCTGTTGAGACTATCTCTTGATTGAGTTTTTTGTTGCCCTCCAAAAATAGTTTATCCTAAATTTCATTTCCTGATGTTTTCAAACTTTACTTCAGATAATTTTATTTCACACATTTTTCAAATATTTTCAGATATTTTTTTTTTTACAAAACTTCAAAACACATTTTTCAAATGTGTGTGTCAAAAATCTCGACCAGAAAATTACAATATCCAAATTTGAAAGAAGAATATACTTGACCCACCCCGACTAAACGGTGATCTCAAATTTGTTAAATCTCTGATAATGTTAAAAATAACTTTTCAGAGTTCTCGCGACATTTTCGATTTTTGATTTCAATTTCAAAGAACAACTCAATACGAAGCTTTAGTTCTGTTAAAAATCGGACCACTTCTTAGAATTTCGAAATATGTCAAAAATTTTAAACAGATTTTTGACACCTGTAAAAAATTTTCGCACCTTGGTGCTAAAAAACCGCGTCAAACGAGAAAGAGTGCACGAATTTTGTAGAGACCGAGATGTATGTTTTGGGAAATCTCGTACCCGTCAGAAATAATCCAGGGAAAACATGTCGATTAATCTACTTTTTCTCAATAATTTCATTTCTGGATGAAATTCTGAATTTTCTTGTTTTTTAACAGTGTTAAAAATTTTCTTTCAATTTTTTTTAGCTTCAAAGTTGGTTCTGGGTCGCTTACTATGCCTAAGCCAGAGAGGAAGTGTCATTTAGGTCCCAACTCATCGACTTCATTTTCACATTTTTGGATTATTCCAATTCTGTTACTTTTTACTTTTTCTGACAGAATCAAAAAAAATTTAAAAAAGTAACAGATTTGGAATAATCCAAAAATGTAAAAATGAAGTCGATGAGTTTCAAAGTATGGCTTAGTAAACCACCCAGAAACAACTTTGAAGCTAAAAAATTGAAAGAAAATTTTTAACACTGTTAAAAAACAAGAAAATTCAGAATTTCATCCAGAAATGAAATTATTAAGAAAAAGTCATGTCTCCAACCCGAAATTTCTGCTTGGAGACGGTCATGTCTATAATTATGCAAATAAAAAAAGAGATTCAATAAGTTTTTTAAAAAATTGTTTGATGACGTCATCCATTTTACGTGACCCATATGCCAATTTTTCATTCCAGATTTTTATTAAAAATTTTAAAAAAATTCAACAAAAATTCAATTTTTTTTTTGAAGAAAAAGTGTGTGTTGTAGGGCTGAATGCGAGATGTGTCAAGTAACCACAGCGAGAGGAAGTTCCACGTGGCAAATTATCAAAATCAGTACTGTTTTAATCAATTATCATTTCTAGGACCGATTCACGTATTCTAGCCAAATACCACCTCATTCTGACTATTTTCACCCTCCCTATACCCAAAAAACATGAGTGTGCATGACTAATCAACGCCACTGTAAACTATAATTAAAAATTGTTTGCTGTGGAAAAATAACTTTTGGAAAGGAAAACATCTAGAGATAATTTTTAATGATTTTTCAGAAGTCAATTCTTGTGTTTAACATTTTTCGAGTACACCCAATACAAAAAAAGAGATTAAATGAGTTTTTTCTTCGAAAAATTCATCGATGACAACACTCCACTTCCCTCTTGTTTAGCAATGAAATTTTTTTATGATTTCGCAATACCCTAATTTTTTTTTGAAGAATTTGGAAAATTGAAAATAGAAGTGGAAATATGAAGGTTTTTGGAAGGTGAAAAGGGTGGAGAAGCTTCCAGAATTCAAGAACTTATTGAAAAAAATTCAGAAAATTTATGATCAAATTTCAGATTTTTTTCAATTTTCCAATGTTGTTAATAAAATGAATATTGAAATTGCTTCTAAATTATTTCTGGGTTCCAAGCTTTTCCAACTTCTGTTTTTAAAAAATTCAAATATGTTTCATAGAGTTTCAGGCTTTTCATCATGACTCAAAGCCATTAACATAAAACTTTATTTTATCACAAATTAATTAATTTTTTTTTTCTTGCATTCTCGTCGAGACAGCGCGAAATTCACGCATTTTGAGGAAATTCATTTTTCAACGGGAGAAAAATATCGACATTTTTATTTGAAAAAAAAATGAAGAACTTAATTTTGACAATCAAAGACTACTTGATTCATGAACTCACGTCGCATTCTGTTTATCACTAATTTTCTAAGAAATCGACACTCTTTTTCAGAATATTTCAGCTGCTCTGTTTTCAGCTGCTCAAAAAGTTTATTCAGATTGATTTTCAAGCTTTAGTTTCAAATACTTATTGCGATAATGTCTCTTTTTGAAACTCCATATTGGCTTCTTTATTACTACACAATCCTTGGTTATGTTTCTTTAGTGATAAATTTAATTGGATTATATTTGGTGTTATTTAAAAGTTCAACAATGGGAAACTACAAATATAACTTATTGTATTTCCAACTAACTTGTATGTTTATAGATATAACACTTTTGCATGGAATGAAATTTTTGACATTTTTTCCATTCATTGGTATTAATTGCACACATGGATATTTCTGGAAATATCTAAAAATTCCATCAAAAATTTCATTAGTAATTTTTGGAGAATTGTTCGCGAATGCTATTATTTCAATGGAATTGTGTTTCTTGAAAAAATATACTGCTGTAATTTCGTTTGGAAAACAAAACATCACTTCATCTATTTTAACAATTTTGTCTGTCATTTTTAATCAATCTTGTATAATTCTTTTGATTTTTGCACTACCAACAAAAGAAGAAGAATTGAAATTGATACCAGAAGAATATAAATATTATTTTGATCATCTTGAAGATTATCTAATATGTGAATTTAATATCATGATTATCACTTTCTTGGCTTCTGTTCCAACTGGTTCTGCTTTCATAACTGGTGTTATTATTTTCACAACTTATAAAATGTTGAAAGTTTTATCACATTCAAGTTCAACTAATTCAAATGCAACTATTAAACGACACAGAGATGTATTGAGAAGTTTAATTGCTCAATCATTAACTGTTGTTATTTTTGTGGTTTCAGTTATTATCGTTGTTTTCACCATAGCTCTAGAATTGCCAGCTGCTAATGGTAGAATTTTTGGAATTTCAGAAAAAAAATGAAATTGTTTTTTTCAGAAATCACATCGATTCAAACAGCAATTTTTAGTAATCATTCGATTGTGAACTGTATTGTTATGATTTTTTCATATCCGCCTTTTCGAAACGAAGCGTTGTTTTGGAAAAATAGAAAGGATAAAAAGTCCTCCTCTGTTTCAAAAGTTGTTGTTATTAATTGAAAATGGTATTTTTATGTTAATTATGATTGTATTTTTTGTTCTTTTAATATTCTCATTGTATTCTCAAGTCAAAGATATCTTACTATTTGTGGAAATAAAGGATACCACAAAAAAGATAATAATTTGCCTGCATTTATAAACAGAAATAAAGAAAAAAACATCAAACTCTTTTGAATATATTTTCCCCAACTGTGTGATATATCATTTTATAGCATTTTTTCTTGCCAACTCAAATATGCCAATAATTTCCCATAAAAATTACAAAAAAACAGTGTCTTCCCCGTGAAAATCTTAAGAAAAGTATGCAAACAGTTGAAACGACGCACAATTGCACTATTTTTTCAACAAGAATTATTTTGATTTCTACTGAAGAACTTCAAATAAAAATTAAATCATAATTTTCGTCATGAAATTCTCTATCTCCCCATATAAAATTTATTGAAAGACAGTTCCAAATTCCAGAGAAAATCGAAATACTAAAAAAGATGGAAATAGTGTGTTGTGTCGAGGAAACGCAGAAAAAAGCGAAAGATCCGAAAAATAAGAGAGAGCAGACAACGAGACAGTTTGCATTTGTCGTCAAATAAAATGCGGAGGGTGTAGTTTTGTTCGTTTTTGTGTGCATTGTCCGCAAAGATTTTTTGTTATAGGAAAATAATAGGAGAAAGAGTTTATGAAACACTGATTTTTCGAATGAAGCGATTTAGGAAGGAAAATATGTGTGAAAATAAAAAAAAATTGAATTCAGGAAAAATTTTAACATTGTTCTCTGAAGAAATTATTAGAAATTATCTTGGATTTTTTCCTCAAGGTTTTAATTTTTCTTGCAAAGTTACGCTAAATTGTTAGATGTTTGAACTTTCGATGCTGTATTCTCCTGCAAGATTCCAATTTTCCCAAACTCGTATAATCGAATCAGAATCAGAATCATCAATTTTGTTATAAAAACAGCTCCCCCACGCATTAATTCATTCCAAACCAAAAAATGTTTGTCAAAACTTTTCTCGTCGTGATTTTCTGTGCTTTCATTCAATCGTGCCTTGCTGGTGGTTATGCGTGTCTCGACGGAGTTCCAGGACGTGAATGTCAACCGGGAGAGATTTGTGTTCGACATGATTTTGGACAAGGTGTTTATCGAGGAATTTGTGAGAGAGCTGGTTAATTGCAAGGATAATAAATTTGTTTTATTTGCGTTTTGAACTTTTTTTTTTGGAAAAACGAAATCTGTAACTTTTTACTTTGAAACTCATCGACTTCATTTTTACATTTCTGGACTAGGGGCTGTTAGCCCCCAGGCGTAACAGTCTTCTCATTTATTTCAGTTTCACTTTTTTTCTGTGATTATTGTCCACAGAACATTGACTTATCAAATTTATAGAAAATTTCGAGTTTTTTTTATCAAAAAATGACTCGTGGCAAAATCAGGAAGGCTTCCTAATTTTGCCATGGATGTTTCGAGTTTTTCAGGAGACCCAAAAAGTGGCTTTTTGAGTCTTTTTCCTTGTTCAGGTCATTCTAACAATTTCTATTTTTTTTTCACAAAAAATCAAATTTTATCCCCGCACACATTGTTCCATAAACAAATTGAATAGGGAAAAAATGAAATTGATTGACATCTCCGGAATAAATTTCTTTTTTTTTAAATTATAAATGCTTTTTAGCCTTTTTCCAAAATCATCTAAACACATGCTGTTTAGTCACATGACATTTTTTCTGATGAAAATCATTTATAATTTAAAAAAAGAAATTGATTCCGGAGATGTCAATCAATTTCATTTTTCCCCTTTCAATTTTTTTGTGGAGATAAAATTTGATTTTTTGTGAAAAAAAGTCCTTGAACATGGCCTAAACTTTTCTCTGAAAATCAATTGATTCATTACACTTTTTTCATTTTCAGAGAAAAGAGTCAAGTTTCATCAGAAAAAATGTCATGTGACTAACCAGCATGTGTTTAGATGAGTTTGGAAAAAATGATAAAAAGCATGTATAATTAAAAAAAAGATGGAACATGGAACAATTTTTGTTGGATATAAAATTTGATTTGTTGTGAAAAAAGGACTATTTATTTCTCATGACATTTATTATACCAGGGGTGGGAAATTGGCCTGGCCTCATGTTGTCCTGTCCTTGAACATGGCCTAAACTTGTCTTGGCTCGAAGATGGCTTGAACATGTCCTAAAGTCATATGCCCAACTTGTCCTCGCGTGAACAAAAATTAACAGAGAAATTTTTTTAAATTTATGATAAAAGATACTTTGAATATGAAATAAATAAGCAAATTTATCACCAATCTCTGGAATTAAATAATACGGTGAAAGATAGAAATAAAGTACAATTTTTAAACTTAGAAATTATTAGTTCCAAAAAAGATCTTCATACTAGACTATACAATAAAACAAACTATTACACATTCGAGATAGTACGATACCCTAAAGCTGAAAGTTACATATATGCACGAAAGAATCGCAGTAAATACAATATACACCAAACTTCTCAGAATATTTGACACATGCACTTACTATTATGATGCTTTACCTAGAATTAAGGCCCTAATTGCTCAATTTGTAAAAAATAAATTTCAACAACCAACAACATACAACAAACAGTTACATAAATATGTATTCCCATAAAATCAACATTTATAAAAAATACCGATTTGATCTCGAAAATAATCTCTGCTAAAATTCTACCACATAATAATTTTTAATAATTTCCTTCTACAAAATATATTATTTTGAATATAGGTCTACTTCCTCTCACTAATCTTTTCTTCATTTTCCTCACTCTCTCATCCACTTTACCTCTCTAACATCGCGTCTTCCTCTACTCTACATGTTTTCATAATTTTTAACATGTCTAATTTTTTTTTCTTGTTTTCGCGCGTAGGTTAGGTTTAGAACTAATACTTAAGGTCCTGCAAAGAGGCATTGCTGATGATACCTACCTCTTTTTCAATATAGGTCTACTTCCTCTGATGTTCAGGTCAAAAAGGTTTTCCGCGTATCTTTATGGGCCTATGCAGAATAATATTTTGTAATAAAAAAACATTAAAAAACATATTTTTCATATGCAGAAAAACGTCGAAAAAAACAAAATATTCAGTTTACTGTTTTTGAGTAGAGACAATGTGAAATTGAGAGAGTGCAGACAGACAAATTGATTTTGCGCACAAAAAATACAAAAAACTGTCTGCACTCTCAATTTCACATTGTCTCTACTCAAAAATAGTAAATTGTATATTTTGTTTTTTCGACGTTTTTCTGCATAGGAAAAATATGTTTTTTAAATGTTTTTTTATTACAAAATATTATTCTGCATAGGCCCATTATTCATTTAATTTTCTTCTTTTTCCTATTTCTCCTACTTGTATGTTTTCTTTCATCTGCGTCTCCTACTTGTGTGTTGTCTTTCATCTGCGTCTCCTACTTGTATGTTGTCTTTCATCTGCGTCTCCTACTTGTATGTTGTCTTTCATCTGCGTCTCCTACTTGTATGTTGTCTTTCATCTGCGTCTCCTACTTGTGTGTTGTTTTTCATTAAAATCCTGTCACATTATGTTCCACTTTGGGTTTTGAAAGCGTTTGGTGCATATATAAAATGAAATTCTTTATCGAACGACTGAATCGAAAAAATGTTATGAGAAACAATTTGATTTTAACCTTAAAGCTTCATGATGACATAAGAATTCAACAGATTCCGGATTTTCGATTTTTTTTTATGTTGACCGTATTGTTTTGTGGAGCGCTGTATTCACAGGTGAAGAGAAGTTGGCAAATGTTTGGTCGAACTCATATCAACTGGGTTTGTGGTCAAATCCTCCCTCCGCCTGTGTTTTATTTTTTTGATTGAATGGTATTCAGGAGACCCAAAAAGTGGCTTTTTGGGTCTTTTTTCATCGTTCAGGTCATTCTAACAATTTCCATTTTTTTCACAAAAAATCAAATTTTATCTCCACAAAAATTGTTCCATAAACAAATTGAATAGGGAAAAAATGAAATTGATTGACATCTCCGGAATCAATTTCTTTTTTTTTAATTATAAATGCTTTTTATCATTTTTCCAAAATCATTTAAACACATTCTGGTTAGTCACATGACATTTTTTCTGATGAAACTTTACTCTTTTCTCTGAAAATCAATTGATTAATTACACTTTTTTTTCATTTTCAGAGAAAAGAGTCAAGTTTTATCAGGAAAAATGTCATGTGACTAACCAGCATGTGTTTAGATGAGTTTGGAAAAAATGATAAAAAGCATGTATAATTAAAAAAAAAGAAATTGATTCCGGAGATGTCAATCAATTTCATTTTTTCCCTTTCAATTTTTCATGGAACAATATGTGTGGAGATAAAATTTGATTTTTTTGTGAAAAAAGGACTAGTTTTTTCTCATGACATACACAGTAACCAAAAAAGAAAAGTGGCATTCTCCTACTTATGTGTTGTCTTTCATCCGCGTCTCCTACTTGTGTGTTGTTTTTCATCAAAATCCTGGCACATTATGTTCCACTTTGGGTTTTGAAAGCTAAAACGTTTGGTGCATATATAAAATGAAATTCTTAATCGAACGACTGAATCGAAAAAATGCTATGAGAAACAATTGGATAATAACCTTAAAGCTTCATGATGACATAAGAATTCAACAGATTCCGGATTTTTGATTTTTTTTTAATGTTGACCGTATTGTTTTGTGGAGCGCTGTATTCACAGGTATTGGCAAATGTTTAGTCGAACTCATATCAACTGGGTTTGTGGTCAAATCCTCCCTCCACTTGTGTTTTATTTTTTTGATTGAATGGTATTCAGGAGACCCAAAAAGTGGCTTTTGGGGTCTTTTTTCCTTGTTCAGGTCATTCTAAAAATTTCTATTTTTTGCAAAAACAAAAAAAATAATTATATTATTATTAGGGTCTGAGTTCTCCTAAGGTTCGAGTTTTAGCAAGAAAAACAACTTTTCGAATTAAAAACAATGTTTTAGGCAAGTTGTAAAATCTAGGATTTTTGGAATCATTATCTTTTGGGATCTTTTTCATTGGTGAGGCGGATTTCATAGGTGATCCGGAAAATTGTTACAAATAATAATTGACCCCATCTGTTCCTCTAACTCTAACTGAAACCCACTCTTTCTGTCTCTCTATCTGACACGCTGTGATCTATTTTCTGTTTTTTTATGGGCGGAGCATTGATGTTGCTCTAGGGCGGAGCTGAAAACCCCCTTTATAAACTCTCCTATCTGATGAAATATTTGTTGGTTAGTTAGTTATCGTTCTAGTCTCACGATCAGGATTAATCGAAATAAGTTGCACTTGACATATTTCTTACGTGTTTTAGTTCTTATACTTGATATTTCACATATACTAAAATAACTAGCTTGTGAATTACAGACTGTCAACTTGGGCTTGTTCACATCCTAAAATGATCCTGCGTGTTGTTATTCTGGCGCTTGTATGCTTCATAATGGTCGTATACCCATCCGGCTCAACTGATTCAAAAAATGAAGGTAGGATTATTTGAGTAGGAGCTGTTGCTCCCAGGCAAAAAAGTCTCCTTTAGAACTCGAATTTCGTAGAACTTAAAAAAATATGATTTTGTAGGATGGCTTTAGACATCATTGGCTTACTTCATTTAAATTCATAGAGTTCATTTTGCGATTTTAAGAATAAACAAACCCAGTGAAAAATGCCTCTCGAGAAATCAATAAAATTTGAATTATTTATTTTATTTATTTATTTATTTATTTATTTACGATGAGAGGAAAAGTACATCGTGAGAAAAAAGTGATAAAATGAATAGTAATATCTTCAATCTGATAATCAAGCTCTAGAGTAATTAAAAGTCAAAAGTTCATCGTGATTATGACTGAATTATGATAATATGTTCATAATACTGCAGTTTGATAGAAATATCGATTATACAAATACTAGAAGAGCTTCGCTGGCTAACGCCATCTACAGTAGTTTGACTTACTTTTTTCTGATTAATTTTCCGGTTAGGGAAAGAGAAACATTGAGAAATGACTAAAAATATTCGACTATGGGAGAAATCAGAACGATCAGATAAGAAACGTGGCCTAATAATTTTTTCGAATAAAAACGTGATCTTTTTTACATGAAAACAGTTTTGATTTTTCACAAAAATCGAGTATTAGCGCCTCGATGGGAAAGAATTTAGGATAGAATAGTGAAGGTCCCATCAAAAATGGTCTTCTGGAAATTGAGAAAAGTCGAGCGACACATTTTAAATCCGAAAAATACATTGAGATTTTCAAACTTTTGATTCTCCGCGCACCCACAGACATTTTGAGAAAGAATGAATAGGAAGCGCATCGAGCTGCCAACGTTCAGAAACTTTTTCTTTTTATGATCATCAATTTTTATGCGCACAGTTTTGAGAACGGGTCCCGGACATACTATTGCCAAAAAAATTTTCCCAATTAGTATATATTATACAAATATTATTACCGATGATACTTGATTTTTGTCTATTTGTGGCAGGGCTGGTGGGAGTTGACCTTTCGGAATTTCGGAAGTCCCATTTTCACTTCCGATTTTATTCTCGGAATTTCGGCATTCTGATTTTTTTTCCAAATAATTTTTCGATAGTTCGGAATTCCGATTTTTTTCTTCCGACTTTTTTATTCGGAATTTCGGAAGTTCTAATACACAGGAAAAAAGTGAAAAACGACATTTTTCGATGAGTTATCAGAACAATAATAGTAAAAATAGTTGGGAAAAAGTGAATCTTGTTCGTTAGTTTATCAAAGACAACAAATTGTTGACTATTATCGATTATTAAGAAATTTTTCACCGTCATTTCAGTCTTAAAATAAAGTTTTTTTTATAAAATAATCTATTCCGATATTCCGAGATTTTTCGAAAGTGATTCCGACAAAAAAAAGTCGGAATGAAAAAAAGTGGGAACGAGAGCCGAAATTAGAGCAATTCCGAGTTTTTCTTTCGGAAGTGCTTCCGACCAAACTACACGAAAAAACGTCGACATTCGGAATTTCGGAATTCCGATATTCCGATTCCGACCAACCCTGCCATACACATTGGGTGATAATCCATCGCCTACCCACATTATGGCTATATTCCTGCAATTTTTTTTATTATTTCAGATGAACTCATCAATGCCATTATTAAAAGTTTATTGGACGCGAGTACAGAAACTGTGGATGTGTTATCGGATTTGAATGCATTAGGACCGAAATCAACTATATTGCTGAAAGCGATTGTACCCATTGCAGGATTGGTTTTGAATAAATTAGTTCCGGAGGTATAGTATAATTTTGAAAAATTCTTGAAAAAAAATGGGGAGGGGGGGGGGGGGTTTGAAAAAGAGTTTCGAAAAATTATCTTTAAAAAATAGTTGCGATTTGCTCTTTTTGAATAAAACTAAAAGAATCATCTCGAATTTCACTATGTGTACGTCCAGGTTTGTAATGACCGAATAAATTCTAATGGGGTTATGCAGAAGAATGAAATGTTGACAAAAAATACAAAATATTATCTGTGAACATATTCAGTTTTTGCCCAAAAGATATGATTCCAAATCTAGAAATTTCCAAAAATTCACGTCATTCTGATTGACCATATTTCACAGCGAAAAAAAATTTTTTGCTGTGATTTCATAATTTTAGGTTCAGCCATTCCTATGTTATTTTGTCCGGTGGGTTTTGCAGTCTTACAAGGAGTGTCTTTTAATTTTAAGTTTATTTATTTATTTATTCATATATCACATATAATAATACAATTTAAGGCACCGACAAAAAAGAAAAAAATAATAAAAGTCAGAGATCAGAGTGTGCGAGAGAACAAAATGAAGAGAAAGGTGATGTTGAATAGTAAGATGGACATTTGTACCGGAAAGAGTACTTTTGTCCAAATGTTAACTGTGAGATTTTAAGGTTTTAAGAAGTGTTCGGGTGGGAGAGATTTAAGATGGCGAGTTAAGGTGAGAGGAAGGCGAAAATTTGTTAGTGTTTTAGAGGTTTTATTCCAGAGTGAAAGATTTTTATGAAAAAAAGAGTTATTTTTGGTGCTCGGATTTTTTAGATGTATTTGAAAGTATGAAAATTTTATGTGAATAATTACAGAGCAGTAATGCAATGTAAATATGTGAGTATATATAACTTTTTTTATAGCCAACGTCAGACGAATATAAAATGCTCATCAAATTGAAATTACGCACAAAAGAGATATGGAAAGATATCAATAGCAAAATTAATATAGCAAACGTTGCTTTCGCTGATTCATTTGTGTTTAACAATTACAAATTAGTAAGCCCGATCCTGTCAAGTTTTCGATCAATTGAAATCTCCAATTTCAGAGAGTAGTCGATCAAATTAATGACATGAAAGTGCTTAACAAGCAATACCTCGATCCAGAATGGTATAAAGACGAATTATTTATACAAAATTTTCGAACATATTGCACAACAGGTCAAACGTAAGATTTTTTGTTGGCGAGGGAAGTGTGTGAAGGGTCCCCGGAAATTTCGAAAAAACATTGACACACTCTTATACAGCTTGACAAGCTGATCAAAACCTTGGGCTCACCTTTTACTGAACCCGCCTGTGAGCTTCAACAAGAGCTCGAGAAGTTGAGCATCAGGCCTGATCGGAAACGGATACTCGGAATCAGGCCTGTGCCGGAAATTTTCCGAATTTTCCGAATTTCCGGATTTTCCGGTTTTTTCAAGGAAAAATCATTTTTCCAGTTTTCCGGAAAATGTGTTCGGGAAATCCGGAAAATGAATTTTAGTAGTGATATCTTCAATATTGCCTAAATTTTGGGAAAATTTCTCAGTTTATGATGAAAAAAAAATGAAATTTTTGGAATTTTTCAATATTTACTATTTTTTGAACGTAAAACGTCTCAAATAGTTACTAAATTACCTACGAATAGAAGAATTGTAGTTAAAACAAGTTTTAATTCCAAATTAAGGCTGAAAATCAGAATTTAAGACCTTGAAAAATTTTCCGAATTTTCCGGATTTTCCGGTTCAAAAAATCCGGAAATTTTCCGACTTTCCGTTTTCCGGGTTTTGATTTTCCGGCACAGGCCTGCTCGGAATTCTGGCATTCCGAAACGGATATGTTTTCGGAGTGTCCGAACAGCGAAAAAAAAATTTGTTTTCAAATGATCATATTTTGGAACTGCCAATCAATAACTGAATGCTGCTCATTTTGAATCAACTTTGAACCAATTTATGGGGTTTTTTGTTCTGAAAATGGTTCTTTAGTTTATCGAAATAGGTGGTGTCATGGATTTTCATTAATTTCCACCTTAACCTGTAATTTGGTGATAATTTCGAACAATAACTCTCAATTAGCTTGGCTGAATGAAAACAAGACGTTTGAAAAACTCTGTTTTTTCCTTCAGAAATTTGAATAGAGACTCAACGGAAATTCTGAAATAATATGTCAAAAAGGGTTTTTTTTTTCTGAACTTCTTGAGCTTTTTTGGAGGTCATATGTAGGTGAATTTAGCAAAAAATAAATACAACAACAGAAAAAGGTTTCGATAAACATTCCAAACCACACACTTCCCTCGTGGGTCATTACTTAATTCGGTTAATGAAATATACTTTTCAGTGCTCCAATAATAATACTGGCGGTATGAGTTTTACGAATTTTGATGCTAATTATAATCTTTTCAAAAATCAGAGTCACCCCCAAGAAAAATTAAAGGAGGGGGGGGGGGGGGAAACTTAAAAAGGTCCAAAAAAAATATTCCATGAAATTTCTTCAACGTGGTACCTAGCTCTTGGAACATTTTTCTGGGCCTTTTTCAGAGAACATCGCTTGGAGGTTTTACTATTTTTGGTGAGCCTTTAACTTTGCCACAATTTTTTTTGTAGTCTTACCCTTTTGTTTTGACTCTGATTTCTCAACGGACAATATTATCTAAAAGTTATTGTTCAGTATTTGCTGGAAAATTTGAAGACTTTATGTGGAAATGCTATTATGCCAGAAGAAGCCGAAGAAATTGCACAATATCGAGCGCATTTGATTCAAGTATTTCGTCGATTTCGAGTCCGGCGTAGACCATTACCAAACCCAGGTCCATTTTTGTCAGGTAAGCAAACAATCTGTTTCAAAAGGGGTTTCCTTTTTAGATAATTTTTTCATAAAAATAGAATCTGTTAGTTTTGGCGGCTCTGGTCTTCTTTTGTTGAGGGAGGATAGGAAAAAATTATTTTTCTTTGTGCTTTGTTGAAAATAATCAGTTCAACTCAGGAGATTTTTCGCAATTTTGCTGACCAGAATGCGCGATTCTGCTTGCTAAAACATGCGGATCGGACACTAGTTTGCCGCGGAATCGCGTAACTTTCCCGGATTAATATATTTCAGAGATGATATATATCCACAAACACTCGCAATTAGATGCTTTGAAAGAAGAATTTGAATTACCCGTGTTCAATAGAACTTTTCCAAACTACCACAACGCTATTGAGGCCTATTTCGATGAAGTCCGAGCTCGTGAATCAATTCCAAAACTGAAAAAAGTGCTGAAACGTAAGCAGTTTTGATTTCAAAACGGTTTTTTGACATTTATTTAAAGGGTTTGTACGCGAGCTTCAAAGTAATCTTATTGATTTGGCAAGTAGATTTACATTTGTCATTGATTTTGTTTTGAATTTCAGACTTTCATCGCTGGAACATGTGCGAATGCAAGTTATGATGGTAACCCTGAATTCATGCAGAGATACACGAAACGAATTAATGAAGATGTGGAAAGTGTTGCGTCATTCACCTCAAAATGGCTGAACATTTCGTTGGTGAGTCGGGTCTAAATCAGGCCTGATCGGAATCGGAAAAATTGAGAAACCGACAAGTTTTTCGGAATGACACAAACGTTTCTCGGAATCGGGATCATTCAGATGTTACTTCCGAAACCTTTTGGAATTTCGGAATGTATTTTTTCTTCCGAATTTCGGAATTTTTCGGAATATTTGAGCTTAAATCAGTAAAAAATTTAACAAGAAATGAAAAATTGATAAATTTTATATGTCATTTCTCTTGTGATTCTCGAAAAATGAAACTTTTGTGAATATTATGAAAAAAATAATATTCATTTATTATTGAATATTATGAAAAAATGTCCATTTTCATTGTTTTTCCCCAAATGAAAGACAAGTTTTTCAAATTTTTACTCATTCCGAAACATTCCGAAAAATTCCGAAATTCCGAGGACAAAACGTCGGAATGAAAAGTCGGAATTCCGAACTCCGATCCCGAAGCTCGGAAGATGTGATATCCTTCCGAACCTTCCGATAAGGGCCATTCCGATCAGGCCTGGAATGCGGTACTATTTTTTGTAGGACGCAGCATGGCCATCGGCACACAACACTGTTTTAAAAGAAGCAATTGAGGAAAACGTCAAAGAACATGAACAGGTGGATTATGTAACTTTGAAAACCATTCTCCAAGCTGCTAATCCAATTCTAACGAAAACAGGATTACCAGGGTCAGTATTTGTTTTATATTGATTAATGGTGTGCCATAAATACCTGGACAGCTGTAATTTAACTCTCAACTGAAAACAGTTTTTTGTATATGGTTTTGAAAATATTTAATTAGGCCCTAACAAGTACATTAGAGGGGTTGTCTTTCCACAAGGCAAGATATGCTAAATCGCTTGAGATGTGTGCTTCTTGAACGTTCCGTGTTCAGAAAAATTCTTGGTTTGCGAATACGGATCTTTTGGTTCAAAAACACAAGCCGCTAAAACCTTAAAACTAGGAAAGAAAGTGCGCTATACCGCACACATTATTTATTTGTGTGTACATCTCTCGGAGTTTACACCCAAACATTTATTAAGTCATTTGGGGTGTTCCAAGTCAAGTTGATGCTGGTTTATAGTTTGTCGAAACGCCTTTTTGCAGACGATTTTTTTTCGGAAGTCCCATTTTCACTTCCGATTTTATTCTCAGAATTTCGGCATTCCGAGTTTTTTTCCGAATAATTTTTCGATAGTTCGGAATTCCGATATTCCGATTTCGACCAGCCCTGGACTCCAGGATTGAATTTATTTCACCTTTACTGCCTATTCGGTCCTCAAAATCGAGGGAAATCGATAATTTCTCTCGATCGACTGTTAAACCTGTTTAAAAAAATCTCCACCCGAAATTGGTGTGAGACATGGTGGACCTCTTTTCCTTTGACTTCTTGAGGCTTTAAGACAACCCCTCAAACATTCTACAACTCGAATAAAGGCTTCACAATAAAACTAATTCCACTCAAAAATAGCGAAACCACTTTCGCGTGCCGTGGTGAAGTTTTTCTACAGAATTTTTCAACTAGCAGAATCAATCAAATTAAGAGAGATTTCAATTTACTCGTTAGGTAACTAATTTTAATTTAAAGTATTTTTAAACCATATACAAAAAAACTGTTCAATTTTTGAAAAAAAAATAAATTGGATTAAAGCTCTCTGGTTATTTATGACGCGCCTTTTACATATGATAATACATATGAAGTAGATTGTTTCAGTTTCATTTATCAATTTACAATAATTCCAACTAAAGGCGAAAACAGTGATTTGTTTATGAATGGCACAGAGAAATATTGTTCTCATCAGAAACAAATAGATGGATTTGACACGCTTATTTCACGTATACGCAAAAGGAAAAACTACATCGAAGGTAATAAGTTTTGAATTTTTCATATATATTATTTGGCCAAAAAGTTACCCAAAATTCGTTTTTTATGTAAACTTATGGGGCTATTCAGAATAGTTTCTCAACCAAAAAAAGGAGAAAAAACTCTATTTAGATTCTGGGGAAAAAAAGAGGAGAAGCTCAATTCCTCAGCCTACTTTAAATTCAACGTTTTCAGAACAAAAAATAATAAGTTTATTGTATATAAAACTTTTAGGAACTGTGCAATTTATCTGAATATTAAGTTAAAAAAAAATCTGAATAGAGTTTCTCCTACTTTTTTGGTTGAGAAACTAATCTGAATAGCCCCATTACTAAATTTGACAAATTTAGACCCGAACGTTCCTAGGTACTGTTTTTTCGCTGAATCAGATTATATCTTTCCATGGATAAAAAATACTTTCTTAACCTAATAAGATTTATTAATAGGATGATCAAGTTTCACCTTTTCAGAATTTTCAAATATTCACTATTCCTGGTTGATTTTTTGTTGAAAATACAAAGAATTGGACTAACAACAAGAATTTTCAACAGTGACAAAACATAATAATCTTTCATTTTCGACTCTAACATTCGATGTTCTGAAAAAATCGGAACTTGATCATCCTAGTAAGATCCAGAAAACATTTTTCATTCATGGATTTGTTAGATCAGATAAGATTCAGCATGAAAATGATACCTAGGAAGTTTTGAGTCAAAATTCGACAATTTTGTGTAAAAACATGAAAAGCTATTGTCCGTTTGGAAATGAGAGTCACCCCGCGAAAAAATAAATTTGAATTTGGGAAAATCTCTAATTTCCCCCTACCCCGCGATGCGTGTGCGTTGCGGTCGCTTTCCCATACAAAACCCTCGTTGGCTGTTTGCCAGCGCGCTCTCTCACTGTCTGCGTCTCCTGCAGCAAATTCAAATTTATTTTTTCGCGGGGTGACCCTCATTTCCAAATGGACAATAGCTTTGCATTTTTTTGCATACCGTTCTGGCCAGTACTGTATGAGTAGCCGAAAAACACACATCTTCTTTCAGATCAAGTCATCAAAAGAATGCTTGACTTAAATGAAGAAATCGGACCCATGACAGAAACAATCACAACCCAAATGAGGTACGTTTTCTGTTTGAAATTGTTAAAGTGAAAATTACAAATACAAAAATAGACATAAAAAATTTTTTTCAATTAAATAATCAAATTCAGTGAACATTCAAAAAACACCCATTTTTGAGCCCCATTCGGTGTTATCATTTTAAATTTACACCCCATTTTTCGAAAATACACGGAAATCAGTGCATCCCATCCAGTATTTGCTCTTTTGAAAAAATGTTTATAAAAAACCAATTTTGCCTATTTTTCTGGCTAGTACTGTACGTGATAATGAACACATTGAAACTTCAGCTCACTCTATGATGAAGACAAATTGGAAGATATTGCGAAAACATTAAATGAAAATATGAAACGAGAAATTGTCAGTGAGAATAACTTTCACTGTTGGGCAATCGTGCGGAAATGGAAATATTTTTGCCCCTCAATAAGCTTCCCACTTTATTCGTATTCTTTCGGAAACTTGACCAGTATCACTGCAATCGAATATCAAAACAGAGGATGGTTTTATCAAAAGTGCGAGGTATTTATGTTTATTTTCTTTGCTTAAATATCATTGTCCTCTTCAAAGTTCTTATTGCATTGATTATCATCATTTTTTTCTATTGTTTAAAAAAAAAGATAAAAATAAAATTTTCAAGCATTTGTATTTCATTATTGTGGGGTTTCAACCAAAATTTCTTGTTGCGGGTTATGAAAAAGTCCAAAGGGATTTTGTCTACAAAAATGTCTAACAAAAGTTCCTGGGAGGCAAAATTTTTTTCCCCAGCTATTGAACATATTCGCGGAGTAAAATAACTAAAACATTTCTTTGGTGGATGGTGCACACTCAGTATCAGAGAAAACGGTGCAGGAGTTTCGCAATTTGCGAGAGTACCAGGACTGCTGAACTGCTGCTGATTTTTTGCCACTCATTCAGCAGGCTTGCGGAGATCCATTATGTGCACCTTATGGATCCATCACCTCAGGGGGCTTGATTGATCTATAATGGATCCATTATGGATCCTTATGTTATTGCCTGTGGTATCACCTTGGAAATAGTCAAAAACATGTTTTCAAGAAAATCTGATGATAAAATTTCAGTAAATATCGCCAAAATGACCTAAACCCAATTTTCTAGATGGTCTTACTGAAGACATCAGTATCGATCTTGGGATTCATGAAATTTGAAGGTTAAGGTCGGAAATGAAAGATAATGATGTCTAGTATAGTGTTCCAACGGCGTGGCGGCGCGGCGGCGGCGTCGCGCCGCCGATTCAATTTTTTGGCGGCGTGGCGGCGGCGCGCCACGCCGCCACATGGGTACGCCGCGCCGCCGTTTTTGAAATTCGGGTAAATGTCTTCAAAAGTCTGTTCCGCAACGCAAACCTGTCCAAAATGTTGCCCGTGCTTGAAAACCACAATTTCAAAAAAAAAATTTTTTTTGGTCGAACTATGGTTTTAACAGTAATTTCAGGTCAAAGGGGTCTCACCACAATGCTCCCCGTATCAAAAATTCCAACAAACTTCATTGTGTGGCCAATCCACAAAACTTTTTTTCAATCATTATCGGCGAAGCGGCGCGCCACCACGCCGCCACCTCATTTTTTCTCAAAGCGGCGCCACGCCACGCCGCGAAACGCCGCCGCGCCGTTGGAACACTATTATGTCTAGTCATTTCTGCAAGTTGATTTTCGGTCAGAAACTCTGTATTTTCGAAAAGAAATCAAGGAATACTGAAAAATTGAAAATTCTGAAAAAGTCGAAATTTGATGATCTGATCCGATCAAGAAATTTTTTCATCTATGGAATTGATGCATATAATCAGATTCAGCGTGAAAAATAACCCCTGAAAAGATTCGGGTCAAAATTCGACAGTTTCGAGTAAATTTACTCGAAAAACTAGTTTTGCATATCTTTTTGGCCAGTACTGTATTCTGAATGATGAAAAAATATTTAGAAACTGAAATAAGCACAAATAAACCGATAAATTAGCTCAAAAAAGATAAGATGTGCAAAGTAAATTTATTGGGAGTCCACTCTCCTTTCCACATATCAAAATGTTCTTCATTCTTTTTTTTTAACGTATCATATGTTTTTTTTTTGCAAAAATAAATGTTTTCAACCTTTTTGTTTTTGTCTTTGACATGATATGGAACAATTCAATCAAATTGAATGTATTTTTTATTGACTTGACATTTTGGTTTTATTTTCTACATATTTTTTTTTATGTTTATTCTCGAGATTTTCTGTCTAAAAACTTTTGACAAACTTCTGACTTTTTTTGAAAAAAAAATCCAACAACAAATTAACAAATTTCCGAAAAAAAACATCAAGGTTTTTGAACAAAAAAATATTGAAATTTTTGTCTTAAAATGTTTAAAAATATTAGTCTGAAACTACATAGAATTAGTTTTTGTGAAAAAAATTCAGGCTTCAAATTTTCTGTCTGGAACTTCTTGAAAATTCAGGCTGAAGATCATAATAAAAATTTTCAACAAAAAGAGGTTTTCAGCCGAATTTTTCAACGATAATTTGAGAGATTTCCAGACAAAAAATCAATAAAACTTCTCTCTGAAAATCTCAAAGAATTTTTACAGTTGCCTGAAAAGTTTGATTCAACAATTTTCAGCCAAACGTTTCAACAAAAATTTCAGAGATTCACAGACAAACAGAATCTGAATTTTCAAACAAAAAATCAACAAAACTTCTGCCTGAAAATATCTGAAATTATGAAATGTAAAGTTTTTCGCCTCGAAAATTTCGGAATTTTAAGATTTTCATACAAAATTCAATTGAATTTTTCATTTTTTTTCCAAAACACAAAAGTCATGTTTCAAAAAAAAAAGATGTCAGAAAAATCTCATTTCAAAATGCTTGTTGTTTTTATTCTTGTTGTTGTTTATTTCTTGTCATTGGACCTATCATCATCTTCTTCCTCTTACAACATTCATTTCATTCTCTATCAAACAAATATCTTGAACACAATGGCGTAATTCGCGTTTCTTCTTCCAGATGAGATGAGATATTCAACAACTGTTTTCGTTTTTGCGTTGATATATAAAACAATGTATAAAATTCAACATTTACAAACTCTTTTTCTCGTTGTTTGATTACACTCTTATCATTTTTAGTTTTCATATTTTATGTGTGCGGTTATTTTGATAATTGATTATTTGCTTTTTCGATTGAAAATAATGAGACGAAAATATTTATAGATATTTTTTTTGGTCTAGAAAATTTTAAATTTTGAAATTGAGTTGCTCAGTTTTCAAATTTGTGTCTCTAGGCTTTGAATTTTTTCTCTTGTACAAATAATTCTTCGAGTTGGCAGAGCTTAAAATTTGTGAATTTACAAGAAAAATTTAAACTAGATGTAACTCATAACCATGAAAGATTTTTTTTTGAGTTTTGAATTTTTTTTCGGAAAAAAGTGTTCAAAATCTTCAACCATCATTGAATGAAAATAACTTTACAAAATTAATTTGATAAAAAATGTTGCAAAAAAAAGTTTTGAAGCCTGGAAGTCTGTAACTCATCTGAAATGAATTGAAATTTTAAAATTCGAATTTTAGAATCACACATGTTTTGTCAACTCTCCTAAAATCATTTAATTTGAAAAAAAAAATAAAATTTTGTGTCTTGTTTTTCCTTCGAAGATGAATCTATAATTCAAAAATATTTACTTCCTCACCCGCAAAAACAAAACTCTCTTCAGGTTTGCCCAAAAAATCAAGGCAAGATTGATGTCATAGATAATTTGAAATGCCGTATGTTGGTGTTGGAGCGCAGAAAGGTTTGTTCTTCGTTTTTTTTCCGTTGACCTGTGACAGCTGTGTTCTCACCTTTATATATCATTATTATTTTTCATTTTTCATTCCAGCTTCAACTAGCTTGACTGGCCCTCCGATGGTTAAAGCTTATATATCTATAACAGTTTCACTGTTATTTGTTTTATTGGTGGCGGCTGTTGGGTTACACCATTCTGAACGACGTTTCAATCATTTCAAGAGAGTTACGATTGAAGGTAAGTAATTTGTAGGCTCTCTATGTTCTCTAGCTTCTCTAGACTCTAACCTCATATGATTTTGAAATTTTTTAAAAAGTATATTTTTATTTTCAACTTTTTCCATTATTTTTATCTAATGTAAAATAAACCTATTTATTATCAACCAAACAACCAAGTCGAAAAAAAAATCAGTTGACATGTTTTATCTTCCAAATATCCTCATTAATTTTAACAACTGACCCTTTCGGTGGATAAATGAAAAATGAGCATCGAGCAAACTTTGGCTACTTTTTCGAAAACAAGGGTTTTGGAAAAAGTAGAAGGGTGTTCATGAACATGAAACTATGAGATTCTGAAAAAATTTTAGTACATTTCTCAAAGATTTTTTTCTGGAAGCTTTTCAAACATTAGTTTAAAAATTTCAAAGTTCAAAAAACCATTCAGATGTACTGTAATTTGGAGCTGTGTTTTTTTTCAGTCTTTTTGTTTATTCCCCAAAATTTCACGAAAAATCCAAAAACGCATTTCATTACTTGTCTGCGCTCTCTTCAGTGAACACAAACTCTCGCAGTCTCTTCAAGAAACAAACGTTTTCACAAAAAAATTTAAAAAAAAGTTGGTCGGCATGTGGGATTGAACCTTGGCCCCGCCCACTCCGCATGAAAAAGTTAGAGGCAGGTGAGACCTGTTAGTTGTCGTCGCACGCATAAGAATAAGAGGGGAGACGGTTTTTTACAAGTGATGTTATGCAACTGAATCTATCAAAAAAAAAAAAAAAAAGAAAACCAAGTATGCACGATTGATTGTTGTAATACAATAATTTTTTTGTTACTGTAAAAGTGGCAAAAAATTATTGTATTACAGTAGCCTTTCTTGCATTCACGAAAAAGGAGGGAAATCTAACAAAAATTTTTTGAGGTTTGAAAAAGTTAGAGTAACTTGCTCTTAAAGTTTGAGCAAAACTAAGTTGAGCTCATTTGAAAAAGAATTAGAACAATCCAATCAATTTATTTTTTCTAAAACCCCTCAAATTTTCAGATGTGCATCTCGAAGATTCCAAAACCCTAACAAAAAACATCAATTCTGAAAACATCAAGGAATATCTTCGAACTTTCACAAAAGATCCTCATATTGCTGGAACTGATGCGAATAAAAAAGTAGCCTATGCAATCGCAAACGCTTGGTCAAATGCTGGATTGGAAGATGTTCATACAATTCCATATGAAGTTCTACTTTCATATCCAGATTTTGAGAATCCAAATTCAGTCGTAATTCGAAGCAGAGATGGGAGAGAGGTTTTCAAAAGCAAGGGTGTTTCTCCAGTTATTCTTCCAGATGAACAATCAGGAAAACGTGAGTACATACTTTTGATTTTCAGAGAGAGATATATTGATTTTTTTTTTTCAGACGCTGGTCACCAATGGTTAGCCTATGCTGGAAATGGAAGTGTTTCATCTGATGTTGTCTATGTTAATCGAGGAACTGAAACTGATTTCAAAAATTTGAAATTGATGGGAGTTGATATAAATGGCAAGATTGCTTTGATGAGATATGGCCATGGTTTCCGTGGTGATAAGATTCATAAAGCTCAATTGCATGGAGCAGTTGGCGCGATTTTATTTTCTGATCCTTCAGATGTTGCGCAAGATGGAGAGAAACAAGGTGAGAATTTTGGGTTAAAGGAGCACGAGTAAAAAATTAGTTAGATTTTTTCAAATTAGAATCAAAACATTTTCTAGTCATCAAAATTTCCAGCCAACGTTTACCCAAAAACCGTCTGGATGCCAAACGAAGCTGTTCAACGAGGATCTTTAATGCATGGAGACGGTGATCCATTATCTCCATATTATCCTGCAAAAAAAGAATTATATAAATCGCGCACAATCGATGAAGCCAAGGAAGATCGAGTTCTTCCAAAAATTCCAGTTTTACCAATTTCCTATACAACTGCTTATCAAATTTTGAAACGAATGAATGGTAGACCAGTTCCATCTGATTGGCAAGGTTTGGTTGGTGGAAATTTGACCTATAAACTTGGCCCGGGATTTGTGAATAATGATCGATTGACTATTAATGTTCATAGTGAATTGCAAACAAAGTGAGTTGAACTTGGGAATTTTTAAAAACGGGGCAGAACTTTTGATAGAAGAAGTTTTTTTTAACTAATTCTTGAGAAGCTTCCAGAAAATTGTTAGGATTTTACTATTTCAAATTATCTCTGAATTTCTCCACATTTAAAAGTACGTTTTTCTCAAGACCTCAAAAAATTCTCGTTAGATTTCCCTCTTATTTCATGAATGCAAGAAAGGTTACTGTAATACAATAATTTTTTGCCACTTTTACAGTAACAAAAAAATTATTGTATAACAATAACCTTTCTTGCATTCACTTTATTTTCATCGTTTTTTTAATGGAAAAAATATCAATGCAATGTATCACTTGTAACAAACTTTCTCCTCTCTTATTCTTTTGCGTGCGACGACAACTAACAGGTCTCACCTGCCTCTATCTTTTTCATGCGGAGTGGGCGGGGCCAAAGTTCGATCCCACATGCCAACCATCTTTTTTCAAAATTTTTTTTTTGAAAACGTTCGTTTCTTGAAGAGACTGCGAGAGAAATAGACAGAAAAAAATCAGCGAGAGTTTGTGCCCACTGAAGAGAGCGAATACATAAAATATTTTTATCTGATTAGGGACGATTTAGAACTCAACTTAAGTTTAAAATGTTTGAAAATTTTTCCCAAATTTTGGAACGATGTCCTAGAATCTAAAAAAAAACCTCTTTAATTTTCTCCAACTCCCAAAAAACCCAGAAATTTTTCAATTTTCATTTTTGACACCCTGTCAATCTCACCACCCTGTCTGAAAAATTGGCTAATTTCTCAAAATCTTGCAGACGAATTCGAAATGTCATTGGTTATATTCATGGAGCCGAAGAGCCTGACAAATATATCATGTTGGGAAACCATTTTGATGCATGGGTTTATGGTTCAATTGATCCGAATTCTGGAACTGCAGTTTTGGCTGAAGTGGCGAGAGCAATGATGCAAACTATTAATGAAACTAGTTGGAGACCAGGTGTGCATTTTTTTTGATTTTTGATTGATCCCAAATAGAATGGTGACAATTTCACTTCAAAATTTGACAAATTTGCTAATTAGAGATCATGTTTTAATTAGTACAAGGATGTTTTTTTTTTTGACCAGGAGACAAATTTTTGATAAGAAAAATTCTAGTGAATATGTTTCTTGTTGCTTTTTATCTGTTCTCTTCAAGAAACGAACGTCTTCACAAGAAAAAATTAAAAAAAATTGGTCAGCATGCGGTATCGAACCTAGGCCCCGCCCACTCTGCATGAAAAAGATAGAGGCATGCGAGACCTGTTAGTTGTCGTCGCACGCAAAAGAATAAGAGGGGAGAAAGTTTGTTGCAAGTGATAATTATGTTATGAGTAATAGTTCAAAAAAAAACGAAAACAACGTGCATGCACGATTGGTTTTGTATTACAATTAATTTTTCGGCTACTATTTTAGTAGCAGAAAAATTGTTGTAATACAGTAACCTTTCTTGCATTCATGAAAAAGAGGGGAATCTAACATGAATTTTTTAAGGTTTGAAAAAATTAAGGAATTGTTTTCTGCAAAATATTCTCAAAAAATACAAAAATTATAATACTTTATTCCAAACATCGGATAATTATCAAAATAATTTTTAAGTCCAAAAACTTGTCTCGAGCTGATTGTGAGAGATTTTTTTATATTTTGAAAAAATCACGAGACCTGTTTTTTGAAAGCCATAAGAACCCCTTTTTTCCTGAACCCCTCCATTTTTCCAGCCAGAACAATTGTCTTCAACGCTTGGGACGCTGAAGAATTCGGTCTAATCGGTTCAACAGAATTCGTCGAAGAATACGTTGATATTCTTCAAAAACGAGCAGTCGTCTATATAAACATGGATACAATTCAAGGAAACGCCAGTCTGTTAGTAAAATTGAAATTTCCCTTTTTTTCTTCGCTCGAGTACTCCTCACATGAAATCAAATCAAATTCAATTTTCTTCTTTTCATCTCATCTTTTTTCTTCTAGAAACGTGGAGACAGTTCCCTCAATAGAATATATGGTCATTGAAGCGTCAAAACAAGTCGAAAGTCCATCAAAACGAGAAAAAGCGCGTGGAAGGAATACATTATATGATACTTGGATGAAAGTATTTCCAGACAAGAAAACTGGAAAGCCAAAGATTCGTGTGCCAGGTGGTGGAACTGATCATGCACCATTTTTGAATTTTGCAGGAGTTCCTGTGATTAACTTTAATTTTAAGAACTACAGTACTTTTGACACTTATCCTTTATATCATACTATGTATGAGACACCTTTTACAAATATTCATTTGATGGATACGGATAATTTGGCGGTGCATAGAGCTATTGGACAATATTGGGCAGAATTGGCAAGGTATTTTTTTTGGAGAAGATGATTCTCTAGCCTCTCTAGCCTCTCTAGCCTCTCTAGAATCATTAAATGTTTGCAGAACCTTTGCTGATGAAGTGATTCTCCCAATGAATGTCACAAATCTCGCTCAAATCATGATGTCATCATACTTACCCCAACTTCAAGCACAACTCGGAGGCTTGAATATCTCTAGAACTGATGCTGAAGCGATCCGAAATCAATTTGTTAATTTGAAAAAAACTACGACTGTAAGTTCAAGTTTGGAAAAGTTTTTTCATGATTTTTTTCAAGGACCTTTTTCATATGTCGAAAAAGTTTGAAGAGACAATCCACTTCACACGCCACAGTTTTTCTCAAAATCCATATGATCCGAAACATATCAATGGGGTTAATGACAGATTAATGAGGTTGGTTTTTTGGGTGAAGGAATTTTAAAATTTTGAAAATCTGATGTTTCATTATACAAATTTTGATCAAAAATATTCCGAATTTGGCGCAAAAATCAATAATCCTATTGTTTTGAAATATGAATTTGAATCTTAACTTCTCAATTTCACAAATTTAAAAAATTTTGAATTTCTGCTTTCAAATTTGGGTTCATAAAATTCTTAAAACTCTGAAATTTTCAAATTCAAATTTGGCCCCAAAACTTTCGATTGAAAATTATAAAAATTTGGAGTCAAAAAATTTTCAGGATCTTTTTTTTTTTGGAATTTTTCAAATTTCAATTTTTTTTTCCAAAAAATCCCAAAAAAAACCCTCGCTCCTTTCAAGTTTTGCCGACTGTAGTTTGCTTTCCCCCAACGTCATTCCGCAATCACTCAAGCCTAAAATTAAATCAAAAAATTTGCAGCATCGAAAAATGTTTTATCAATCCGCGAGGTGTTTCCAAACACAATCCATCTGCACGTCATGTATTATTCTCAGTCAGCGATTCAGATTCGTATTCGAATTCATTAATGGCAGGAATTGGAAATGCGGTGAGTCGCCAGGATACCGCATTTTACACAACTAATTATTCATATTATTATTATTTTTGAAACTAGAGAGAGGCTAGAGAGCCTAGAGAGCCCAGAGAAAAATGATATTTTCAGATCAACGACTATAACGAATCTCCAACCAATAAATTATTGCGTGAAATCATTAATCAAATTTCAATTGTTCAATATTCGGTGCTCTGTGTTGTTAATACACTCCGTGATGTGATTTGATTCAATTTTTTTTGTATAAAAGTTTTTTGGGAACTGCTTTGAATTGATTGCAAGGTCACAGGTTCAATTCCCGGTGCCCGCATTTTTTTTAGTAAAGAAAAAAACCCAAACATAACTTTATTTTGTTGGCAATAACATGATCTCAATCAATCAATCAATCAATAATTCAATCAATAAATATAAAAGTGACAAAAGTTGTTGTTTATTTTTTAATCAGACATTGAATTGGCGAATAATAACATGGTTTGAAACGTTTGATAATTGGATCTTTGATATCTGAAGCATATCGAATAAGACGTGGATCTTCATCAACAAAAAACAATGGATTACGTTGTTGTTGTTGTTGTTGCGGAAAATCTGATCTGCAAAATCAAAGATTTAAATTTGAAAACTTCTCCCCCTTTTCTCCGAGATATCATAAGTCTCAAGAGCAAGCCAATCAGTCCAGTGCAAATCGAATTTTCTCTAGTTCTCAAAATAAAATCATTCCTCCTCCCCTCTTTCCAAGTTCATTCCAACAAAAAAAAATAAAATTTCATTTCTAAAAAAAACTGATTGAAAAATAAGATTGTCTTCTCCTCCTATTTTTCTGAAAATCCGGAAAACAATTCTGGAGATAATTGGCTTCCAAAAATAATTAAGATTGATTTGGACCAGAAAAGTGCAAAAAATGGATAGAGACTGGGAGAAAGTTGTATTTTTAGAGAAGAACTAAAAAAAAAACATGTTTTGTTATGAATACACTCATACGGTTTTTTATTGGGCTATATAAAAAATTGGAAAATTTGTGCTGTTGTTTTTTTTTTGTTTTTTTTGCAGGGAAGGGGAAAAGGTTCTTTAGATGATATCTATAATTTTTCAAAGAAAAAAAAATTTAAAGAATTGAAATAAGTAAAAACCTTGAATTTTCCTGAATTCAATAGATTTTTGGCTACAATTTTCAAATAAGAGACCAAAATATAAATCTCCTAGAATCCTAGAGTCAAGGAGTCCCGAAGCTTCAAACTCTTCAGATTCAGAACATGATAATCTGAAATTTTCTGAAATTCCAAAAAAAAAAACTTCTAAAGCCTTCTGAAGCCTTCTGAAGCCACCAGAAGCCCTCTGAAGCCTTATGAAGCTTTCTGAAACCTTCTGAAGCCTTCCATAGCCTTCTGAAGTCTTTTGAAACCTTCTGAAGCCTTCCAAAGCCTTCTGAAGCCTCCAGAAGCCCTCTGAAGCTTTCTGAAGCCTTTTGAAATCTTCTGAAGCCTTCTTAAATCTTCTGAAGCTTTCTGAAACCTTCTGAAGCCTTCTGAAGCTTTCTGAAGCCTTCTGAAGCCTTCTGAAGCTTTCTAAAGCTTTCTGAAGCCCTCTGAATTCTTCTGAAGCCTCCTGAATTTTTCTGAATCCTTCTGAAGACTCCTGAATTTTTCTGAAGCCTCCTAAACTTTTCTGAAGCCTTCTAAAATCTTCTGAAACCCTTTAAAGTACCCTGAAGCCTCTTTAGGCCTCCTAAAGCCTCCTAAATCCCCTTAAACCACAAACCTGTAAACCGACGACGGTGCCATATTTTCTCTAGCCAAAACATTTTGAATCATCATACAGAACACAAAAATCGCGACAAATGTTTGTTGTGGAACCATTTTTTTTGTTCTCAAAACTTGTCTGAACAAATCCTTCGAAAATTCCTTCGAGGATGGGTGAGATATAAAATGAAGTGAATTCAGAAATGGTGGATTTATAAAGGGGGATCCTCCTCCTCCCTTTTTCTTTCTCGAGAAAAAGTGGGCGTGGCTAAATGACGTTCACAAGAAGAAGAAAAAGAAAAAATAGTATGTTTTTCGCTTCGCTAGTGGTATGTTTTTTTTTGGAGAAAAGAACTTGAAATGATTCATTCATGATTTTTCATGTGTTAGAAGCTTCGAGGAAGAAGCTGGAGCAAAATGCTAGAACAAGAATTATTTATTTTTCTGAAATTTTCAGGAAAAAAACATATTGCAAATGAGAAAAAATGAAATCTCTGGTGCTTTAGAACTTTTTGAAATTCCAAAAAATTTGAAAATAGTTCCTCCGAAAAATGATTTTTCGAAATTTCCTGTAACTCACAAAAAAAAAATAAAAAATTTAATTTTTTTGGGTACCCATTTGTCATCCCAAGCAAAAATTCCAAAAAAACCTCCCAAGAATTATTTATTAGTTTCCAAAATCACAAAAAAAAAGAAAAACATCTACCGGATATTGAAAATGACAAAAAGGCACAATATTTAAATGAATAAGACAAAAGTTAAGTATGTAAATAATCAATAAGCCAAAAAAAATCACTAGTTTGAGCAAAGCATAAAAATAATTAATAAATGAAAATTAAGTTATTATAAATATCGGATCAATATTTACATACAAAAGAAATTGTGAAGAATTGAAAAGTCAGTTAATACGTTTACGGTAAGTCAGAAATAATTATAAAAATTCTAAACGTGAAGTGGAAGGTTTGTGAAACAAACCTAGTGCGAGAAGTACACTATATTTTGCTCATTTAGGTGAGACAAAGTTTGATCACATGTGTGCTCTTCTCATGTTCCATTGACCCCATGGAAGCGAGCCAGTACGGTTGACTCGAACTGCTGGCGCCTGGTCGCGACACTGCAAAAAAAACATGGAAAATGTGTGTGAGAATCTTCTGAAGCCTTCTGAAGCTTCCAAGAATTTTCTGAAGCCTCCGAGAATTTTCTAGACCCTCCTAAAATTTTTAAAAATTTTCTGCAGCCTTCTGAAGCTTCCTAAAGTCTTCTGAAACCTTCTGAAGCTTTCGGAAGCCTTCTGAAGCCCTCACAAGCCTTCTGACGCCTCCAAAAATTTTCTAAAGCCCTCAGAAGCTTCCTGAAGCTTTCCGCAGCCTTCCGAAGTCTTGAAAATTCTCCTGAAGCCTCAAACATTTTTCGGAAGTTTCCAAAATTCTTCAGAATCCTCCAAAACTTTCTGAAGCTTCCTGAAGCTTTCTGAAGTCTTCTGAAACCTTGTGAAGCCTCCAAAAATTTTCTGAAGCCCATCAGAATCCCTCAGAAGTTTCCTGAAATTTTCTGAAGGCTCTGAATTCTTCTGAAGCTGCCTGACGTCTTGAGAAGTCTTAAAAATTGTTCTGAAGCTTTCTGGAATCTTCTGAAACCTTCTGAAACTTTCTAAAGTCTTCTGAAACCTTCGAAAACCTTCTGAAGCCTCCTGAAGCCTTCTGAAGCCTTCTGAAGCCTTCTGAAGCTTCCGAGAATTTTCTGGAGCTTCCTAAAGTCTTCTGAAACCTTCTGAAACCTTCTGAAGCCTTTTGAAGTTTTCCGAAGCTTTCTGAAAGTTCTAAAATTCTTCTGAAGCCCTCTGAAGCCTTAAAAATATTTCAAAATTGAAATTCATAGCGACTTAAAAATCTCCAGTTTCATATCTTCTAAAAAAAATAAAAATTCGAAATTAATTTTTTTCTTAAACTACTGTGTAAAAAAATTAAAGAACTACATAGACTTAAATTTCAGATCCAAAATAAATTTTTTCAAAAACTATTCAACTCACGAGGGTTGTCTGGCAATAGCTGTGTTGTGGGTATCGCTGTGGTCGATATTGATTTGATGAGTTTTGGTTGTGTTGTTGTGGATGTTGTTGGTGTGATCCGATCGTTGTTGTGTTTGGTGTACGTCGCAATCCTCGATTGTACGATTGAGCGGTTGGTGATGTGGTTCTGGTGGTGGTGTTGGTTGAGGATCCGTATGGGACTCCTCGATCGATGGGAGTGTTGCGGCCGGCGGTGGTGTGGGAGGTTGTATTGGCTGGCAAGTTGGGGTTGGTGATGGCGTATCGTTGCAAGTTGGGATGAGCTGCGGCTGGTTGAGAGTGGTTGCGCGCAATCCGCAAACCACTCGTTCGTTGCTCGAGCACCTGCAAAATTCCGGTTATTTTTTTTTCTTCAAAATTTTAAGTTTCCCAAAAAAATCTCCGCGAATCCCACGCATTTTTATTTCAGTGAACTTTGTTGACCTACAATTTTTTGAAAAAGAAACGAGAGAAAGCAAAAAATGAAAAGCCGTGCAAATTGAATTTAAATTCAAAGCACGTCGTAAGAATAATATTGTTTTGAACTCTCCCCCTCAGACACGTATATCTTTTTATTTTTTGGTCGGTCAGTTATTTACTGAAAGGGACTTTTTTTGGATGAAAATGAAGTGAAAATTGAGGTTTTTCTCTTCTTGTCAAGTTCGTTATTTTGTTTCTCAAAATTTTTTTCCAAAAATCCCAAAAGTTTTCACAAAAAAAAGTTGGTCGGCATGTGGGATCGAACCTTGGCCCCGCCCACTCCGCATGAAAAAGATAGAGACAGGTGAAACCTGTTTGTTGTCGGCGCACGCATAAGAATAAGAGGGGAGACGGTTTTTTACAACTGATAACATGCATGTATTTGTGATCCAAAAAAAAACAAAACGAAAACAACGTGCATGCACGATAGGTTTTGTAGTACAATAATTTTTTTGTTACTCGATCAGTGGCAGAAAAATATTGTATTACAGTAACCTTTCTTGCATTCATGAAAGGAGAGAAATCTAACAAAAAATTTTTGAGGTTTTGAAAAAGTTTGAGAAATTTTATCATGAAAAAAAATGTAATTTTAAAATCCTCCGAGGATTTTTCTGGGTTGAAGCTGTGTTTTTCTGTCATTTACAATGTCAGACTCCACCGAAATCCCTAATTTTTTGTATCAAAAATCCCAGTTTCACTAACTTGTCGGAGTTCGTTGACAAATCTGTGATCGGAAGACTGTGTTGGTTGAGGTGTTCGACCGAAGTAAATTTCCATCTCCTCGCCGGACCGCGTATGAAGTTGGCTCTGCAAAAACATCGCATTTTTTTTCTCCTTGTTTTGTGAAAATCAAGATTTTCTTGAGAAACCACCCAAACACAACAACAAAAAAAACAACAAATTGGAACACACGGCAAAAACACTTGATTGAAGTTTCGTAAGGAAAATTAGCTTTTTTTTAAACGAAATTTGCGATGGGAGAATAAAGAACACAAAATGTGAAGCAACTCAAAAAAAAACACTAACATGGTGGGGGCTCAGAGTTGGGGATTTAGCATAACTCGGAGATTTTTGAAAAAAAATCTGAAAAATTATTCTCCCAAAATGATACGGTATTTTTCTCTTCCCAACTCTGATAAAAAAACCATGTCTCATGTTAGTTTTCGCAACACACACACACAAAACAAACACACACGAAATTACCGGAGGAATGCCAATTTCTCGATGGCGTTCGCGTTCGTAAAATATTGGGGAAGATTTGAAGCTGAAGCAAATAAATCGAACAAAGAAGAAGCGATAGTTAGGAAAAGCTATTTTTTGTTTTTCTTTAATTTTTGAAATAAAAAAAACTGAAAATGTGTTTCATGCTAAAACTTACGCATTATTGTTGTTATTATAAGCTGGCGTTGAAGCTGGAAGCCCTGAAATGATTGATTTGCCGGGTAAAAGCTGGAGAGGGTTTGGGAGCAGCGTTTTTTAAAAAGGTTGGGTGAGGCAAGAAACATTTATCTGGAAAATTAGAAGCTTTTGGAGAACTTTGGGAGATTTTTTCAGAAGTCTGGAAGGCTTGAAATCCCTAGATGTCTATAAATTACTAAACTGGGATGTTAAGGGGCTTAGATATTCTGGAGACGCTAAATTACTTTTGGAAAATTGAGAATCTAATGCTCTTGAATTCTCGAAAACACTAGAATCTGAGAAGATCTGGGAAGCTTCTAGAAGTCTCAAAAGATATTCGAGGCAGACAAATTTTAATTCTGGTGACCCATATTCCAAAATTTACGGGGACGTTTAAATTTCTAGACGGCTTCAGAGATCCTCAGAAAGCTTCAGGAGGCTTCAGAAGGCTTCACACAGCTTCAGAAGATTTTAGAAAACTTCAGAACGCTTCAGGAGGCTTCATAAAACTTCAGAAGGTTTTAGAAAGATTTTTAAGGCTTTGGAAGGCTTCCCAACAAATCCCTGCGGACCTCAAGTCCCAAAAATCCCTTGGTTCAATATTCCAAAAATTCCCAAACTTTAAAGCAACACCCTCGTATAATAAGGCCATTGCGAATTGCTTTCAAACACGAAAATATATAAAATTAACCTATCCAGCTATACTCACAAGCAATATGAAAAAGAAATACTCAAAAACGATCAAATTTGACCACTTTTGAGAAAAAAAATTATTTTTTTTTGAAAATCGCCTGCAGATTGTGCAGATCCGCAATTTCATGAAATTGTGCAAACACTGTGACGACAATTGTGTGCTACAGTACCCTTTTCAACTTTTTTTCCACAAAAAGTGAATTGTTTCACTGAAAAAAATGAAATAAATTATTACAATGATTTCTGAACATCCTTGACTATCTCTACTTTCATTTTTGACTATGATATTTCAGTTTTATATTGCATATTCCGGTCAAAAACTGAAAAAAACACAATTTCCATTGAAAAATTTAGTTTTCGTCTGAAATATTGAATATTCGTGTTTATACTTCTTCACTTTATTTTTTCATACCCAGAAAACAGTTTTTTCCATGCAAATTGTCATTTTCCGAAAAAAAACGGAAAAATTTTGCAAAAAAATAAAAAGAAAACAACGAGACTCCGCGTTGACGCTAGCCCGCGTTGTTTGAATTTGAGTTTTTCAGTTTTTCAATGGGCTTCCATATTTCGTCGACTACTTATTCAAACGTTTTGAATTTTTTATCCGAAATAGAAAACAGTAAAACTAAGCTAAATCTAAGATTTGAGAACATTTGGGCTTTTTTCAAGAAAGTGCCTATTATACGAGGGTGTTGCTTTAAGATAAATCAAATTTCTCATCTCACCCTCCCTTTAAAAATAATCAATATTTTGAGTATTTGTTAGAAGGTGTGCAGTTATTGATTGATTTGACACAACTAATTCAAACTCACCCAAATATGAAGGAAACCATTTGCATGGTTTAAAGCGCACTGTACTTTTATTATCTGCTTATTATTTGCATGTGTGATTAAAATCAATAAATAAATAAATATAAACTAGGCCACACTCAAGCTAGCTAATGTAAAGCTAAAACTAAATTTCAAAAACAAAAAAAACATACCAGGCGGTAAGGGTGTATTAGGAAGTGGTGGTGGTGGGGGTGTCGTCTCATTGGTTCTCGCTTCTTGCGCAGCCGCTCCGCCTTCATATCTGGTTGCGCTACTTTTCCACGCGGGTGCACCCTCGAATTTTGGTGAGAATGTGAAATTTGTTGGTGAGAGGTTATAGTCTTTTTCGGGTAGCACTGGCAATTTTTGAGAAGAAGGCGAACATATTGGTGGAGAATTAGATGGTGGTGTTGGTTGCGGCTCTTCTTCTTCTAAAATCGGTGCGATGAGAAATTAAAATCATTAACAAAAAAAATGAAAGTGCAAATTGAATTAGAATTTCAAAAACAAAAATGGCAACTTACCTTCAGTTGTTTCCAGTGCCTCGTTCATCTCATTGAGTTCCTTTAACTCGTCACGAGTTATGACAGTTAGCTCATGATCTGAAACCACTGAAGAGGCAGTTGATCGACCACCCTGGAAAATGAGAAGGTTGTTGGAAGTTTTTAAAAATCATTCGGAATTTTTTTTGGAAATTTTGAATCGGACCTCAATTTTCATAAGCTTAACTTTTTTTGGAAAAATTTTTGGAAGCTTCCAGATTTTTCCTTCTTCAAATTGAGTTGTTTTTAAGCTCAAAAAATCCTGAAAATTATGGCCGGCTCAAAATTTATCAGAAAATTCCGCTTCCGGATTTATTTTATAGGCCATATAAGCCTCTAGATTTGGCCCACAAATCCTGAATTTTAGACTCAAAAATTTGAGACTAGAACGGCCCGAAAAGCCTGGATTTCAGGCCTAAAAATTTGAGATTTTTGAAGCCTAGATAAGCCTAGGTTTTGAGCCCAGAAGAGCCTAGATTTGGCCTGAAAAGCCTGAATTTTAGGCCTGGAAACTTGGAATTTTCAGAGCCAAAAAGGGAAGGTCCTAAAATATATTTTTCTTTCCCGAAAAATTCTCAAAAAATGTTATCCAATAATTTTCTAGAAAACTAGTAAAAACTTCACCAATTTATCCTAACTCCCAGCCTATCTCCTCTAAAATCCTACCTTATATCTCGATTGAGTTGAGCTCCAACTTCCAGAATCAAAATGTTCTTTATTGCTGTCATAATCACTAGTTATTGATTGGCTACGAGTGAAAATAACATCTTGTAAAAGAGGTCGATTGGCAGCTCGGACAGGGCGGGTTTTCTGGAAACAAAAAAAAATTGGAAGTCTAGAAAGATTTTTGAAAAATCAATAATTTACCTCCATGATTTTGGTTTCACCAGGAATAACTTCAGGTTGTTGTTGTTTTGGCGGAACAGATTGCTCCCATCGTTTTGCTCTTGATTTCACACCAATATCAGGGCGTCTTGTGGTTGAATCTTCACCAGATGAATCGAGTGATGAAGTTGAGCAGTGATATGGTTTTTTGATATAGCTGGAAATTTTTTTATTGTTGTTTAGGAGATAGTTTTGATGTTTATGAGCTACAAAATCTCTGGAAACTGTGAAATTTTAATAGGCAAAATTCAAATTTATTTTTGTTCAACTTTACGCCAGAAAAAAATGAACAAGAAAAATGAGAAAACATTTTCTTCAAAATTCAAGTTTCAGAGAAAAAAAATAAGAAGGATTACAGATATCAGGATTTTTTCTTGGATAATCTTTGCTCAAACAATTAGCCTAACTTCAAATCTCCCACCCTCAAAAACCCCCACCTTATCCGCTCCTTCTTATTAATCGTTGTCAAATCAGCAGTCCTCAATGTATTCGATTGTGCAATGCTAATCGTCGACGCAATTTGAGCTAACTGCTCTGGCGAAATCGATAAATTTTGGGCTTGATTGGATGTGTTTGGTGGTGGCGGGTTACTGAAAATATTCATTATTACAAAAATTGTTTTTTTTTTCAAAAAAAAAATATATTATTTAAGATTACCTTTTGTTTGCCTGTGAAACTGCTGCAGCAATGATTTGAGTGAGGGTTTGAGCATCTAAGGATTCTTGTTGGTGTGAAGGTGGAGGTGATTTTACTGTCATTGGCATCGAATTTCCATTCACTGTAACAGAATTTTGAAAAATGCAAAAAAAGGTGTCTCTAGGTCTTCAGCTTCTTCACTGATTTAAAAATTTAAAAAAAAATTATACTTCCCAAGACTTACACAAACTCATAATCATTGGAACCTTTTCCTTCACCATATCCAAAGCCACCAAATTAACAATTGCAAACCAGCACGGCGTTCTATTCATATCTCCACCCTCTTTCACCAACGCCATTCTCATACAAGTTTTCAATAAAAGTGTTCGAGCATCTGAAGCATCGTGTAAATCACGTTCTAGAGAGTGTTTGAATTTTCTCATGTCGAAGACCTGGAATTTTGAAATAAAAATTCAAAAAAAATTCACAAGATTTCTCTCACCTTGTATGCTTTCTCATCCTCATTTGCCACATGGTTCAACTTGCCGTGCAACCTTACTAATCGATCAGAAATACAATTATTTCTTGGCTCTTTCCATCCTTGGCAAAAAATCGGCGTTGCTCCGCGAGCCATTCCTTTGATGTTTCCTTGATAGTCCATTTTTAAAATGACACCCTGGAAAATAATTTAAATTTTTTTCAGTTTTTTTTCAGTTTTTTTCTAGCCTAGATAATCTTGGAAAACTCACATCTGCAATTTTGGCTCGAATTTCTTTTGTATATTCATCTCTGGTCAAATTTTCGAAATGATTGAAACCCAATGTTCTTCCATCAAATTCATCTTCTGATCCATCAATAATTACAGTAGTTTTTCGTAAATACGCTTTCGCAACCCGTTTACATCTTTCCATTATCACAATTTTTCCCCATATTTCATCGTCAATTGCACCTTCGCTTAATTTATTTAAAACTTCTTTGACTTGATCCTGGAAAATAATGAAAATTGATTTTTGGAAATTAATCTGAAAAATCTGAATTTTTTGAATATAAATGTGGCCCCAGAGATCCCAAAAATTCTGAATTTTTTGAAAAAAAAATAATGAAAATTGTAAATTTTTCAATTTCGAATTGAAATCCAAAAAAGTTTGATAAGTTACAGAAAATTGTGATTTTTTTTTGGAGCCAGAAGTTTGTTAAAATTTTTCTTGAAGTTCACAAAGGTAAAGTCTGAGCAAAAATAAGTTGAGCTACATAATTTGAAAGAGCATTTTCTAATTAATAAATTCCTTGAAGGATTTTTCTGGAATCTTCTCAAACATTAGTTTAAAATTTAAAAGTTTAAAAATGTGTGAAACACCGTGTAAAATGTCTCGATGTACAGTAGTTTGGAGCTGTTTTTCTCTGTCAATAACAATTTTTTTTAAATTCGTCAAAGGCTTTTTTTAAATCAGGAGACAAATTTTTGGATAGAAACTTAAAATCGATATTCATGTCAGACTTCACCTTTAAGGTCTTCAAGGTTCTGAAAATTCTTTAAGATTTCCTAAAGAACTTTAAAATTATTTTCAGAGAGTTCAGGGATTTTCAAAAGTTTTCAAGGTTCTCCTAAGTTTTTAAAATTCTCGAAAAATTCTCTAGTGTTAGACCATTGTTTCAAACTACAAAAATGTGACGTCATAAATTTCTAATTACCCATTTCATTTCTCTCTTCCCAAATAAGAAAGTGCTCCTCTTGTTCTTCTATTTACCGCTTTAACATCAACAACAAAATAAACCCATTCATTAACCGTGTTTTTTTGTGCTCCCCCAATTTACTGTGTCTGACAATGTACACACTGTACACATACAAAAAATACCAGACGGAAGCTACGTGAAATTTTTTTGCTTCTGCTAAGTTTGTTTGAAACCTAAACTAGTTTTTCCATGGCGAAATTTTTTGCGCTCTTCTTCTTTTTTTTCTCGCATGTGATGTGTCTTTGGCCAAAAGCTGCCGTGGTTTGTTGTGTAAATAATGAAATGCGGGTGGTCGGTCATGTTAAGAAGGAGAAGAAGAAAGTGATTTCACTTTTTTTGTTGCTCTACGGAAGGAAAATGAAAAAAGTTTGTTTCAATACAAAGACAATGGGAGTTTTTGTCTAAATATAGAAAATTCTGGAATTTTTTTGTGGATCGATAAATTTTTTTACAAATTTCTAAATTTCTAGAAAAACATCGATAATCATAAGCCTGTTATTTTTAAATTTGTAATCAAATTTGGAGAGAACAAATTTTGATTTAATTAAGTAAAATTCGAGATTTTTCGCGCTGAATTTGTATTTGAAAAATCAAAACTTTCAGCGCAAAATTTTATAAATCTAGATTTTTCAGCACATGTTTTTTTCAGAAAAAACCCCATAAAACTGATATTTTTATGTGAAAATTTAACTGACTTTTTGAAATTGTTAAAATCAACTTGGGAATTTTTTTTGTTTATCCTCTCACTTCACGCCAGAAAGACAAACAAGAAAATACGAGGGATTTTCGAAATTTTGACTTCAAAACACAAACTTCATTGAAACAAATTAGGAATTTTTCAGCGAAGAAAATTCGGGAGAAAATAAATTCTAATTTTTCAAATATCTCCAAGTTACTCCATATTTTCCGAAAAAATTCCAAAACCTTTTCCCAATTATCAAAAGCTCGTGACTTCACACTTCTCCCTAATCAAACTATACACAAAAAAATTGAATCGTCAAATTAAATTCGCGATATCTCCACTTATCTTTTCATTGACTATCAAATGCATTTTGTGCGGTGACATTTTGTCGAAAAAGAGCAAAACACTTGATGAGAACTTCTTCTTCTCGCCTGGAGTGTTGAGGGGAAGAAAAAGAGAAACAGAAAGAAATTTGAGATATGTATATGGAAGATACTTGAGAAATGGAATGGAATGGAATTTGGTGTATAAATGAAATGAGAATTTGTATACATTTAATTAATTAATTATATAATTATGAGGTGGAGTTAGGGTAAATTCAAAAATTGTAAAAGATTCTGACACAAAAATCGATTTATTTGAACCAGTTTCCAATTCGAAAGTTTACACGGTGCTTCACTGTATTTTAGAACTTCAAAATTTTTCAACTGATCTTTGAGAAGCTTCTGAAACCTCCAAAAATCTATACATATCCTAAGAGCTGTTTAGAGTTACCCTAACTTCTTGATCCCTCCCTAACTCACCAGTAAAAATGAATCTGTATCATACCAAGTATCGGAATTCGGATTCGTTTGTGTTCCATGAACTAGCGATGATCGAGAAACGCCATTTTCCATTTCTCTGCAAAAATTTTTGGATTCTTGGGAATTTTGATAGTAGAAATGTATATATACTTGGAAATTTGAAAAATTGGAATACAATTTGAAAAAAATGAAACGTCTCCAGAAAAAAATTTCAGAAAAAATTGATTGATAAATTTAAGAAAAAGAAATTGATAAATTTAAAATACCAGAAAATTTTGAATAAGAAATTTAATTTCAGAACTCAATTTTCATTGAGAACCAAGATTTTTCAGGACCAAAATCCAAAAAAATTAATTAACTATCAAGTTTTATTAGGAAAGTGCATCAGAAATCGAATTCAAGAGAATTTTTCAAATCATCAGTTTCATCGCTACAAAATTTTTTTAAGAAAAAAATTTTACCGCAGATTTTTTTGTAAAAAAAAAATCTGAAACCATTCGACTACCGGAAGAATTTTTCAAGAATAAAAAATTTGAAAAATACCTTTTAGAATCATCGGTTTCATCAGTCCCAGTATCACGTATAGGTTGACCTGGGTCATAAGGTCGATGCATAGCAATCCCAAAAAGTTACTAAAACTCGAAATAAATAATTCTTCTCTTTTCTTTTCTCGCCTACAGAAAAGACGATTTTTTCTTTAAGTTGGTGACGGCAATGAGCTGTCTAAACTCTCTACAAACTCAATGCTATTTCGATACAAAAGCTTCGCGGTTTCCGGACGACAATTGCCACGCCTATTTTCTCAACGTCTCTCAGGTATCAACACTATTTCGGTGTGTTCGACGGCGGAAAAGAGAATTTGAGAGGAGCGAAAGAAATGAAGCACGCGAATTTTTTTCTTGCTGTCAACCAACCAATTAAAGGGGACCAGATATAACACTTGTTTGACAAGCTCAAAAGTTTTTTTTGCGAAATTATGTAGTTAGATCAAGTTGGATAGACTAATGAGAAAATTGAACAAAACAAATATCAGCTGACAGACAGTGTTTTGTATTGGAAGGAAATGAAATATGATATTTTGTGGATCGAAGATTTCGAACAATGAAAAAACTGTTGGACAATGGTTTCGATGACGAGATGTTTATTTCTTTTGATGAACAGAGAACAGAAAAATTGGGGGAGAGGAAGGAATTTCGAAATAGAATAAATAGAGTGTAGTTTATTTTTCTTTTTTTTTGAACTGAAGAGGTGATTTAGGCTAACTATAAAGAACGCTTAACTTGATCGGAAATGCCTTTAAAAATTGAAAAAAATCAATAATTTTACTACACATGGGAACTTTTTCGACGTTTTCATTCGAGATCTGAATATGAGTTATGACGTGGCAAAATTTTAACTTCAATGAATATTTTTAAAATTATATTTTCTAAAAATCTAATAGCATAATATCTTCCGAGAGAATAATTCTATGAATTCACATAGCTTTTTCTATAATGAGAAATTTTGAAAAATTAATCAGTGATGAAAGTTTCAGGTTACAGATTCTAGACTTTAACTTTTCTTAAAAGTTTGAGTTCTAGAAAAAATGAGCTCGAAATTTTGAAATTTTGAAAAAAAATTTCAGTTCAAAATTTTTTATTCGCAAATTTTGAATTTGCTTCAAGTTCTCTAATTTGATCTCAAAAAACAAACCAAATGTTCAAACTACAAATCCAATTCAGAAGACCTCCCAAAAAAAAGATCAAGGTACAATGTATATTTGCAAATGAGCTCAAGATTCACAATGTTCAACTCGTAAGCAAAAATTAGAACGCATCGTAATGCTTCAGCGATTGTTGCCGGGAAAATATAATCCTCTGGGAAAAAAAAGAGAGGAGAAAAAACCGGCGGCACAACAAAAAACATAAAGAATTACAATTACAGAGAGCACATGACTGTAATTGAATGAAAAATACATATGTTTGAACATATGAACTCACTGACACATTCATAAATAAAACTTGTTCTAGTCAATGACTAACTAACTATATGTACAATGAGAGCAGAGCAACATATGTGCAGAGCAAAAAAAAACACGTTTGAAGAGAAGAGTTTAATGAAACGAACAGTCGGATGAAAAAAATGTGTGTGTGTTCTTTTGTTTTTTTGTGTGCGTGCTCTTTAAGTGGTTGGAATGTAGAGGTGTTCGAAAGATCAGGTGGGAGAGATTGGACTTGATGAACTTCTGAAGTTGGGTTTAAACAAAATCTGATTAGAATTTGAAAAAATTGGAAACTTCTAGAATATTGAAATTTTTTATTTTGAAAAATACATAGTTTTGTAGTTTGCACTTTTGTGATAGAATCTGATTCAAAAGAGAAATTGGATTGAACTTCTGAAGCTAACTATGAATCTTGAAATGTCTAGTATGTAGTTTGAACTCTGCTCTATTTTGTAGTTTGAACTCAATTGTACAGGTTGAACATTTCTGTTGTGTAGTTTGATCTGCCATTTTTCTCAAAATGTGGTTTTGAGCTTGAACTATAAGCTCAGCCTTTTTCAGAATCAAATCCTAAAGTTTAAAATTTTTTGAACCAAAAAACTCAATAAGAATCCCCAAAAATCTCCCAATATATTCTCAATCAGATCTTTGTTTCTGAATCATCTTGAACTTTTAAATAATCTCTCCACCCACAACATCAAATGCACTTGGAAACAAAACCTATAATTATAGTGAGGTGAGCAAATCATTATGTGATTTTGTTTCTAGTCTGAAGTCAAAAAAAAAGTCAAAAAAAAAGTCAATAAAAATTGATGGTCGAGCTGGGCTTTTATTGAAAATTGGAGCTCTATAACTTGGCTAAACTTGAACTTAGCCTAACTTAAATTGAATTTGGTTCATTGGATCTATGAACTCCTTGAGCAAAATCTTCTTAGGCCTAAAAGATTCCCCATTAAAGGTAGCACTAAATGTCTCTATGTTTACAAAAAAAAGTCCAAAAAAAGCGAATTAATAGAATTATCAGACTCAAAAAAAAAAGTTGTCCATGCGCGACTAAAACAAAAAGAGACAATAAGTGCAACTCCATAAAAAACTAGGGAGTGTAAACAAAGGACAAGAAAGCATCTCTTTCCGCGTGAACCTTTAGATTTTTGCTCATCATCTTCACATTCCATTCTTCCTCTTGCTTTTTTTGTGCTAACTACACTTTTTCGCGCATTTTTCCGCGCACTAAATGAGTCGAGTCGAGTCGAGTTGTCACATATACACATTATTATATAATATGTGGCAAGCAACCAGAAATCTATTCATTTTTTGCGAGAAAAACTTTGGCAAATAGATGATACACGTGCTGCTGCTGCTGTGTGTGTAGTGATTTTTTTCTTCCGCGTGCGGAAAGCAGCGGAAAGAATTCTCAACTTGCTCAATTTCATAATTTTTCTTTTGAATTTGACATGGCTGGTTGTTGACATTGGGTCAATAAAAGAATTATGAAAAGAGGAAAATCTGAATAAAAATAAGAGGAAGAGGGGATTTGAGAGTGCTTTGTTTTTTTGATGTTTCAAAATAAACATGAGTCACCCTGGTTTTTGAGGTGAAGCTTAAAAATTTTGGGTGGAGCAAGGTGATTCTGTATGCTGGTTTGAATAAAATTAGGTAAATTTCAAAAATAATGTTTCAAAATGAACATGAGTTACCAGACTTTTGAGCTAAAACCTAAAAATTTTCTACTGAGCTTCCCGTAGGCCTTTTTTCATTAAGTAAATTATTTGAAAACTAGGTGAATCAGGATTTTGAGAAGCCAAAGTGAGCCTTACAATTACGAAATCTGGCCAGAATTCTAAGTGATTCAGTTTTCTTATTTTTAAAATTCATAAAAATTAAAAAACAGTCACAGAAAATGAGAAATGAACATTAGAAAAACTTTAAAACAAATTTTCAGAAAATTTTTTCAAGAATTTTGAAAAAAATGAACGCGTCAAACAAAAAAAAACAAAGAAAACCTAAAATAAAACTTGTACAAGAAAAAAACAAAAACACATGAAGGGTAGTGTTAGGTTAGAGATGCAGAGACGCAGAGATGAGGAGTGTGTTAGTGATAGAGAGGGAGAGGGAAAAGAAAACTATTTGAACCATATAAAATATATATATTTATGTAACATGATTTTTATTGATTGATTGGGTGAAAACAAAGAATTTTTCAAAAGTCCAAAAATTTTTTGAAGTGACATTTTTCATTTTTATTTTTTTATCATTCAAAAATCAAAGTTTTGGCTGTAAATATATTTATTATTGCTGTACTGAAAAAACATAAGAAGCAAAATTCGGATTATTCATATTTTCAAGAAAAAGCTGGGAATAATACTATAAAATGGGGATTTTGAGCACTTCTGGTACAAAAAATCCCATGAAATCTTCTCTTGTGAAAAAATTCCAGAGGGGATTTTTAAAATTGTACCAAAGAGATCTTTGAAAATTGTATGAGAAAAAAAAAAGTATTGCTGTAGGAAAAGTTATTGGGAAAAAAAGCAAGGTGGTTTAGAAATGGAGTCTATCTCAAAAATTAAAAAATTTGGATGCAGTGAAATCGAGATTTCACTGTACCAAGGCACATTTATTTTTGAGATAGACAAGATTTCTTGTCGTACCTTTGTAAAAAGAGAAAGGGATGTGAGAAATCAAATCTGTTGGAGAATTTTTTGGCTGAAAATCTAAAACTTGAATTATTTCCATAAAATTTTTTCATACCTTGTGAATTTTAATTTGGAAAAATGGGAGAAGACTAGGATTGAACCATGTATGAAAAAAAGTTATGGAAAATATTATTTTTCAAGTTTTAGATTTTTTTTCTAAAAAGTAGACACATTTTTTTAGAATGCTAGAATTCTCTGAATATTTTCTCCAGAAGCTCAAAACTTAATTAAATTGAATTTAAGAATTTTCTGAAAAAAAATCCAATTTTTGAAAAATGTTCAAAAATTCTCAGAAGACTTGATTTTTCCTATCCTCCCCTCTCTAAAAAAATAAAAGTTAAAAAATTCCAAAAAAAAATTTCCGCTTATTGTTCAGAGCCCTCTTCCATGCGTTCTTCTTCACTAACATCTGGTAGATTTCGCACCAAACTTCCCTGAAAATCATTTTTTCTGTGATTTTTTAATGTCGAGATATTTTAACTCACCGATGCTCCAGCTTGATTCGGAGCCGCGTTGTTCTGAAAAACAAACAAATTTGATTATATTTTTGCCAAGAAGTTAGACTAACTCTTCCAAAATTGTTGACTGCATTTCTGTTGCGTGGCTCGGTTTGAGTTCCAACCGATGCTTGTCCACGGCGAGCCTGGAAATTTGTGAATTTCAGTTTTACATCTCTGAAATTCCAGATTTTTTTTGCCAAACCCACATTATTATGAACCCTTGGATGACGAATGAAGCGAGCTTGAAGATTCTGAAATATTTTATATGCAGAATTTTTTTTAATTTTCATAAAAATTCAATTTTCATACATTTGCAGCTCTTTGTCCAGCAAGCACAACACCACGACGATCTGGTCCACGGAATGGCAAGTTTCTGAAGAATCCCTGGAAAATTTGGATTTACCATAAGTCTGATTTTTTTGGATTGCTTACTCTGTATTCAATTGGTGGGATGTGAAATTCGACACGGTAAGCATCCTGAAAATTTTTTTTCAAATTTTGGTCTGTAATTTTAGAAAAGCTGCCAAGTTTCTGAGAAAAGATTCAGAACTTTTTCAAAATTTAAAAATATTTTTGAAAATTCAGAATTTTTGATCTGAAGTTTCTAGAAGATATATTTTTCATCGGACCCTGATCTACCTCATTATGCTCCTCATCCACAATATTCATAGCTTCATCTTCAGCTTCATCTTCTTCTTCAATGAGAGCAACTCGATCTTCAGCAAATTGCCGAGCTGGGTAGCGATTTTCAGGTCGTCCCATGTTTGGTCTTGCATTCTGAAAATTACAGATTTTTTTTGAGAGTTTTTTTTTGAGAGAATTCATTTATTTACCCGCAAATATTCTGGCATTTCTAATGGTGGAAGCAATGGATCAACATCGAAAGCGCGAACCATTCTGTGAATGTTCATGTTGACTGGTGGATTTGGTGATGGTGGCGGTGGAGCAATCATCTGGAATTTTTGAAGTTGGGTTTCTGGAGGAAAAATTTATGTTTTTAGTTGATGTTGAGAGACTTATCACGACTCAGTCATGAAAAAACTTCAAAGCTGAGCCATGCCAAATTCGAAAATCGAAAAATTGAGTTCTCAAAAAAGTTTTGAATTTTCATGAAATTTGAATATTACATAAAAAAGTTGAGATATCCTAACTCATAAAGCTTCAGGAAGGTCTAAAAACATCAGGAAGCTCCAAAAGACTTCAGTGAGCTCCAGGAGAATATGAGAAGCTTTGGGGAGCTTTAGAAAATTTCAGAAAGCTTCAAAAATGTTTACGAAACTCTAGGAATCTTCAAAAAGTCTTCAGAAGAGTTTAGGAAGCTTTGGAGCTTCTACAGGGCTTCAGAAAATTTCAGAAAACTCCAGGGAGTTTCAGAGATTCCTCTTTCACAAGTTATAACATAACTTTTTTTGTCAATATCATTTTTAACTCTTTTTATTGTATTCAATTTGACAAAAAACCAATAATTATAGGTTTCAGTTATCAATTAGAACTCCCCATTTTCAAAATCACATGTTCACAATGGAAACTTTTTTTTTCAAATCTTGAAATTCCTTTTTTATATCTTGAAAAGTCCAAAAAATGTGTCCCACGTCAGCGAAATTTCCTAAAAGTACAAATTGGTACCGTATTGAAAATATAAATTTTCCTACATATTTTTTATTTGAAAATGAATAACAGATGTTTGTCAGGTGTTGCAACAAATACGTGGAAACACTAAATTTGGGTGAAGTTTAGAAAAAGAAGAAAAAAGAGGAAAAAAATGGAAAATGATTTAATGTGAGTGAAATTTTTTAATGTGAGAACCTTTGTATTGAAAAAAAACATGGGAAAAAAGAGCGAAAAAAATAGAAGACAGTGCTTCTCAAAGTGTAATAACTTACCAAAATATTATGTTTGCTCTATCAAAATTTTTTTGTGTAATTTTTGTTAGAAAAATGATCGACTAATTAATTTTTTGACTTTTGAAATTTTCCAGGAAAACGAAACCAAGAAAACTTCGAATTCTGCAGTTCAAATTGACCTCGAAAATCGGCGTTTTTTGATTCCAAATATGACTAGGTTAGGGTTACTGTAGATTACTGTAGGTTAGGGTTACTGTAGTTGTTTGCATCCAGAAAAACTTGCCGTTTTTTGACACCAAGTACGATTTGGATTACTGTACATTTTTCTTCTAAAGCTTCCTAAAATTTTTGCCCAAAATGTGTTGTTTTTGCCACTAGAAATTCTTCAGATTACTGTACATTTTGGCGCCAATAAGAACTTTTTTCGAATCTTTCTGAAAATCCCTAGCTACAGTATACCTTCCCAAAACAAATACACCCCTCACAAACCACAATTTTTTCTTCACCCCATAAAATTGGAATTTTCAGTCATATAGATGCTCTAAAAGCTTTTACTTATCCTAACTCATTATTTTTTCAAAATGAGCTGAGCCTTGAAAGGATTTTTATGAGTAAATCTCTTCAACCCACACTGTGGTGATAGATGAGGATTTTTGAGAGACGCAGAGAACGTTGACCGACATTCTAACGGGATACGCTAGGTGCTAATCGGCGCTTCGGAAAAATTGTATTTTGATAGCACAGCGTGTGAGCAGCCCCTGATGAGAAAGCTAAAAAGAGCCCCCCCCCTCTTCCAAAAAAAATTTTTGTCTGAAAACTAACCGGCTCAAAATTGGCTACTCCTTGTCTGACAACTTGATCCACAGGCATCGCAATTCTTTGAGTTGGCCGGCGATTTCTCCGAATCGACATTCGTCGAACCAGCGGGCTCGGATCATTTTCATTCATCTCACCGTCAGACATGAGCAATATGTAGATCTAGAAGAGAAGAGAAAATGAAAATCTGAATGTGAATGAAATTTGAATATGAATATGGATATATGAAAAAGTGGGCGGGGTTTGAAGAAAAAAAACGGAACGACAAATGTTTCGTGCCTCCCAAAAAAGGGGAGTGTCCTTTTTTATAATGAAAAATTCAGATTTTTGTCAGGAAAAATATTGAGTGACATCTTGTGATTTTTTATTTCTCACATTCAAAAATAAATTGAAACAGTAAAGTGAAGCAGAAAAAAACTGGGGTCAAATGAAAAAAATAAAAACAAAAAATAATTGGACAGGGAAAAAAGAGAAAGAAAAAAGCAATAGAGACATGAAGATCTTCTGAAAATGAGATACTGATTTTCAAAAAAAACTAGAAAATAAAAAATCTAAAAGAATCTTGGTGGTGGTGGAGCGTTGTCGTCGTTGTTGAAGCGGCGTTTGGCGAAATCCTGGAAAAATTTCTTTTTTGTTTCAAGCTGTCCTAATTTCTCTTGAAATTTTGAAAGAAGTTTCTCAGTTTCAGTTTGAGTTTAAATTCCCCAATTTTTTTTTAAATCATTATTTTTCTTTTTTAAGTTACCTTAAGTTTGTCTCAAAATAATTTTGAGAATTTTCAAATTAACAATAAGCGTCTTAATTATAACTGCCTTAAGCTCTAAATTATTTGGAGTTATTCTAAATTTCAAGATCCTTTAGGGTTTAAGGTAATTTAAAATAGGTTCTTAACTTCAAGATTACTTTAATTAATAAGCTCTCAAATTTTTTCAGTTTTAAAAAATTTAGAGCTCCCCTGGTTGTTCTTTAATTCAAAATTCCTTATCTAGCCCTCTCAGCTTCTCACTTTTGACTAGTTCCCGTAACTTCTTAAAATTTTTTCACCCCCCCCCCCCTTTTAAGCCTCAAAATCTCTTCCAGACTTTCGAAAAAACCCAAGTCATGAGAATATTCTAATAATTATTATTATACTGAAAAAAATTGGTGTGAAATATATAATGCCCCCTTCCCTTCCTCAAGAAATTTCCAATTCCGACACAAAAAAAAAAAACATTTTCTCACTTTTTTTTGCTCCCCAGAAAAGCAGCTTTAGGCATAGTACTACTACAATTCCAGGTACAATTTTCATCGTTTTCTAAAGTCTCGAGAATATTTTTTTTGTAATAAAAAAAAGGGGGAAAAGTGTATAGCTAATGAGTACAAATATGCTTTGGTTTTTGGTTTTTTAATTAATTTTTCCCCAGAATTTTTCAAAACATATTTCAAAAATCAATCCCTTTCGTTTTTTTGGCAGACAGTAGTAAAAGCGGAATATTTTTTGAGGAGCTTTTTGTGAGATAGAACTATGATTCATACTCCTTTGTTCTTTTCTTTTTCTTTTTTTTCGTTTGGAATTTGAATGGAAAACAACATGAGAGTCAGGTTACGGTAGTGAGAGATAAATTTTTGAGAGAAAAATTGATGTGTCTGGGAAAAAAAAGAATATTTGTGTATACATATTTCTGTAACTCATCTGAAAATCAATACTAATCTCAGAACCCGGTTGTTTGAGCAACCGTAATTTTAACGAAAAATTGGAATTTGAAAATGTGTAGTTCTCGTGGACAAAATTGAAAATTCAAAAAATAAATTGAGTTTCTGAATTTCTGAACTTTCAAAAACTTGTGTAGTTCTCGAGAACAAGATGAACTCTAGAGGCGGGAAATCAGAATTTTTCAAGACTAGAACAATTTACAATTTTGCACCAGAAAAACTAAAAATTAATTTTTTTAGTGTAGAAAACTTTACCTGGCTGAAAATTCTTCAGAAACTTTTGGTAAAGATTTCCTCTAATCAGTTCAGACCTAATGTTAGACATATCAAAAGTTTGAGCTACAGTGTCTTCCAGACTACATTGTAGTCTTTGAAACTTGGGATGCCTCAAAGCCACTAAACACCGTGTACTTCTCTCGGAATTCACAATCTACATAATACATATTGACCTACTAATCCTCAAATTTTTCATAGTTAGCCTAACTCTTCAAAAAAACCTACCAAATAATCATTATTGCATCCATTATTCATTCTTTGATTCTTTCTCTTCCTCGGTTGTTTTTTCGGCAATTGATATGATTTTGTCTCTTCTTCATCAACCATAACTTCAACAGTCACATTTTGTGGAACATTTGTTTGTTGTTGTTGTTGTTGTTGATTTTGTTCTTGATGTTGTTGTGGTTGATGTGGATGTTGTGTCAAAGTCAATTGATTTGGTTGCACAAGTGTATTTGAGAACATCATTGTGAGATACTGAAAGAAATCAGAATCAGAGATAATTCTGGTCCCGTTTGAAAATCACTCACCATATTCCACATCAAAAAATGCATTGGAAATGGAACAGCCGGTGGAGGATACAAGTTTTGATTGTGAAGAACCTACAAAAAATATGTGATTTTTTTTTTGAACAGATGAAACACAGTTGGCATATGTTTTATTGCCAAAAATATAAAATAGAAAAAATTTAAAAAATAATATTTTGTAATAAAAAAAACATATTTTTTTATTATTTTTGAGTGGAGACAATGTGAAATTGAGAGAGTGCAGACAGATTTTTGTATTTTTTGTGCGAAAAATCAATTTGTCTGTCTGCACTCTCTCAATTCCACGTTGTCTCTACTTTTGTTTTTCTGCATAGGAAAAAATTTTTTAAATGTTTTTTATTACAAAATGTTATTCTGCATACGAGAAGAGGTTGCGAAAATTTTGGAAAAAATCAAAAAACTCACCACTGCTCCATTATTCGCATTATCGGGATAATTCGGAAACGCTGGTTGCGGTGGTTGTGGATTCCATGCTGGAAATGTTGGCACAGGCGGATTCAAATTCTGTTGTTGAGGAACTTGTTGTTGTTGCTGCTGCATACGAAGCGCTTCTTGATATTGCGGTGGCAATTGTCTTTGATATCGCCGTCTTTGTTGCTGCTGCATTTGATGCTCCAACATTCTTTGATTATGCAAAGTTTGCTGCAAACAAATCTCATTTTGCTGCTGTTGAAGTCGAAGTTGTTGTTGCTGTTGTTCAATTTGCAACATGTGTTGCTGATGTTGCTGAACAAATTGTTGCTGCGCAATTCTTTGTTGCTCCGCGAATTGTTGGGGAATGATTTGCTGTTGTTGCTGATTCATTTGTCCAACGAAATGATTTTGTGGCTGGATTCGACGCTGTTGTCCACCTCTGACGTTCCGAACATAGGCGATTCCTTGATCTCGAGCTCCGGCGATTTGCGGAGTTGGAGCGGGATATGGGCGGAATGCGGAAGATGATGAGTTGTTGGGGTTCATTTTTGGAAAAATGATGAAGTTTGAATTTCTGAAATTATATAGTTATAGAGTTACGGAGTTAGCTTATATCTTGGCTTTATAGATTTATCAAATTGTTTTTAGAATTTCAGAAAATGATAAATGTATCAGATTTACTAGGTAATCCTGAAGAAGTATAAAAAAATTCAAATTATTTTTTTTTGAGAATTTTGTTTTGAAAATTTGAAACTCTAAAAAAATTTCGATAATTTGTAGCTTCTCCAAAAAAAAAAAGCCAAACGCAAAAAAAGTGAATGAGAAAATAAAATAAGATAGAATGACACCAATGAGGGCGGAGCGAACAAAAAAGGCAAAAAAAAAGAAAAAATCTACATATGTCATAACAATTTGAATTAGAACTACAAAAATTTTGAACTAATTTCATCAAAAAAAAAAGCAGACAAGCACAAACAGTGTGCAAAATTTTTGGTGCCCAATTAAAAAAAATATCGAAAAATATTACAAAATTTTTGGCAAAAGAGAGCCAAAATGTTTTGTATTACAACAAAATGGGGCTATTTTTTTTAAACACAAAAAATTGTTTTGATTTTATTTTTTGATGAAAAAAATCTTCGCGGCAGATAAAGAAACAGTCATCATTTTTTTTTTGAAAATGGCCATTTTTATATGTTTTTTTTTATTTTTTCAGAGAAAAGAGGGGAATTGGATGGGGGAAAATATAGGATTTTACAGAAAAAAAATCAGAGGAAAATTGAGCATATCATTTTTAAGCCTGCTCTGGGAGCTTTCTCAAAAAAAAAGAAGCTCTGGGAGCTTCTCAAAAATTTTCGAAGTTCGAAAAAACAGTGAAACATCGTGTATAATGGCTTTTTCTGTATTGAATAAATATTAGAATTTCTAAAAAAAATAAGCTTGGCTTCCAAAAACCTCGACACATTTTTGTGAAACTATAAAATCTCAACTCAATTTCCAAAAATTCAAATTTCAATTTCAATTTTCTTTGTGTCAAATACAACATGTCCATCTTTCTTGTCTTTCAAAAAAAACCTGCCAAAAATAAAATAAAATAAAATCAGAATTCAGTTCAATCTAAATTGGATCTCGGCTTTGTTCTTCTTCTTCTGTGAGTGATGTATGCAAATCGGGCTTTTCAACAACAAAAAAACGGGGGCGAAAAAAAATCGTCTTATGATTTACTCTATTTTTGGGAATAGATACATAAACCTATTTTGAATTGGATTGTGCTGAAATTTATTTTCAGATTTGATTTTTCTGAAAACCTTCTATTGATTTCTAAAAATGAGAATGGGCCACCCACGAAGTTTCCGGGAAAAAAAATTTATGAAAAATGTTTTGGCCACAAATGAAAGGAATACTGTAGCTCTATGTTTTGGCGGGAAGCCAAAACTGATGTGAGAAACAAAAAAAAGCGGAAGGCCAAAAGTGTGACAAAAAGTCGGTATGAAAAAAAGGGAAAGATAGAAAAAGGTAAGATATTTGCGCAACTCTTGGTTGCTGGCGGCAAAATTCAAAAATGGAATGATTTTGAGTCATAATTGACATGGGAATTTTTGGGTTTGAACAAGAAAAAAGTTGTTTTGTTTCTATGTAACTCTAATAACCTTGAGATTATTCACAAGGGAACATTTTTGAAAAAAAAGAAAAGCAGGTGTGAAGTTAATGAGGATTTTTTCGGAACACAATATTTTCGAGGGACCTCCCAAATTTCTATTATCAAAACTATTTTCAAGGTGAAGTTTGAGCAATTTTCAAAGTGAAATTTGTTCGATAAAACTTTTGAATTCAAAAATTTTGATTTTCATGTTAGACTTCACCTTATCTAGTGTCAAAATTTCCAAAATTTTTTCCAGGGACCATTGAAAGCAGCAAATCGATCGATATCTCAAATACTATTGGCAAAAGTTAGACAAACTCTTTGCTCAAAATTTCAGAAAATTATTTTCCAAATTGATTGAGAAAAATTTCGAAGTTGCTACCGTTTTTCCAGATTTTCTGAATTTTTGAATAACAATTTTTCAAAGCGATATTAAAGATTCTCACCAAAATTGTAATAATTCAATTTTCTAATTTTGAAAATTTCTTTGTTTTGTTTCGTTTCCAACTCTAATAACCTTGAGATTTTTCACAGGATAATTTTTTATTCAAAAAAATAATAATAAAACCAGGTGCAAAATTCGGAATTTCAATTTTTATGAAACAATATATTGATATGAAACTTACAAAAATAAATTTTAGGACTTTCGATCTGGAAATGATCTGGAAATCAAGAATCTATGGGTAACTTGGCAAAAACTATCTGGAAATATTCAAGAAAATTATGGTATTCTAATACAGGCGGGAACAAACCGTGCAATCTTGAAAATTAGAAAAATTGTCTGCGTCTCAGACTTTTTAACATGTTTCTGGTTTCTCTGTTCCGTAACATCTAGAGATTGAAATTCTGTACCTAAAATTGTTACTGTAATTTTTCTCATTGTTGATTTTCAAAAAGAAATAAATTATATCAAGTTATTTTCAGTAATCATATCAATTTCATATTGAAATCTGAAACTTCTGAAAAGTGTTTATTTCCCCAAAAACTTCCAGTCATTCATTCATTCATTCCCTCAAACATGAATGCATTTTATCAAGTGAGATATGTGATGTTTCAATTGAGACTTGGAATTGCACTCTTTATTTTATTAGCTTTTCTTGCGATTGTTGTTGTGGGTAGTTTTAAAGGAGGATCGACAGGAGGATCGACAGGAGGGTCCACAGGAGGGTCGACAGGAGGAGTATCTAATATAACGGAACACGAACATCATCATCATCACCATCAAGATAAAAATACTACGCATAAGCATTATTTACGTGAGTTTGGTAAACATTTGAGAAATCACAACATTTTATTGTTTTTTTTCCAGATGGTCACAGGCATTCTGAAAATCCGCATTCGCATTCAAAACGTATGTAAACTTTTTTTTCATTTTCAAAAATTATTTTATTGTTAGATCATAATACGACACATCATCATATTCATGGAGGACATAAGCCACGTGAGTTTGTGGCTTTTTTCAAGTTCAAAGATTTTTTTTTTCAGATGGTCACAAACATTCTGAAAATCCAAATACAAAACGTATGTTTCAAGAAAAACTTTCTTTTCATTTTCAAAAAATATTCCAGATAATGGTCCGGCGCAAAATCAAGGAGGACACAAAAACAGTAATTTTCTAAAAATAAATAAATTATTCTAACAAAAAATATTTTAGATGATGTAGGTGGAATACTTGGCAAGTTAGGAAAAATGGCAGTAGATCGGGTAGGAGATGAAGTGAAACAATATATAAACAAGGCTATGGGTTTGTGATTTTTGGTCCAATTTTTGCAAAGTTCTGAAACTTCTATTTTCAGATGGCTCCAATAAACATGGAAAATCACTTCACAAAGGTCAGTTTATCGAACTTCAAGCTTTAGAATTTCCATGAGATTCTGAAAATTTGGTATCTTTTTCAGGTCATCATGAAAAGTCTGGCAATTCTCATCAGAAAAGTATGTTACTAGGAAAAATAAGATTTTGAGCTCGAAATTATCTGAAAAGTTTAGAGCCAACATGCGCAATGCTTCAATTTTTATCCAATATCGGAATTTCAAAAAAAAAAAAAAGAAAAAAACATTGCTCATGTGAATCAATAATGAATCCTGATACTCGACTAAAAATGAGATTACCAAAAAATTATTTCAGATCATCTTCCTGCACAAAATAGAGGCGGACATCCATCGAGTGAGCTTAATTACTAGAAATTCTGAAAATTTAGAGCCCAAACTTGGTCATAATTAGAAGCAAAATGCTCTAAATTTCGAGTTCTGATTCTCAAATTCAGTCATTTTTTTCTTGAAATTCTGAAATTCCATTTTTCCAGATGGTCACAATCATTCTTCTGGCCCACATCCAATGAGTAAGTTTCTCGAAAAAAAAACTAGTTTTTGTTTGATTTCCAAAAAAAAATATTTCAGATAATGGTCCAGCACCAAACAGAAATCATCCAGAAAATTTCAGAGGAGGACAAATGCCAAGTAATTTTTTTTGTTGCGGGAAAATTTCGCATTCAATTTTTTCAGAGCTTGGCGGGCGTCGTTCGGGTCAACCACGTCGAATGGCTCCCAGAAACGCTGGAAAATAATCTTTGACTTTTTTTTCAATGAAGATATTTTCAGATCATTGTGGCAAACTTCGAAAAATTTGAACAAAAAAAAGTTTTTTTTGTTTCCAACTCTAATAACCTTGAGATTATTCACAAGGGAACATTTAAACAAAAAAAGAAAAAAAAGAAAAGCAGGTGTGAAATAAATGAGGATTTTTTAGAAACACAATATTTTCGAGGGACCTCCCAAATTTCTATTATCAAAACTATTTTCAAGGTGAAGTTTGAGCAACAAAAAAAATAATGAGCTGTGCTCAATAACCTTGAGGGAACATTTTCGAGAAAAAAAGAAAAGCAGGTGTTGTGAAATTAGTGGGGATTTTTTAGGGATTTTTTCTGATTTTTGAATTTCAAATTTCATTTTTTCAAACAAGATTCAGGATTTTTGGAAGATTTCCTGCAAAATATAATAATTCAATTTTCTAATTTTGAAAATTATTTTGTTTTGTTTCGTTTCCAACTCTAATAACCTTGAGATTTTTCACAGGATAATTTTTTATTTAAAAAAAATAAAAACAGGTGAAAAGTTGGAAGATTTTTCAGTAACAAAGTTTATGAGGGACCAAATTTTTTTATCATTATAAAAAAAATCAATAAAGCCTTGATGCTGCAAATGGTCCTTTTGAAGTCAGTCGATGATGTGTAGTTACAGTTGATAATTCTGAAATTTTCATTTTTGATCTACCAAAAATCCTATTCTCCTAAAAAATACGAACGAAACATACGAGATTGCGTTGATCTTGGTGGAATCGGTTGTTTCAAATATTTCTGAAGCCGCAAAATTTTCAACATTCCAATTCGCAATGGTTTCAAAACACAAATATATAACAGACAGATAACTGGGCAAGTAAATTGGGTTGGCGCCAAAATAATGAAAGCCAATGGGAAGGTTGGTGATGGTGTAATTCGTAAAAGTAGAATTGCCATTGCTGTGGCGGCTGGAATTCCGACAAGAATTCCAAATTGGAAGAGATAACAAAGACTTATAGCTAGTGCATTTTTTAGTTGGTTTACTGTAGTTTTTGAGACCTGGGTGTGCATAAGGTTTAGAGCATTGTAAGATTTTATAGTTATAATTGGAATAATTATTACAACACAGGTTATACCAATGAAACCTTCGACGCTCAGAACCTGGAAAAAATTTATTTTCAGAAAATTCCGATTCTCCCAAAAATCTTACTTTCAGTGACCATTTTTGATCAACTCTCACAATAGCAATTGAATAATTCTCCAGAAAATATTGAGTTCGCTTATCTTGATTTATAATATCTGTATAATCCTCATACTGCCTTTCATTCACACCAATTGTCATTAGAATAAAATTGACGAATGTAAAAATAATTCCAAATATAAAACCCATAAGATTCGATTTCTTCGAAGCGTTTCTTGAAATTCGAAAACAAATTGTCATATAATTAAACCAAAATGAATAAATTAAACCCATTGAACAAAGAATTGCGATTGAGCAACAAATATTGAAAAGATGTGCAGTTACAAAAGGGCCAAATCGGAAAAAGCCAATTGTTAATAAAAGATGATATGGGAATATAATATATGGTTGATAAATAAAACCCATATATAAACTGAAAATTGCGGGAAGTATGAGATTTATAAGAAGAACTTGTCGATAATCTGGTTTGATTGATTTTCCATAAATGAATAATAAAATTGACAAGAAAACAACAACGAGCAAATTGAAGATTGAAGAAAACTCCATAAATCTCTAAAAAAAATTAAATTATTCAAATAAATCGATTTTTGCCAGTTTCCACTCACCCTCAAAACTATAAAATATCCTTCTTGTGAATAAATTGAATCACAAAATCCATCGATAAAAACTGGAGACACACTCATGATTCTGATTCTCAAAAAAAAAGTTCTGAATGTGAGTGAGAAGATTTTTGATTATTGGTATTCTCTTTGTTTATTCTAATTAAAGTTTTTTCCAGAACAGACAGAACAAATTGGTAGTTTTGGTGATCAAAGTAAGACGAATTCTGAAAATGACAACAATACTTTTTAAAAATAGTGATTTCTGAAAATCATAAAGGCATATTTTTTTCTATTAGTTTCTCAAAAAAAATTTCAAAATTCGAAAAAAAAAACCAGTCTCTTCAAGAAACGAACGTTTTCACAAAAAAAAATAAAAAAAAGTTGGTCAGCATGTGGGATTGAACCTTGGCCCCGCCCACTCCGCATGAAAAAGATAGAGATGCGCGCTGCCTGTTAGTTGTCGGCGCGCGCAAAAGAATAAGAGAGGAGACAGTTTTTTACGAGTGATAATAATGTTATGAGTAATGGTTAAAAAAAAACGAAAACAACGTGCATGCACGATTGGTTTTTGTTTTATAATAATTTTTCGGCTACTGTATCAGTGGCAGAAAAATTATTGTACTACAAAAACCTTTCTTGCATTCATGAAGAAAGAGGGGAATCTAACGTGAATTTTTTGAGGTTTGAAAAGTTTTGAAAAATCGTAGTGGAGCAAAAAATAAGTTGTGCTCATTTGAAAGAACATGTTCTGATTTTTAAAGTCTTCGAAGGATTTTTTCTGGAAGCCGGAAATTTGTTAATAGTTTTTTTTAACCAGGAGAAAAACTTGAATTGTAATTTATTCAAATATCGAAAAAAATTAGTAACAGAAAAAATAAATCTCAAAAAAAAAAAGAGAAAATTTCAGTTGAGTCAAGCACGAGCTAAATAATTATAGATTTATATCAAATCTGTGGGCTTAAGAATAACCAAACTAGAGAAATATTATGAAAAAAATGATAACATTTTACAAAATGTCTAACCCCTAATTTTATTTCTCATGAAAAAAATTATTTTTAGTTTGGATGGATAGAACAGAAATCAGGAATTCAAGAAATCATTTTCGGTTTTTTGTTTACAGATTTTTTTTGACATTAACAGTAACTTTTAAATCAGAAATTGTTATTTATAAGAGAAAATTGAATCAATCAAAAAATAACCTGGAAAATAAATGTTTTTTGGTTGTAAAAATAGAGTGTTTTGTTTACACTTTAAAGTACAAATCTTATAATTCATTATTAGAGAAACATCTGCCAATATTTCAACGAATTGAAATTATTTGTTATATGATGATTGGGGAGCTCATAAATTAGGAAACCTTGCTCATTTTAACCGAAAAGTTCTTCATATCAGCTCAAAAACCTTGCTCATATTAAATTTGTAAGAAAAATAAGCACAGAACTCATACAACTATTTCATTAATCTTCTTTCTTTGTTGATTTACCAAAACTAAACTTCAATAAAAATCTAAACACAAAAATCAAAACTACAAAACCTAAAATATAAGAAATATAAATAATTGCATAAACATCAATTAAATCTCTCTGAATAATTGACAAATGTCTGCTATAAGGATCCATATTTGGAAACGGTCCATATTTTGCAATAAATTCAACTTGTCTTACAACTTGTTCTTTTGGAATTATTGGCTGATGTTGCAAGAGTTCGGCTAACTTTTTTGCATTTGTAGAATACGTTGAGTCAGATAGGATTGTATAAATTGCTGATTTCAAGCGTTCAAAATCTGCCAAACTGAATTTTTCAAGCAAAATTGATCCGTTGTGTCTAGCTAACATTTTCGCATTTCTGAATTGATCACCGAAAATTGGGACCATTAGGGCAGGTTTTCCAAGATAAGCAAGCTCGTGAGTTGATCCAAGACCACCATGAGTTAGAAATCCATTCAATCGTGAATCAGCTGAAAAAATAAGCGGCTTAAAGTCTAAAATAATTACATTCAATTCGAAAATTTGTCTATCTTTTCAAACCTCAAAAAATTCACGTTAGATTTCCCTCTTTTTCCGTGAATGCAAGCAAGAAAGGTTTCTGTGCTACAATAATTCTTTGCCACTTTTACAGTAACAAAAAAATTATTGTATAACAAAAACCAATCGTGCAAACACTTTGTTTTCGTTTTCAACAATGCAGTTTGAGATGTCCATTTGACAAATTTCACATTTTCCACACCCTCAGCCCATTCCAAATCATCCGATTCATATTTCCAAATAAAAGTAACATCTGGGAAAGTTCGAATAACATTCAAAATATTATCTCGCCATTTAATCGGCATATCAACACTTCTAGCAATACTTCCAAATGAGATGAGAAAATTGCGTTTTCTCAACTCCAAAATATTCTGCCAATCTTCACTTAATTTTTGCGATTGAATTTCATCTAAATGCACACTTATTCCACCAATTGCTACAGTTTTTTGAATAATTGGACGGGGATAATCAATATAAGGATTGGAGTTGATGAAATAAGCAGAAGCTGATGGAAAAAGTTCGCGCCAATCTGAGATTCCGAATTTTTCGAAGTGTTTGATTTCCCGATTGAAGTGATTGATGATAGTTCTTTGAGCTGCGTCAGATGATTTGTGATTCATATATCTTTGAATTATTGACATTTTATCGCCATGTGGACAATTTGAAGCTGAAGGTGAAATAAATAAGTGGGAGGCTTTAAAATACGGATTTCAGAGCTGGGAATTTCAGGTGAAGTCCGACATAAACATTTATTTGAATTCAGGTTTGAAAAATTTTCGGAATTTATAGAAAAACACAGCAGCCATTTTCGAACTTTGAAATTTTTTTGACTAAATTTTGAGAAAGTTCCAGAGAAAATCACTGTACTGATCTTTCAAATTAGCATAACTTAGATCTCCCAAGTCTCAAAAATTTGAACTCACTTGGAACATATGAAACATGATTCGGTTCACCAATAAAATCATGTTGAAAATCAAAAATCGCACAAGAGGCGGCTAGAATAGTCTTCTCAATCCCCAGCTTCTTGAATAATCCTAATCCACAAACCGACAATGATTCAGCAATCGCAACATCGAATTTCCGATTGCCTATTTCCTTCATAACTGCCTCATTTCTCAATAACAAAGGGCATGTGGCAAGAATTTGATCAAAGATCCATTTCAAATTATTCTCCATATCTTCCGGTTTCTCAACGCGTTCCCACAATAATTTCAAAGCTGTCTCAGCATCCGGCGCAATTCCCAATGCTTCTCTCATCTCATCATCATGATCAACAATTATTATATCATTAGTTTTTTCAAGCCCAATTCTTGGTTTCAATTTTGCATCAGTTATTGGAACTAGAACAGTGACATTGTGACCAGCATCGGTTAAAGTGTCCGAAATATGAGCCATAAAATTCATATGACTTGTGGCAAAAGCTGGCGAGTAAATTAATATATTTAGAGAATTAACTAGATAAAAATATGGAACCAGCAGAAGAATTTTCATTTTTCACTGTCTTTTGACGGGCAGACAACACACCGTGTCAACTAAATACTATCAAATTAGTATTTGTGGCCTGGGCTGTCTTTGATTGATTGATACAAGAACTTTGAGTTCAACCACAAAATCAATCATTTGTGACTTTAGATTTTTGTGACTGAAAAAAACATTTTTCAATACATATTGCGTAAAAAATTGAAATATTTATGAGAAAAAAGAAGAAAGTAACAAAAAAAAGATAAGAAATGTAGATTAAAACACAAAGATTATGACAATATGTTGCTGGAATTTTTGCGAGCTTTTGATTCGGCCGATTTCTTTTTGGTTTTTTTGGGAGATGATGCTGGTTTTTCTGGCTGAAAAAACAATTTGGGGATTGGAAAAATATGAGTTGGGTGGACTTTTTTGTTTAAAAAAAAATTTTTTTAATCATGGTCTCATGTAGATTAATTTAAAAAAAATCTACGTGAGCCCATAATTTTAATTTTTAATTTCTTTTATTTTGATTATGGGCTCATGCAAATTAATATTTTGTAATTAAAAAAATACATAATTTTCTACGCAAAAAAACGTCGAAAAAAATACAGACATACAAATTAGTTTTTTGTTCGAAAATTATATTATTTTGTCTGCTCTCTCTCAATTTCACGTTATCTCTACTCAAAAATATATTTTTTAAGTTTTTTATCACAAAATATTAATCTACATAGGCCCATTATTTTTGAGTAGAGACAACGTGATGTTGAGAGAGCGCAGACAGATAAATTAGTTTTCTGTATTTTTTTATTAAATTTTTTGTCTGCGCTCTCTCAATATCACGTTATCTCTACTATGTTTTTTAAAAGTTTTTTATCACAAAATATTAATCTGCATTCAAAAAAAATCACCGCACCTTCTTAAAAATCTGCACTTCCACCTCATCTTCGCGATCAGAATCTCTACTTTGCCGACTTGATCGAGACAGACTTCGTCGAACTCGTTCAACCAATCTTGTTCCCATATTTTTGAAAGGATTTCTCCCGCCACGTGGAAGTGTTGCATAATTACTAGACACACCTTCCTCAACTTGACCCAAGCTATGCATCAACGCTGAATTCGCAGCTTCTTCCTGAATAATTTTGAAAATGAAATATATTTCAAACTATCAAAAAAGCTCACAAATTTCCTCTGTTTCCCATTTTGTGTGGTCTCAACAGATCGTGATTTGCGAATTCCGAAAAAGCCGCGTTTATCAGGTTTTGGTTCATCAATCGCTTCAAATGCTTTGGCCATTAGTTTGACTGATGGTTGTCCGCCACGTGCTAATTCTTCTCTTCTAACCCGATATAATATATTTGTTCCAGTACTGTTTGGACGAGATCGACACGTTGATTCATCGTTGTCATCTTCACTGTATTGACTGCGATTATCGAATGAGGTGGCACGAATCATTGAATATTCATCGTTGGAAGTTTTTCTGCCAGGAACATCTGGAAGGATTTATTTGATATGGAGATTGTTAGAGACGCAGAAAAGCAAGACAGCTAGAAAACACGGGATTTCTAGAGACGCAGAGAAATTGAAAGACTAGAGAGGTACAGACTATTGCTTTTCAGAGACGCAGAGAAACTAGGGAGAATATCAGAGACGCAGAAAAGCTAGAGGAATTTTCAGAAGCGCAGAGAAGCTAGAGGGATTTCTAGAGACGCAGAGAATCTAGAGGGATTTCTAGAGAAGCAGAGAAGCTAGAGGGATTTCTAGAGACGCAGAGAAGCTAGAGGGATTTTCAGAAGTACAGAGAAGCTAGAAGGTTTTTTTAGACACAGAGAATCTAGAGGGATGTTGAGAGACGCAGAGAAGCTAGAGAGATTTTCAGAAGCGCAGAGAAGCTAGAGACGCAGAGAAAATAGAGTGATTTCTGGAGACGCAGAGAAGCTAGAGGGGTTTTTTTAGAGACACAGAGAAGCTTAAGGGATTTCTAGAGACGCAGAGAAGCTAGAGGGATTTCTAGAGACGCAGAGAATCTTAAGGAATTTCTAGAGACGCAGGGAAGCTAGAGGGATTTTTTTGAGAGACACAGGAAAGCTAGAGGGATTTCTAGAGACGCAGAGAAGCTAGAGGGATTTCTAGAGACGCAGAGAACGTAGAGAAAATTTTTTGCCGAAAAAATCAACTTACTCAAATTATTACTCGAAGATGGATCATGATACAAACCGCGTCGAATAGGCCGACCATATTTGTCAAAACCGCTCGAACTTTCAGTGCTATAAGATTTATTTTTAAAATTTTCAGATGTTTTAAGAAGATCAAAAAAATTTTCAAAAAAAAACTAAAAAGGAAAGGAAAAGAAAAAGGCATTCAACTAAATATAGAAGCGAATAAGCACTAACCTGAAAGATCGTTTACTACAAAAATTGATGTTATTTTGATTTTGTGCTGATCTATGTTGTCTTTCACGTCGAGAATTTGCGATGAATGGCGAATCTGGTGCTTCAGAAACAGTTGTAGAGACGGATGCGATGGTTGGTGGAAGTGTGTGATGATTAACATGTCTGAAATTGAGAAGCACACATGCTAAAGGAAAGCGAAAGGGAAAAATAGAAGAAGAAGAAGAAGCATAACACTCTTGAAAATATGTTTTTTCATTCAAAAAATGCCAACCTGTAAGCATGTCGAAGTGGTGCACTTGTCACAGACCGGATGGAGAATGATGATTGACTTATGTTGTCATACGTTCCTTCGCCACATTCAGAGACTGATGGAGCATAACCATTGGAAATTCTATCACCGAGCACAGATCCTGCTCTATCATCACTGAAAGAGTAATAATGAAGGTGGAAATCCTCAAAGGATTTTTTATGGAAGCTTTTCAAATATTAGTTTAAAATTTCAAAGTTCGAAAAAACATTGAAACACCGTGTAGGGCTCATTTACGAACGATCAACCTCGCAAGATCAATTCATGAAAATTCAAAAAATGTTGAAAATTATTGTAGGTCAAAATTAGTTTTTTTTGAGTTTTTCAACTGAAAATTATGATAAATCGATAATTTTTTAGCTTCTGGAGTAATTTCTGATTAAAATAAGCTTCGAGAACCCTATTTCGCTTTATTTTATGAATTTTTTCGAAATTCATCAAAATTTAAATTTTTTATTTTACGAAAAATCAGCAAAACCTTCTGGAAAGTGAATTCCAAGGTCAATTTTCATCAGAAATTACTCCAGAAGCTTCATAAAATCTCGATTTTTCATCATTTTTTGCTGAAAACTCAGAATACTAATTTTAACCTACAAAGTTTTCTTGGCATTTTTTGACACTGATCTTTCAAAAAAATATTTTTAGACCATGAATCAGCACTATTTAAATAAAATCTTCAACATAAGTGAGAAAATGGTGTAGGTGGTTAGCGTCTAAAACTTCAGTTTGAAGGTTTCGGGTTCGAGTCCGCCTGGGGACTATTTCTTTTTCATTTTTCTGGTTACACAAAAAATTCAAAAAAAAAAAAAATAGTCGAGACGTAGACGCTACCCGTTTGGTCAGATTTTTTAAAAGAGTTTTCTTTGCTCTACCTGGAGCTCAGAAGCTAATTTTTACGGTATAGTAATCAGCGTGCCATATTCTATAAGGTCCAAAAAAACCTACGAATTCAAATTGTTGGCTGCTTCATCATCTCTCAACGCAGTTAATTGATTGATGATATACCGTATACCATCCGGTTCCGCTTCCCGTGAAATCTTTCGAGTTGCCTCACTCACATAAGCCAATTGATCAATAATACTGCTCAATCGATATTTCCTTGTCAATTTTTGCAATTCATTCAAATGCACAACTTGTTGCAGTCGTTCTCTTTCCGATTCAATAAGTTCTTTAACAACTTGCTGATTATCCTTGTTTTGCGACAGATTTTTCTGCTCAATTTCCAACACTCGAATTTGCTCTTGCAATTCACGAATCGTTTTTTGAGCTTCATTTTTTTGCCGATTTTTTTCAGCAGTTATTTCAGTGATCTTATCATTTAATCGATCCATTTCTTTTGAATAAAACGCTTCACAATCTCGATATTGTTTTCGAATTGTTTCAACCGAATCAGTATTATCGATTTTTTCATTTCGATTTCTTGCCCGATCAATATTCCATAGAATCTGATCAGCTTTTCTCGCCTCTTTTGTCAATCTCAAATCCGTATTCAATCTTTCCAATTCCTCATCTTTTGCAGTTAAACGATTTTGCTAAACACGTTCTATATATATATATATTTTCAAAATAATTCGTCATGTTAATTGTTCAAACTCGTAGTGATTAGTATTATTTACATATATATATTAGTATCACACTTGTATCAAACTTGATAAATATGAGTATCCTGGAAAAAAACATGTTATTGTTGTGAGTTAGATAAATTAGTGGGGGGAAACATTGAAAGTAGTTGGACAGCTAAATGTAAGAATTATTGATTAATTTTAAAAATCGATATTTGAATCAATTCCATTTCAAAAATAGATCTCTTGGAAAAAAAAACCATTCACAATTTTTTACAGAAATCCGAATTTTTACGCCATTTTAGACGGTGCTCCATTTTTTTGCAAAAAATTTCAAAATTTGAGAACTCTGAATCGTATGAAAATATAAAAAGGATGTCAATTTTACAAAAATTTCAGCCAGAAAATTTTCCGGGCTGAAAATTTTGTGCTGAAAATCATAGAGAATCGCAGAACTGCTGAAAATTCAGCGTAAAGTTCTGATCCAGATTTCACTTCCAGAAAAAATCCTTTCAAAACTTTTAGAAATTTTAAAATCTAACCTAAAAGTCATGGGGAATTCTCCAAAACTTCAAGGGCCCTAAAATTGAAATTCGTAAACATCAAATATCTTTCGAGACTTCTAGAACTTCTGAAGCTTTTCAGATTTTCCTAGGATTTTGGAGAAGCTTCTAAAAAAAATCCTACTGATTAGAAAAAAAATCTTTCAAATTAGAACCAGCGAAAAATAAATAATTTGAAAAAAATCAACTGTCCAACCACTATCAAAATAAAAAAGAGCACACCACAAGCAAAACCTTTTCAAAACTCACTAAATCTTTAACTTTATCAGCCGATTCATTAGCCGTTTTTTCCCGTAACTTCAAATTATTGCGTTCTTCTCCAACAGTTTTCTCGTGATTATTCAACGCTTCTTTATGACTATCTCTTTCTCTTCTAGCAAGAACTAATTGTGAATGCAAAGATTTGTTGGTGTCTTCCATGATTCTCATTCGACTGCTGAATTTCTGTTGCATTGCGTCGATTTCGACAGTTCGCAATTTTTCCGATTGTCGAGTTTTGTGTTGGAACGCTTCTTTGTCTTTTTGCCAACTTGCTTGCACTTTATTTAGTTGATCTTTCAAATCAGCATTTTGGATCTTACATTCATCGAGAGCTGCGTCAGTATCAGCAATCTAAACAAAAACGTTTTTGAAGTTCCATTTTTTTGTTACAACTAGGACTAACCTTCTTTTCCAAAATCGAAATCTGCTTTTTCAACTCCAAAACTTGCATTTTCTCACTATCATGTCTTCTGATTGGAGAGCTATCATGAGATGGAACAAAAGTTGGCTCTTTCAATTCATGCTCTTCGGGAAGTTGCTTTTTGAGTGCAGCAATTTCACGCTCTAGTTTTGATTTTTCCGATCTCCAGGTGCTTTCATTCTTCTTGCTCTCCTCGTTTAATTTTTCTGAAAAAAGAAAATAATTTTAAAGGTAATCTTAAATGGATATGAGACTGGAGATAAATTTTATCTCAAAAGTTAGGGCATTTTCTAAAAATCTATGGTGATGAAGAAAAATCGATTCATTCAAGTCAATTTCAATTCAAAATTTTGCAAATGAGCACAACTTGCTCAAGCTCCATCTTTAAAAATACAATTTTTTCAAGATCTCAAAAAATTCATGTTAGATTCCCCTCTTTTTTCGTGAATGCAAGAAAGGTTTTTGTAGTACAATAATTTTTCTGCCACTGATACAGTAGCCTAAAAATTATTATATTACAAAAACCAATCGTGCATGCACTTCGTTTTCATTATTTTTTGGATCGTCACATGATAGTGCTATCACTTGCAACAAACTGTCTCCCCTCTTATTCTTTTGCGCGCGCCGACAACTAACAGGCAGCGCGCCTCTCTATCTTTTTCATGCGGAGTGGGCGGGGCCAAGGTTCAATCCCACATGCCGATCAACTTTTTTTTTAAATTTTTTTAAATTTTTTAATTTTTTTTTGTAAACACGTTCGTTTCTTGAAGAGACTGCGAGAGAAATAAACAAAAAGTAGCGAGAGTTTGTGTCTACTGAAGAGAGCGCAGACATAAAATATTTTTTCTCTGATTAGGGACTAATCAAATTTTTCAAAATTTGAAATTTTCAAATTGAAGCTTTCAGAAAAAAATCTTTGGCGAATTTTCCTAATGCTCTTTCAAACAAAAAAAACTCACTCAAATGTTCTTCAACCTCATCCTTAATCTTTTTCACCGATTGCAATTCATTTTTGGCGCGATTCCTTTCGGTGTTCATTTTCTCTCTTTCCGCCTCAAAAATACTTTCCAATTTCTTATATTTTATTTCGACATCTTTCACACATTTTTTATCTGTTTCCATTTCTTGAATATCTTTTCTCAACAACTCAGTTTCTTCTTTCAGTTTTTTATTCCGCTCTTCTTGTTCTTCCAGCGCTCGAGTTTTCTCAATCAAAGTTGTCGATTTGGACTCCAAAAGTTCCGATAACTCTTCATTCTGCCGTTTAGCATCCGAGATTCGTAATCCAAGGGTTTTTATCTAAAAAGAAAATAATTATTTTATGAAAAATAAAAAAAATAAAAAAAAATATCTGATCTCGGGCGGGCTCGAACCGCCGGCCTTCTGTGTGTTAGACAGATGTGATAACCACTACACCACGAGATCGGAATGAGAGTGCAATGCAAAATGGCAGTGAAATAAAGAGCGCTTGCTTGTGTTTCTATCTCTCACCTCTTTCTCAAATATTTGTCGCTGTTTTTCAATTTCAATTGTCCAGCGATCTTCTGTTTGCAACACTTGGTTTGTAAGGTCTTTGTTCTTCTTTTTATAAAAACCGATCTCGTTTTGTTGTTCTTCAATGTTCTGTAAAAAATATTGATATTTTTTGGGATGAATTTTCTCAAAAAAAAATCCACAAACCTGCTCAAGTTGATTGCATTTCACACACTTCGGCTCAATAACATTTTCCTTCGATGGAACTCGTTTCACAGTCAAACCACCGGATGGAGCAACACTTTTAATGTTATCCAACCGTTTGTGAACACTCTTCATTTCTTGCATTACATTGGCTAACTCGGCAATTATTGCAGCTCCACTGTCTTTTGATAATGAGCGACGTCTTTCATCCTGGGAAAAAAACGGGGTTTGAGATTCAATTTAGAAAATATCTAGAACTTTTTTTCGCGAATATTTTTTCTAGGATTTTTTTTAACATGAGATACCGTAACTTCATTTGAAAATCAAAATATACCTTTTGAGCATGATCAATTTTTTCAAATTGCTTGCATAATCTGGATGTTTGTGTCTCTACTGCAGCTAAAACTTCGCAACATTGCTCGATCTGAAAAATCAATATTTTTTTTAATTTAGAAAATATAGCAAAAACTTTCAGGACTAGAAGTTCTTCGAGAAAAAACCTTTTCATAAATCGGAATAGATATTTTATGTCTGCGCTCTCTTCCGTGGGCACAAACTCTCGCTGCTTTTTTGTCTATTTCTCTCGCAGTCTCTTCAAAAAAAAAACGAACGTTATCACAAAAAAATTAACAAAAAATGTTGGTCGGCATGTGGGATCGAACCTTAGCCCCGCCCACTCCGCACGAAAAAGATAGAGACATGTGAGACCTGTGTGTTGTCGTCGAACGCAAAAGAATAAGAGAGGAGACGGTATGTTACAAGTGATTAACATTCCAATTAATTTCCAAAAAAAAGACGAAAACAAAGTGCAGACATGTCGCTGCAGGCCGGGCCGGCCGGGCTGAGCCCGAAGTAAACACAAAAAATCGGGCTTTTTTCAGCCGAAGCCCGATTTTAACATGTGCGGCTTTGGTGGGCCCGATTTTGGGGCCCGCTTATTTTTTCTTCGATTTTTTTTCATTGAAAAAATGAGTTTTTCGTGGTCAAAAAGGAATTTTTAATGAATTTCAAACATTGTAAAGAGTAAAAATAGTAAAATAATATGTGTGTGGAAGAGAATTCACTTGAATTTTGAAATTTTTGCTTTTTATTTTTCGATTTGTTACTTATTTCTATTTTTATAAGAAAAATATCACATTCTAATTTGATTTTTCACTCATATAAATACAATCCAACATCGAAAACATCAAAAAAAAATTCTGAAATTGGACATTCAAAAATATTGTTTGGGCGAGGCCAACCCGGCCGCTTTTAAATTTTCATACGGCCGGGCCAGCCGGGCCCGTGATAAATTGAGCGGGCTTTAGGGGCCCGAATTCAGCAAAAACGACATGTCTGCAAAGTGCATGCACATTGGTTTTTGTAATTCAATAATTTTTCGGCTACTGTATCAGTGGCAGAAAAATTATTATATTACAAAAACCAATTGTGCATTCACGAAAAAAAGAGGGGAATCTAACATGAATTTTTTGAGATCTTGGAAAAGTTATTTTGAGCAAAAAATAAGTTGTTCTCATTTGAACGAGCATGTTCTAATTTTTAAAATCCTCAATTTTTTTCTGGAACCTTCTCAAACATTAGTTTAAAAATTTCAAAGTTTGTCAAAAAATTGAAACACCGTGGTTTGAAAATTTATTGTCAATGGCTTTTTTTTAACCAGGAGACGAATTGAAACGGACTTAAAATAATCGATTTTTATATCATACACATCTAGGGCTTTTTCTCTGATCCAAAATTTTTAACAGACGAAAAATACCGTACCTCATCAGTAGTTGGAACTTTTCCTTGAAACTCAATAACATTCTCATTCGCCATTTTCTCGCTCAACAATTTCTCCAAATCCTCCACTTTTTTCTTGAGTTCATCCGAATATCCAACATCACCATCTTTTGGAATTTGTTTTTTATGCAAAGTTGTGCATCGCTCATTGACAAGTTGAAGTTGTGTGTTTAATTGTTCAATTTTGGTTGCCAATGAGATGACTTTTTGATTATCAGATTTGAAAACAGTCGTTTTAAGCTCGTTGACTTGCGCCTCGAGTGCTTTACGTTTTTCTTGTTCGTTTCGCAATTCGATTGTTGTTGTACCAGAAGGGACTGCAACATTTTGGATTATTGATTTTTTTTGTCAAAAAAAATTTCCATATTTCTTGAATGATTTCTTTTTTACCTATTAATTTTAGCATTGATAATTTGAGATTTAAAAAAACTATATCGGTAACTATAAAAATTATAAATATGATAATCATGAAATAACTATAAATAAATTTGATCTGGAAAAAAATGTGTCTGAAATAATCTCTCATGATAAACTAACCAACAAAATTAGGCTTCGTGGGTTTCGTTTCAAGCTGTTTGACTTGTGTAATTAATTCGAGATTTTTTCGCTCCAACTCGCTGATTGTCGCTATCATTTTTGACATGTCCTTTTCCATTTCGGGTGTTAGTTTGAATTCGCCAACTTTCGAATGGGCTGATGTCACGACACCACGCTTGCAATCGGTTTCCAATTCGACGATTCTGTAGAAAGAAAAATTGAAGATGGGTTGATTTTCTTGAGAAGATTCTGTGTTGATTTTGAGTCAAGATTTTTTAAGAATCTTGTGCCAGAAGAAAACAGGAAAATAGATTATTGGAAAATTTCAGATGAAAATCCGGGAAATTTTTATTTGTATTCAAAGTCTCGAAGTTCTGTCAGCAACAATTTACACGGTGTTCCACTGTTTTTAAAACTTTGAAATTTTCTTCCAAAGATTGAACTAATTAGAGCACGCTCTTTCAAATGAGCATACCTCACTTTTTGCTCAGAATCAGGCTCCATCTTTAATTTTAAACTACAGCTTTCAAATTTCAAATTCATTTCTCTAATCATAATTTTCTAATTGTGTTTTTTTCTCATTTACAAGAGCATTTTCTAATAAATACAATCATCGAAGGATTTTCTCCGGAAGATTCTCAAATAAATTTGAAAAAAAGAAAAAAAAAGTTGGTCGGCATGTGGGATCGAACCTTGGCCCCGCCCACTCCGCATGAAAAAGATAGAGGCAGGTGAGACCCGTTAGTTGTCGTCGCATGCAAAAGAATAAAAGGGGAGACTGTTTGTTAAAAGTGATTCACAAGTGATTTGTTGTATCAAAAAAAAAATAAATAAATAGAAACAACGTGCATGCACGATTCGTTTTTGTAATATAATAATTGTTTTGTTACTATTTCAGTGGCAGAAAAATTGTTGTATTACAAAAACCAATTGTGCATTAACGAAAAAAAGGGGAATCTAACGAGAATTTTTTGAGGTCCAAGAAAAGTTATTTGAAAGAATTGAATTTGGAGCTAGAGCAAAAAATAAGTTTTGCTCATTTGAAAGAGCATGTTCTAATTTTAAAAATCCTCGTAAGTTTTTTTTTTCTGGAAGCTTCTCAAACATTAGTTTAACAATTTCAAAAATTGTCAAAAAAATTGAAAAACCGTGGTTTGAAAATGTATTGTCAATGGTTTTTTTTTAAATTATTGTAATACAGAAACCTTTCTTGCATTCATGAAAAAAGAGAGAAATCTAACAAGAATTTTTTGAGGTTTGGAAATTTTAGAGTTTTAAAATTTCAAAATTCGAAAAAACAGTGAAACACCGTGTAAAATGGCTCGAAATTCTAGATCTACAGTAGTTTGGAGCAGTGTTTCTCTGTCAAATCCAAAAATTTGTCAAGATTCTACCTTTAGAATTTGCTCTGGATTTCAAATTAAGAAAACATTTTCCAATTTCCATTTCCCCCCCACAGAAAAAAAACCAACTTCTTGTTCAGATGATCGTTTGTCTTTTCCAATCGGTCGACTTTGGTGTTCAGATGTTGTACTTGACTCTCGGCTAACTCTAACTGGAGATGTGCATTTCCGTCGCTACAAAAAATCAATAAATTAAAATACCCACAAGGTAATTCTAGACAAAACACAGCAAAACAAAGTCACATAAAGGGGACAGGATAGAGAGGACACGCACTTGACACGAAGTACACGCAGTGACCAACCTGGCCGATCGAATCATCGGTGGACGTAATTTGGAGGCTTTCGACAATTTTTTCATCAGCTCCTCATTCTCATTTTCAAGATCCTGTAAAAATGTCTCAGGTTTTATTGGATTTCAAAAAAAAAAAAATAGAGTACCGTTAATCTCAATTGCGTGCGCTTCAAATCCTCTTCTGCAAATCGCAATTGCTCTCTGACATCGATTTCTCTTTCCAGTGCATCTCGCAATTCTTTTGACATCTCGTTATCCGGAATATTTGGAACACTTGCAGCTAATTCAGCAGATAATCGTTTCTGGAAAAAAATACGAAAAATAAATTCCTAGCTAAATTTTAGTCCCCTATGGATTCATTCAAGAGATTTTTTGAATTTTTCTGATCATTTTGATACCAAAAACCCCATATTTTAGAATTTTCAAGCAGGAAGGGTTGAGGTACTGTCTCTCCTTTAAGGTCTATCTCAGCTAACATGAGCAATGCCCTCTGAATTTTCGATATAAGCAAAATGTATGTCCCTTTAAATTTGAAAATAAATTGTCTAGATCATTTTGAGACTCGAGATACTAGAATACTGTAGTCACATATATTTAGGGCAAGATTTTGTGTGATCTACAGTATTTTTTATAACTACAGTACTCTAACAAAAATCTAGGTGTTTGTGATCTCAAAATTCAGTTGAAGACATTTTGTGAATTACTGTAACTCTTTATAAAAATATTACAAATTACAGTACTCTAAATCATTTTTATTCAAAAACTTAGGCTTATTCAGTCTCAAAATGATCAGAAAATGGAAATTTTTATGATAAAATTCGCGTCAAAAAATGTAAAATTACTGTATTTTTTATAAAAATATTACAAGTTATAGTACTCTCTAAAAATGTTTAGTAAATAATTTTTATGATAAAATTCGCATAAAAAATCTAGAATTACTATAGATTTTTTTTAAATCTTCAGGGTTTTCAAAAATTCCAGAGTTGACCCCCCACCCTCTCAAGAAAATCCACTTACCACTGCAAAATCAGTTTTATTCCTAGCCTCTCTCCATTTATTCTGTGTCTGAATCTCTCGAACCTTCTCCTTCAAATAGAACACCTCATCCTCTAATTTGCACCGCTTCTCCTCTGTTTGCTCCAACTCATTGTGTAATCTAACCGAAACCTCTTTGGCTATCCGAATTTCCGATTCCAATTCCTTCACTCTTGCACTATCCGATTTGATAGCAGTCGCAACAGTCTCGGGACAACCATTCAAAAACTCTTCCAATTTTCTTTCTGAATGTGATTTTTCGGCTTCTGCTTGATCTTTTTGTCGCTCTGTTTTGCGCAATTTGAATTGAAGAACTCGACAATTTTTGGCGTTTAGCTCTAATTCTCGCTGCAATTCTCGAAACTCTTCAATCTCTTCTTCTCGATATTGATCTTGCATCTCTTCAATTTCCTGCTGCAGATCTTTTACTTCTGCTTTCAATTGCTCATTTTCTTCCATCAATTCATCACAAAGCCCTTCAGTTGTCCTGATTTTATCCCGCAATTTTTCATCGGATGTGGCATATGTGGTTTCCTAAATTTCTTTTTCGAATTTTCAAAAAAAATTGTGTTCATTCAACTCACCTGCAAGTCTCTCAATTCACATTTGAGCACAGTATTTTCATCACGATAATCTTGAATCTGATTTTCCGCCTGATTCAGTCGTTCCTCAAGCATTCCAATCAGCGAAGATTCACTTTGTTCAGCATTTTGAAGCCTTTGTCGAAGAGCCCATTGGGCTTTTTCTTCTTTTAGACTGTGATTTATATCGCGAAGTTGTGCTATTTCTTCTTTCAGCACTTGAATGTATTCAGTCTGAAAATTATTTTGTTTATAAATTTTCACCCGAATAAATTGAATATAAGATTTTGGAGTTTGAGAATTTCTGAAAAATGAGCTCGGAGCCATAAAAAATCAATTTTTGTGTCAGACTCCCTTTTTAAATCTACCGAACTTAGTTTTAAGAAAATCTGGGCATAGAGCTTTGGGCTAGTAAAAAACTGTGATTTTCTGGATAAAATTTTGAAGAAGACTATGATGAAATGTTTGTAGTTTGATCGAAAATTTTGGTTTTCAAAATTTCTATGAGCTACTGTATTTGAATTGACGTCATTCAAAAACATCTAGAAATGATATTATACTTTGATTTTTTTTGAAGTTTTGATCGAAGTTACCGTATATTTTTGTACAGAAAATTATAGTTTTTCAGTACAAAAAAGGTCTAGAAAAATTAAGATTTTATAATCCAAACTTCAAAATGATTCAGAAAAAAAGAAAAAAGCTCAAAGAGAAATTTTCAAAATTTTAAAAATCCTCTAAAACCTATAAATCAAAACAAAAAAATGTCCAGAAATTTTATTTTCAAACTAATTTAATTGATTTTGTTTTGGTCAAAAATTAAAGTGACATAATTCTGAAATTCCTGTCCTGAACAACCTACAAATCTCCCCCAAAAAAACAAAACCCACGTCATTTTCAGTCGGTGTGATAGCTCGTTCATCTCCACAAATACTTCCACTAAACGCAGTCACCATACTTTTTGTATCATTCACACTTTCACACGATTTTGTGGATGACATTCCTTTTGATGTTGCCGACAAATATGAAGAGACTGATAATGCTTCGGTGTCATCTGGAGGTTGGCAAGTTATTTGATTTCCCATTTTGAAATTGAGAATTTTCTAGTCAACAATCATCGTGAAATAAATAGAAAAAAATAGAAGAAGTTCAATTTGAGAGCAGCCGAAAAGTCGAGTCAACAAATCACATTTTCAACAACACAAAAAGAAATGCAAGTAAATGTGTAAGTGAATTTGGATTTTAATACGCTCTTCGAGAATTGTAACTACATTTTTTTTCCCTTCTCTCGCATTTTTTCTCGCTAGTAACGAGTTTTATTCGTTGCACTTTTTTTCCCACAAAAATCTGTGAGAAAATTAGTGTTGTTAAAGAAAAACTTTGAATTACATATGTATGTACATTAGACACATTTTCAATGAATTTACAATTTGAGGGGTTTTTTTTTTGCAACTTTTTTTTTCTAAATAAAAAAAACTCACCATCATCTGGGCCGCCATTATCCAAGTTACTCGAAACTTTCCAACTTTTCCGCCTCTCCTTTTTTATACTAACTATTGGTTGTTCTTCAACATGCTTGTCCTGTAAATTATTTTGAATTTGATAAGGAGAAATTGAGGAACTTGAAAGGTTTCAAATTTTTTTTTCTGAATTTTTTTTTGTTTTCAATAAAATTGATGGTTTTGAATGATAAAGGTGAATTCTGACATAAAAATCGATTATTCTGAATCAATTCCAATTTTTAAAAAAGCCATTGACAAATTTTTATGAAGATCGGAATTTACAGAAAAACACAGCTTCAAAATACTGTACATCTGGAATTTCAAGCCATTTTACACGGTGATTCACTGTTTTTTTTCGAAATTTAGAAATTTTAAATTAATATTTGAGAAGCTTTGAGGATTCTACTATATATCTTTCGAATTAGCCTAACTTATTTTCTCTCAGAATCAACCGAAAAAATGAAAACTCAAAAATAAAGTAAATTTTATCTAGAATTTTCATATGTTTTTTTGTATGATGAAAAAATTTCATTAAATAAATAAATAATTCCGAAATCATCAGAGAAAACTTTTTTGCTTCTAAATTTCAAAATTTTTCGAATACAGGCAACTTTTCAGAACAGAAAATAATCTTCATTTTCATTTTTCCAGTGGACCATGTCGATTCCGATTTTTATGAAAATTGTCTATGGTTTTTTTTCAACCAGAATCGATTTTTTCAGCTTTTGAGAGCTTGGCTCAAAAAATCAATTTGATGAAAAAGTGAAACCAGTTTTCTGACAGATCCAACAGTTTATTGATTTTTGGGCAAAAAATAATTTCACTAGTCTCTTTGATACCCAAGAAAATGTTTTTTTTTTAAAGTTCCCAGTTTCAAATTAAAACTAACCTTCGGACGGAAGCATTTTTTACATCTATCTTTCAAATAATTCTGTGGCTCGAAACCGGCACAAAGGTCACCCATCGAGCGAGTTCTGAAAAATTCTGAAATTAATTAAGCGATCAATAAATAAAATTAGCCCAAAACTTTTACTTTGTTTTTACTGTTTCAGAAATAAATTTATAAAAAATACATATAGAAAGAAGAGTCTCTAATAAGCGCGAGCAATCATTAAAGCAAGAAGAAAAAATCAAACAACAAGGAACATATTTATATGTGTTTTCTGTTCATTTTGTAGTATTTATTTACACATAGACCTGATTTTTTAACCAGCAAAAAATAAGAAAAAACGACGCTGCTCACCTCATTCTCATCCACATCCAATTCCACATAAAGTGAATAAAAATTATTTTATTAGAATTTTTTTTTTGAAAATAAAGTAAAAATTCAGAAAAATAATGATAATTATTAGAAGTGCTGCACTTTTAACTTCATTATAACAAAAAAAAACGTTTTCTATTTTTGCACTGCCACTTTTTTTGTGTTTGAAAGTGCACAATTTTCCATAAAACTTCTGATGATTTTTTTTTGCTGACATCTTTATGAGTGGTTTTGAGTTTTAATGGGAACTGCGTGCGCAATGAGAGAATATATTATTTTTAAGAAGGGTTTTTTGGGGGCAAAAATATGTAGAAATGATGTGAGGATGTGGATGAGGAGATGAACTTACTGTGCAAGGAAAAAAATTTCAAAAATGAATTTTGAAGCTTCGAAAAAATTTAGAAATTCAGAAATGTCTGAACAGTAGTTACAGTAAATTTCATAATTTTTTTGAAAATAATTTTAATATTTGAAATTTTTTATTCAAAATTTATTTTCAGGGGTGAAGTTTTATAGCTTAAAACTTGCAAGAAAAAAAATTCAAAACTCGGTTTTTTTCAATAAAAAATCCAAGTTATTGAAAAATTATCGAATTTAATGTCAAAATTGAAAACCGGTAGATTTATGATTTTCAAGTTGAAAAAAAAGATTAAAATTCAGAATTCTGGATCTTTCTCTGGCTGAATTTTAACTACAGTAGATTCTAGAGATCAAAAATGTATCACAAAATTTTTCCCGGGCCAAAAAAATTTTAAAAATTGTTTTTTTTTCAAAATTTTGCAGATTTTCAAGCAGCTTAAATGTGTTTTTTTTTAATTATCAAACTTTTTCAAAAATCTATGAAATCAAACATCTAATTTTCTGATTTCAAAATTTTATATGAAAAAAACATTCAGCTGCTCATATGAAATCAAATGATTTTCTGAATCTCACGATCTTTGTTTAACTGATATTCAAATGGAAAAATTATGTAGGTAACAATGAAAAATTTTCTGAAAAAACTAAACATTGTGAAATCCTACAAGCCTAATCTGAAAAAAAAGTAAAATATTCTAGAAACACATATTTGTTGTTTGGTACAAAGAATAAATATGCAATCGAGAATCCTAGTAAAAAATGAAGAAGGAAAAGAGAGAAAAGAAACGTAAGGACAAGTGCGTGCACAAATAATATCCCGAAACGACAGCCATGTCGAAATAAATAAGCAAAAAAAAAAAATGTCTGTGCCCTGATCCTCCTCGTTTTCCGCATATCATTTATTGACTAACTATCTATCATCTATTTTTTTTCTTTGGCTTTTTTTGTGTTGCTTTTTGATTAATCAACTCACATTTTTCTGGTATTATGAAATTATTTAGGAAATAGAGGGCTTTAGAGAAAGCGAAGGTTTTTGCATATAGAACTTGACACGCTGAAGACTATATTGTAAAAATCAACTTCTAACATTAAGCTCCGCGCGGAGCCAAGAAAATGAGCTCTGAGCAAATGGAGCAGGCGGGTAGCGTCTACATCTTTATTTTGAGGGTTTCGGGTTCGAGTCCGCCTTGCGACTATTTTTTTATTTTTTTCTTGAATTTTTTTGTGTAGTCAAAACTTTTGTTCCAAAACAGTACACAAAAAATTCCCTAGAAAAAATGAAAAAATTAGCCGCGACGAGGATTCGAACCCGAAACCCTCAAACTGAAGATGTAAACGCTAACCGACTTCTCCATTTGCTCACAGGCCAATTTTCAGAGCTCATTTTCTTGGCTCTAGAGATTACTATTAAAAAATCACAAGCTCCGGAGCCTGTGCTCAGGGAGCATTTTGGTGAATAAATTTTCAAGATCAAAATTCAAAAACTCACGTTTTCATCATTTTTCAAATCCACTAGTATTATGAAAATAAATAAGAAACGAAAATTAATTAGTTTGAAATTTTCCAAAAATAAAATGAATGTAAAATATCTCAAGAAATGTGTGAAAATAAAATAAACTTTGGGCCATCGGGCAAAAAAAAAAAGAAAAAAGTTCTCTTTTTTCATAAACATATGCAATTTTGTCTCGAATTGAGGGCTAGTATGGATTTGTTCCTTATTACACAATGCAATGCGAATTGGATACACATGTTCATAAGTTTTCTGTGTGTGTTCTTTTTTTTTCTCGCCCAAAAGTCGCATGACAAATTTACTTTTACTATTATTTTTTATTATGAAATCATGTGAAGAAAATGGCATTTTCCAGATGTTTCGGGGGATATAAACAAAACAAAACAAAACAAAACAGAAAAAAGTTTTCTCTGTGAAACAAAAACAAACAGCTTTTGGGTTGACGGCAAAAAAATTATGTTCTATTCATCGGATTCGAGGGAGGAGTGGGTGGTTTCATTTAGGACACTCGACTTTTTTTGATATAAAAATAGGTCTTGTGGTTTTTGAGTGTTTGTTTCATTGTTTTTGATTGGTCAGGTTGAAAATCAGGAGAAAAACTTGAGCATCGGAACATTTTCTATCAAAATATTTATGCCATAGAGATATAAGGCCTTAAATTACCCTAATTAACGTTCAATATCTTAATTTTGATTTTCACGGATTCTACAAAATTCATTAAATTCGAACTACAAAATAAAAATTAAAAAGATTTTATCAGAAAAATTATTTATATTTTTTTTTATTTGAATTTTTGAAATTCAAAAATTATTCATTGAAAATTGTTGAAATTTTTCTGGATTCTAGAAAATTTGTCAAGATCAAACTACAAAAAAAAGGTTATGCTGAAAAACCTGAAATAATGTTTCTCGAAAACATAAGGCCTTAAATTACCCTAATGCTTTAATTTTTATTCTGACGGGCTAATTTGTTTTCTGAAGGTTCAGATTCTAGAAAATTTGTCAAATTCAAACTACAAAATAAAAATTGAAAAGATTTCTTCAGAAAAAATATTTATATTTTTTTTTAATTTGAATTTATTGAAATTCAAAAATTATTCATTAAAAATTGTTGAAATTTGTCTGGATTCTGGATCAAACTACAAACAAAAAAAGGTTTTTCTTCAGAAAAAAATTCGAGATTGAGAAAAATGTTTGAGCTTCTCATTTTGAATTTTTTTTTTTTGAAATCTAAAATTATTTTTCATATTTTCAAAAAAATTCTTCTGATTCAAAACTTCTCTAGAAAATGAAGAAAGTTAAGAGAAGTTCTGGCAAAAAATTTGCACATTTTTTGAATTCTACAAAAAAATCCTCTCTCTCAGAAAAAAAACTAATTTTTCTAGATACCCAGCAAAAAACCCGTGCACTTTCCTCATCAAAAATGAGAAAAAAATCTTACCAAAACAACAAATAAGTTTTTTTTTTCAAAAAATATAATAATAATAAAAGATGGAAAGGGGAATGGAAAAATAAAAATAGTGAGTTGAATAAAGAGATGGCACAAAAAAAAAAAAGAACGACGATGATGATGAGACTGACTCAAAAACTCTTCTTCGAGAATTTTGTCGTGTCTTTTTGATGTGTAAAGTCTCCTTCTTCTTTTTCTTCTTGGCGGGAACGAACACAAAAATAAAGGAAAAGAAGAAGGAGAAGAAATAGATATGAAAGAAGGTCTATCAATTTGAAAATTACAATCATTTTAATATCATCTGTCATTTCTCAGAGCTGGTCAATTCTGTTCAACTTCAACCTTTTTATTGGATTTGATCTACTATCAAATTTTATGATTGAATATTTCAATTAAAGGAGGAGCCTGAGCAGAAAAAGTTATGATAATTCAAAAAATCTTGGGTTCACCTGGAGAAAAAACAGAGTTTTATATTTTTCAAATTTCCAAAAAATCAAATAAAGTTCCAGCTGATTCCAAAAAAAAAAAATTCAAAAAACATTTTTCCAGACAAAAAACAGGTGAATCCAGAAGCTTATTTCGAAAACTAAATAAAAGAGTTCTAGCTTTCCAAAAAAAAACAAGGTGAAAAAAGTTCGCTCTATGCACATTTTTTTATCTGATCATTGAATTCTCTGGAGAAAGAGTTCAAAAACTAGAAAATTTTTAGGTAGGCTTCACGAAAAAAATTTCAAAAATAAAAAAAAAAACATGTTCGTCAGAATTGCTAAATGGTCAGAATGAATAAGTACATAGATGTGTCACATTACAAACCAAAGGCGAACCAAACACCTGATGATTTTGAAGCGACTAAAATTTGTGTGTGAAATTTGATATGGAAGGGTCACAACGTTCCGAAATTTTTGTTGCGAAGGGAACTTTTTTGGATTTTGAGCTTGATAGGAAAATTAGCTAAATTACTGAAGGATAATGAACCTGTGAGCCGGAGCCGAGAAAATGAGCTCTAAAAATTGGCACAAAACCAGGAGTGTCTACACCTTCATTTTAAGGGTTTCTGGTTCGAGGCCGCCTCGCGACTATTTTTTGAATTTTTTAAAATGGTTTTTTTTGTGTAGGATTTTGAAAAAAATTTCAAACACACACAAAAATTCACTAAAAATTTAAAAAAATTAGTCACAATGTGTACTCGAATCTGAAACCCTCAAAATGAAGTTTAGTCAAATTTTCAGAGCTCATTTTCTTGGCTCCGCCTGGAGCTCTGCAGCTATATTTTACAGTTTAGAGTCATCAGCAGTTCTAGATTTCTAGAAGCCCAAATCGCTGGCTCCAAGGAACGAAAAAAATATCTACCAATTCATTTTTTTCACACCAACTGTCAATATCTTATTAAAACTAAAAAATAATAAGAAAACTGCGATTTGCTTCGCTGCAAAAATAAAGAAGACACAACAAATCCAACGGGCGAAAAATATATGAAAATAAAGTTTTTTTTTTCGCGGCGTATGGAATAAATAAAGAAAAAGAAAAAACGTTTTACTCAATGTTGTCAACACATTTTTTTCGAAAAAGAAAGAAAAAAAATGTATAAAAACAGCAGAAAAAGGGTGAGGATGAGTAGTAGTAGAAAAATGAGAAGAAGCGAGAATGAAAAGTGTCCTGAAAACAATAAAAATGAAATTTTATCCGAGCCGTCGCCGCGCGCTTTTTTTGGCACAATATACATAAGATAATTGTTTGGGATTCATCATGGTGTAAGTGTTTGTTTGTTTATATTTAATGAAAAAAACTGAGTTTCAGGGATTTTTTTTGGAAAAAATTGTGAATTTTTCAATCAGACTTGATTCAAAAATTGTCTCCAGTCATTGAAAATGTTTCATAAAAATTGGAATTGACAGAAAAACACAGCTCTAAATTACTTTACACGGTGTTTCACTTTGAAATTTCTTAACTAATGTTTGAAAATCTCCCAGAAAAAATCCTTCGAGGATTGTACTACTTTCAAATTAGCATAACTTATCAGATCTTTAAAAAAACGTTTTTTCAAGATCAAATTTCTCAACCTTTTCTCAAACCTCAAAAAATTCATGTTAGATTCTATAGTTGGACATGAGTGCTCGGCCAAAAAACGACATAGCTCGGGGCGACTCGCTACACAATTTTCGAGACTCGTTTTGTAGCGAGTTGCCCCAAACGCGCGCTCAAAAGTGGCGAGTGCCGGGCAACTCGCTACAATTTTTGCCCATTTTTAAAATCATGGTTTTTATGCTTTTTTTCTGGGATTTCACAGTGATTCATTTATTAAATGGCCCATATAAATGTAGGGTAATAGAACTACAAGTAGATCTACTTTTGCTTCATAGCCACAGTTTTTGAAAAATGCTTCTGGACACCCTCCGAGAGAGTGGATCGGGGCGAGAACGGGGCAAGTTGCTTCACGCTTGGGCGAGTCGCCCCAAGCTCGCCCAAACAGTCTCGGGCCAGTCGCCCGAAACGTCTAGCGACTCCGCCCCGATTGGTAGCGACCTCGCCGTTTTCTGCCCGAGTGGTTTTTCAAATGGTTTGAGCGAAACCAGTTTGATTGGTTCGCTCACTCATTTGGTTTTCGGATCGCTCATTTGAAATGGTTCGCTCACTCATTTGGTTTTGGTTCGCTCATTTGAAATGGTTTCGGTTTGGTTTTGGTTTTTGGTTCGCTCACTCATTTGAAAACCGGTTTTCGCTCAAATGTCAACTGGTTTTGGGGTATTAGGTATTGATGAATTTCGAGGTTTTCGGCTATGGAGATTCACGTGATGGACTTATTTTCACGTATAATCACTCTTAAAGGCACACACCAAGCAAAAAAATTTTTTTTCGGAAAATGGGGTATTTGGGCACGTGAAAATACGCATTTTTGCTAAAATTTGCGTTCAAAAATTGATATTTCCGAGAAAAAAACGTATTTTTCACTCCTTAGGAGCAATATTTGAACTTCGGTCCAATGAGAAAAAATTTAGCTGACGACGAGCACGTCAAAATGGCTGTCGAAATTTTGAAAAAGCTCAAAAGATGGCAGAGTTATGATCGTTTTAGTTTTTGTGTCTCGAAAATGTATAATAACCTGGCATGTGTCTTTAAAAGTCTGTTTTGGAGCGTATACCTCACCAAAATGTTCCCCGAGCCCAAATACCCCATTTTTCGAAAAAAAAATTTTTGCTTGGTGTGTGCCTTTAAGAGTGATTATACGTGAAAATAAGTCCATCACGTGAATCTCCATAGCCGAAAACCTCGAAATTCATCAATACCTAATACCCCAAAACCAGTTGACATTTGAGCGAAAACCGGTTTTCAAATGAGTGAGCGAACCAAAACCAAACCAAACCATTTCAAATGGGCGAACCGAAAACCAAATGAGTGAGCGAACCAAAAAAACTGGTTTCGCTCGGTTTTTTTCGAACCATGTCCAACTATATTAGATTCCCCTATTTTTTCATGAATGCAAGAAAGGTTATTGTATTACACCAATTTTTCTGCTACTGATACAGTAGCCGAAAAATTATTGTATTACAAAAAACCTTTCTCGCATTCACTTTTTTTCTATTTATTTTTTTTTTTAATTAAAATTTGTAAATACGATGGATCACTTGCAACAAACCGTCTCCTCTCTTATTCTTTTTCGTGCGACGACAACACACAGGTCTCACCTGCCTCTATTTTTTTCATGCAAAGTGGGCGGGGCCAAGGTTCGGTCCCACATGCCGACAAACTTTTTTTCAAATGTTTTTTGAAAATGTTCGTTTCTTGAAGAGACAGTGAGAGAAACAGACAAAAAAGGCGCTGTGGCCTGGTCTCGCACCGATTGGCGAAAAAAGTTTACTTGGAAAAAATGGAATTTGAAATCTCATCATTTCACAGTGTCTTTCAATTCGAGAATTGCAAAAAAGTTGAAAATTGTCATTAGAGACAATGCGAAATGAAGAGAGTGCAGACAACAAATTCTAAAAATTATAAGAATAAGCCAAAAAAAAGTGTGACAAAAAAAAATCTGAGAATAATCACGGGGGCAGGTGGATATTTTTCTCTTGTGAAATCAAATTATTCTGGTAAATAAATCAGGTGTGTTCTAGCCTGCATGCCAAGTGAAAAACAGAAAACGAGAGAAAAAATATAAATACACAGAGGAGTTCACGACAATTCATAAATCAAATGACATGTTTTTTGAATTTTACGACTTGTGAGAAGTTTGGAAGATAAAAATAATAAATAAGCAGAAACAGGAGCAAAAATGTTGGAGGCAAAATTATTTTGAAATGAAATAAAATGAACATATGCTCTTTTGAGTTGAGTTGACTTGAGTTGTAACAACTGATGAGATTTCAATCAAAACTATTTATGATACTTTTCTGATTATTTACTCGGAAAATTGAAAACTAGGAGGGATATTGATCTTGGGATTTTTCAGAAAAAATATTGAAATTAATTTTTTTCAATTTTTTAAATGAAAAATGGCTACAAGAATCACTCAAACTTCAGAATTTCAAAGTACAAATTTGACTCCCCAAAAAAAACTAACCTGAAAAGTGCCAAAATCAGAATTTTCGCGAAGTTTGATATAAATCGAGCCAACATTCTTCCAACAAAAAACATTCCTGAAAAATGGCCAAATTAAAAAAACCTAGGCAGTTCAAAAAGCTTGAAAATCCCATTAAGAATTCAGCAGCCAAACAAAAAGATTTCAGACATTTGTCTCTAGAGTCGAAGAAAAAAGTAAGCAGAAATAGTGTTTTTTTTTCTGTACATACATATGTATGCTCTTTTTAAAGCTTTTGGAAGAAGGGAGGAAAAATGAAGCATGAAATAGTGAAAAACAATGACAATTCTTAATTAATGTATGATTCATTATTCAATCCGAGCGCATATTTTTTTTTGAATAGCGAAGGAAAATGAGCATTTTCTCACATGCTCAATATATTGATAGAAAAGTGCTTTGAAATTTACAAAAAGGGGTGAAAAAAAGGGCCAAGCTCACAGAAAAACATGAAACATGAGAAGTATATCTATATAATTTGAAAATTTCACTTTTCATAGCCATAAAAAATGGAGAGAAATGCAACAAATCTGAGGATCGAATTTCTTTGAATTTCATATGAATATGAATGGCTTGATGAAGTGCTTTTTTAGAAGGGAAATTTTTGGAAACAAATTTTTAACAGAGAGAAAAAATGGAACTTTTTTCGAAAAAATTTAACAAATTATTCACATAAATATAAATTTTTTTTTAAATTCTAAATAAAAAAAATAACGGAGCAGTTCAAAAAGCTTTAAAACCAAAATTAATTTGTTAAATTTCAGAATTAAAAAAAAAATCTATATAATGAGAAAAAAGGAAACAATGTCAAAAAAAATTGCAAATCCAAAAATCTCCTCTCGCACACACATATTATCATTGGAGCGCACTTTCCACATAGACTATTTTTTTGTGCGGGAGGGGAAGGAAAAAAGGTTTCTTTTTCTGTTGCTTGTTTTTGTTTTGTAATTTTTCTGTTGCTTGTTTATTTTTGTTATAAAAAACATGATTGAACATAAATTTTGAAGCTATATTTTTTTTTATTTTTGGATCTGTTCTGTTCGTTTCTATAATTTTCAGAAAATATTTATCTTATTCCTCCATTTCCTTTGAATTTATCAAAATAATTTTCTTTTAACCAAATTTTTTCACCAGGTAAAATGGTTTTATCTTTTCATCGAAATGAGCAAAAAGAGCCAATTCTCCTAATGCCAACCCAAAATAATTGAATAATTAATCCTCTTATCGGCTGCCAACAATTAAGACTATCAAAAAGGTGCGTTCACTAAAACTGATTAATATTTTTATTTTATTAAATGTAAATATTTTTGTGTGATTCGGAATATTTGAATTTTTTTCAGCGAGATGCTCAAATTGGCGTTGTTCTTAACCCTTTTTGGGTTGAGGTTGGGTTTGAATTGGGATACTCAAGATTTTGCGAATCGATGTAAGGAGTTTTTCAGGAAGATTTTTTTGATAAGTATTTTTGGCAATTACTGAATGGGAACTTCTTAAAGGGAACGGTTCCCATTCTTATGGGAACTAAAAATGGGAACATATTTGCATTATATTTTCTGTCTTAATGGGAACCAAAAATTGTACTGTTATTAGGCTTAATGGGAACACGAATATGTCATGCTTTATGGGAACCAATTAATAATTGAATAGATGGGAACTTTTTTCGAAAAATTCTTTTTGATTTTTTTCCAATATTCATTAGAGGTACGATTTTTTAATGAATTCTGAAAGTTGGAATCAATTCAGATAATTTTAATTCACACACTTTTCAAATATTTCAAAACATTTTTTCTACAAAATTTCAAAACACATTTTTCAAATGTATGTGCCAAAAATCTCGACCAGAAAATTACAATATCCAAATTTGAAATGAACAACTCAATGCGAAGCTTTAGTTCTGTTTAAAATCGGACCACTTCTCAGAAGTTCGAAATATATCGAAAATTTTGAACAGATTGTCGACACCCGTCAAAAATTTTCGCACCTTGGTGCTAAAAAAAACCGCGTCAAACGAGAAAGAGTGCACGAATTTTGAAGAGACCGAGATGCATGTTTTGGGAAGTCTCGTACCCGTCAGAAATAATCCAGGGAAAACATGTGGATTTATCTATTTGAAAAATTATTTTCAGGTAAATCTGTGAACGAAATTTTCAGAAAACTCGAAGTTAACTCTAAACGAAATAATAAAGTTCTGAAAATCTTTTTTATAATCAAAATTGATTTGTAATCAAATCTTATCATTATTATTGATATAAAAAATCTTCCAAAGATCAGAATTCCTCTAGACGTAAAATTTTTTACAGTCCGCTTTAGAAAACAACTGTTATATATGACACACTTTGGGACTTATGTCTTTTTCAGAAAAAATATTATGAAAAAAACGAATTTTTACAAAAAAGTGTGAATTAAAATTATCTGAATTAATAAGACCTGAATTGATTCCAACTTCCATAATTCATATTAAAAAATCGTGCCTCTAATTAATAGTGGAAAAAAAAATCAAAAAGAATTTTTCGAAAAAAGTTCCCATCTATTCAATTATTATTTGGTTCCCATAAAGCATGACATATTAGTGTTCCCATTAAGCCGTAAATAAAACAGTACAATTTTTGGTTCCCATTAAGACAGAAAATATAATGCAAATATGTTCCCATAAAAAAGGGAACGGTTCCCATTTTTTGTTCCCATAAAAATGGGAACTGTTCCCTTTAAGAAGTTCCCATGCAGTAATTGCCGTATTTTTTGCAGTGAATGAGAAAACCAAACTGTTTCATGACTTGGGACTTCCAAATGTTGGAGATCGTTTTAATCCAATTTTTCCGGAGAAACAGGTAACTTTTTTAAAGGGACATGGGCTAAAATATAATATAATATGCTTTTACACGAATCTGAAAATATTTCCTGTTCTAGAAATATCAGATGCCAGATTATGATACACTTTTCATTTGAAAATTAGAAAAAAAATTTTCCTGAAATTATTTATACTTTTCAAAAAATTTAAGACAACTAGAATCTGAAATTTTTTCTGAATCAATAATATTTCCAGCAATTGAAGACGCAAACCAAATCCGAACAACTTGACAATGTTCCATGTCCTCCTGGTTTTTCTGGTATCAACTGCAGTATTGGTATGTTTCCTCTATTTGCAAACAATTTTTTTTATCAGTAAAAAAATTCTCAATTCTTATCTTTTCAGCAACATGTTACAATAGAAGTTATCCAATTTTGGCACACGATGGAACTGCTGAATTTGGTGATTTGGTGGAGAGTGATTACAGGTGAATTCTGATTTTAAGGGAAAAACGAGTCCAAAACAATATTTTTTCAGTGCAACATGTTCTGACACTTTCACATTCTACATTGACAATGCAATTCCAAAATTCTACGTTGTTTTGAATACTTTTGATGCGACAAATCCGAAAGGAACAATTTATGATTCTTATGGAACTGAAGTTCAATCATGTGGAGATTTTTCATTTTCCAAGACTCAAACTATTCATCTTATTTGTGATCCACCAAAGGGAGTGTATACTGTAAAGCTTTCAGCTGATGCTAACAAGTGAGTTAGGGTTCAACATGGTTCTTCAGGCTACACTCATTAAAGTTTTAAAAAAAATCAATAAATTAAAAAAGAGTTCCAAAAATTCTTCCCGCGCAAGAAAGTAATTCAATTTTCTTGGAGTGACTGCGAGAGGGACAGACAAAAACACGAGAGAGTGTGTCGACTGGAGAGAGTGCAGACATGCAGGGCCAGTTTTCTTTGAATTATCGCATTAGATTTGTTCTGCACGTTTATTTTTCAAAACCTATTTTTTATCTTGAATTCAATTCTTTACTGAAAAAAATTATTTTTCAGACCCTGCATTTTTGAAATTCGCGCTCCAACAAATCTCACAATCGATGGTGGATTCATCAGTGATCAAAGAGACGATGATGTTCAACAGATTATTTTGGAAACTGCGAATCAGGGAATTTTCAGATATCCAACAGAGGTAAGATCTGAAAAACCTCATTTCAAAAAAAAAACAAATTATTTTCAGTTTGTCAAAAGTTGGTTCGCCTTCAAAGTGGAGCACGAAGAATTCCCAGCTCATCCAGAAGAAGTGCACATCTATATGAACGGTTTATACGATCAAACCTTCGGATTGAATTTGAGATATGGTTGTGATGCTCCACACATCACATCAACACCCTATAATTGCTCATCTTCAAATGTTTATCATGTGAAAGTTCGAGGTTATGACAGTGATGGAAATCGATTCCAAAGAATTTATGATTTTTATTGTGAACCTCCGGAGAATGTTTCACCAACACAGAATCCAGTTTCAACAACTCCACCATCTTTTTGTCAGAATGGAGGGATTTTGTATGATAGTGTGAGTGGAAATGTGGGGGGGGGGGGAAGATTTTTCTTAAAATATTAAATTCAAAAGGATTCCTTTTAAGCCCAAAATTCTGAAAGGGCAATCTTTTCACTCAACGATCGAAAACTAAGATTTTGAGAATAGGCTTCCAATTTTCTCCCAATTGACCTTGGAGCCAATTTTCAAAAAAATTTTTGAGAGAAATAAAGTTTCAGTTATTTTTTCTGGAAACTGAATTCATTTATGCTTTTTGGCAAAATCGATTTTCTGAAACTCAGTTTTTTTTTCAAAAAACATTAGTTATGATAACTTCCATGAGCCAAATTTGGCAATTTTTGAGAGCCCAGAACTTGGCTCAGAAGGCCTTGGGAGACTGAAATTTTAAGAGTGTTTTTTCTCAAAATTTTCGACCTTGGAACCAAGTTCTCAATGTGAGCTTTTAAAAACTAAAAAAAAATTCATTTTCAAAACAATTTTCGGAAAAAATTAAGTCTCAGAACTTTTTTCCAAAATCGAAATTTTTTCTGGAAACTGAATGCTCTGATACTCAGTTTTTTTTTTCGAAAAACATTAGTTATGATAACTTTCCTGAGCCAAATTTGGCAATTTTTGAGAGCCCAGAACTTGGCTCAGAAGGGTGTTTTTTTATTCCAAAATTTTCAAAATCAAGATTTGAAGTGTTGAGAAAAAAACTTTTCTGAATGCAAAATGTTTATTGATAAAAATCCAAGAAGATTTATGCCTTGTATGAGTTTCCTCCACGTGATGGACATGGGCAATATCCGGCATCTTGTCCTGGTTGAGCATCTTCTCCCTTTGGTCCCGGAATTCCGTTCTTTCCTGGTGATCCTGGTGGTCCTGGTCGTCCGGCATTTCCTGGTTTGCCTGGCTCTCCATCGTTTCCTGGAGTTCCTGGGTTTCCTGGTTGTCCGGCTTCTCCTCTTGGTCCCGGTGGTCCTGGTCTTCCTGGTGTTCCTGGTCTGTATTGAGTTCCTGGCTCTCCACGTTGTCCTGGTGGCCCTGGTCGTCCGGCGTTTCCTGGTTTTCCAGCGTCTCCTGGCTCTCCTGGTCTTCCCAAACCTCCTGGTGGTCCTGGTGGTCCTGGTCGTCCGTTGTCTCCTGGAAGTCCAGCTGATCCAGGTCCTCCTGGGTTTCCTCTTGGTCCTGGACGTCCTGGTGGGCAGGTGATGCATCCACCGGGGAGATCGTGGGTAACAGCGACAAGAACTCCTGGTGCTCCTGGAGTACCGTCCTCTCCTGGATTTCCTGGGTTTCCTGGTTGTCCGTCCTCTCCTGGTGGTCCTGGTGGTCCGGCTGGGCAATCGCGAGATTTCTGTCCGCAGTTACATTGCTCTGGATATCCGACTTGACGAGCGCGACGAGTTCCGAACAAGGTTTCGAAGGTTGGAGCGGCATCGGTGAGGCCAGTTGGGTTGACGTGTTTGGAGACCATGCGAGCCCAAGTATCCTTGGTGATCACCTAAAAATTTAAGGTTGCTAAGGCTCCCAGGGCTTTAGAGATTAACCGCTTATGAGATCAGGCTTACAGGGCTTTTGAGATTAAGTACCCAGGGATTTCGATTTTAGGCTTCCAGGGCTTTTGAGATTAGGCTTCCAGGGCTTTTGAGATTTAGCTCACAGGGCTTCTGAAATTAGGCTCACAGGGCTTTTGAGATTAGGCTTCCAGGGCTTTAGAGATTAGGCTCACAGGGTGTCTGAGATTAGGCTAACAGGGATTTTCAGATCAGGGCTTCTGAAAATTAAATTCCAAGGTTTCTGAGATTAGGCACCCAGGGCTTTCAAGATCAGATTCACAGGGCTTCTGAAATCAGGCTTCCAGGGCTTTTGAGATTAGGCTACCAGGGCTTTTGAGTCGCAGGGCTTTTGAGATCAGACTCACAGGAGTTTTCAGATTAAGCTCCCAGGGCTTTTGAGATTAACCTCACAGGGCTTTTGAGATCAGGCTCACAGGGGTTTTCAGAAAAAACTCCCAGGGCTTTTCAGATAAGGCTTCCAGGGCTTCTGAATGTGATATTAGGCACCCATGGCTTTTGTGATTTTTAGGGTTTCTGCGAAATTGGAACCTTCCGGGGGTTCTAAAGCCTCACAGGGCTTTTGAGATGTCTTCAAAGCCCTCTCTTGAAAGCTGAAATTTTTTTCAATGATCTTTAGATTCTCTGAAATGTTACCTAAAGCACCCAAAATCATTTTCTTCAAAAAAACTCACTCTAAACTCATCCATACCATCATGAATCTCACTTTGAAGCTCATCAATCTCACTCAAAAGTGAGCTCATTGTGAAGAAGGTGCAACCAATGCATACCAAAATGGCGCAAGATCCAACCAAGATGATTTTGCTCATCTTTGGAAACTGATACCTTTTCATATTCCAGCCCAACCTTTTATACATTTTCTTTCTCTTAAACAGTTTTCTTATCTTACGCCTCATCTCTTTTCTCTCCTAAGATTACACACTATTTCTCTGAAGTAGTGTGACCGAAGTAATTAGTTTTTGTTCCTTTCCTTTTCCAGAAAAACTAAACCAAAAATTGTAAAAACAATTTCAGGGTTGCTATTGTGGAGAATTTTTCACCGGTGCGAACTGTGAAGTTCCGGTTTGTATCAATGGTGGAACTGTGATCACTGATAATTTGGGATGTTTATGTCAATTGGGTTATTCTGGAGAACATTGTCAACATGTTACTTGTTCACAACAATCGACTGATGATTTTGAAGAATCGCAAAGTGCACTCGCTTTTGTTATTCGAGCTGCTCCAAGCATGCAAGTTCAGATGGATGAAATTGTGGAGACGGCGGAAAAAATTGTCAATTTTTATGAAGGACATTATCCGATTTTCTTGCAAGCTTATGTTTTGGCTGTTGTTTCTAATAATGGTAGAGATTTTGGGAGAATTTGAAGAGGGCTTGGGATTTGAAATCGGAATTAAGCCACTTGAAAAGAATCAGACCAAACTTTTGAAAAAAAAAACAAAATTTTCAGAAGACTGATTAGAGAAAATTCTGATTTTTTTTAAATTTAGGTTTTCGAAATTTTCAAAACCCAGATAAAATATTAAAAATATCTGAAAAATCATTTTGAATGTAAAATTAAAATTTGTAAGAACATAATTCAAAACCGGAAAAGTTTCAAAACTTTCAAAAATAAATTTCGAATTTTAGATTATCCCATTCGGAATTTTTTCTTGAAATTATAAAATTATTCAATGAATCACATTTTGTTAAAGCAAAGTTTCCAGATGTCTGATTATAACATTTCAAAAATTGGTTTCACGAAAAATTTGAAGTCGAAAAATTTCAAAAAATCATTTTGAAATTTTTCGACTTCAAAAATCATCAAATTTTTAGATGATTCGATTCGGAATTTTTTCTTGAAAACATCAAAATTATCTGAACCTTTCCAGTGATGACCAAAAATGATTTATAATTTTCAAAAATTGGGCTTTTTTCTCTGACAAAGCCCAATTTCTTTATTTCAGACATTGTCTTTGTCCACGAATATGAAACCGGTCAAGCCTTCATCGATTCAATTCGAAGTATCTCCCTCCCACCAAGTCAAACAGCCTGTGAAGATCCATTACTTTCTGGAGTATCTCAAGTATTATCAATGAATGCCTTCAAAAAATATCCAAATTCACCAGTATTCGTATTTTCTGATGGTCCAGCTAATGATAATTTTGAAACTGTTGGAGATCTTATGCAAAAAATTGTCAACACTAGAGCTCAGGTAAATCTTGATACATAGATGAGACTTCACATAAATTTTTTTGAAGATCAACTTCGTAATCACCGACGCTGCCGATGGTTCCTGCAACGTCGATGTTTCCTCCAATTCCTATGAATCGCTTCGTCAAATCTCTCGACTTTCCAAAGGATTGTTGGCTCAAGCTCAACTCACTCAACTCGGTGAAATGACTTTCCAACTCGCTCAAAATATTTGGCAATATGATACAATTTTGACAAATGATTTGGAGGATTGTAGAAAAGCGCCAACTTTCCAACCATTTTTTGTTGATCAATCGATCGATTATTTGACTCTTCAAGCTACAGGATGTGAGTTTTCAGGGGTTTTTGAAGGGGGAACTTTTCTGAAAAATCATTTCTGATTTATTTTCCATGTAAATTTTTTGAATAGTTTCAAGACCAAAACAAAGACGCTGTAATCGTTTTCAGAAATCTGAAAAGCTGAAATTCTCAATGTCAGACAAATGAACATAAGGGTACTGTAAAAGATTTACAGTAATCATCCAATATTTTCGGCTACTCATATTACGAAGCTAAAACAGAAAGAAAGATTGCTCATATTAGCCTAGGTTTGGGATGAATTGCTCATATAAAATTGAACCCGAAACAAATTTAAAAAAAAACCAGATTTCTTATCCAAAAACTTTATGATCACATTTGCGGCATTTCCTAAAAAAAATTATCGATTTTTCAGATGGCCTTGCACCGGTTCTCACATTCCCCAACAAAACTCAAGTTGTCCCACCACTCGTTTTCACAAATGGTGATTTATACATTTGGAAAACTTCGAAGCCACCAGTTGGAGCGTATTTCGTAAGTTTTACCATTTTTTTCTCTGAAAAAAAATCTGAAATCCTTACCTGACTGTTTTTCAGCTCAACATCAATAGCACCGGCACACATTCTTCAGTTTGTCAATACAGATTGATGGGAAGATCCACATATCGTTTGTATGCTTCGATTTCCAGTGATTTGTTGACTGATAACACTTATCATACTCCAGTTTATCGTAAGAAAATTTGAGTTAGACTATCTCCAAAACAAATATTTTTTACAGAACAATCTTCACACTTGGTTGCTCGTATGGATTCTTTATATTTGGATGATCCACTTGATGCAACTCTTGAAGCTACTGTTTGGTATAATGGTAAATTTTTTAAGAATTTTTAAGATGTTTAGGCTAGAAAAGTTGTCTTCTAAATTCTAGAAACTCAAAAACTTCTAGCCAAAAATAATAGGCAATCTCTGAATGGGGCCCCTGGATGGGGCCAGTTTCTGAGAAAATGGGGCCACCTGAATGGGGCCACTTGTGTGGCAAATTCCCTCAATGGGGCCAGCAAGAAAAAAGTAAGAATTTCTCACTTTTTCCTGAATGGGGCCACCTAAAAAGATGAAACACATAATTTCTGGTAATCTCTGAATGGGGCCCCTGAATGGGGCCAGTTTCTGAGAAAATGGGGCCACCTGAATGGGGCCACTTGTGTGGCAAATTCCCTTAATGGGGCCAGAAAGAAAAAAGTAAGAATTTCTCCCTTTTTCCTGAATGGGGCCACCTAAAAAGATAAAACACATAATTTTTGTATATTTCCTCAATGGGGCCATGTATTTTTTGTGCATTTCCTGAATGGGGCCCATCTTCTCATTTTTATACATCTTGTGACGTCATAGTGACCGTGAATTGAAATTTCATGAAAGTTTTCAAATTTTTTAATGGCGTATGTGAGTTATAACTTACTCATATGTTTACCACGTATACAATTGTTGGGTTCTGAAGGCATGGAGCCTCTTTTACATGAAAATTCCCCAGTTTCATGAATTTTTGAAACAGTAAAATTGAATGAAATATTTCTTTTTGGAATTCAAGTCTTGCTTATTTCAAACACTCGAAAACTATCAAAAATCACAGAGAAAATTCAGAATTTTGCACAAATTGGAGAAAAAATATCAAATGTTTTTTCTCAAATTTTCGGGTCACGAAATTTTCGGGTTACTACGCATTAAACAATTCGAAAATATTCACAGAAGCATGTTTTGAAAATTGAACCAAAATCTGGAAGTAGTTCGTTAGATAATTCTCACAGAAATTCTATATAAAATTTAAAAACTATTGAAAAACATGTCATATAAGTTTTCACACCTTGATATTTTGGCACCTTGCCCATAAATAAGACACGGACATCGCGCAAAAAAAGTGTGTTTTTTTGGAGACCCAGATGAGTTTTTTGGGAAGTTATCCAAAAAATTGTTGTCAACTAGCTAAGAATACGATAATAACCAAAACTTAATGACATGAACAACTTATTTTAGAAGAAAACATCAATTTTATTGAAGAAAATAAATATAAGAATTGAAGAAAATAATAGGCAAGAAATGTAAAAGTTTACCCAGAAAAATTATTCGAATTATTCGAGGAAAATTTAAATATTTTCATCATCAGAGCCTGAAAATTTGAGAAAAAGTTACATTCGAAATGTTTTCAATGCTGAGAATAAAAACCACATCATAATAACGTTATTAAAAATTTGAAAACTTTCATGAAATTTCAATTCACGATCACTATGACGTCACAAGATGTATAAAAATGAAAAGATGGGCCCCATTCAGGAAATGCACAAAAAATACATGGCCCCATTGAGGAATTATGCAGAAATTATGTGTTTCATCTTTTTAGGTGGCCCCATTCAGGAAAAAGGGAGAAATTCTTACTTTTTCTTTCTGGCCCCATTAAGGGAATTTGCCACACAAGTGGCCCCATTCAGGTGGCCCCATTTTCTCAGAAACTGGCCCCATTCAGGGGCCCCATTCAGAGATTGCCTAATTTCTGCATAATTCCTTAATGGGGCCATGTTTTTTTGTGCATTTCCTGAATGGGGCCCATCTTTTCATTTTTGTACATCTTGTGACGTCATAGTGATCGTGAATTGAAATTTCATGAAAGTTTTCAAATTTTTAATAACGTTATTATGATGTGGTTTTTATTATCAGCATTGAAAACATTTCGAATGTAACTTTTTCTCAAATTTTCAGGCTCTGATGATGAAAATATTTAAATTTTCCTCGAATATTTCGAATAATTTTTCTGGGTAAACTTTACATTTTCCCAATTATTTTCTTCAATCAAATTGATTTTTTCTTCTAAAATAAGTTGTTCATTTCATTAAGTTTTGGTTATTACCGTATTCTTAGATAGTTGACAACAAGTTTTTTGGATAACTTCCCAAAAAACTCATCTCCGTCTCCAAAAAAAACACACTTTTTTGCGCGATGTCCGTGTCTTGTTTATGGGCAAGGTGCCAAAATATCAAGGTGTGAAAACTTATATGACATGTTTTTCAATAGTTTTCAAATTTTATATAGAATTTCTGTGAGAATTATCTAACGAACTACTTCCAGATTTTGGTTCAATTTTCAAAACATGCTTCTGTGAATATTTTTCGAATTGTTTAATGCGTAGTAACCCGAAAATTTCGTGACCCGAAAATTTGAGAAAAACATTTGATATTTTTTCTCCAATTTGTGAAAATTCTGAATTTTCTCTGTGATTTTTGATAGTTTTCGAGTGTTTGAAAAAAGCAAGACTTGAATTCCAAAAAGAAATATTTCATTTAATTTTACTGTTTCAAAAATTCATGAAACTTGAGAATTTTCATGTAAGAGAGGCTATGCCTTCAGAATCCAACATTTGCATACGTGGTAAACATATGAGTAAGTTATAACTCACATACGCTATTAAAAAACTTGAAAACTTTTATGAAATTTCAATTCACGATCACTATGACGTCACAAGATGTATAAAAATGAGAAGATGGGCCCCATTCAGGAAATGCACAAAAATTACATGGCCCCATTGAGGAATTATGCAGAAATTATGTGTTTCATCTTTTTAGGTGGCCCCATTCAGGAAAAAGTGAGAAATTCTTACTTTTTCTTGCTGGCCCCATTGAGGGAATTTGCCACACAAGTGGCCCCATTCAGGTGGCCCCATTTTCTCAGAAACTGGCCCCATTCAGGGGCCCCATTCAGAGATTACCAAATAATATAACTTTGGCAAAATTCTCTATAGAGTGTGACAAGATGTTCTAATTTTACTAGACTCTAGTTTAAATATACCTGAAACTAGACTGTAGTTAGAGTCTAGTTTAGCTTGGCTCTAGTAATTGGATTTATTTGGCTAAACTTCATTGATTCCACACTTTAGTTAAACTAAAGTCTAGTTACTAAAGCTCAACTAGACTCTAGTTTAACTAAACACTAGTATAACTAGATTCTAGTAATAATGGAATAATCCTAAATGAAAAATTGATAAATGGAATTTTTCAAGCCTCAAAACCTGCGCTCAAATTTTGAAAAAAATTGAATTTCAGAAAATCTAGAATTGAAAATTTCCAGACCCTGCTACAAGCCAAAGACAAATGCTCTACGCATCTTCTGGACAATGGCGAGATAACTGCAAATATGAAATGTATTTCGGAACCTTCACATGCCCTCAAGCATTCCTCCCAATTTATATCAACATTTATACCTCCGATGTTTATGGTCAAGTAGTTCTCCGAACAACCACAACCTTCTGCTCAACATCTCCTCCACAACCAGATACCCAACAATGTTTGAATGGTGGTGTTCTTTATAACAACACTTGTATATGTCAAAGTCATTTCTCTGGTGAAAGATGTCAAACAATTTCATGTGAAAATGGTGGAAGTTCACAATTTGGAATCTGCCAATGTGCTGCTGGATTTAGTGGACAATTTTGCGAAGTTTCCAAATGTTTTGAATATAATAATTATGGATTTTGGGGTTTCAATCATCGAAGTTTATCAATTATGATTCATGATTCTCTCACTACCCGAGCCACTTTGAGAACTTTGAATGACGCAGCGCCAAGAGTTTTTAATGATATTCTCTATCAACATCCAAAATGGATTTCGAATTATCAACTTCTTCGATTTAATGATTCTGCACATTCTTTGATTGTTGATAGTACAAATGGAAAAGATATTGTTAGTGGCATTTCTGATCTTTATAATCAAAACCTTCAACATAGTGGATACACTTGTTTATCGTTGGATTTCTATGCAACTCTTCTTGAAGTTATTTCTCATGATAAGTGAGTTTTGGAACAAGGAAGATTGAATGATTTTTTTATCTAGCTAGATTATAGAGCTCAAAAATCTTTGAAAATTTGGATTTTTCAGACTTTTTTTCACTAGAAAATCATAAATTTTCATTACAAAATAATATTCTCAAAGAATTTTTTTGCAGAATTAAAATTTCTGACAAAATTAGAATTTCAGAGGTTTTTTGAAAATGTCTTGCAAAGTGGATTTTTCAACACAGAATTTCAGAAATATCAAAAATTTTCTCGAATTTTCTGGGTATGCATTCTGAAATTTTGAAAATTTTCATTACAAAATGATTTTTGGGAAAATTTTTTTTGAAGACTTTTTCGCAGATTTGAAATTTTTGAAAAATTTTCTGAAAATGTGGATTTTTCAGACTTTTTTTCCACTCGAATATCATACATTTTCATTATAAAATATATTTCTCGAATAATTTTTTTCAAATTTAAATTTTTTGTCAAAATTAGAATTTCAGATGTTTTTTGAGCATTTTATTTTAAAGTCGGGTTTGAAAAGGTCCTTGAATTTTCTGGACCAAATTTGGCCATCTGTTTTTTAAGCTCAAAATTTGAAAATTTGTTTTTTTATGAAAATCTCCAAGCTCACAGGTTCATTAGAGTCCAGAAAATTTTAAAACCTAAAAAAAAACTTTTCAATAAAAAATCTGAATTTCAGAAATTTCAAAAATTTTCTCGACTTTTCTGGATATGCATTCTGAAATTTTGAAAAAAATGTTGATTTACTGAACTTCGGAACTTTTTGGTTCAAACATTTGAGTCCAGAAAATTAAAAAAACTCAATTCTTTCTAAATCTTTTTCAGTGTTCAATGGGGTGGAATTGTGTACGTCTTCCTCTACGGTCAACCAAAACAAGATCTCGTCTCATACGGTCAAATCCTCCAAAGAATCGAAGTCAACAAAATCCAAATCAACATCATTCAATCATCTCTAAACCCCTGTGGTCAAGACATCACAGTTGACGGATTAATCAGTTTAACCCAGTTCTCCGGTGGAAGTTTCATCACTGCAACAACTCCAAATTCAGGAAGTGTTCTCAATCAAATTCCAACCAATTACATGTCAAGTTTGATCTACGAAAATACTCTTACCGATTGTTCTGATGCCACTTTCTACATTCCAATCGATGATGGAACTCAATCCTTCACAACATATATTCAAGGTTACTTGAATTCAGCGCCAATTTATACACCACCAGGTGATAGTGAAGCTTCAGTTTCGAACCTCTTCAATGACTATGGAACTAACGCTAGAATGGATTATGTTGTTCGATCTTGTGATGATGGATGGATTGCGATTGACAATCATTGTTATAAATTCTCAACTGAAGCTGGATTTTGGTATGAAGCTTTGGTGACGTGTCATATGGAGAATGCTTCGTTGGCTAATATTTTTAATTATGAGGAACAATCAAAGTTGAATGGTTTGTAAATGGGTTTGGGAATTTTGGAAATATTTTTTTTGAAGTTCAAAATTGTTTTCAAAAAATTTTACTCAAAAAATTTAGAGATTTTCCTAAAAAAAAGTTCCCAGAATTGAAAAACCGCAAGAGCAAATTGTCCCTGCAGACAAACGAAATAATGTTGTAATGTCTGCAGTCTCTCTAATTAGCACACACTCTCATTTATTTTTCTCTCAGTCTCTTCAAAACATTTGACTTATTTTCCCGCGCGGGACGAACGTTTTCACAAAAAAAATTCGAGAGAATTAAAAAAAAAGTTGGTCGGCATGTGGGATCGAACCTTGGCCCCGCCCACTCCGCATGAAAAAGATAGAGACAGGTGAGACCTGTCAGTTGTCGTCGCATGAAAAAGAATAAGAGGGGAGACGGTTTGTTGCAAGTGATCATTTGTTTCATCTCAATTTATAAAAAAAAACGAAAACAAAGTGCTTGCACGATTGGTTTTTGTATTATAATAATTTTTCGGCTACTGTATAAGTGGCAGAAAAATTATTGTAGCACAAAAACCTTTCTTGCATTCACGAAAAATAGGGGGAATCTAACATGATTTTTTTGAGGTTTTTTGTTAAAAAAATTGATGTATTTTAAGAGAAATTTTCAGAAGTCCTTCAGTTGAGAACTGTATTAGAAAGATCTTTCTGTAAGAATTTTTTCTAGTCCAAAATATTTAGAGATGAAAAATATAATTTTTCTATGTGGAAACTTGTAGGAAGATAATTTTTCTCCACAATATCTGACTATCATTAATATACATTTTCAAAAATCAAAAAATTCCCAAGTTTACCGACAAAAATCTTCAAATTATGAAAACCACCATTTCAGCATACAGTGCTAACGCGAATTTCTGGATCGGTCTCAGTGACAGCCTTCACTTCGGTACATTCCAATGGGACAGTTTCAATGACGATATAGTTTTGACATTGAATGACACCCAATATTCCAATTGGCTTCCAGGACAACCAGAACTCAACACCGATAAACAGTAAGATTTGTTTTTATTGAAGCGAAAAACATCTTTGAATTTTTCTAGCTGTGTTGTCGATGTCAACAAGAATCAACATGGTTGGAAAACTGCTGATTGCACAGAAAAATATTATTATGTTTGTGAAAAGAATGCTTGTAAGTTCATCATTTTTTTTCAGAATTTTTTAGAGAACAAATGATTTTCAGATACTTCGGAATACACCTCTTCTAATCCAGATATTAGTGAGTTGGGAAAAGATATTTGGAATAAAAAAAATGAAAAAATATGTTTTCAGATCATCTTGGTCGTGGTATTTGGAAAGTTCAAGTCAAGGCTCAAGGACAATGCGCAATTTCAGTGAGATCTCAATCAACAATTCAAGTGAGTTATCAGAACTATTAGGTCTTGAGAATGAGAAAAGGGGGTTTTGAAAAAAAAAATTTAAATTTGGCATTTGAATTTAAATTCTAGATTCAACACACATTCAGTTTCTGCAAATAAAAAAATTCCGAGGGTAGAAAAATTTCAATTTATCATTTATTGATTTTTTTTTTCATAGATTGAATTTTTTCCGAAAGCTTAGTTTTTCTCTTGTCACGGTTGAATCTTCTCTTACTGGAGCCTAATGGAGTGAGCTATTAATTCGGCTGAAATTTTTTTAGTGCTCAAAATTGGGGTTCAGATTCAAACTTTTTAAATTTTTCTTTGAATAGCGTTAATTTTGAATAAGGCTAAATTAAAGCTCAGAACGGATTTCATAATTTTTGCAGAATCTTGAGATTACGCTTTAGTTTTCACTTTGAAAAAAAAACATTTTAGGATTTTTCACTAAAGCCTAACATTAAGCTTCATCTTTTTACAAACTTTTTTTCAAAAATTAAAATCTAACATAAGCTTTAAAGTAAGTTTGAAAATCTGAACCTAATTTTCTGAATTGAAAAAAAAATTTTTTGAATTTTGTTTTGAGCTTACTCTGATTTTTGAAAATTTTTCTTTATCTCACAACTTCATTCCCTCCAGAGTTTAATACTTCAAAACACACCCATATTTTCCAGCTCGCCACCAGATTCACCTCAAACATCCACGACGATCTTGGAAGTGATGAATCCAACGAAAACACCAACAACAATCGTTTGATTGTTTATCCAAACAGTCTTTCAAACTCAAAAGCTGTTGAATATGTTCATTTCTACTATGACAATCAAACAATTATCAATTCAAGATCACTCAAAAAACGCGACAATTGTCTTTATAACTACATTTCTGAACCATTCAATTGTCCAAACTTTTTCTATCAAATGCTTATCACTGGTATTTTGATCTTATTTTGACATTCAAAAAAATCATATGATTTTTAGGTGTCGATGATGCTGGCTACCTTTATCAAAGAATCGTGCCAGCAGCTTGTGTTGGTGGAATCGATGAGAACTCCTGTACAAATGGTGGAGTCTACTACAAAGGAAAATGTATCTGCCCAGCAAGCTTCTATGGAGACACTTGTGAATATGCTTATTGTGAAAATGGTGGATTTTTATCGGCGACTTTGGATAAATGTGTTTGCCCGCCGTCGTGGGATGGACAATTCTGCCAAATTCGTGAGTTGGATTTGTTTTGGGAGATCTCAAAATTTTTGAAAATTTTTTGAAAAATCCGCAGAAAATCAATAAAAACTACACATTTTTGTGAAAAAAATGTTCGGTCATAAACCTATTTCAATATAATTTCCAGCATTGCTCAGGTTATATTTTAATTTTTCTTGAAAAGTTTTTTTTAGAAAATTTGAGATCGCTCATATTAATTTTGATTCTGATTTTGAGAATTATAATTTTCAGCATTGCTCAGACTATGTTTCTTTTTGAAAGTTAGGGATTGCTCATGTTAGGTTTGAATTTGTAAATGTTGTATTTTGTAGATATTTTAGGATTGCTAATGTTAATCTTTGTTTGAAAATCAAATTTTTCTACAGAAAAATTACCAAGAAATTTTCAATTGGAAGGCTAATATGAGCAAGCCTAAAACTAAAATGAGCAATGCTCCAAATTCTACAAATCTAATGTTTTTTTTTCGGACAACAAAATCATTATCAGCTACTCCAAACTTATAGAAAATATTTTTGACTGGACCCTTTGAAACAAAATCTCAAATTTTTGCAGCACTTTGCACAAGAAATCAATTAAATGTTCCGGAAATTGCAAACACCGCCCGAACTTTCATCGTCGTCATCGATGGAACAATCAACGGTGACATGAAAACAGTCAACGACAATCTCGAGCAAACCATCAACACAGTTCTAAACGGTGTCAACGCCAAAGATCCACATTGGTTCACCAATTTCGTCGGTGTTGTTTTCCGCGACGCCGCCGCAAAACCAACAACATCCCAAGTTATCACATCAAATAACACTGCTACTTTTGCCAAATTACTTTCGGATGAGATCAAGAATAATCCATACACAGCAACACAGCAAAAACGCGACATTTTCACTGGAATTGTAAGAGCTATCACGAATACCAACGTTGTTGCAAATTCCAAAGTTTTTGTAATTACTGCTGGAAATGCTCAAGATACCTTAGAACGTCAAACTGTTGTTTCAGCTTTGGCACTCTCACATTCAGCTGTAAGGATATTCTAATTTGCTCAAGATTTCATACAACAAAAATTTTAGGTTCACTTCTTCTTCATTGGCGATACCAAAGCTCCAGGAGACGCCACTGATTACAATGACCCATCTGTAACTACACTTTTTGAAACAGCTCATGTAACTGGGGGATCTTCATATCAATTGACAAAACCAGAAGATCTACCAACTACTTGGCTTGCAGTTTTGGCATCTCTTCATAATTCGTATTTTGTTTTGACACACAAACTTGAGTGAGTTCTTGGGGGAAATGAGGAATTTTTGAGTTTACTATCCAAAGAATCCAAGATTCCCCTAACCTATTTAAAAAACCGGCGTCCTCAAAACATATATATATTTTATTGTTAAAAGAAAAAATTCCTTTCCCTCTCTTCTCTCCAAAAAAAAAACAAAAATAAAAAAAACCGCAAAAAAGCCGTAGGTTCCACCGAGATTTGAACTCGGGTCGCAGGATTCAAAGTCCTGAGTGCTAACCGCTACACCATGGAACCGGACGAAAGAGAGAATGCATCGAGCCAATATATACTTGATGCCTACTCTCTTTCTCTGCCGCTGTGAATATTCTATGTGTGTGTTGTGTTTGGGGGAAAGAGTGAAAACAAAACGGATAGAAAAAACGGAGATGCGGGAGAGAGTGAGAGAGTGAGAGACATAGAGAAAGAGAGAAAAACATTTTACAGGAATAATAAAGGTGTATGTTTTTGTATTAAAATATAATAAGAAGTTTTTTTTTTCAAAAAAAAAACAATTTGTGTCTGGATTTTTACTCTTATGAAATATTTTTGAATATTTTTTTTATTTTTGAAGAATTTTTTATGATTACAAAAATATTTAAAATTTTGTAAGTTCATAAGAAATTTTAGATTTTTTGCTCTTAAAAATCTGAAAGCCTCAATTCAAGCACAAATATGTTTTTTCAGTAACTGTGCTGTTTACCAAGATTATATCGAGCTGGATATCAATGGCACTGAAGTTATTGTCGATGTTTTCTCTCAAACCGCCGCTGATATTGCAGTTTTTGATACTAATAGTGAGTTTTATATATTTTTCTGGAATTTATAATCTGAAAATCGAAATTTTTGCAAAAAAAAAGCATTTTTTTAGGTCTTTAAATCAACTCAAAATAACTTTTAACAAAAAATGAAAAAAATTCAGAAAATCAAATCTTGACCTTTTTTTCAGTCAAACGAGTTGATTCCTTGAATATCGTCAAATCAAAAACCAACCTGGTTACTGTATTCAGTCAAAATGGTGAACAACCTGGAATTTGGACAATTGACATTGACAGCAGTTTGACGAATGCGGGACCATGTACAGTGAGTCAAAAATATGAATCAGAGAAATTTCAGTAGAGTTTTCTTTTCCAGATCAACATTCGTATCCAAACCAACCTTGAAATCGACCTCGCATTCACCCAAGACATCTCAACTGATGGTGGCTGGCACGATGGTGGAGCTGTGCTCTTCCCAAGAGCTGGTGATTTTGATAACGCAATCGTCGCCCAAGCTTCAACTGGTGCAATTTTGACATATGCTCAGATTTATGATTTGGATGAGACTCGACTTGCGTGGGCCAGCCCATTTGTTGTCAGAGATGGATGTGCTTATACTTTTATTTCTGAAACGTGAGTTACTGTGTAAGATGCACAACAGAACTTTTTATTGATTTTCAGAACCTTTAAATGTGTTCACAATTCATTTGTGGTTTCATTAGATGGTTTCGATGTTGAAGGACATCCATTTAGAAGAACTTATACAATTCATTGTGATGGGGAAATTAAACCGCAACGTGAGTTGGGCGCAGGCTTCCAGATATTGGATTTCAAGCTCTGAGAAATCCTTCAGATGTTCAATTTCGAAAAAAAATTATAATAAAATTATTTTCAGCAACAATAGCATCGGTTGCACCAACGTCGCCTTTACCAGTTACAAGCTCTGCTCCAGCTTCAACTTATGCACCATGTGATGATTCAACAGTTAATGTAAGTCTATCTGAAGATTTTTTGATATGGAGGAGAGATCTAGAGATTTTCAGTGTTCAAAAAATCATTTTTTTTCCAGATCGATATTTTGATCGCTCTTGATTCATCAAGTGGAATTAGTGAAGACACATTCTATCAAACCATCGGAGCTGTGAAACAAATCGGAAATTCCTTGACAATTGCTCAAGATAAATCAAGAATCGTTATTGGAACATACGACGCTAGCCCGAATTTCAGAGGAGATCTCAACACAATTGATAGCTTTGAAAAATTCACCGAAGAACTCAATGAATTGAATACCTTTGGTTATACCGGAGTTAGTGGAAATAATATTCAATCAATCTTTGATTATATTAACTTTGAAAATATCACCGCTCCTTTGAGACCAGCGCCAACTAGAAAATTCTTGATTTTTGTTAGCTCAACTGGATGGGACACTGGAAACTTTGTGAATGGACATGATACATCATTTGCGGATCCGACTGATTCGGCAAAACAATTGAGAAGTGCAAGATTGGAAATGTATGCGATTGGAATTGGTGAGAAAGCAAATATGACTCAATTGGCGGCAATTGCGAAATGTCATCAACATGTTAATTCTGCTAGCGAGATTCCACAACTTGTTACTTATATTAATAGTTTGTTCTGTGGAGCAACTGTGATTTGTTGATTTTTTATCGGGAATTTTTATAAACTCATTTTTCAAAATATTTTGAGAAAAAGTTTTTGGATACATTTCCAGACTTCCAGATTGTTTTCAAACATTCCGATTTTTTTACAATTTCAAGACTTCAGGATTTTTTCTTAATTTTTCCGGATTGAGAAATAGTTTTCAGATCATTTTTGCGCTGGATTTAAGAATTTTCAAGCCGAATTTTTTCGAGTCCTAAATTTTTACCTGAAAAATTTCCAGAAAGACAATACAATTTTCATACCAGAATTTCAAGACTTCAGGATTTTTTCGAATTTTTTCCAGATGGAGAAAAAGTTTTCAGATCATTTCTGTGCAGAATTTAAGAATTTTCAAGCCGAATTTTTCGAATCCCAAATTTTTTCATGAAGAATTTCCAGAAAGAAAATTATATTTTTTCAGAATTTCAAGACTTCAGGATTTTTTCAATTTTTTTCCAGATTGAGAAAAAGTTTTCAGGTTAATTTTGTGCTAGTATTCAAAATTTTTAAAACTTTAACGCAAAGTTTTTCTTTGTGAGAAACTTTAAAAAAAATTCTGAATCCAAACTTCAGAAAATTTTCGAACTTTTCCAGGTTTGGGAAAAAAGTTTTCAGAATTTTAATTCCTGCTTCAAAAGGTTTTCAGGTTAATTTTATGGAACAAAATTTGTGCTCAAAATCAGAATTTAAATTTTTTTTAATTTTCCAGATTCCATTTCCTATTCTTTCTGCTTCACATTAAAAATTCAAAAATTTATATTCTCTCTCGCCAAACATAAAAATAAAAATAACCCACACACACATGCACATGTTGTTATTCCCCCCTTCTCAAGTGTCAACTTGCACACAGATTCTCTCCCATTTCTTCTCCTCATCCACTCATAATTTCCCAAAAGCTCCACCCTTTATACCGTAGTTTTGCCCAAAAACAAAAATCCCCTGTCAGCAGCAGCACACACATCTTAGATTAGATGACACCCTGTTTTTGTTTTTTCACATTTTTAAGATTTTTTTTGCTTGCGGTCGATGATTTTTTCATAATCATATTAACAGGTTGAGTGGGTTTTTTTCGATTTTTTTTGTCTGAACTTTTTTTTTGAAAATTAAAATATAAACTTTGAATATTACTGAAACAGGAATGAAAATAATTAGGCTTTTCAGGCTTTTCTAGGCTCCGAAAAACCTATAGGCCTGCCCGAGTGCCGGCTTTTTTTTGTGTAAAATTTCTCAGGCCCGGTTCTAGAAAACCTAGGCTTTTCCATAATTTTGAAAAAGCCTAGGCTCACTCTCAAAAAAATGCTCAAAATGATCGTCAAACTCCAAAATTTTCAAAAATTGCGCAATAGCACATCCCGCTGAGACAAAAAGAAGAGCAAAATTGAGCTGGCAGGTGCACACTAAATTCTCTCTTTTTTTTTTGAAAAACTTTTAATTAGTCTAATTGTATTCAGTTTGATGATGAAAAAGCTTATTTATTATGTTGCTAATTTAATTAGCGAGTTGCTTGTTTGATATTGAGGAATCGAATTGATTTATGAATTGAATTGAGAAACTACATATAATGAGCAACTATGAAAGAAAAAATTCTTGAAAAACTGTGACATATGACATTTGACATTTTGTTAGACACTGTTGACATCATTGCTCATAATAACATATTTTTTAAGAAAAGAAAAGAAACCAAAACATTTTTTCTTGTTTATTTTGGTTTTGTGCAACATTTTTGGTATTTTGATTTTTGGGAATTTTTTTTTTTAGTTTTGTTGGATTGAATATTGCTCATATTAGTCTTCTTTTGGAAAATTTGTAAAGTTTTATAAGAATTTTTCTTGGTGCTACATATTTTGGACTCAAAAAGTTTCTGAATTTGAGAATTCTGAAAATATTTGTGTGGCTTCTGAAGCTTCTGATGTCAAATTTTCAAATTAAATTTTGAAAACTGATCCATAAGGTTGAAGGTTTGAAACTATATAAATCTGAAAATAATTTTTCGACTACAGTAAGATTTCAGAAGTTTTTTTCTGTGAATTCTGAATTTTTCTGAACGTGTGATTCTGAATTTCGAAAAAATTGATTGACTTCTTGAGCTCCAGATTTTGAATTTCTTGTTAGAAATTCAAAGTCTGTTTTTTTTCTAAATTTGCCTCTGAAAAAGTTAGATCAAGTCTTAGGCTTCCTAGGCTTCATAGGCTCCCTAGGCTTATGTTTTCTAGGCTTCTCAAGATTTTCAGTAATTTTTAGGCCTCATAGGCTCCTTAGGCTTCATGAGTTTTCTGAGCTCTCTAGGCTCTCTAGGCTCTCTAGGCTCACTGGGCTCTCTAGACTCTCTAGGCTCTCTAGGCTCTCTAGGCTCTCTAGGCTCTCTAGGCTCTCTAGGCTCTAGGCTCTCTAGGCTCTCTAGGCTCTCTAGGCTCTCTAGGCTCTCTAGGCTCTCTAGGCTCTCTAGGCTCTAGGCTCTCTAGGCTCTCCAGGCTCCCTGGACTCCCAAAGCTTTCAAGGCTTTCTATTCTTCAATGCTTCTAGGCTCAACCTATCATGTTCTGCCCTCAAAAATTCAAAATCAAAAACAAAGTTCTAAAAAATCCCCCTCTCCCTCTTTGTTGTCTCAAATGAATTCAACCCACTCAAAAATTCCCAATATCTATAATAACAAGTGATAACCAGAAAATAATAATTTTTTTTTGTTCAAATTCCCAAAGGCTCCGCCTATTTCGATAGCTAATTAGGAGAGAGGAATAGAAAACAATTCACTGATTCTTTTTTCTCCCCCGAAAAAAAGAAAGGTTACTTCTTTTTATTCTACATACATACATATTATTTTCATTTTCATATTCATATTCATCAGATTTGAAGCAGAGCAGAATACTATCCTTAAAATAGAAGAAGGAGCAGAAGAAGAAGAAGAAAGAGGTGAAAAAGGGGCTCTCGAATAATAAAGCTAAGCTTTCTTCTCTTCTAGCTAGTTAGTTGAAATGTCTTCTTTATTCACTGCTGCCGCTGTTGCTGCCGCCGTTTCTTCGATGACAAATACTACTGTAGAAGAATTGAAACAGTGTTCGACTTCGATTGCTGACACTGTTCTTCTTCCATATCAGCATATTCTGAATAATCAAAATCAGAATCATAATGGTGCTTTTACTAATTCAACTAATCAATTGTTGGGATTGACTCAACAAGAAGACGCTAATCAATATTTGGCGTAAGTTTACTTGGATTTCTTTAAAAGTTTTTAGGAGGCCTTGAAATTTGAGGTAATACTTTGACTTGTGAGAACTATTTTTGACCGAAAAAAACTATGAAAATTTTACTTTTCATCCAGCTTTCATAGAAATAAAAAATCAAAACTTGTAATTGTAAAAGCAAGGTAAAATTCTGCTTCTAGGCGCGTTTACTTCTCAAAGAAGCTCTCTATAGGCACAGCTGCTACTCATGGCGCTAGAATTTCCCAGAGTGATCTCTAGACCCACTACTTGTCATAGAAGCTCTCAAAATTATTTTCAGATCTCCCTATGAGACTTCAAAGAAAGAAAATTGTGATTCTTTTGAAATACTATTCCTGAAATCTGAGCCAAGAAGTTTAAGCTTGAAGTCTAAAGTTTGAAATTTGAATCTTGATTCCTGAAATCTTGAAATCCAGTGAAATCTGAAATATTTTAAAACCTAACTGTAGTCATTATTTCATGCCATTAGAACCCTAGGATATCCAATGTAAGTCTTGTAAAATCTAAGAGTGTAAGCCTGAAGCCTGAAGCCCAAACCCTGAAGCCTAAATCAGAAGCTGAAGCCTCAAGCCTGAAACTAGGCTGAGCCTAAATCGTGAAGACTAAAATCTGGTCTCAAAATTTTGTAGATCAATTTTGACTCAATTTTTTGTAGCCCTCAAAAATTGCTTCAATTTCAAATTTTTGAATTTTATATTGTTCGATCAGGAAGTTTTTCTGAAAACGTATTTTTCCAGAAAATAATTCCTAATATTGAAAACTGAAACCTTTTCAGTTTCCGCTTTTCCCAAAAAAAAACCAAAATTTAATAGATTTTTGTCACGAAAAGGTAGAAAAAAAGTGTTTGTGAAAATGAAAAAAACAACGAGAAAAACGCATATCACGATTTATTCATTAGACCAAAAAAATTAGAGTTACATATTTCCTTTTCCTTGTTCAAAACAAAAAATTTGTATTAGCTACAAATTTTGCTGATGTTTTAAAGCACTCTCATCTCTGTTTCCATTTTTTTTATCCAAATATTTTTGTCCTCAATTTTTTCCAACCAAAAAATCAATAAGTTTGTGTTGTTTTTTGTCGGATTACGGTACCGCAGAAAATAAAAAATAAAAATAAAACTTCGAAAAATAGGGCGAAATTCGAGATTTTCGCGTATGTGTCGCTATTTTTTTAATCTTCTCAAAAAATGAAAAAAAAACTTTGGCCAGGTCGTCGTTCGGTAAAATTTTGAGAGATTTGTATTTTTTTCGCAAACTATTGTTTTCACAAAAAATTGGGAACCGTTTGGGAACCGAATAGTGCATTTTTTTCTCTTTTCAATGAGTTTTTGAATTTTTTTTTTGAAAATAAATTCAAAAAATTTCAGGCGCCTTCTAATGCTTGATATGCTCTATGTGACAACGAATGGAAAAGAAACTATCACGCAAGGTTAGTCTAACTCTAGAAAAATATTTGGGAAAAATAGAGGAGGGGGGTACTGTAGAGGCCTTTGGTACCGTAGAGTCTTAGGAACGTTTGAAAACTCTAGGGACCTTCTCCGATCTTTGAGCCTTGAGAAAATCTGAAATCGAACCCCCAAATTCTGCAAAACCTGCAAATATATGTATCACATGATTAAAATAATCAAAACTAAAAGTACATCTAAATTTTTTCTAAAAAAAAGTAATATGATGACATTGATTCATGCTCCAATGAGACTTATTAGTCGCATTTTCAACCAGCACTTTTTCAATTATTCTCATTAGAGATTATGTTCGTTTTACCTTTTTTGAAAACTAAAATGCTAAATTTGGGCTCTCACAAAATATTCAGTTTTCCAATTGGGAAGACTGGTTATACCGCTTGGATTTTATATAGTGAGTTGGTTGGGGGTTTTGAAAATTGATTCCGAGGGTCTAATTTTAAAAATCTTGCAGTCCCAAAATGCGAAATCCTCGACGAAAATTTCCTAAAACAAGACTCTCCCCAACAATTCCACTTGCTTTCTGTTCAATCACCATCAACTACCAATAGTCTTACTGGATCGATTATTGAATCGCTTCTTCCTTCCGCTCTTGATTTCAAATCGATTCAACAATCACAACAACCACGATCACAACATCCATGTAAGAGAATCTTTGAAAAAAAAACCCAAAAATCAACAAATGAAAATTTCAGTGACCTGCACTGCATGTACTTTTGCGATCAATGATGCGATTACTGCCTATATTGATGATCATCCATATCATATGAGTTGTGTTAGATGTTCTACTTGTGAGGTTAGTTCAGTCCAGAGTTACCACAACTCTAGTAGAAATTTTTGATGGAAAATTTCAACCCTTCAAATCCCCACATTTTCCAGTTCTCCATGGGCTTCGAAGAAACCTGTTTCCTTCGAGATGGCAATATTTTATGCCGTGCAGATTACATGAAAAAGTTCCGAAAAGTCTGCGACAAATGCGACATTCCGATTCGCCCTGATGATATTGTGATGAAAGTTCGTGACGCAATTTTTCACATCGCCTGTTTTCAATGTCATATTTGTGGTGTTGCGTTGGCGAAGGGTGATATGTTTACAATGTCGGCTCAAAAACATATCTTTTGTCATGGTAACCAGATTCATTAAAACATAATAATAATAATAATATTTTTGAATTATTAGAAAGGAAAAGGGGGATGTTTCTTCAGTGTACTTCTCTCGGAATTCAGAAAATCAGTAAATTTGTCCAAAAACAATATACTTGCATATCTAACTAACATTAGTCAGGAGTTAGATCTGCAGGTTCTACAGTAACACATCTGAACAAAAAGTTCCAAAAGTTTTCTGTGTAATTTTTCCCTCAAAAGTCAAGTTAGATATGCAGGTTCTACCGTATCCTACTTAGGAAAATTTTCGAGTCACAAAAATTTCTGTCCAATTTAATTTTGAAAATTAGATCTGCAGGTTCTACCGTACCTAGAGAATACTAGGCTTGAAAAGACTACAGTGTAGTCTTTTCTAGGTACAATAGAACCTTCTGGACTAAAAATTGCACGCTTTTCCTAGGTACGGTAGAACCTGCATATCTAAATATATTTTTAAAAAATAATCTAGCCCAGACCTGCATATCTAACTCAAAAGTTTGATATGCAGGTTCTACCGTACTTTTGAACTGAAGAGCACCCCACAACTCATTATTCTCCTCATCTAATTCTATTCCAACAATTATATTCCAGCTCATTACGACATAATTTGCAACACCGTACTCCGAGATGAAGCACCTATTGCAGAAAGACCGACTCGTGAAGTGTCAGAAGAACCGGAAGGTATGTATACATTTTTGCTTTTATGTTATTAATTAGCATCTTTTCCTCTTCCCTTTCCGCCTTTTTCAAGTTTGAGCAAAAAATGCCGAAAATACTACGGTAGCTGCTTCTCTTGTTCTCTTCCCTCTTCTTTTTCTTTTGCTAGAAAAATCTATGATAAAAATAAAAATAGGTAACAAAATATAAATTCATTAGTCAAATTCCCAAGACAGCAGAAAAACTTGTTATTCATTTTCATCAAATTCAAATTCCAAAATTCAAAAAAAAAAGAGGGAATTGTTCTCGAATAACAAATGATAAGTAAATAATTGGGTTGGGCGCGGTGAATATTCAAGCGGATTATTAGGAATCAAGAACATGCACAGGTGGTAACATATATAGGGCTTGGATTGAATAAGGAGTCAAGTTTCAAGGGGGAGCTGACTAATCTGTGCTAGTTTTTAGCAGCTGGTTGGATAGGGGGGGCGACATGCAGAGATAAGTGGAGGGGGGATGGGGAACATTTTTGAATTTTGAAAAATAAACAATGGGGAGAATGGATTGTGAGCTTTGGAAATTGTTGTCAGTATCAGAATTAATTTATTGAACTTGAGTTAGCTTAAGTTCAAGGCTAGACTTGATTTGAAGCCTGGGCTCGTGGGATTTTTAGGATCTGATTTTCTAGATGGGCTGATGAGACTTGAGCCCAGTTTTCTTAGATTTCATGTTAGGCTTTAGGGGCTCAAAATTTAGAGCTTTTATTATGATTTAGGTTACACTTAAAAGCGATTAAGCTTAAGGTTAGTTTAAGGAAAAACTGTGTCATAAACAGTTACAAAATCATTAGTAGTTATTCAAAATTTAAAAAAAAGTTTATTTTTGGAACTTTCTTAACATTTTGGATTTTCTATTTCTCCTTAATTCGCAAATTGACTAATAACAAAATTATTCTGAAAATTTCTATATAGAGAAAAATTTCCAGACATTTAAAAACTTCCAAAATTTCCAGAATTCCCCGACGATGATTCTCAATCCAACAACAACCGCTCAAAAAGAATGCGAACATCCTTCAAACATCACCAACTTCGAACAATGAAACAATACTTCAACCTGAATCATAATCCCGATGCAAAAGATCTCAAGCAACTTGCTCAAAAAACCGGGCTCACAAAACGTGTTTTACAAGTTTGGTTTCAAAATGCTCGAGCGAAATATCGTCGAAGTATTCAGAATCGTGACGGTGGACAATTATCGCCAGGAATGCATCAGACTTTGATTGGTATGGATAATCAACAAATTGGATTTGAGGTGAGATTTAAAAAAAAAATTTTATTTCTAGCTCTAATAATTTTCAAATTGGCTCAATTTTTCCGAGAATTGTTTGATCTTTGAAAAGTGTTGCTTTTTATTTTGAGAACATATTTTAGCGCACTGGGAGAGAAATACAATACAAATAAGAGAGACGCAGACACTCTCTCTTCTTGCCAAACTTTTTATGTTTATTGATGTCTGCGTCTCTCTTACTCACATTGTATTTTTCTATTAGTCATAACGGTGAAAATGACGCGGTCAAAAAAATTGCTAGGAATTTTCGGGAACTCATAAATTCATTATTTTTAGCCATGTTTCTGAAAACCAAAGAAATCTTCATTTAAAAAAATATAATTAGGAAAATTGTGTTTTGGGATATTTTTTGAAAGCCTTGAGAGCCCTAAATTTTGGAGCACAAAATAAATATAATTTTTTTTTAAATTTGAATCTGGTTTGGACAAAACCAGAATTCCAGAAAAAAGAAAATTCTGAAAAATTTCAAAATTATCTGAACTATAAATTAGATTTCTACCCCCAAAAATCTTATGAAAAATCCAGACTAGAGTCTACTTATTCTAGCACCTCTCTTCCTCTTCAAATCACTCATCTGACTACAACTCAACATTAGCAACGCCACCAGATTCCTCATCCGAATATTATGACAATGGTGCAACCCTAGTTTCTCTCTAACTTTTTTTCGCATATGTTTTTTGTTCACCTTCACACCTCATAATTTACCCAATCGTGATAATCAAACAACCAAATCTTCTTGCCCCGCTTTCCTGTCCTACCCATTTTTTTCTACTTATGTTAACTCTTTTTGCTGACAATTACTTTTCGGTTTCAAACAACAACTCTGATCTCATATCAATATATATATATTTGCACCTATAAATAAATAACTCAAAATTAATTAGCAGAGTAAAAATATTTTAATTATAGGCTTTTGCAGATAAATATTTTGTACTAAAATGTTTTTCGAGAGTGGAGAATGCAGAGAAAAACACTATTTTTATCATTGGAGCGATTTTTATGCGTTTATAGACGCTAAGCCTTGACGATTGCTGCCTAGGAGCGGGTAGTTGACATAGAAGTTTCTTGAGGCGCGGCTCCTAGAAAATGTGGTTCTCCAAGCGTGAGTGCTTGCTAATGCGGTTCTCCAGGCGTGGGTGCTTGCTACTGTGGTTGTCTAGGCGCGGCTCCTAGCTAATATTGTTTTCTAGGCGCGGCTTCTAGCAAATGCGGTTCTCCAGGCGTGGGTGCTTGATACTGTGGTTCTCTAGGCGCGGCTCCTAGCTAATGTGGTTCTCCAGGCGCGGGTTCTTGCTAATGTGGCTCTCTAGGCGCCAGTCCTACACATTAAAGTTATCAAGGCTCAGCTACAGAGAAAACGAGCTCCAAACTACTTTATATCTAGACTTTCAAGTCATTTTACACGGTGTTTCACTGTTTTTTCGAGTTGAGAAGCTCACAGAAAAAATCCGTGTAATAAAACATGCTCTTTTAAATGAGCAAAAGTTATTTTTTGTTCAGAATCCAGCTTCATCACAAAATATTTATTTCTCTTTGCATAGGCCCAATAATTAATAAAATAAAATAAATAATTTAATACCGATTTCAACAAAATACTGAAAATGTTTGGAATGTTTTTCAAATTATATATTATGACAATGCGTTCTTATTGATACTTCTCAAAGTTCTCTTCGATTTCTGGAACAAATCATAATCATCATCCCACCAATCGCAATTATTTCCAACGTGATGAAGAACATAACCAAGTTCATGGAAAAAGTCACGTTCCGAATATTCCTTGTTGACAGTTACAGCCATTTCCAAGCCATTGTCAAGGCGAACAAGCATTGCTGCACTTCCAGGCATACGACCATCGTGTTGCCAACCATTGAAACCCATTATATTCAAAGACCAGCCAAGCCCTGGGAAAAAAATGTTTTTTTTTGGAAAAAATATGTGACTCGGCTTATCGTTTTAGTCTATGTGTAGTTTGAACTCACCATATGTGTCATTTGATGCGAGTGAAGGTGTTTTGAGACCAACGATTGCGGTTTCACTCAAAATATCATTTCTTTCTTTGAAGCCATCAATTCGACTCTGAAAAATTTAGTTTGGAATTTAAATATTCCGAGGATATGAATTTTGAATCAAAATTCTAAAAAAAAATATTTTAAACTTTTTTTTTTTCTATAAAATTTGTGTTCAAATTCTGATTTTTTTTTGAAATTTCATAGTTCAGAAGAACTACAGTATATTCAAAAAGCCTTAAAATTTTTTCAAAAAACTTGGTCACCTCATAAATTTATTTCGGGTCTTATAATTTCCAAATTAAATTGAAAATCTAATTTTCATGGTCCCCAGGCCTACCATAAACATCAATAATTGAATAGGGCTTGCAATCCAGCCTCCCCATGGTCCAATTCGTTCCGGGGCCAACATTTCATATGGATTGAAGCCCAACCCATTTCCAGACATGTAATACATCACTTCTCGTCTGAAAATATAAAAATTTTGAAATTTTTCTCTTAAATGTTCCCATTCCATCTCCACATATTTTTTTTTCTCAAAAAAAAAAAAATTCCCGAAACAAAAAATTTACGGTGCTCTCTCGCTAATCGTCGGTCGAGCCACTTGAATATCGTAAACGCCAGATGGTGCGAAAATGTTCTTTTTGACAAACGCCTCATAGGACATTCCGGTGGTTGTTTCGATCAGAAAACCTATAAAAACTTTTTATTTATGTACATTTTTTAAAGATTTTTGGGATTTTCGAGAGGAGGGGGATCAGATTTTTGAAGAGCGAAAAAAAGTGTCATTTTTACAAAACTTCTCAATTTCAATATGTAAAGATTGGATTTCAAACTAGAAATGGAAAGGCAAAAATAAATAGTACGGTGGTTTTGAAGGTTAGGAAAATCTCGAGATGAAGTGTACATCAAAAAAAAAGAAAATTGGAAAGGTGAATTTCGAGGAATTTTTTTGAAGTCTAGAAAATTTGTGATTATTCCAGAGCCCTGAGAAACATTTTGGAAGGCTAGAAAGTTGTTTGAGTTTTGAATTGACTGAAAAAAGGTCCGTGGAATCTCTGAAAGCTCTGGAAGCCTTGAATTTGAAAGTTTTCAGAATTTTAAAATCTGCTGAAAAGCTTTGACAGGTTGTAAATCCCTAATATGTTGCAAACTTCTAGAAGTTCCAGAATTTCTGAAACCTCGGAATCTTCAAAAATCCTTGAAGCTCTTAAAGGTGGACGATTTATTTAAATCCAATTTCAATGGTTAAAAAAAGCCATTAACAGAATTTCATAAAAATTAAAATTGATAGAAAAACACAGCTCTAAACTACTGTATATCTAGATTTTCAGGCCATTTTACACGGTGTCTCACTGATTTTTTCAGCTCACAAAAATCCTACCTAAAAGTTGATATCCAAAATTCGAATAAATCCACATAGTTCCAGGCTTATACTCCAACGGCACATTTGTAAGAACATGCTGCACAAGTTCTTTCGTACTCATCTCCGGTTGAATCCAAGCCGCATCCGATTGTAGATTATCCCATCCTCCAGAAGTATGCTCTAACAAATGTCTCACAGTGATTTCCGTAACATATCTCGGATATTGATGTTTTTTACTGAATTCATCTTCGAAAATCGAATTTTTCCCAAAGAGTTTGGAGTCGAGATCAAAGTGTCCTTTATCTATCAAAAGCATGATGGCTGCAGCGGTAACCGGCTTTGAAACTGATCCAACTCTAAACAAAATCCTTGATCTCTATTCTCCAAATCCCTAATAAAAAGTCTCAATTTACCTGAACTGATGATTCGGTGTAACAGGTTCCTCTTTGCGAATATCGGTATACCCAAAACCTACAATAATCTTATTGTTCATGACAAAAGCAAAACTAGATGTTTGTTGTTTTTTCTCTCGGACACACACAATAAAGATGATGTTTCAATAAATGCAAACAAACCTGCCGCAAATTTGAGTTTTTCTTTTTTCGAAATTGCGATTGAGAGTCCTGGTATGTTCAGATCCTTCATAAAATGTTCGACTCTCCGGATCAGAAATTCCATTTGATCTTCGCGCAAAAGTTCTGGAGAACCTTTGAGGAATCGCACTGGGATTGGTCTGAAAATTTGGAAATTTGGAGATTTTTGCTGAAGTGGTCAAATTTCACGTAGTTCAACCTCTAACATGAGCAATGCTGTGATAAAAATAGAAAATCCCAATTTTGAGGTCCTCCTAACAAGGGATATTCATAAAAATGAAATTTCAAATTGTTGAGTTAGGCTAAATTATCGGATTAACTGAAGATGGGAGTTTTTGAGTTACTTTTTCTTTGAGCAACAATGAAAATTTTTGAATTTTGAAGCTTAGAGCTTATTTGAAATAGTAAAATTCATCAGGAATATTTTCCAAAAAGCCCAATAAGCCTCGAAACCCCTGACAGGATTTTCAGAAGATTTTCAGAATTTCCAAAAAATCTCAAAAACCCTTAAAAACTCACGTTTCATCCCAAAGAGGTTTAGGGTTTGGATATCGATTCGTATCAATATCACTCCAAAGCACAACATAAATAATCTACAAAAAACTTTTTTTTTTCAAATCACACTATTCTCTTACATTCTGATAATTATCCAAATAATGTGAAATTTGTCTCGGCAACATATTCGGATTCCTCTGCATAGTTCGATACATAGTCTCTAAATTCGGTCCAACTTGAACACTACTTCGACCATTTTTCATCTCCCAAATGCCCGTGCATAACACCTGATTTCGATTGTTGAAAACACGGATCGAAGTTGCGACAAATCCTTTTTGTGTCAAAAGTCGATCTTTTTGCATACAGGCTTCCATTGTTAAACCATAATGTGCTTCATATTGTGCAGAAGATGTTGCAGGTTTTTGCCAAACTCCGACATATTTTCCTTTTCCAGCTTCACTGTATCCACAGAGATATGTTAAGCGGAAACCGTTTTGCTCGAAATGCTCTTTTTGCTCGTCAGCGTGCGGTTGTCCAGGGAACCAGACCTGAAAATAAGAATTATTTTAATAATTAAAACTCTGGAAGTTTTTTTTTCAGAATTTAAAGATTCAAAGTTGGCACAAAAACTAATAAAATTGTCCTTCTACAGAAAGAACAGTGTCTGCGCTCTCTTCCTTTTGCATTGTCTCTAAGCGAGACGCAGACAAAATGTTTTCTCTGGACTCTCTCTCCAAAAAACTCACATGAAACTCCGCTCCAGGAATGCGCTCCCAATAAGTGGTGAAAGTAATCTCTCCAGGTTTACCTTCTTGGCCACAAACTTGAGTTAGCGCAAGATCACGTGCCTCATTTTCCCGAACCGCTTTGATAAGCTCATCAAATGTCATCGGCGAGGGTTTAATAAATACCGGTCCTAGAAAAAAATTTTTTTTTCTTTTTTTTTTCTGCTGATTTTATTAATTTACCAGTATATTTATGCATAATTGCGTAGTATTTGACATCATTATTCTGCAAATAATAACCCATTGACACCAATCTTCCGCCATATTGGAGGGAGATTGCGAGAACATTGTCAACAAGACTTTCATTACCAGCGGTTAGCACCCAGTCTTTTTCATTTGGCGCCGGTGGGTGAACAACTTGAAGTGGTGGTTGACGATTTGATTGCATTCCGGGCATTCCACTCATTCCGTTAACTAAAAATTCAAGGGTTTGGGGAGGAAATCGGGAAGGTTTTATGAGAAAAAATGTTCCTAAATGATCTAAATGAATTTTTCATAACTGTGAATTTTTCAACACTATTTCTGAATCAAACTATGAACATAGATAGCTTCAGAATGCTTCAAAAGCCTTCTGAAATTTTCTGGAGGATTCTAAAGCCTTCTGAAGTTTTCTGGAAGATTTTGAAGCCCCCAGAAGCCCCCAGACGCTTTCAGAATGCTACAAAAGCCTTCTAAAGCCTTCTAAAGCCTATTGAAGCCTTCTAAAGCCTTCTAAAGCCTACTGAAGTCTTCTAAGGCCTATTGAAGCCCCCCAGAAACCTCCAGGCACTTTCAGAAGATTTTAGAGAGCTCCAGAAGTACTGTACACTGTGTTTTGTAAACATATCCTAAAAATTGAGCTTGTCAATTTTGAGCCAGGGCCGACTAATCAGGTCTGATTTTCAGACCGTCAAAATTGGACCACCAAAAAAATATTGGAGAATTTTTCATTTTTCTGAAAATTGTGATTTTTGATTTTCCACTTTTTGAAATAATCATTTTTTTTCACTCAAAAATTTGCGGTTGAATAAATTTCACATTGTGTTTAGTAAACCAGATCTGACCCCCAGATCTCTTTCCCTGAAGCCCGCGATCTTTAGGCTCAAGATCTCAAAAAAACTCACAATCCGCTGCAGGTTGTCCAGCCATCGATGGATCTGCTAATGGATATGGATAAGGGCTCGATTGTGGTTTCCGATGTTTTCGAAATGTGCATTTTGCTTTATCGACTACTCTTTCAGGAGCAGTGTATGGGTAACTGAAAATATATATGAAATTTTGAGAAAAAAAGGTTTTCAAAATCTCTAGAAACCCCAAGTTCCCCGATCTCAAAAAACTCACGCATTCAGCCTTCTGACATTTGTGAAATGTTTCAGATGTTCCGATAAATCTACTTTTTCTCCAGATGTTGCCTGAATGACAATAGAAAGAAAAATGAAACTAAAAATGGTGCCAAACATAAGTGACACTTTTATTCGTTGCATAATATTTTCGTAGATAAACTAGGAATATTAGAAAAAAATATCAAATAAAGTTGGTTGCGTCTACTTGCGAGCAAAGCGCTGCGCGGCAAGCAAGACTGATGCTAACCGACGTGTCCGACTTTATCTATACGCAAAACGGCGCCCACCACACCTTTGCCGCCTACCGTATTTGATCGGTGCGCGAGCAGGCGGCAAGTGCACGTAAATCGCAAACAAACATGCATCAGATACAGAAAAAAATACTTACGGGCGAATGGCAGCAAAAAAACATTGGAACAAATAGAGGAGAAGTGAGAAGAAAATGATTGCTTGTGAGTGAGTAATTTGTAGACAGGCGAGAGAGAAAGAAAAGAAAAAACATGGTTTTTTTTTGTTTGGACTACATAAACCTTTTGTTGGCAATTTGTAACAATGATCATTTGATGTTTGATGAATGCACTTTTTTAGAATCTGAAGATTTAGATTTTCAAAAATTCAGAATAAATTAGGAAACTTTTATGAAAACATAAACTAATTTTTAATAAAATTGAAAAAAAATGGAACATTTTGAGAAATTCTACTTGTTTTTTTTTTGAATTTTCAAGATGGAATCTTACATAAAAATCGATTTTTGTTCGTCTTCTGATTAAAAAAAATACAAATCGGAATTGACAGAGAAACACAGCTCCAAACTACTGTGCATCTAGAATTTCAGGTCATTTTACACGGTGTTTCACTGTTTTTTCTATTTTTGAAATTTTTAAACCAAGTTTGAAATGCCCCCAGAAAAAAATCCTTCAAGGATGCTTTTTCAAATTAGCATAACTTATTTTTTGTTCAAACTCCACATTTAAAAAAGTTCAATTTTTTTCTAGCTGTTTTCAGAATTTTGAAAATGTTTGGAATACTTCAAAAATTCATTTTCACAAAAAAAGTTGAAATTTGAAAAGAATTTCTATTTTTTTCAATCTCACAAGCATTTGAAAATCAATTTATGAACTTTTTTTCTAGAAATTTTTTTCAAAATGTTTTCGGTTTCAATTTTCTGAAGTAATTTTCCCGGTTCAAAATTAAACTTTTCTATTGTGAAGTTAGTTTTCCAGGCTATCAAAAAATGTAGAAAAAAAATTGAATTTTTTTATTTTTCAGCTTTCTTCCACTAAAAATCATCCCCTAATTTCAGAATCTTCCCACAAACTTTCGACCAATGTTTGAAACTCGAGATCTCCTCATCCAAATAATTCATTCCTCTTGTTTACACATTTTCCAGCAAAAAACCAAAAAACATTTTCCCAATTAAAATTGCTCCAAATTGGTCTCAAACCAAGTCCAGTTTCGATATCAAGATAGAAAAAAAAAAAAACTGACAGCTTGCGCAAGCAAATGTATCAAAATCGAAAAAAACACGGTGTTTGTTTTGTCTCAGTCAACATTTGCCAAAACATAGTAGATCAAAAAAAAAGTTTGCATATCCAGGGATGAATCAGAAAAAAACAACTACACATATTTACATATGAATGACGTTTATGTTGTAAAATAAATCGGAAATACAATGAATCACAGAGAAGTATGTAGATCAACAAAAAACCACAATATTTTTTGTTCTATTTATTTATTTATTTATTTATTGTTTACAGTTGCAAAATTGTGGAATCTTCAAGATCTTCCAAAACCGTTTCGCGAGTTCTTGACACAACTAAACCACGTGTTACCGTTGGTGGTGTTGTTGTTGTGTTTTTCTCAAATTGTTTCCGAATATCTGACATTGCCATTATTTGCTCTCCGTTATCACTTTGTGATTCATCAAACATATCATCCTCGTCTTCCCATCTGGAAAAAAAATTAGATTTTTTGGAATTTGTATTATTTGAGAGAAAGAAGTTTATCGTGATTTGATTTGAAGAGTTTCAATTTTCAGATAACAATTCTGAATCAGATATGAAAAATCATATTTCTAAAAATTTTTGATGGGCCTTCCTGGACCTTTTTTTCATAACCTTACCTGTTGTAGTGCTTGTTCGGGACACTGATGTAGAAACCCATATGATTCGAAGATCTGGAAAAATTTTTGAATCGTAGTTTTGTCCAAAATTTCTGTATTTTTCAAATTTTTGAAATGAAAATAGGGATTTGTTATCTTGTGATATTTCAAAATTCTCACGTTTAAGAAAAACCCGGGCTCCGGAATTTTCTCTCGAGTTCTTGGAAATTTTGGGCTACACTAGCCTAGAAATTTGCCCAGGCATAGTTACAGTAACTCTCAAAAAAATTACGTGTTTCAGAAATCATATCCAACTTTTCAGATTTTCAAAAATTCAATTTTATTTCTAAAATTCTATTGATCAATAAAATTAAGCTTATCGGTGCTCCAGAAGATTTTTTTAATTTTCTGAAAAAAAACCCCAGAAAACTCACGCGCAGCAGATAATCATGACTGCAAAAACGACCATAAAAATGACAAAGAAAAATATGGAAATTTCCAAAAGTGTCCACTCGTAACTGGTTTCATTATTGTCGACTGAAAAAAAATGATCTTGTGGACCTGTTTCACTCAAATTGTATTCCCAAAAAAAACCCACATTGACAAAATGGTCCATGAAAAAGTGAAGTGCATTGACATCTAAAAAGACCAGTTGAGTTAGCACAAGTTCCACCATTCAAGCATTGCGAAGATAAACAGGAGCTGAGAAAATCTGCAAGAAAAGAATACATAAATAAATAAATTGGATGTTACAGTAGGTTTATATTCATTTTTTTCATAGCTTTTTTTTCTTTTTCCTGCCTGCCTGCCTGCCTGAATCCAATTTGCTTAATTAGATGGAATTTTAATGAGGCTATGATTTCATTTTTCATTTGGTTCTTGGTTTTTTGTAGAACTTTTGGACTGAAGATATTTCAAATAAATTGAAAAATCAAATTTTATTCCTCTTCAAAACACAGTGTGTAATTTTCCACCGAAAATTTTTAAAAAAATTGTGAAAACATTTTGAACTGTTCAAAAAATCTTACCAAACGAGTTGATAAAATACATGCGTGTTAAAGCATACATCACAATTTCATTATCATTTCAGATTCCAAATCAAAACCTCAAAAATATCAGGATGAATATTAGGAAAAAAAAACGAAACAGTGAAGAAAAAAATGGAATATATTTTTATTTATTATTCACAAGAAAAGAGCGTCCGCTCTTTTTTTTTGGCCACAAAAAATGGAAAAAATCTCTTGTTTATTACATTAAATTGAGACACTTGAGAACCAACTAGAAAATTTTTTGAAAAGAAACTTTTTTCCTAATTTTTTCGGGCAAAAATATGAAAGTATGTAAGAAAAAAAGAAGAAATACGGGGGAAAAACATGAAAATTCTCGAAATTCCCAAGAGCTCGTTTGAAAGTGCTCAAAATCAGAGAAACTTTTCTTGCTCACTTTTTTTTGTGTTAGGAATAAAGAATATTCATATTTTTTTCTTGAGGAAGATGAAACTGACAAGTGAACTTGAACCTAAACTTTTGAAAAATTTTGGGAAACTTTTAAAAACCTTCTGAAACCTTAAAGAATCTTGGGAAACTCAAAGCAACTTTTAGAAATCTTCAGAAACTTTTAGAAGCCTTAAGGAAGAAGCTTTAGGAACTTTCAAGAGCATTCGGAAGCCTTTAGAAGCATTCAGAAACCTTCAAAAAAAAAAGAAAAAAGTTCAGAATTTCATTAGTTTGGTTGAGAAGAAAAAATAATTATATGCTGCTAAACTAACAAGTACGCAGCGCTCGGATAATTGTCAATCTCGGCACTTCGTTTTTTTTCTCGAGTTCATAATTTATGTGGAAAGGTTGTGTGGGAAATTGAAGATGTATGTATAAAATCTACATATAAATGTATGTACATACAACATATCTCACAAAAATTCAGAAATCAAGTTTTCAGTTCAAAAATGTCTGGGAGCCAAGAATTCATGGCTCAACAAGAAAACTAAATTTCAGAAATTATGAATCATTTTCATGACTAAACCTGACATTTTTGTCACTACAAAATGACGTGTAGAGGCTATAATTTTTGAAAAAGGTAGAAAAATAAACAATTTCATTTTTGTGCTCTTAAGAGTCACTTGAGCTTTGGATACTTACAATTAATTTGAGAAAAAAACTGAAAGAGACTTTTGATAAATCCAATTTTTCTCAAAAATCAGATTGACGGAAAAAATTGAGCTACAGTACTTCGCCCATTAAAAATCTGGGAATCTTGCTTGGTAGATCAAAAATTCGGCTCTAAAATCAAATACTTCAAAAAAACGTGGAAAATTAAACTTTGAGACATATCAAACAAAATTTCCGGAAAAATTAAAAATTCCGCAAAGTCCTAAGAGTTCTTCAAAATTTATAATTCCAGACGGAAATTAGATTCACAGGAAAATATTATTTGATTAGCGAGAAAACGGCTAATCTCTGTTTCTGTTTTGCTCGAACCAAACAATTTTTTTGTCCAAAAAAAAAATTTGTCTAGAAATTTCTATTGCTCCGAAAAAAAATCATTTTCATGTTTTCGTTCAACAAAAAAAAATAACATGGCGAAGAAAAAAAAAAAGAAAAGAATAAAAAATGAAAAATGCTTTCATTTCCGGCCAAATTTTCAAGGAACAAGATTTTTTGAGCTCAATGTTTCATACTAGATTTTGTGCTCATGTTCAGAAAAAACAAAGCTATAAATAAATAAATAAATGAAAAAATGTATGCAAAAATAAATAAATAAAAAAATAAACAAAAATTGAAAATGTAGAGTGTTTTTGACACATGTTTGTGGTTTGATCACACTTTTTTATAGTCCGATTTGCAGGGAGGTTTTGAGAAAAAACCAGGTTTTTCTGAATTTTCAAAGAATTTGGAAAAAATCCGAAAATCTAGGAAATTTTTACGAATGCCCGGAAAAGATTCTAAAAATTCCAGAAGCCTTTTCTGAATTTCCAAAAAGCCTGGAGAAGATTCTAAAAGGCTAGGAACTTTTTTCTGAATTTTCAGAAAGTCTGGAAGAGATTCAGAAAGCTTGGAAATATTCTAGAATTTTCAAAATCCCGTGAAATATTCTATGAAAGCTTTGAGTTTTTGAGAAACCCTCAAATGGCCCAGAAATCTTTTCTGAATCTTCAAAAAGCCAGAAATTATTTTCAGAAAGCCTAGGAGAAGTTTCAGAATCCCAGAAAACATTCTAAAAATTCCAGAAGACATTTCTGAATTTCCAAAAAGCCTGGAGATGATTCTAGGAGATCTGGGAGACATTCTGAAATTATTTACAGCTCTAGAGAGTTCAGAAGATTTTTTTCTGACTGTTTTCTCAAAGTTAAGCTCAAATTCAACAAAAAAATCAATGAAATGCTCGAAAAATATATAAATGTGACTAATAATTTCAACAAGAAAAGAAAAAATTATTATTTTACCCTATAATTTTCTGAACATGCAATTTACCAGCTTAAAAAATTTATTTTTTTTTATTTTTCGAAGATATGAAAAATAATTTTCAATAATAAATTAAAGGTTGATAAAGAAGTTTTCAGTTCTCACAATCAGTATAATTTTTGGAATTGTTAATTTTCAGAGAATGTTCCGATTTTCCGGAATTATAGGATTATCTGGTTCAAAAACAAGTTTAAAGAGGAAATAATTGATGTTACCCTATAATTTAACGAACATTTCTAAATTCAACAACAAAAAATAATAAATTTTTCAGAGAAAATCCTCTTATTTATTCATTCTTCGAAAGGGTCTTGTGTTGTACTTGAGAAAAAAAAAGAAAAGTCGTCATGTTTTTTGTTTTTTTTTGTTAATAATGAAAAATATCTGTACTTACCATATCTTCTACTATAAAATAATAAATTTCGAAATTTATAGATAACCGAATCGCTCAACATACACACAAAAATCAATGTAGAAAACAAAATAAAAAGAATTTTTTTCTTTCCAACAAAAAAAAAAGGTTTTTGTCGTCGGATTATAAGTGCGTGAGCCAAGTGAGTTCAGGCTCAAAACCTTTTTTTTCCTTTTTTCTATTATTTTTTGTGTTGTTTTTTGGCTAATAGAAATTTGAGTGATTTTTTATTTTTCTATCTAATTGTTTACGATTTTTCAACGCACAAAAAACATGTGCAAAAAAATGAAAAATAATTCCGAGAAGGAAAAAAAATTCTATAATGAGTCAGGTTGAGAGAAGAAATAGAAGAGGAAAAAAATGAAGACCTTTAAAAATCTCGAGATTTTTGTAGGGTTTCTATTTGTGGGCAGTTTCTTGAAAGAAATCCCGTTGAGCTCAAAAACTATTCTCTCTGGGTTCTAGGCTCTCTAGGCTCTCTCGGCTCTCTAGGCTCTCTAGGCTCTCTAGGCTCTCTAGGCTCTCTAGGCTCTCTAGGCTCTCTAGCCTCTCTAGGCTCTCTAGGCTCTCTAGGCTCTCTAGGCTCTCTAGGCTTTCTAGGCTCTCTAGGCTCTCTAGGCTTTCTGGACTCTCTAAGCTTTCTAGGCTCTTAAAGCTCTCTAGGCTCTCTAGCTTCTCTAGGCTCTCTAGGCTCTCTAGGCTCTCTAGGCTCTCTAGGCTCTCTAGGCTCTCTAGGCTCTCTAGCTTTCTAGGTTCTCTAGGCTCTCTAGGCTCTCTAGGCTCCCTAGGCTCTCTAGGCTTTCTAGGCTCTCTAGGCTCTCTAGGCTTTCTGGGCTCTCTAGACTCTCTAGGCTCTCTAGGCTCTCTAGGCTCTCTAGGCTCTCTAGGCTCTCTAGGCTCTCTAGCTCCTCTAGCTTCTCTAGCCTCTCTAGCCCACCAAAATCCGAAAAATTCTGGTTTCAAGCTCATTTCGGTGCAACTCCCTGAGGTACTTACAAACTAGAAAACATGATATTTTTCAGCTTTTTTCCTAATTTCCAGCAACTTCTAATCTTCAGAAATGGATTAAGAAAATGGACAGTTTTTTTTGCAAAAAAAAATAAACAAAATAAAGTACATTCTGATTCGAATTGAAAACTAATCTAGCAAACAATTGAATTTATTTTTTTTTCATGCAAGTTTCTACAATTCCCTATTTATTTATTTTAAGGAAGAACAAAAAAAATAACTCTACGCTTGAGAAATTTGAAATAAAAGAAAAATTGTTTACAAACCTTTCTGCCGCAACAATGAGCAATCAACTTTGAAATTGCCAAAATCGCAGATACCAAAATTTTGACATTTTGAAATTTTGCATAAATCGAGAATCTGGAAAAAATACCTTGGATGAAAAACTGAACAGAATTCAAAGCTTCCTTGAAAACCTCAAGCTTGAACTTACCCTATATTCACATTTGACACCAACGAAAGACGGCGGACACTCGCAAAAATAATTGGATGTGCTATTGATATGACATTTTCCATCATTCCAACAAGGATGGCGATCACAAATTGAACCTTCTGAAAATAAAAACAGGTTCAGAATTTTAAACTTTTTATTTTTTTTAGCTCAAAATTAAATGTTAAGATTTTTTAACAAGTCTAATAATTACAAATTCTCTGATCTAGATTCATAATTTTAGAAAATTTTGGTTCACAAAGTTTTTTACAGTTTTTCAGATACAGTAATTTTATTTTCAAGTGTCAAAGTTTTAGGCTTCGTGGGTGGTCTCCCATTATGCAATTAGCTGGGCGACTTCTTTCAAATCCAAAAATATCAGAGTCATGGAAGAGAAAACCAAAATTCAGGAGATCAGGAAATATTTGGTTTTCTAGGCCATATTTATTTTTTTTTCGGCGTTCCAGAGTTCAAAAGTTATTTTTGGAAGTAAAACTTTGGAACAACGCATAACAGAATAAATTATTCATTGTACAAATGTTGCTGCAAATAGATTCAGACATCGTGAGAATTAGGCTAATTCAAGTGCATTCGGATTTTTTTGGGAAAGAGGGGGCACCGTGGATTGAACCCGGGATCCTAAGATTGACAGCTTTTTTTTTGAAAACTCAAAAATTCATGCACTTTCTGAATAAGAAACCCCTTCTACATATGCTCCAACATAAATATTTCATTTTCAAACAAAAAAAACCTACCGTATACAAGGCGAGAAGCAACACCATTGAGAAGCTCGCTAACAGTAATTGCCATTTTCGAAAAAAAATCGTTTCACATTATTCACCGAATCCACCAAAAGCTAGCGAAGAGAAAATCGGCTGGAAAAACAAAATTTTATTTATTTTTTCTGTAAATGCAATAAACAAATTTGACGGCAATCGAGACAGAAAAATGTGATTATTATTAATAATAAAAAAATAAAATAAAATGTGTTTTTTATTCAAGTACCTACATATTTTCAGGGGGGTTGCCAAGAACACCGTGCAATTTTATTATTTTATTAATTATTCATAACATATTTTTGACACACTGAAAAATGAAAAATAACATAACATAACAGTGGAAAATATAGAGCAGAACAGAGCAAAAACATTGCGTTTCTGTTTTTTTTTTGGGCTGAAAATATAGATTTATTTGAAGCAGAAGTTTATTGTGATACTGAATTTTTTTGAAATTTTGAAATTCTGGCGTTAAAATTTCACTTTCAAAGTTGAATAGTGTTTCTGGTTTTGCCTAAAATATTTTATAAATTAAATAATTTTGAAATCGCTCTTAAACACACCTGACGAGACGTGTCCAAAATGGACACTGTACATTTTTTTCAAAAGTCACACTGCATTTTTTTCGAAAAAAAACTTTGTTTCCTTTTCATCAACATTTAACTTGGGGAAATAAATGCACATTTAGTTCAGTGGTAGGCCATTTTGCTAGTGTTCAGAAGGCCCAGGTTCGAATCTTCATTCGAGCTAACTTTTTTATTTTTTCCCAACTTCAAAATCAACTTCAGATTGCGAATTTTTTCGAAGTTTCTCGGTGAAAATCAACTCAGCAGACTTTGTTTTAGTGTGGTAACATAATGTGCAGTGTGGAATTTACGTGACTGCTTAGCAAACCATAGTGTCACTGAAATTTCAAAAAAATTGACTTTCTATGAAAAAACTTCAAATTCCACACTGCACATGGGTAAATTCAAAAACTACGCTTAAAAATACACCAACTTTCTGAATATACCAACCCTTGATATGTGCTCGAAAAAAATGCCGTCCGATTCTTTGTAATGTCCATATTTACCATCAAAATGGACACTTCAAAATAACAGCGAAATAGGGCATTTCCACACTGCACTCATGGTGTTCCACACTGCCTATGACCTTAGCAATCTATTGGAAAAAAATCAACTATATCCGTTAAGCCTAAGCTTAGTTATCCTAACTTCAAATTTTGAGCAACGTTGCAACGCATTCGTTTGAAAACAGTTTCCTTTCCACCAACATTTTCCCCTCGGGAGAAAAAAGAGATGTGGCTGAGAGGATAGCATTTTAGACTGGCGAGCATGAGACCGGGGTTCGAATCCTCCTGCCCGCGGACTTTTTTTTTCGAAAAACTTGAAAATTTCACGCTGCACATTTTTTTGAAAAAATTTTCACACTGCACAAAAAATTTGGGACACTCTCTCGTCAGGTGTGCTCTTAAATCTTTTGGCGCCAAAATTACCAGAATTTTTTCACATTCGAAAAATGAAGCTAAAATTCACAACTTTCAAAAAAAAAATTTTCGCGCAAGTTTTGACGCCTTCAAAAAAAATTCAACATTTCAAGATTTCAAAAAATTGAATAAAATTCTCTCATTTCCCCGCTTCTATTCAGAATTCTGAAAATTCTAAAAAATTTGGATTCAGACTGAAATTTTCCTAAGCTTGTGGGATATCAAAATGCTCCAAATTTCCCAGAAAAATCTGAATTTCCGACAATTTCAGAAGAATTTGAGCCTAAATTAGCCCAACTCCCCACTAAATTCTCTTGGTATTTAAAAAACTAAATACAAATAGTAAAGCCGGAAAAGTATCACCAATCCAAATAACATGAGAAATCAAAAATAATTACATTTTTCGGCGAAAACATTCAGAGCAGCGCACGCAAAAAAATACCACATGGAAAAAATTGGTTCTTTTTTTGCCCGCCAAACGGGAAAAAACAACACCAAAAAAAATGGGATGAAGGTCAAAATTTAATTAAACTGACCAACAGCACATCAGTCAACAAAATGAGTATTATGAGATTAGCGAAACGAAAACAATGGAATGTTTTTTTTGGGGAGGAGTGACAATTTTGAAAAAGGGAAAGGATGTGCCAAGATCAGGAACTTTCGAAGAAATTTGAAAATTCAAAAAAGGTTAAGTTATGACCGAGAAAAGCCTGAAAATCGTTTAAGCTCATTCGGATCTAAATTTCTGGTTGAATCCAAATTTATTTCCAGATTCTTGGGGGAGTTCGGACAATTTTGATATCTCGCAAGCCTAGGATTCTGAGAATTTTAGGCCTAGGCTTGTTGGATACCATTTTCAGCCTAATGATTCTAAATTTTCTAGAATTTCTAGATTTTTGGAACATTTTCAGCTCGGGAAAGATTATTTGAATTTTCTTCAAAAAAAGATGTAAATTTGAAATACCAGGAAAATGTTTCTAAAAACTAAAAAAAAATCAGAAACTTTCAGAAACTCTAGGATGAATATTTTCAGCTTCTCCTAGCTTTGTGGGATATCAAATCAAAATGAGTCTAAACAAGGCTACGACCAAATTTTTTCAAAAAAAAATATTCCAGAGATTTCCACGTGTTTGGTGGGTGGTTTAAAAGAACAGACAACGCAGAAAAAAAACAAAAAAAAAACACAACACAAAAAAAGCGTGTGAAATGAATGAATTGTTGGTTTTTGTGGTGGTGGATGTTGTTTCTTTTTTCTTTGTTTCGTGAAAAGGAGAAGGAGTAAAATAAATGGTTTTTCGTGTGTTTTTGGGGGGAGAAAAATTATTTTTTTTATTTGTTGGTCTTGAAAAGGGTAACGAGCTTATCCGTTGGGAATTGTTATTATTTTTTTTCGAAATTTTTTTTTGAGAAAAATAAAAAATTATGAAAAATTTATTTAAAAAAATAAATATGAATATAAAATTCAAAAATTTTCAGAAATAATACATTTTTTAAGATTTGAAGCCTAAGCCTTAAAGTTCAAGCCTAAAGTCTAAGTCTGAAATCTCAACCTAAAATCTTAGTTAGAGCTCGAAGGTTTTTAAAATTTCAGAAAAAAAAATAATAAACCAAAAACCAATTTTATTCATGCTTGAAAAATTATCAATTTTCAAAAAAAAACTTTGACTCATCAATTTTCAAAAAATGAAAGACACAGAAAAATCAAAAATGAGATTCATTTTCAGAATCTGAATCTGAATCTAAAAATAATTCACTATTTCGAGAAATCCAATTAATGACGAGAAAAAGAACATCTAAAAATTAGCGAGATAATCTGATTATCCAGATATTTTAAGCCATAAAATAAAATAGCTCAATTTTCAGGAGGATGAATATTTACTAGCATTGAAAAATCATCTAATTTCACAAAAATGAGCCCAGAAATCTGTTCACACCGCTCTCGGAGCACATGAAAAAATACATAAGTAGTGAGTGAATGACCAGAAGAACGTACGTATTTGCCAAATCCGTTAAGCTCTTTTGTTTTTTTCTTGTCTCTCAAGAAAAAAAACGTTTTTGAAGATGTTACACATTTTCTGTGCTTGAAGAAGTGTTTATTTATTTTTTTAAACAAAGAAAATTGAGGAAATGAAATTGTCTTGAATCAAGAAAACAAGTACGAATTATTTTTTTATTTTTTTGAAAAAAAAAAGAAAAAATATGACCACCCTATGTGACCAGCTACAAAAAAAAATAGCAAAAATTGTAATCGTTCATATCCGCAAGTTTCAAGTTCCGTCATTTGAAGGAACAATTTTTTGGGTAGATGTTTTTACTACATTTTTTTGAAAGAGAAAAATACATAGATCTCATGAAATTTGGCTCTAAAGATTCCCAAAGTTATCCTAAATGCTTCTGAAGGTTTCCAAAATTTTTCAAATTTCAAAAAACGAAAGAAAAACGTCCAAGTTAAACTATAAAGCTCATAAATTCTGACCAGAGACAAAAAATTATTGCGACAAAATTTATATCCGCAATAAAATGAATTATTATGTATACCCACCGAGCCCAAGAAGCGTTCCAGGCACCCGAGGATATAAAAAAACAGTCAGTAATTATGTATAATCCCAGATGGCCAGTTTAGAAAAACGCGGAGAGAAACCTAATGAGTTCTAAAATATTGCAATAAATTAGAGAAAAAATAAAGTTTTTATGTGATATGGCTCAACAGATGGCTCACAGGGGAGCTTTAGACCTTTGGGGAAAAAATAAAAAATATATAAAAAATAAAAATTTTGCTTCAAGATTATTTGAAATTCAATCCCTATTTCAAGAATAATTAGACTCCAGGAAAAATATAATTTTTTTCATATAAAAATTTTTTAAAAAATCAGGAAAAAACAACTTTGATCATGAAAACTAAAAATAAATTCACATTTATATTTATTTCCAGAAAAGAAATAAAGTTCATGCACATTTTTCTTCACAAATGTTTTTAATCCACGGATTAGTAGAACATGTTACTTTTTGTTAAAGAAAAGAGAAAAGGAAAATGATTTTTGCTTCTTTTTTGGAGTTATTCATCATCTTAAGATGTTTGAATTATTCATTCGCTGAAACTGGCTGAAACTGACCTTTTTTTCTGAATGAAAAGGAATAGGAGTTGGAATCTAGAACTTTGGTGTGGTTTCTGAAGTTCCGCAAAATTCTGAGAGAATTTGGAAACCCTTGGAACCTTTAAACAAGGTTTTTAAAAGAAAAAAAAGTAAAAATAAAGTGTACATGATGAAACTTGACCCTATAATTATGTCCTATAGTTGAAAAATATATATTATGCACATTCAACCAGTCAACCAAAACTCAATTTTCAACGAAAAACGAACACATAATTTTTGATTCAATTTTTCTCTTCGTATAGAATGGATCTATGAGAGTTTATTTATTTTTTGGAAAAAAATTGAGTGATGTTTGCTTTTTCAAAACTGGAAGAAACTTGAAAACCTTTCAGGTTTGAACTAGTTTCTTATGGGCCTATGCAGAATAATATTTTGTAATAAAAAAACATCAAAAAACATATTTTTCCTATGCAGAAAAACGTCAAAAAAACAGAATATACAGTTTATTATTTTTGAATAGAGACAATGTGAAATTGAGAGAGTGCAGACAGCACAAATTAGTTTTTTTCTGTATTTCTGTTCCGAAAAATCATTTTGTCTGCCTCCTCGTCCTTCTCTTCCATAAAATAATGACTCATAAAATATTATTCTACACAGGCCCATTAGTTATGACGTGTCAAAGCTTCAAAAAAAAATTCAGAAAATCAGGATTTCAGAAACTGAAAACTAACTTCCAAAATAATTTTCATACAAATCTATTCTTATAGGTTGTTAAGGAAGATGAATTACACATTAATCAGGAAAATGTTTTAAAAAAAGTTGGAAATCTACAACTCATAACCTAAATGTTCAAAGAAACATACAAATTTTAAGCTACGATTCGAAACAGGCCAAAAATTACGTTTTTCATACTATTTCTAACACATTTGCAAAGAGAAAAGAAAAAAATTAAAAAACCATCGTTTGAAAATAAAAATGATTGCCGCAATTGTGTGAGCGCAGTGTCACGCGGAGTCTCGTTGTTTACTTTTTATTTTTTTTGTTTGTGGAAATCAAGAAACCTAGGGAAGGTGAATATTTTAGCGATCAGATTTGCAAACATCAACAAAAACTACTAGAAAAAATATTTGATTTTAAAAAAATCTAGTGAAAGTTGAAAAAATTTTATCGTAAAACCCCTGGATTTTCAAGCAACATATTCAAATGTTAAAAAATGACCCTCATCACCAAAAAAAAACGAAAAAAAGAAAAATAGACTAGAAAAACTTGTTCATCCGTCCGCGTGCCTCCTCTTTATTTCAGTCATCTTCGGGTCGTGCACACCGACGACAGCACCGCAAAATAACCTCTTGGGACTAATAAATACTGATATGGCTATGAGTTGGTGTCCTCTTTTTTCATCTTTTTTTTGTTGTTCCTTTGAGGTGGACGAGGAATACGATGGAAATAGTGGAGATAATCTGTTTTTTTTTGGGGAGAAGAAGAAGAAGAAGTTGTTGAGAAAAACACTTTGGAGGTAGATGAAGTAAATGAGAAAAATGGTTATTGGGGGAAAAATTGCAGAATATTTCAATTTCAGCTCTCAAAATTTCAGCTCTCAAAAATTCCTACATGAAATTATCTCCCAGGTCTTCTGCTCTCAACCTAGGTTCTCACAAGGTTTCTATGTCGAGTCATCCAAAAAATGAAGAAACAAAGAATCTTCATTCATCATTCTGACAAAGACAACTTCAATTTCAATTTGAAAATATGTATATTCATTATACGAAATAACAACAAAAAAGTAATAGGCATAATGTGAAACAAAATGAATTGGTCAAAATAAAAGGAGAAGGAGGGAGAGAGGTTCGGGGAAAATATAAGGAATTTTTAGAGAGAGAGAGAGTTTCTGAAGTATTTTCTGGACTTTCTGGAAATTTTAAAACAGGAATTCCCTTTAAAAATCTGAATGTAATAAAGTTTAAAGGAACGCACTGTAAAAGACCGTATTTACTGCGAATATAACTTTTTTATGTTGAATAATTTTTGCGGTTTGGGTTAGATCTGCAGGTTCTACCGTACTCTCAACTGAATTTTAAAGTTTTTTGAACTTATGAATGTCGACTATGTTTTTGAGTGTCAAAAATTTAAAAATTTTTAACATTATTTTTTTATCTCGAAAAAAATCAATTTTTTCCACATTTTTTTGATGACAAGAAGTTAGGAAAAGTCTAATAGTCTTATTTGAATTTTGAACATACTGTGTTCTCTGTAAGCCCTCCAATTTCTCATAAGCCCTTTATTTTCGAACAAAGCAAAAAATAATGTAACAAAATGAATTGGTGCAAAAAAGGGGGAGAATCTCTATATATTGTCGGTTGTCCGGTCCAAAAAGCGAGAGGCGATTTGTGTCCTAATTGACTCGTTTTTCTTGGCGAATCCTTGATGGGTTCTTGACAACGAAGAAAAGTGAAAAAAAAAGAAAATAGGAGGAAGAAGAAAATGAAATTGGATGTTGTTAGTCGGAATCTGAAATGAGATGAGATGAGATGAAATGAGTGTCTTTTTGGAGTTAATTGCTCCGAAGAGTAATATGTCTTTACTCAAGAAATACATCAACCAAAACTAATTCGGAATAGCAATTTTGAGGAAAGGAGCAGCTAAAAAGGTTTTGGCTTGTGGGGAGAAAAAAAAATTGAGGGAGCAATTTTGAGGGTTGAGAAGATTTCCAGATTTTGAAAAAAATGTTCTAACCCCCTTTGGCAAATTTTTCAATCAACCTGATTTTTTTAAACAAATTCAATTTCTCTCGAAATTCAATTTTTATTATTGTTCAGGAGTCCAATGAAAAATCGTGAAGATAACAACATTTGTTTAACGGGGGCAAATTAACTTTATCAGGTTTGGTTTTTTGAATCGTTGATTTTTGAACTCTGGAAAGTTTGAATTTGAAAAACAAATTATATTTCAGAATTTGAAAACCTCTCTTCGAAAATTTTAAACTTAAATTGCGTCCCAAGTCGTTCCTAATCAGAAAAAAATATTTTATGTCTGCGCTCTCTTCAGTGGGCACAAACTCTCGCTGCTTTTTTTTCGGTTTCTCTCGCAGTCTCTTCAAAAAACGAACGTTTTCACAAAAAATTTTAAAAAAAAGTTGGTCGGCATGTGGGATCGAACCTTGGCCCCGCCCACTTTGCATGAAAAAGATAGAGGCAGGTGAAACCTGTCAGTTGTCGTCGCACGAAAAAGAATAAGAGGGGAGACGGTTTTTTACAAGTGATTTGCATTCGAATTTACCATTTAAAAAAAAATAATGAAAACGAAGTGAATGCAAGAAAGGTTATTGCATTACAATAATTTTTCGGCTACTGTATCAGTGGCAGAAAAATTATTGTAATACAGTAACCTTTCTTGCATTCATGAGAAAAGAGGGGAATCTAACATGAATTTTTTGAGATTTTGAAAAAGTTAATGAAAATTGCTCTTGAAAAAATGGACTTTCAAACAAATAGCTTGAATGTTCAGTAGTTTGAAGCTGTGTTTTCCTGTGATTCAGATTTTTATAAAAATTTGTCGAAGGACGGGTTTTTGAATTAAAATTGATTCAAAGAAACCGATTTTTATGTCAGCCTGCACCTTCGAGGTTCTTATGTAAGCCCAAATTTTTCCAGTTAAAACTACAAATTCCTTCACTACCTCTAACACATTTTTTTCTGATTACCATTTTAAAAACCATATTTGCATTATGATGAATATTTCCTATTTTATGTCCCACTATTTACAATTCAAAAAAGTCCAATTTCTTATCATGTGACGTAAAATCACGTTTTTTTTCAACCAAAACTCTCCATTTTCTCTGTTTACCTCTATTTCTAAATATACATAAATAATTAGAGGTTTTTTTGATAAAAAAATATTTTTTTTTGCTTATCTTTTTTTGACCATAACATAACATTTTTGTGATGAATAAATAAAATAAAATACATAAATAAAAATTTACAAATTGAAAACATAATTTTACGAGCAATTTTTTTGCAAGTTTTTTCCCATTATTTTTTTTTGATTATCTTGTATCCAAGAGTAACATTCAATTATTATTTTTTTCTCCGCGGTGGGAAATTTGATTTTTTCCCGTTTTTTTTCGGCTAACTTTAGACTTTTTTTGTTCATTGAATTAGCGGCGATTTTTGTATGCAATTAGGTTAATATAGGGTAAAGCTTGAAAAAATCATTTTCTGATTTGTCAGCAAAAATGTTGAGGCGTCTGTTTGGTGAGTTAGTGGAGAAGATTTAAAAATGCCCCCGAATCTTCCAAAATTAAGGCTCAAAACACTTTTTTTTAGAAAAATCATACGTCATGTTTTTTTGTCATCACAATAACAAGTATAATGGGTGGGATGTTATTCAAAATCATAAGCGTGAAAAAATAAGAATAGTACGGTTGGGTCACAAAAAACTGTTTATAGTCATCGTGAAATTTTTTTTTCGTTGTGAAAAATCAGATTTCTTGTGTTTGAAGATTTTTGAAATGCCTTCAAAACCTGAAATTAGTGTGGGAGCCTACAATTATGTATAACCTAAAAATATTTTTTTTCTAAAATTTCTAGACGCTCTTGAAAGTGCTTTGAGCTATTATTTTGTTCTACTTTTGAGAATAAATTTGAAATTTAAGAGAACAAAGAATATGTTCCTTTAAATTTGAAGCTAACCTTTTTGAATAAATAATTTATTCCTATGTCCCTTTAAACATTCAAAATCCAAATGTGCATAGTTCAAACTAAAAATACATTTTCTGATTCATTTTTCTTTATCAAAAACTCTGCGAAACGTAATACTAACATAAAATAAAGATTATTTTCCATGACGTATTGATATATTGTGCATTTCACAATGAAAACCATAGCACTTTTTTTTTGCTCGCTGATTAATTAGAAACATGCCATTAAGACTATATTTTTTCGTGGGAAATATTTTCAAAATAATTCCAAGATCGCCAATCATTGTTCAGGAATTCTTGTTCTGTTGATGTTTTTTTTCGCCAATTTTTTGCTTGATTAGAAAATGGGAATTTTTTTTGTGGGAATTTTTTTTGGGAAGCCTAGGAAGCCTAGAAAGCCTGAAAGGCCTGAACAGTTTCTTAAAATTAACTTTTATCCTGGTTCCGTTATTGAAGCAAAATGTGACGTCATCATTTTTTTCAATTTTTTTGAATAATAGTTCGGAGTCAGTCATCATTTTTGTGTCGCCCCCCAAACAACAATAAAAACATTTTCCAGTTTATTTCGTTTTTCTTTTTCCCCGTTTCCATATTCAAATTTTTTTTGTTGAATTCAATTCCAATTCCAATTCCACCCACAAATCATTTTTTTTTCAATTCCGCATTTTTTTTGTTTAAAAAATTCCTCTCACCATAGTTACATACTGTTGTGGATCTCAAAACGCTCCATTCTTTTTTAAGACAAAAAACAACAAACCACACAGAAAGAAAAGGCCAAAACAGGAATAGAAATTGTCAAAAATAAAAAAATGATTTTTTCAGATAATCAAAATCAAACAATGTCAGCTGCTGAAAATTTTCATGACGTCATGGATGTAAGTTTTTTTTCGTGAAGAAAAAATATTCTGATTCTGAGGTTTGAGTAGAGGAGATGAGAATTACTAAAAAAAAGCGCAGGTTTCAAATTTCACCAATTTGTCTGGAAACCTTTTTCCCTTTTTGTCATTTTTACACGATGATTCGATGCTTGTTCAAGAAGGTAGGTCTAGAAAAATTTTTGAATATCGAGAGGAAGATCAAAATTTTTACCTGAAAAATCTAGATTCTCTGAAAAATATTACCCAGTATTTTCCAGGACCAATTAATTTTTCTCCAAATTTCCTGACTGAAAATCTTAATTTAAACAAAAATTCTTCTATTTTCAAACTTCTGATCCCCGAGTTCAGGGCGAATTTTTTTGCACACCTTGATTTAATTAAGAAACACTTACTAAATTATTAGAGAAAATCTGCAGATCAGTGATCAAAGAATTGGATTTTTCGGTGGGATTTTTTCATTTCCTTCACAATTTCCTGTAGTTCTCTAGGAACATCTAGACTGTCTGAGATTTTATGAAAAATTGATTTTTTTTCCTCAAAAATAGGTAGAGGAGATTATGAACTCCTAGATCCAATGATCGCAGTCAATTTTTAATTTCCTGTAGACCTCTGGATGTTTTTAGACTGTCTAGAATTTCTTCAGTTCAAATTTTAATATAATCGTGAACTTCTAGAAAAAATGTGCTGATTTTAAACACTTAATTTTCAATATTCCCCAAAATTTTTCCAGAAACCCTTGATACAAAATATGAAAAACAGTTAGTCTGACTTGCACATTCATAATTCCTAGAATCATCAAATTTCCCCTGGGTAGCTCTTCTCAAAAGATGATTTTGCTTGCTCGCGGCTCGCAAAAAAATGCTGACAAAAACGACGTCTTTTGGATATTAGAACTTGCTAATCTCTGGTTTTCAAGGGTTTCACAATGTCAGACGAAAAAAACAAGAAACAACAACTTTGTTATCTTTATTTCTTTGTGTCTTCTTCTTCAATTTCGAAATAGCACAAACCACGACAAAAAGCAATTAATTTTAATATCTGCAATTTGATTTGACCAAGAAAATCGTCATTTTCAAAAAAAAAATTGTGGTGTCCAAGAAAAAGTTTTGTACAAAAACACATGTACCTTTAAACTAATTTTTTTGGGCTGGCCAAAAGATTGTAGTTTCTCATAGTCAAGTTCTACTATTTTTCTACTAATCTAAAAATCATTTTTTTTTCTGACACACGCACATGGCAAATAATATTCAATTTCCTTTTTTCAAACATTTTTTTGATAACCTGAGCAATTGAATGTGAGTGAGGTGCAGCTAGAACTTTTTGAAAATCGAAAAGTTCAAATAGAATTTATAGAAGTTCAGAAAATTTAGCCAGAACTTCTAGAAAATCGAAAAATCTAGATAGAACTTTTAGAAAATCGAAAAGTTCAGATAGAATTTATAGAAGTTCAGAAAATCCAGATAGAACTTTTGAAAAATTGGAAAATTCAGCTGGACCTTCTAGAAAAACAACAAAAAAACCCGAAATAAATTCTGACTGATTTTTCTCAAATTCAAATGTGCTCGCAATATTTTTCCAATTTTCAGATGTTTTAACTAGATTTGAAAAACTTCTAAAAGTGTTTGCTGAGTTTTCTGATCTGATGAAAATAATAACTGAATTTTCTGATCTCTCAGAAGTTATAGCCAAATTTATTGATCTTTCAATCTTCCAAAAAAAAAATTTTTTTAACTTTCTAACCTTCCAAAATCCAGAATCTTCCTCAATTTTCAATTTTTGGCCCGAATTAAAAATCAATCATTCGAACTTTTGAACAAAGTTTGCTCTAACACACGCATATGTGCAAATAATATTCAATTTCACATATTTTTCATTTTTTTCCAACATATTGATAACCTGAGCAAACTGACCAACTTTTTTTTCACTTTGAATTTAGTTTGTTTGAAAATCTGTTGTGTGTGTGTGTCTATCTATTTGTGTCTGTAAATAGTTGTCTCCTCGACCCGGGAAAAGGGCGTTATAAAACCTTCCTACGACTTTTGCGCTTGGTCGATTTTGTTTACCAGGATTTTCTTCGATATTTTTGTCGGTGATTTCGTTTTACAGTAGGCGTTGTTTTTTTTCGTGGAATAAGAAGATTAGTGGGTTGATTTTGATTGATTGATATAAATCGATGAATGTTTTCATGGATTTTTTAAGGTTGTTTTTTTACGCTGAATAAGATCTAGATGGGTTTTCTGATCTTCTGAAGATTCCAGCAGTAACTTCTGAATAATCAGAAGTTCTAGCTGTAATTTTTGATCTCATAGAAGTTCCAGATCAAAAAGAAGTTCTAGCTGGGCTTTCTGATCTTCTGAAAATTCCAACTGTAACTTCTGATCAAATAGAAGTTCTATTCTGATTTTTTTCAATTTTTGTTGAAAACAAAATCCAGCTCAAAGCCTGAAATTTTGCCACGTGGATTTTTGAATCAAAAATTTAAAATTGAACTTCTGAAATTCCCGGACCAAAAAATGAAAATGTAGATTTTTGCCCTGGAAAGTCGCCAGAGAAAAATTCCCTCATGAAATTTTCTTTTTTTTTTGGAAAAATAAACAAGAAGATGTCCTAACTTTTACTGATTCATAATGTTTGACGAATTCGTCATGACTCATAGTAAACGGACACATTTGAAACGAAATTGGGCAAAAAAAACCTTTGGAGAATTGCCAGAGAAAAAATCACTGTTTCTAGGATTTTAATTAGGACTTTCACAAAAAAACAAACTTTGTTTTTGTACCGTATTTTGTGTTAAATTGATCAATTTCAAATTCATAGAACAAAATTTTCTTATCAATTTTTCGTTGACCTAATCTTTTAAAAAACACATTTTATTTCTCCTACTAATATAAAGATGAGCAGAAGAATAAAAAAAATTCATTTTCTCTATCTTCCGGCAAACCTCCCTCTTTCCCCTCCAAAAAAATTGTGGGCGGAGCTTTCAAAAATGGCTGCCTTGCTGGCTGGCTTTATTATTTGTCCAGAACATCACATTCTTCCATTTTTTTTCCAATTTAACATTTGGGGTTCATTTTCATTCTTCTTCTTCAATGATTTGATTTGATTTTTTTTCAGATTGGTGACATTGAAATGACAAATCAGCGAGATGATTCGAAGGGAGAACGATCAATTGTTTTGCTGGGAACAAAGCATAAGAAAGTTTTTGTGAGTTGCTTTGAATTGTTCTCACATTGAAAAAAAAGGAAAAAAGGGGTGCGTGACAAAATCTTGAGATTTCTCGAAACCATATGACAAACTTATGTTAGAATCAACAAGTTGTAGGCTACTTTTTTCGAAAGAGGAAAAGTGATCAGTGAACAGTTTTTTCGAGGAACAATCCGATCAAAATTCGATTTGTTACAAACTAGAACATGATTTATGTACATTGAATTAAAAAATTTTTGCAATATTTTGGGTACATTTGGAGTAGTGGGAGTTTTTCGAAAAATGTTTCCTAAAGGGTTTGGAAGATTTTTAAAGCCCTGGGGATTCTTGAATCTTGAAAGCCCTAGAAGTTATGAAAATTTCTGGGAAGCCTAAAACTCTGGGAACTTATTAGTTCTCTAAGGCCTAAAAAAATTGGCCGGCCTGAAATTTCTAGAAAGTCTAGAATTCCTGGCCTATAGGAATCTTCAAAGCTTTCTAGAAATCCCTGGGAGGCTTCAGATCTCTGAAAACATCCATAGGAAACTCGAAAAATTTCCTATAATCATAAAATCTGTCGAAAAATTTTCTGTCTAGATTATTCAAGAAAAACCCCTCGAGACTTTCACTAATTCAAAATTTTCTAGATGACAAAAATAAAATTTTTCTGATCTTGATTAATTTTGAATTAAAAATATGTATAGCAAAATTTATTTTTCAAAGAAAATTCAAATTTTGAAAAAAAAATCCCCTTCTTTCCTCCCTCCAAATAAAGTTTTTTTACAGTTCCAACAACTCTGCGAATCAGCCCAAAAATACGAAAAACATGTCCATTATCAAGATGTTCATTACCTAACAATTGATCATATGGGAAATGATTATATCATCGAGTTAACCGATCCAGGAACTGTAAGTTTTTTCTTGTTTTCTTGTTTTCACCCAACCTAATGTTTACTTTAAAAATTGTGTAAATATATCTATTTCACAAGTTTTTTCTTGGGCTATAAATATCGATTTCCAGACATTTATGCTGAAGAAGCCAAACATTTTTGACTTGGGGGAGAAAAAAGAAAAGAATAAATTATTTAGTTGAGTCTAGTTCGAAAAAACACTGCATTTTGTGGTGTGTGATTTTGAAGCGAATGGAAAAAATAAAAGTTTTTTTTCAGAAACTAGAAGAGACAATGTGAAATTAAGAGAGTGCAGACATTTTTTTTTGGGAATTTCAGATTTTATTTATTGGAGAAAGCCAATTTTTTTGTAGGCTCGAACAGGAGGGCGTGAAATGGCAATCCGTAGCGCAGATTTCGCACTCCTGTATTATTCCGCAAATTCAATCGAATCCCTCCATGCAATTCAATCGGTCTCACAAGCTCTTCAACAAAGAAAAAATGTGAGTTTTCCAAAAATCATCACACCTTTCATACCTACCCGCAAAATGTCATAAATTTAGTAACAAGTTTATTTGCTTGCTCTTTTTTTCTGCAAGTGGCAGCAGCGAAACTTTTTTGTTACCTGAACGCATTGCTCCATGAGCAAATATGAGACAGATGAGCAATAAATGAAATATTTTTGGAAATTTTGGGGAAAAGGGGGACAGATTCGGAACTCCAAAGTTTAAAGATTTGAAAAAAATTTCCAGGACTTTTTAAGAGCCAAGACAAGATCAAATGGATAGGCTTAAAATTGCGAAACATTTTTAAAGTTGAAATATTTTTGAGAAATTTCAAATTTTAAAAGAGGATTGAAATTTTGAATTATTTTATTGAAAATTTCAAAATTTAAATATTTTCAAAAATTTCGTGTATTTTGAAAAATTGAAGGTTGTAGGCTTAAAATTTTCCGAATTTGATAAGGATTTTGATAAAATCTTGAATCCACGTTGTTTCTGAAATGTTTCAGCTCAAATTTCAGTGCTTTCAAAAATCTGAAAATTTTAATAATTTGGCTGAAAATTTAAAAAAAAACCTATTAGATTTTGTAAAAAAAAAATGTTTTTTGTTTTCTAGGCCTATCTTCCAAGGGTCAAAAAATTTAGATTTGACAGTACATGAGTGTCTGAGCATCTCTTGCTCATATTATATTCGCTTCGAACTTGAAAATTTTCATCCGCTTAAAAGAGCCCCTGATTGCCTAAGATTTCTGACAAATCTGAAGTGTTAGGCACAATTTCCACCTCTGAAAATCAATGTTCATTTTTTTTTCAGATGCCAATTCTAATTGTCTGCGATTCTGACGATATCACAGTTGATGAAACTTTGTCAGCCAATACAAGTTCATCTTCAGAAGGATATGAAAGTGATGAAAGAGAGGGAATGAGAAGACATTATTCGATGGAACAAATGAGAAGTAATTTGGAGGAGAATGCTGGAGAAGGGGTAAGATTTTTTTCAAGATGTTATTTTTGAGCCAAAATCTGAGCTTCCAGAAAGCTCAAAAAATCTCGTTTTTTTTCCAGGGCGAACGTCTTGCTGAAGAGCTTGGAAGTCGATGTTCATATCTAAAAATCCAAGCATCGCGCAAAGAAGATGCTCAAAAAGTTATAACTCAAATCATATTCACACTTCAAAAATCGGCTCCGATAAAAAATCGAAGAAAGTCAATAATCAAAGAGTGAGTAAAAAGGAGCTTTTTTTTGAAAGAAACACAAAACACAGAAAAAAATACCACTTAATCTATTGAACTTTTTATTTATCTAGCGAGGGACAAACCGATTGGTCGTTTTTTTCATTTTCTTACTTCGCAAAACAAATATAATGTTTTAGGATACTTCGAAACAAATCAACTGACAAAAACGCGGACGCAGTTTTTGAATCGGGAGAGAATTCGAAGAAAAAGAAATCGAAAAATGGAGGTGACGATTCAAAAGTTTGCAGCATCATGTGAAAATATCGAATCAGAATTTTAAAATTTTCTGACATTTTCCTTTTGTTTAAAAAAAATGTTTTATCCCTAAATCATATATTTTACCCTAAACGATCTCACAATTTATAATTATATCTTCCTTTCCCGGTGTCCAATTTTTTCGTGTTTTTTGAGAATTTTTTCGGTGTATTAATGTAAGTCAATCCATAAAATGGACTAGTCAAATTTTATTTTTACTCTGCTTTTTTTGTAAAATTAGTTTTATCATTTTGATTTCAATTTTAATTGTGTTGAGAAATAAATGATTCATAAAACAATTCAAATTTAAAAATCAGGTCAGGTTCGACTAATCACACTTGGCTTTAAAGCTTTCAGGGGGACAAGTCTTGAATGAAAAATTGGGCCACCAGAAAGAGATTGGACCATCTAAAACTTCAAGAAAATAATTCTGAAGCGGACCGAGAATTTTTATTCGAAAAATTACACTTCTGATTTTATTTTCAATTTTTTTTTCGAAAAAAATTCGAAGATGGTTCATTTCAAAATCTTGAAAATCAGAGGGAAATTCTGAAGCGGCGAAATTCTGAAAAAACTTTTTCAAAGGCCCCCAAAAATTCAGAAATTCATCAGCATATCTGAAACCCTCGAAAACAACATCGTCAAATTTTTTCAAAAAAAAATTCAGATTTCAAAAAAAAGTTCTCAAAAACCTTTTTCCTCCTGTTTGTTTTCTCTGATTGTGAATCGAATGCTCCAATTTCACAGAAAAATACTGATGTCTAAACTTCAGACTCCAAACGTTTTTTTTCAATGTAGCCAGGACAATATTTGTGTAGCTAAATAAGCTACGAAGTGCAACTAAAAATTGAAAGAAACGTAGCTGCAAACAAAAATAAAACGTTTTCTCCCCTTCAACAAAAAATGAAAGGGACAAAAGAAAGTGCGCTCTAATGAAAAGGTATGTGATAAGCATTTATTGCTTTGTTTCTCTTCTCTCTCTTTGTTTTGTGCACTCTCTCGTTTCTCATTTATTAATGCTTATGGCTAGGCTTTTCGTGCCTGATTTGAAAAATTCAAAAACTTTTTTTTAGAAAATCTGAATTTTTCCTGAAAACACAATTCTCCCGGGACAAAACATTTTTTTTAATTTTTATTTTTTTCGTGAAATGATATAAGATAAGTGAATATATATAATTGAGTTCAAAGGAAAAGGCAGAATTATTTGTGAGATGTGAAAAAGTGACGTGAGAAGTAGGAAGACAGTAGCTCGATTAAAAATCGAATGAAAAAAAACCAGTAATCAAAAAACCCGGTATCAATACCAGTAATCAGAAACAGAAATCTTGTGCTCAACGAGCAATTCTAGTAGTCTGAATCGTCTTCCTCTCCATTGATATACAATTTGACTCGTTTTCCATCGTGTCTTGTGTAAATACAATGATCTTTTTTAACTGCACATTCTGTGATGAGTGGTGCATTCATGACGAAGTCATAGGTGGCGAATTTGTACTCTGGGAGGTTTCGGATAGCGATTCGAGCTCCATCGACACAATCAATGTGCTGAAAAATTGTATGTAAGCTTTCTTTTTTAAATTTTTCAGGGTTGTAAAAGCTAAATTTCCAAAAAAAAAGTACTAACCTGAACCATATTCGCAATAGCAGTTGGAGTAACATTCGAAAATTGATCCAAATTAACCTCCAAACTCTCAAAGTTTCTCGATCTCGCTGTCAATGTGTTCAAATCAGTGTCAGTGCAAGTTGTTGTCGATCCTTTTAAATTAAGCTTGACCGCATTTTCGACAGTTCCCATAATGAATTCAAGGTGCATTGGAAGGTGGCTCTCAAGTTGCAAATGTGTCACGTGCTTGAACATAACAACATAAAGTTCATACAAGAAGCCAATGTCCTTGATTGTGACCTGGAAATAAAAAATGAAAATCTGAATATTTTTTGATCTTCAAAATTCCCCAAATGAATACCAACCTTTCTTCTCTCATTAATCCAATCAAGACGCAACTTTGAAAGAATTTGCAATTCCGCATCAATCACCAATTCTTCTGGATTCAATTCGCAAGTATCATCTCTCAACTCGTCTGAATCGACGTAATAATCATCATTGTTACGAATAGCATTTGTGCGGATATTCTCCAATTTCAAGTGATAAGTGTCATCAGCTCTGATAATTCGCAATCTTTGCATTGGCAGGCGTCTGAAAATATGGAAAATATACATAGAAAATGGGTTTTTGTTTGAATTTCTGAAATATTTTGCAGCTATAATATTTCAAGCCTACTGTATTTTGAAAATTATCGATTTTTTAAATATTTTTAAATATATTTTTCTCAAAAAAGTAATTTTTTTCAGGTTGCTCAAAAATTTATTGATTTTTTGGAAAGAATTCAGATTCAAAATTTTTCTTCGGAGAATTTGCAATATTACTGTAACTCAAAAATCATTAGTTACTTTCCTCAATTTCTTCGGAATACTATATCTCAAAAAAATTATTGATTTTTTGTTCCGATTTTTTAATTTTTTTTAAAATATATTCTTCTCAAAAAAAGTCATTTTTTCAGAATTACTGTATTTCAAAAAATTTATTTTTTTTTTTTGTTCAATTTTCTTTTAATTTCCGATGTTCAAAATTTCTCAAATTCTTTCTCAAAAAAAGTCAAACCAAGTTCCTAATTCTTCAATTCCCAATTTTCCCTAGAACTTACTGCAATTCCATTCGATGGTGATTGACAAAATGCTTCAAATTCTCGTCGCTCTCCTTTATTTCTTCTAACTCCTGCATGTTGTATCTTCTCAAATCCTCAACCATTCTTTTTATGACTTCCTCAGGTAGTGCCATTTCGGCTTATTTACCGTAAGTCTGAAAATGAATGAAAATTTCATTTGAGAAGATAACAAGAACAAAGTTTTTATGAGGTTTAGAAATATTACTAACATTCTCAAGAAAAAAAAAATTCTTTAGAAATCCTAACTTTTCCTAGAAAAACAGCCTCCAAAAAAGAACTGTAAAAAGAAAAGAAAAGAGAGAAAACAGGCGTTTGTGTTCACCAAAAATGAAATAATAAACATATAGTTGGTGCAAGTTGCATTTGGTGTTTGGGCGGAGCCATAAACTGTAAAATATGGGACCCACCCCAAATGTGTCAAAAAACTGCTGCTGGGAAGTTATGTAAAGGGAAGAGACGGAGAGGGGGAGAGGGGGAGAGGAAGAGAGGAAGAGAGGAAGAGTAGAGGTATTTGAATATTGGTTGTGGCTTGAGATTTTTGACAAAAATAACAATGTACAAAGTGATTAGTACACAAGAAAGGTTTAGAAAAATTAGAAAATTAGAAAATTTAAGCTTTCATTTTTGAGATTTTTAATAGTCGGAAGTTTGATAATGTTAAATTTTATTGGAGTACAAATCTGTAGTATCAAGTCCTTTCTCAGAAAACGTCCCGTCAGCCGTCCGCGAGGTTGCGAGCTGTCGAAAGCTAGCAGAGGCATTTCGACAGCTCGCCGCGAGGTTGCTAGCTGGCAGAACCTAGCAGGCGCTGTCTGCGAGCTAGCAAACTGACAAATTAGTATCAGAATTAGACGGCCGTCTGCCGGCTCGCGGACGGTTGACGAGACGTTTTCTGAGTTAGGAAAGAAGCCCTCAATCTTGAGAAAATGAAAATTCTACGGAAAATGAAAATAGAGTTTGAAACATTTTTCAGATCATTCACATCGGAATCTTTCTCAGAAATGAAAATGAAAAGGGAATTTTCACGCGTGTAAAATTTTATTATTTCATTTGGATTCGAAAAAATGAGAATTTTTATATAAAAGGAGTACCTGGTTTTTATTCCAAATCAGTGATCGTTTTTCATTTGTAAAGGTTCGTTTTCAAATTTGATGAAGTATACATTTTCAGTGATAAAGTTTCAAACGAAGATCTGAAAAAACTTCCGGATCTATAATTTGAAAATTAGAAGATTTCAAACTTTGAAATTCAATTTCATTAATTTACCCTAGCCCTTTTCAGAAAATTATTCCAAAATTTTCAAGTTTCAGATTTACCAAGAAAAATAGTTTTACATAATTCATGATATCAGTTTGAATTAAAGGTTGAGTCTGACATGAAAATCAGAGAGAAACACAGCTCCAAACTACTGTACATCTGGACTTTCAAGCCATTTTACACGGTGTTTCACGTTTTTTCGAACTTTGAAATTTTGAATAAATGTTTGAGAAGCTTCCAGACAAAATTCGCAGGGGATTCTACTAATTAGAACATTTTTTTTCAAATGAGAATAATTTATTATACATTTTGAACTGATACTCTTGTATTTTTTCAGAATTTTACCTTCTTTTTCACTTGATTTTTTTCAGACTGTCAATTTTCCATTTTTGAAAATGTATATTTTATTTCCAAACAAATCTCTCCATTTCAGATACTCCATATTGTTCTCAACTTCCATCGGAATACAAATATACAGAAGTTTTGTCTAATTCCTCTAATCTCTCCTCTCCCTTTTTTTTTGCAAAGTTCAAAACATCATACGTATGTATCTTAACATCTGTTCGCACATTTTGGGAAAATATACTAATACAGGTAATAAAAATAAACAAATCAAACTCGACGGAACAAAAACAATAGGTGACAAATAGGGTCTTCGCACCTTATTATATGTATGTATCCACTTTTTTTTTGGATCACATATAATAAAATAAATGTGCAGAAATTGTCACTTTGATTTGAATACAAAGAAATTTGCCGCATGCTAGGTGGGAGAAAATTGTGTGATTTTTGGTTTTTTCTCGGAAACTTGGGTTAATTTTTTATTTTAGATTTTCAAAAGGTTACCGTAATTCTGAATTTTCAAAACTTTGAATGGGGTTCAGTTTTTTTCCAGATTTAGAATAAGATTCCTGTAGTTATCTAAATATTGAGTTGTTCATTTTCTACTCTAGATTTCTAAGGCTAACTCTATCCCAATTAAAATTAATCCAAACATCAAAGAAATGTCCCGCCACCAAAGTGTGCGGTAACTTTTCTTGTACTCAAATATTATAATTATACTTCCATACACTTGTCTATGATCCACAGCAAAATATAGATTTGATGAGGTGTGAAGACTGTTGGCACCCATTGTTTCTTGGGCTAACAGGTGGTGAAGAGAAGAGTCTTAAAAAAAGTTTGGATGACATTTTTTTGAAATGCAGGTGGATCAGAGTTATTAGAAATATTGTAAGTTGGGGCTCATTTCTAAAAAAAAGTTCCGGACAGTTTCTGAAAAAAAGTAGTTTTATCGCTACCAATTCTTTGGAGGAATTGGGAAAACGGAAAGGTGGAACATCTCTAGAAATTCTGAATTTCAGCAAATAACTGATCTGAAAATCCTCAAATCAAAATTTTGTCCTCCGATTTAAAAAGCCATTGACAAATTTTCATAAAAATCGGAATTGACAGAGAAACACAGCTCCAAACTACTGTGAATTTTCAAGACATTTTACACGGTGTTTCGTTGTTTTTTCAATTTTAAAAGTCTTAAACTAGCGTTTGAGAAGTTTCCAGAGAAAATTCTTCGAGGATTTTACTAGTTAGAATGTGCTCTTTCGAGTTAGCATAACTTAATTTTGCTCAGACTCCGAAAAGTTTTTTAACAAATATTAGATTCTGAATCAGAAATTTTGAAATAGGAAAAAATAATTCAACAAAAAATTTGAAATTTCAAAATTATTGAGATTTTTGAAAAATTCAAGCGTTTTTAGGATTTGACAAATGATGTGCTCACAAATTTCTGAGAGTTCGGAAAATCACAAAATCTTCAAATATAAAATAATATTGAAAAATCCAAATCCTTTTCGAATAATAATTTTTCAGGCGGTAAATTTTTTTCGAAAAATTAGTTATTGAAAATGCTTTTTTTGGGATGCTATTCAGACTTCGTGTAAAGTATTGAAAATCAGATTTTTTAAATAGATACTTTTGGAATTTAAAAAAATCTTGAAGAATTGTGGATTTTCTGATAAAGATAATTTATAGTTCCATTTCAAAATTCTTGACCTCGTGTCCAAAATTTTTTATTCAAATGTATCATGCTAATTTGAAGCCATAACCCAATCTCCCCCGCTCTCCAGGTGTTTTTGCTCCTCCATAATCTCACACCACGCATACACCTTCTCTAAGTCTCTCATCCTCACACACTCTCTCTTTGTTTTCCCCTTCGTCAACGCGTTTTAGGGTGGACCCCAAGCCAATAATTGTTGATGATGTCTCCGCCCCAAACAACTTGCACAAGACTATTCCGTCATTATTTTATTTTTGCGCATGCCTATCTCCGCAATATCTACCTTTTCTTCTTTTTGAATCCTTGGCTACTGTATTTTCTTCAGATTTTCAAAATATTTTTTTCCAGAATGGATGGAAAATCAGTGGAAGAGGTGATGGAATACTACAACAATTTGAGTGATTTTGATTGGAATTTATGGTATTCATGTGCTAGTGAAGAGATTAGGGCCGAAGTACTGTAAGTGTTTTAGAGGGGAAAATTCATTAAAAAATTAATTTTATGGGATACTGTAACTATGAATATAAGGCTAAAGGGGGTACTGTAGCTGCAAATTGAAAAAAAAACTTGTAGAATAATCAAACTGCCAGGATTACTGTAGCTCCCTGGGCTTTTTGGAGAACTAGAGGTACTGTAAGACACTGTTCCTGGATTACTGTGTCTTGAAATTTTGTAGTTGGGTTATTGGAGATTCCGAGAAACAGATTCTTGATCTTTGAAGTCTAGCAACTTATGATGATTAAAAAAAATCTCAAATTATTTTTAATTTCAGCAAAATCTTTGCCACACAAACTGGCAGAACACGGCATATGGATAGAATGGTAATTAGACAACTTCAGAAGTACAACTTCGAAGAATTGCAACGGGCAAAGGTAGATCATAAGGAATTGAGAGAATTGATCATGGAACATCGATTGAAATTGAGGTAATTTTATTTTATTCTATTTTTTATACATAGAATTTCTAGTAAATATTGTCAAATTTTTCAGAAGAATTGCAATGCAAAAATAGAGATCATAAACGTCGGCAACGACGACGTTTTGTTGAAATTTGAAGACATTAATATGAGTTGCCTTCGAAGAACTGATGTTAATAATATCATCCATAGTTCAGAAATTGAGAGGGAACTCAGTAGAATATACAGAACTGAAGTTCACATCAAAAAAGATGAATTGGAATACGTAACCTGTGAAACTGCTCCGCAAGAATTGGTTTTTGATGGGGGATCTGAATTGGTAGCGAATCTGAAACCAGAATGGGCTGAAAAAATACCAAAGGTTCGTAGTTTTCATAATTTTTTTTCCGAAAATTAAAAATTTGTTATCGATTTACAGATCTCTATCAAAAACATCCTTTTCTCTTATGAAAAATACCTGAAAACTTTCCAAAATGCGCGGATTCTTGAACTTGAGAGTTATGCTCCAATGGATTTGGAAGTCATTTTATCAGCAGTTCCACATTTGATGGAATTGAAATGCACAGGAGGTGCGATTACTTGCGAAGATAGTGATCTTGCAACTTGGACAGCAAACACTGAATGTTTCGCTTCCTTGGAATGCACTTTGGATGAGTTTTCAAGTGTTACTTGTGATGGGATTGCGAATATGATTCAGGTGGGAATTTTGAACTATTTTTGAAAATGGAAAAAAAAAAATTATTTTTTTTTCAGAATATAAAATGCTCTGATAATGCTCGAATCCATATTCGCAACTACAAGGGAAGAAAATTCCAAACATACTGTCGCGTTTTCGAATCACTTCTCATCAGTTCAGCGTACGCTAGAAAAGATCCAGATCAGAAGAGCCGATGGGGAAGTTGCGAGTTCCAAAGAACCGATGGGAAAATTATCAGATTGTTCCTCGATGGACCAAACGTTGATGATTGATTTGCATTCATTTCGAAACGGATTTTTTTTCAAAATTTATCACTTCAAAAAAAAACCTAAAACCCAAAAAATTGCCACTGTCTCTCAACTCATGTCACTTTACATATTCCACTTATCATACATATTTATTGAAAAATTTGAAAATAAAGGATTTTTTCCTCCACTTCAAGAGCTTTTAACAAATAATATTTTTTTTATAAAAATCGGTCCAAATAAAGCATAAATTAAAGGTGGAGTCTGGCTTCGCTTCAATTTAATTATTTACAATTTGTTTCACTGTTTTTTTTAACTTTGAAATTTCTAAACTGATATTTAAAAAGATTACAGAGAAAATCCTTCGAAAATTGTAACAATAAAAAAATTTTCAGATGTTTTTTTGCTCAATTTCAGACTCCACCTTTAAAAAATCAAATAAAAATAAACAAAAAATTTTCTAACTAGTGCTCTCTTCTTCAAATGGTTCCAGAGCTTCTATGAGATTGTCCTTCCACAAGTTGAGTTCCTTTTCGAGAAATTTGATTTCTTGTTTCACTTCGTTTTTTCCAACAATTAGCTGAAAATAAAAACAATAAATTAATTTTTACTGATATTTAGTCTTACTCTTCTTAATCTTGAAACGGTTCCATACCGTTTTGCAATACATCCTTTTAAAATATCGTCTATTTTTTCCGATTTTCGAAGTCTTTTTTCTTTTTTGAAATTATCAATAAAAGAAATCATTTGTTTTCTGAATGCAAAATAATTGTATTTGTCATCAAATAAACTTTGAATAAATGGAGTTGAATCGAAGAACATGTGTCCAATAATTGTCCTAAATCTATTTCCAAGTTCTTCGTTAGAAGTCTGGAAAAACACATTTGTTCACAATCATCAATAAAGCCTACCTCTTTGAGTTCTGGCTTAACTATTTTATTAATTGTGTCTTCTTCTGGTTGAAACTTTTGAAATTCATCCAACTTTTTCTTTAGGTTGATATACTCATTCCAAAGTTTTTTGACTGTTTCTACGGCCTGGAAATTTTTTTCTGAATAGCAGAAGTTCTAGAATATATATATTTTTCGAAGAAAAAAAAAAACTCACCTTTCTGCACATTTTAGCATTTGGCATAGGTTTTTGTTTTTCAAAAGTAGTTTTCAAATTATAGATCGCCCTGATTTTTCTCTCCATATCAAAAACCAACGAAAGTTCATCATGTGATTCTGAAAGAGGTTCCTGCTCCTTTTTTTCAGATTTGATTTCTTGAGCATGTGGTCTTTTTCGAGGCGAACGCTCTTTTTGACTACTATTTGGAGATGGTGAACTTGAAGAAGTCGATGTAGAGGTAGATGAATTTCTATCAGTTTTCTAAAAATTCCAGATTAGACAGAAGAAAATTGTTATAGAAGAAGAGAAGAGTGATAGAGTGTGTGTTAGAGAGTGCAGAGATAAAAAAATTTGTCCAAAGGGACAGCTTTTTTTTCATGAAAACATACCTTCTGTGAGGATTCTTTGAGAGTGAGCGTTGAAGCAGTTACCAAATTTTTGTCTCCATCAAAAACGAGTAGAATATTATCTTTACTTGACAAACTAATGTCAAATGTCACCATCTTGGTTTTCATTTTCTCTCGAATTTCTTTTGCTTCGATAGAAGTTGACAGAATTCTCCTATCCATTTTGAGGTATTTTAAAATTTAACCTGATTGAATTTCAATACCTGATGTGAGCGTCTTCCCTGAATTTATGCTCCAAGAAGCCTGAAATAAAAAAAACAAATTTTTTAGAGAAAAAATTATTGTTAAAATTTAATTGAAGTAATCAAGCATTAATTGATATTCAAGAAAAACTAGACTAGGAGCTTTCAGCTCCCAGGCGTAACAGTCTCCTTTTTTAAAACAAATATTTTTTCTCACGTCAAAAATTTTTCTTCGAGCATTTCTAAGCGAATTAATGGTCATTTCTTGTGTCAGAAATGGTCAAGTGGTTAGATCACGTGTTTTTTGTTCAGAAGGTCCAGGATCGGATCCTTTTGGACGTTCGCGGTTGTATGATTTTCGGAAAAAATGGGAAATGTCCAAAATTGCGACATTTGAAAAATGAGAACAGGGGGACCCCATTGAAAAATCCTGCTTCCATCGAGACACCACCCAACCGGGATTTTATTAAAAAGGCAGAAAATTAATCAAAAAAATAAAGTTAGCCAAATGAACCAGATATAAATTTTTTTTTCGAGAAAAAAAGTATTTATGAGCTAATAATTATATGGTTGGAAGAGAGCATACCCAGAAATTTAGAAAAGTATGACGAAGAGTTTCGATTTTTTAGTTGTAAACAATGATTAATGTGATTCAAGGGTTCAAAGTAAATTTGGAAGTTTTCACACATTCTAGAAAATTCGTAAAGCTTCTAATTTTCAATGAAACATTGTGAGGTATGAAATGTTGTTTGTAAATAATTTCCAAAAAATTTCACATTGCTGAATTCTTAAAAACATTTTTTTTTGAAAATGAAGTTCAGACAACATAGAAAACGAGCAAAAAGAAATATAAATGTTAGAAAATAATCTCTTCTAATCTTGTTTCACCTGCCTATTCAAAAAAATTCTAAAAGTTGATGAGTGAATGTAATTTTTTGTGTTTTATAGGAGGACTTGTGGGTTAACAGAAGTTTTCTGAAAATTTTAAAATTAAAAAATTCCTTTTCTAAAATTTCAGCGGCTCAGAAAAATTTCTGGAAATATATATTCAACACTGAAAATGAGCATCTCAACTGCTGTCAACCTCTCGAATTTATATCTTGTATACATTTTTTGTAGTTAGAATAACTTTGTAACTTCAAAGTATGTACATTGAAAAAAATTATAAAAAAGCTAAGGAAAATTCTGAAAAAAAAATTAAAAAAATAAAAAAAATGTTTGGGATAATTACAAGTTGTTCTGTTTCGAAAAAAATCGATTCAAAAAAAGTAGAGAAGCTACACTGAACATTTGTGAGAACATCTAGCTTCTGAAAAAAACTGCAATATAAATTTTCTTCAAATTCTGGTTTGTGATTTGTAGATAGCGTAACTATGAGCAGAAGCTTGAAAAATTCAATTCAGAATAGTTTCAATGTAGTTTTAAAGCTGTGAAAAATCACAAACTAAAAAATGGAAAAATTTTTTCATCAAATTTCCTGCGTCATAATTTTTTTTAGGAAAAATTTGCAGAATGATTATTTTGTTTGAGAGTAAAATGAATTATATTCAAAATTAATTTCGCAATTCTCCAGAGGGTTATCTGAAATCTCTTGTCTTTTTCCAAAAATTTCCAATTTTTTTTTTTCAAAAGTACTTCTGATATCTCTCCAATAGATCTTGATCTTCTGTTTCCATGAAATGATATCAAATATTTTGTCATCATTTACTGTCAGATTGATAAGTAAAATAATTACCTATTTTTGGTCTCATCTTATCGCAACTTTCTTTCTTTTCCCCCTCTTTTCTCTCGCTAGAACAACGTGCTATTACATACATTACTTTTCTTTTTATTGTTATGTACAAAATGTCTGACAAACAACAACAAAAACCTATTTTATATTCTTATTGGAGATCTTCATGTGCTTGGAGAGTTCGGATTGCTTTGGCTATCAAAGGTATCGAATATGATTATAAGACTGTGAATTTGTTGTCGCAAGAGGAATTGGTTGGTTTTTTTTTGAAAATTGGGTTAATAAAATAGAATTTTCATTTATTTTCTCTCTCAAAATCCACCAAATCCAATTTTTATCTATTCCAGAATGCCCCAGAATTTGTCAAAATCAATCCAGCAAAACGAGTTCCTGCTTTAGTTGTCAACAACGGAGAAGCAATCACTGAAAGCTTGGCAATCGTTGAATATCTCGAAGATATCCATCCAGAAAATTCACTCTTCCCAAAAGACCCAGTGAAACGCGCATATGCTCGTGAAATTGCTCTACACGTAAGGCACCCATTATTTTTATCTGAAACTTTATTAACAAAACATCAATAGTTCACATTCCAGATAACATCAGGAATGCAACCACTTCAAAATTCAAGTGTTTTGAAATTTTTGAACACGAAAGAAGCTGGATCCGGTGCAAAATGGGCTCAACATTGGCTTACTGTTGGTTTCGGAGCTTTGGAACAATTATTGGCGAAACACTCTGGAAAATATTGTGTTGGTGATGAGGTTACGGTGGCGGATTTGTGTATTCCATCAATTGTATATAATGCGAACAGGTAATTTTTGAATAATTTATAAAAATCGAATTAATTACAATTCGAAATTTCATCTCCCTGGTTAAAAAAAAAAACCATTGAAAAATTTTCATAAAAATCGGAATCACTACTGGACTTTCAAGCCATTTTACACGGCGTTTCATTGTTTTTTTAATTTTGAGAAGCTTCCAGAAATCTCTCAAATAATCATAAATTCTTTTTCGCTCAGACTCCATCTTCAATTTTCTTCTGAATTTCAGAAAAATTTAGAAATTCAAGTTCATGTAAAAATTATTTGAGGCCAAAAAATCTTGAGTACTGAAAAAGTCTGATCAGCGATTTTGTGAGCTCAAACTTCAGCTCTGAATTGAAAATGTATCAGTTGAAGCTTTTTTGTCAACCTCGAAAAATGATTAGTTTGGCTACGTATGTACCTTAATTAGTTAACTGAGTATCTAATGTTTTCAAAAAATAAAATTCCAAAAACCTCCCCTTCCCCATTCTCCAAAAAACAACACAAACCCGTTCATTACTCATCCTCCTCTCAAAACACTCTTCAAAACAAAATAAAATAAAATAAAACATGACCTTATTCTGTCCCATCTTGTAAAAAAATTCTTCAGATAACAATCAGTGTTTTGCAGATTCAACATTGATCTCACACCCTTTCCAAACGTCAAACGCATCGATTCAAACCTTGCCATTCTTCCCGAATTTATTGCTGCGATTCCTGACAATCAACCAGATGCAGGCTTGAATGCATAAATATCCGGAAATATAATGTATAATGCACCTACTCTTATTTTTCTGGTTTTTTTATTTGTCACAAATAATTGTACTCAAAAACATTATTTTTTCGTGTTCAAAAATAAAAAGTTTTAGAAAAAAAAAAGTATATGGATCCCTGGAGAAATAGGTCCAAAAATATGACATTTTTTTTGACGTTCCATTTTTCAACTGCAGAATTTTTCAGATCTTCTAGGGATTTCTGAAAAATTCTTAAACCTTCTGAAAGTTCCTGAAAGCTTACAGAGCTTTTAGAAAGCTTCTGGAGACTTCTTGAAGCTTCTAAAGACTTCTCAAGGATTCTCAAGACTTCTGAACATTTTCGGGAGCTTTTAGAGGTTTTGGAAAGCTTCTGGAGACTTCTTGAAGCTTCTAAGAACTTCTAAAGGCTTCTCAAGACTTCTGGGAGTTTATGAAAGCCTATAGAGGTTTTGGAAAGCTTCTAGAAACATCTAGATTCTAGAAGCTTCTAAGCACTTCTGGAACCTTTTCTTTTAGTTTTTTTTTCAAAAAAGTTGCCCCAACTCATCATTTTCCTGTGTTCCAACAATTTTTGCTCTCCCGAAAAAACCTAGACATCAAAAATTCTATTTGCATACATTTTCTTGCTCTGATCTGATTACCTTTCTCCCAAACATAAACATTTTTCCGTTTTCTGTCAAAACAGGTAAAAAAAGTTGCAAGGTCATTTGAATATATATATGAATTTTTCCCTATTTGTATGTATTAATAATCGCCTGTCATTTCTCTCTCTCTTACTCATGTTAGTCAGAATTATGAGTCATGTTTTATTTCGAATAATGTTTTTTTTTGACTTGCGCTACGGCTGCGCGATGTTTGTTTTTGCATTGTTTTGTGAATCGAAAAGTGAATCGAATCGATTCGGTAAATCTTTTTTTGTTGTAAGTGAATGTTTTTGAAGAGTCTAAAAATATATTTTTGTAAATTGAATTCAACATTTTATTTTGAAAAGTTTAGGTAACTTGAAACTATATGACTTTACCTAACTTAAAAAAAATTTCTTTTCCAAATCTAATAGCAGAGTTTTGAATTCTTATCAATTTTGCTAAATTATTTTTGCTTGATGAAAAAAAAATATTTTTCAAATTCATTTTTCAACAAAACTGAAAATCATATTAGTTAAAAATTTTCACAAATCAAATAGAAACTTTTGAAAACATAATTTTTAACATTGCCACGTCATGCTCAATTTCAGAGTTGATCAGCGGGTAAAAATTCACTTGAAAATATTTCATTCCTAAAAAAATCTATGAAACAGCCCTCCTGTAAACTAATCTGGTCTAAACTTGACCTTTCCCCCAAAAAATACCCCGATAAAAATATTATTAATAAAAAAATATCCCTATTGATGACTGTTTGAGCAAATAAAACAAATCTCCCATTGCGCGGGTAAATAACTATACTACACGCCATTTTGTATTACTTGAGATTTTGTTTAGCTAACAATTTTTATGTTAAAAAATCACAATAAATATTTCATTACGTTCAGGTTTCACTGGTTTTCCCTGAGTTGTTCCATGTCAGATTCCTAACATAAAGTGCAACCAACAAAAAACCTAAACTCATTTTCTTCCATTCATTGTTTCTCGTCTGCGGTCTCTTTTTCCTCCCGCAATCTTTCGTCTCAACTTTATTTTTTTTGTCTGTCCAATCCTCTCTTTCTCTCATCATTTTTTCTTTTTTCTCGTTGTGTTTTTTTTCTGCAAGCCACAACCATTTTTCTTTTCTCGATTAAATTGACCCTCACGACGAATTAGTTGGGAGGAAATTGAAATTGGAAATGAAATTTAATTTTTGTTTCGATTTTTTCTTTTGGGTTTTTTTTGTTTGTCGTTGATACTGATGTAAGGAGAAGGGAATTAAAATTTATTTTGTTGACCATTGATTTTTTGGCGGAACAAACAGTTACCGGAAATCACATGTGATAAAAATTCGAGGAAATTTTTTTGAAACTAGGAACTTCAAAAAGTGACGGGAAATTTTGTTGACCATTGATTTTTGACGGATTTTTTCTGGGGTTTTTTCAGGAAAAATATTCGATAAATTATATGAATTTCAAAAAGTAAAGTGAAACAGAAACATTTGTTGACTTTCGATTTTTGAAATATTAAAAAAAAAAATTTTTTTTTGTAAAAACAGTTTCCGGAAATCACATGTCGAATTATTTTTGTGTATTTTTTTTGAGAAAAATACATTTGATAAAAGGAAAATTCTGAATTTGATCACAGGGATCAATTATTTTGAAGTTTAACTCACATTAGATCATGAAAATTTATTTTTGAAAAATCTGAAACCTCTATTTATTTTTTCTAGCGCCAAACTATTGTACAACTAGACTTTCAAGCCATTTACACGGTGTTTCACTGTTTATCCAAAAAAAACTTCTCAAATATGTATTACATCTCCCAAGTTGTTCAAAATAATTTTGCTAATTACAACTTCAAATATCTTTTTTTTTTCCATCAATAGTTATTTGTTTGTACTATTTTGAAATATACTATCCAAATATCTTCATTTCCTTTTCATTTATCATTTTGTTTTGTTGTGTAAATCTTACAGTTTTCGAAATATTTCGTAATTTGAGAAAAACAAAACGTTTTTTTTTTAGAAATATGCATATCAAAATCATAATAGCTTTGTTGGTTGGATTATTTGTTTTGGCAGATTCACAATATTCAAGATCAAAGAGTGAGTTGCATTTTTTGGGCTTGAGTTTCTGAAGTTGAATAAAATCCTGTCACTTTTTTTTGAAATCTTGAAAAAAAATCTGAAAATCAATTTTCAGAATTAAAAAAAATGAATTTTTTGCAGGCGAATACCTAACCTGTCATACTTTGGTTGGAAGAAGGAATGGAGCATGTATCGGAAAACATTGCTATAAAATGTCGACTGGAAATTGATGGACAAAAAATTATCAAGAAAGGATGTTTGAATGCAACTGATATTCCAAGTTCGGTTAGTTTTACTTTTTTTTTGAGGGGAGCATTTTAGTTAGCCTAACTTAATATAACTTTGGTTCAAGATGCCTGTGAGTTACCAGTTTTCAACCCATAAATATATATTTTCCAGCTCGGAACATGCACTTCAAAACCATCAGAAACCACCTTCGAAGAAACTTGGTGTCTCTGCAATGATAGGAACAAGTAAGTTTTTCAGATTTTTTTTATTTTTCAATAATTTTCATAATTCCAGATGCAATTTCTCATCTCAAAAATCACTGTCAATTGGAGCTCTTCTAGCAGCTACTGTATACTATTTATTATAATATGACTTACGCTAACTTAAACTTCAAGAAAACACAACGATTATAAAAATATGCTACGGGTTCAAGTTCTCAACGAATGAATTCTTCACTTATAGTTTACTTATGTTAAAATTTCTGATTTTTTTTTGAAAACTTTGTATTAAAAATTGAATAAATCAATGAATTTTGTGTTTTTGAAATTTGGAGGAATTTTGTTGAAAAAAATTCTGAATCATATATCAACATTATACCCCTCCAGCCGCTCGCTTAGCCGCTCAAACCGAGGCGCTCGCTCGAGCTTCTGAGCGCCTAAGCGGCTCGAGCCAACGAGCGGCTTGGATGGCTTGAGCCGCTGAGCGGCTAGAGCCATTTGAGCCGCTCAAGCTCGCTAAGCCGCTCGAGCATGGAGCCGCTCGAGCGCCTGAGCCACCAAGCCGCTCGCCGCTGAGGCGCTCGAGCGAGCGAGCCGCTCGAGCGGCTCGAGCGGCTCGTTCCATTTCAAAAAATATTTTTTTTTATACGAAAATTATGAAACAGTGGTTTTTTTTCATAATTTTTGGGTATTTCGAAAATGAAATATTTGTATTGGGACATGGTCCTTGTCCTGAAAAAATTTTTTTAATTTGAAAAAAAAGTGGGCGGGGCTTATTTTTCAGTTTAAAGCTGAAAACACTAAAAAATCAAAAAATTCAAAATTTACTAAAAACTTTCTAGTTTTTTTCAGATGACTTCTAGTTTATTTTTGAACGTTTTTGACGATAAAAAACACACAAAATTCTCAGATAACTGACGATTTTCAGCTATTTTTTATCGAAAATTTGCAATTATGTGTTTATTTTTTTGATATTTCAAGCCGGAAAAAAGCTGAAAATTGTCAGCTATCTGAAAATTTGAAGTGTTTTTCATCATCAAAAGCATTAAAAAATCATCTAGAAAAAACCAGAAAGTTTTTGGTAAATTTTGAATTTTTGAATTTTTTAGTGTTTTCAGCTCTAAACTGAAAAATAAGCCCCGCCCACTTTTTTTTCAAATTAAAAAAATTTTTTCATGACCCAAGGACCATGTCCCAATACAAATATTTCATTTTCGAAGTACCCAAAAAATTATGAAAAAAACCACTGTTTCACAATTTTCGTATAGAAAAAAATGTTTTTTTGAAAATGGAGCGAGCCGCTCGAGCCGCTCGAGCGGCTCGCTGGCTCGAGCGCCCTCAGCGGCTTGAGCGGCTTGCGGCTCGAGCGCCTGCTGCTGAGGCGCTCGAGCGGCTCCATGCTCGAGCGGCTTAGCGAGCGAGCGGGCTCAAATGGCTCTAGCCGCTCAGCGGCTCAAGCCATCCAAGCCTGCTCGTTGGCTCGAGCCGCTTAGGCGCTCGAGCGAGCGGCTCGCTCGGCTCGTGAGTTGCTTCAAGCCGCTCAATGACGAGCGGCTGGAGGGGTATAATCAACATTAATTATAAATAAAAAAATTCCAGACGTTTTTTTTTTCATTTTCAGATTTTTACTTTTGAAAAAAATTCAATCAAACTTTTACATATTTATAATAAAGTTGTAACAAAAAAAATGTTTTCTTTCTTAATTTTCTCTGCACTCTCTTAATTTTAAACCATCTCTAATTTTATGTTTTTTTTGCACAGGAGCTCATAAAATATACTAATTAATAAAAATTGATGTTTGTTCAATTTACAAACATTTTTATTTGATAAAAAAATTTCCAGATAATACGTCACTTTGATCATTTTTGGTTTCTTTGCACTTGATTATACTACAATTTTGTTGAGATTTTTCAGAATTCTGAAAACCTGGAGCTTCTGATACCAGAACATTAGAGGCAATGTGAAATGAAGAGAGTGCAGACAAAAAAAAATGATACATTATTGTAACATTTAATAAGAAATATTCAACTGCATAGCCCACTAACCAAAATATTTCTAAACTTGCACACTTTAAACTATTGTTTTTGTATTGTTCTATTAGAGACAATGTGAAATGAAGAGAGTGCAGAGAAAAAATAACCTTTTTGCAAATTTGTTTGTTCTTGTTTCTCAGCATAACAATCATATCAAATTGTTTTTTTGTAATACTAACCATTTTTTTCTTAACAATACATACAAACCAACCAAAATGTGTCAAAATTTCGCAATAATTTCATATAGACAGAGACTGTGTGGCTTTCTTTGTGTCATCTTATTTTTGCCGCCTCCCCCACCCGCGCGCTTACAATTTACAATTTTTTCGAAATACTTACATACATATTACTCTTCTCCTTATCTTCTTCCTGGAAAAATTGGTCGCTACGTTTTTTTGTCTTCCATTGCTCGTGATTTATTTATAATTGATAATTGATAATAGTTTTTTTTTCGTGTGGTCAAATAGTTTTTTTTATTTCAGAAGAGGATTGATTATATTTTTTGGGAAAAATGCGAAAATATTCAAAATTTATTATTGGTTTTATTATTTTCAATTGTATTTTGCTAACAACTTGTGAAGGTGAGTCATTTTTTGTTTAAAAAAAATTGAACAAAAATTTTTTTTATCCAAGAAGTTTTGAACTGAAATTGATTCAAATAAATCGATATTCATTTCAGACCTCACCTTTGAATTTTAAAACTTTTTCTGAATTTTCAAACTTTTTTTTTCAGATCTATTTCAGAGTTTGATCTACCGATAAAAATTGTTTTAAAAAAAATATTAGGCATATCTTTTGAGCTTCGCAAAAAAAATTCAGAATTTCGTAAAAAATCCCGATTTCCAGATTCAATAAAAATAAAAAAAATTACAATTTTCGCACTTCAAAGCTGATTTGGATGCAAAAATTTAGAATTTTAGAATTTTTCGCTATAGAAAAATATTAGTTTTTTCTGTTTCATTAAAATAATTATATTTTTTTTTCAAATCTACAATTCATTTTTTTCAGATCAAAAAATAACTTGCCATCGAGTGATTCATAACAAAAAAGGAAGTTGTGAAGGGAATTTTTGTTATTCTCAAATTTTGAAGTACAATAAAACTACGTATGTTCGAAAAGGATGTATAGATTATGTGAACAAAAAACATGTGAGTTTTTTTTTGAATAAATTTGAATGTGTTCCTAAAACACTTTCTGAAATCTCTATTTTCAGCTCACATGTCGAAAAATCACATCAGATCTAGTTGTCAATGAAGAATTATGTTATTGTGACAAAAAATGGTGAGCTTTTGTTTTTTACCGGAATTTAAAAAAAAATTCAAAAGATATTTTTTCAGGTGCAATACATCTTCGCTTAATAATTATATTTTTGCAATTATATTTTCATGTTTTTATATTTTTGTTAGAAGTTAGAATTTGATTTCTTGTTCTAGCAAATTTTGTTTCAATTTTTTATTATTTGATATCGGGTTTATCAAATCTCTTTGCTCACTTTGTGTTTTTTGAAGTTCAATTTTTGTAATAAATTATTTTAAAAAAATTCCAAGCGTTTTTCAATTTTGGAGCTTCTAAAATATGGCTCACAAAACCTTTGGATTCTTTTCCAAATAAAAAAAAACAGTGCAGTACCTTGTGAAATGGCTTGACAGTCCAGATGTACAGTTTGGATCTGTGTCTCTCTGTCAATTCTGATTTTTCTGAAAAATTATCAATGGATTTGTTTGCCAGGAGACAAACTGTTTCCTTTGTAAAAGAAGATTTTGAATTTGAGTCGATTTATATCAACGAGCACAACAAAGAGTATTCAAAAATATTTTTCAACAAAAAAAAAAACGTTTTTAGCGGAAAAAATTCCCAGAATTATCGAAAGTATTTTCAATAAAATTTCATGATTCCGAAAATATATAATTTTTTGTTTAAACTTGCGATCGAAGTTTCGTCGAACTGCTAAAAATCATCAAAAAAATTTCAAAGTGTTTCAGGTTTTGCTGAAATTGCGGATACACTTTGGATTTCAGCAAGACTATCCGAGTTTACGTCATTACCAAAAAAAAAAAACATCTTATTCCTAATGCATTTCTCATTCTACAGAACTTATTCCCTATTATTTCTGGGTTCAAATATTTCCAAATCATCATTACCAAAAAACATCTTATTCCCAATGCATTTCTCATTCTACACAACTTATTCCCTATTATTTCTGAATGTGAGTTCAAATATTCCAAACTCAAGAATACAAAAAATATTAAATGATGAATCATCAGGACTGTTCGTTTCAAAAAAATTTTTAATCAAAGTTTCCGGTGTTTTTAATAATGATTTCCGACGCGTGATCTGCCCATGATTGTTGGATAACTTTTCATTTTATCTATTTGAAATATTCTGGCTAGTCGCTGTTTTTCTGTTCAACTTCTTCAAAGTTAGTTTATTTTATATCTTACAAGGAAACCTTTTTTACCAAACTTTTCAAGCCAAAATTCATGATTTCAGTTTGAATTTGAATATGAATCATTTGTTTTTTTTTTTGAGTTTCAATTATTTTGCTAAATTCATTCTGAAAAGCTTGAAGTGATTTTATTCGTATTGAGTTTATGTATGTATCTTGTCAATTTTATATCTCCGATTTTCCATAGGAGTTCTTGTTGTATTTATGGTTTGAATGTCGTGGGTTGAACCATACCTAACATTGCTGTAAAACTAAATTTGTAAAAATATTGTCTCTAGAATGACCTATAGCTTCTGAAAATTTTGAATTTTGACAACGTTACCACCTCGTAGCTCATGATGTTTTTGGGTTTAGTGAGTCTCTGATTGCGTAATCCGATCCTTTTTTCACAGGTATGGCGAACCGTACAATTGAAGAAAAGTTCGAAGCCTTGTTGAAAAACCAAGAAACTATAATGAGAACGATGAAGGAGTTACTCTCAAAAACTGAAGATCTTAAAACTTTCACTAATGCTACTACGGATCAAAAAGACGTATTCAGTAAGAAACGGTCTGCCTCGTCATCCGACAACGAACGAAAACATGATAGGAAACATGCGAAATTTGATGAATCAGCACAAAACAACCACAAGAACAAAAAATGCATTCTTTGCGAAGAATATGGACATCTTGCGGTAGCTTGTAAAACATATCCAACACTTATAAATCGAAAAATGCGCATAGCTGTTCTCAATCGATGCCCAGCGTGTTTGATGCATTCTGCATCGATTCCATGCCGCACAGTTCCACAAAAATGTCGTCACTGCGAAGAAGGGAGAAACAATCATCCAACTGCTTTGTGCCCAACTCTCAACGTCAAGTTTGTTGAATCGCGTAAATAGAATGTTTTTTATCTTTCCCATGGAGGTTCATCCAAAATTCTGAGGAAAAAATTCTCTTTTGCTTTTTTGATCTACCTTTTCGCTCCATTTTTTAATATATTTTTTTGTAATCTTTAATATATGCTTGTGATTCTGCCCCCGCTCGCCCCCTTCTTTTAACCGTATAAAAGCCCCGTTTTTCTCCATAGTTTTATCCTTCAAATTTTACTGTTATTTTGCTATTATTTTATTCTTTGTCACCACAAATTTGTATTGTATTGCTATACAATTGCTTTATGGGGTACCTAGGATCTACTTCAGCCAGAAACCTTTGAATTCATTAGCTTTTCAACACAATAGAAAATATTCTTCAAGGTCAGAAATAAGTTATGTTCATTTGAAAGAGCATGTTATATTAGTTCGATTCTTGAAGGATTTTTCTGGAAGCTTCTCAAATATTTATTCTAAAAATTCAAAGTTTGCAAAAACAGTCGTGTAAAAAGGCTTGAAAAAAGTATTTACAGTATCTAGGAGCTTTGTTTCTCTGTCAATTCTGATTTTTATATAAAATTTTCAATGGCTTTTTCAACCAGGAGACAAACTTTTTAATTGAAATTGATTCAAATAATTTGATTTTTGTCAGGTTTCACATCAGTTTTTGAAATTAAAGTCTTCATAGCAAAATTCAATTTTTTTTTAAATTCAAACAGTTTTTCTGAATCCAGTTTTCTCTCCTCTTCACCCGAAAACAACAAAATGCTGTCAAATCAAATATTTTTCAAAAATAAATTTGCTGCAAAAATCCCCACACTTTTTATTTTTTCCGCAAACATCAATAAATCATTTTCTCATCAAACAAAAAAGGTCTGATAAATGATTGTGTGTGAGAAAAAACACAGTGATGCTTGCGCGTAAAAGTACGTGAAGCGTTTCATTTTTGTTGTATTATTTTTTTCTGCCGCAAAAAGACTGGTTTTCTCGGTTTTATCATTAACTAAACGACCCTTTCATCTTTTTTTTGCCCTCATTTTGATGTGTGTTTTTTATTCGCATTTAGTCAGTTAAATCCAATGTTGATCATTTCAAATGTTGGATGAAAAACTGGATAAAATCTATAATTTTTTCTGAAATTTCCATGGGGAAGAAGAAGCTTTGTCTCGAAGTTGAAAAATATATATTTTATGAAAAATATATATATTTTGTTTTTTTTGAAAAACTCCCCGATTTTTTTTGTGATTTTTGTGAATTTCTGAATATTTTTTTGTTTCTTCAAGAGGTCTCTTTGGTTTCAAACATCTCCTAAAAGTTCCCAGAAGTTCCTGACATTGAGAAGTCTCAGATCTACCACATATTTCTAATGTAAAGGTTCTAGATGTCCCAAAATCTGGAAAAAAATCGCTAAACCTTTTTAATTAGAAATCCTTAATGAACGAGTGTTTTGTTTTTCTGAAATTATGTTTTTCAAGGTACCGTAATCTTTCTGAAACTCCAAAATTTTCTCTCCCCTCTTCATTTTCCTCAAAAATTCCCCCAAGTTGAAACAAATTTCAAACATTGAAAATCAATAATAATCCGCAGCTAATCTCAACAAAAACACACACACACAAAAATTTGCGACAAAAATTCCTCTTCCACAATCACACACAAACAGAGAAAAAATGTGTGTGTGTGTGTGTGTGTCTCTTCGAATATTTTCTTCATTTTACAGTGCCCCTGTTAGTTGATTGCTATTTGCTCCATCAAACGGCATCCTACGCACACTCTTTTCTCTTCTTGCTCCCGCGCGCAGCACTAAACAAAAAAAAATATTTCTTTTTCTCTCTCAAAGTTTTTTCTTACTTGCCTCGATTTTTTGTTTGTTCTTACACATCTACTTTTTGGCGAGGCTTACAGTTTCAAGTACAACTTTTTAGGCGTTGCGTAAGTGCTCTTTGAGTTAAGTTGAGGCTTTTTTTTTGCTTTTTTTTCCATGTCGATCATTTTTTTCGCTTTTTACATACCTTACAGGTAAGACAAGTGATAATTTATTTTTGGAAAAACTTTGAAGTTTTTTCGGAACTCAACAGTTTGGGAATCTTAGAAGCATATTTTTTTTCAAATTAAAATTTCAGATCCAAAAATTTTAATGATTTTGCAATGACAATTTTTCGTATCAGAAATTTCATACAATTTTTCGAAAAAATCCTAGAAGCCTTCAAAGCCTTTAGAGCCTCCTCTAGAAGCTTTTGAAGCCCTAAAAGCCCTAAAAGCCCTGGAAGCCCTGAAAACCTAGAAGCCTTTAAAGCCCTAGAGGCCCTGAGAAACTCAAAATCTCTGAAAGCATTAACATTCCTCAGATTCAGAAGTTCAAAAAAATTATTTTATAGTAGTTTGAAGCCTGAGTTTCAGGATCTTCTAGTCAGATCTTCTCATAGGTTTGATATTCAATTCGAATCGTCTAGATTTTTTTTCTTCAAAATCAGATAATTGAATTTTTTATCACCAATCAAAAATTGGAAAAAACATTGTGCTAGAATCGCATTTCTGAAAAACACCAAGATATTTTTCAAAAATTATTTTTTTCCATAGTTTCTTGTCTAACCTTCCCCCACCCTTTACCAAAGTATCAATTTCCTTGTACATATATCAGATATAAAACCTGCGCATTCTCTGACCCCGCCTTAAATTCAACAATAAAAATGAAATAAAATTGTCAAAACATTCCAATAAAGGAACGAACAAAGTTTGTCTTGTCTTCTCCACGCCTTCTTCTCCTTTTTTTGTCCTTTTCACTTCCATTTTCATTTTGTTTTGTAATGTTGGTTGAAATTTTTGAACTGGTTTGTTATAGATGATTTATTTTCAGTTAATTTTTTTTGTGGTTGAAATCCTGTTATTTTTTTTATTTTTGATTGTTGGTTTGGTTGTGAAACCAAACCAAATCAATTGGAATTACCGGAAGTTTTTTGATTGATTATTGATTGAGGAATTGAAAAGTACATAAAATGAATCGTAGAAAATATATTTTTGAAAGGAGAAGAGGTATGTGGAAACAGTAAAATTTATTTTCATATGATTTTTATATGTAGATCTGGAGGTTCCTTAAAATTTTTGCCAAAAATCAAATTTACTAGTTCAATATTTTTCCAAAACACCGTGAATTATCATAGAATTTTCTTAGCTTTCTTTAAAAATTATCTTTAAATATCAGATGTTATGAGTTCAAAATATTTCAAAAGACCATGCTATTTGAATAAAATATGTCCTTACTCATGAAAATTAATCCAAAAAGAAAATTTTACATCTTATTTAAAGGTGGGAATAAATTCTACAAATCCTAGTTTTTGGTGGTGAGAATCTGGGCACCAAATAAGTTATGATGATTTGAGAGCATGTTCTGATTAGTTTAATCCTTGAAGAATTTTCTCTGGAAGTTTCTCAAACACTAATTTTTCTGATTTGCGACCATAAGACACATTAGAAACGTTTCTGTAACCATAAATTCATCAACCTTTATTTATTTATTTTTCCTTCTTCTCCTTCTTCTTCCCCTAAATTGAAATTTTGTATGTGTATTCAAAAAACGCCCTTAAAAAACCCACATACACACATATTGTACGCCCTTCAACTTTTTTGTTGTCATTCATTACACTCACAAACAAAAACACAATTGATTGTTGTCAAATCAGGGGGAAGAAGGGAAGGGAAAAAGAAAATGAACCACTCCCAAAACTCATCTTTCTGTATGTCTGTATGTATTTTTTCAACGGTTCTCTTATTTTTTTTTTTTGAAATATTGAAAATGACCAAACATCTTTTCTTTTCTTTTCCTTTCTTAACAAAACATTTTTTTCTTTTTTTTTAATAGAAAAATAAATAAATATTTGTAATAGAAAAAAAATTGCAGATATGGAGATATCTCTACAGAGAGACAGTAAGGGTATTAGATACGAAGGTTATGACAAAGCCTTCAAAGTGTGCTTCTTTGAAGAAGGAGATGTTGAAGGCAAAAACGAACGATATGAGTTTCGGTAAGTTGGAAAATTTTGGGGCCACTAAAAAATGACAGAAGATTTTTTGGACTACTTCTGAAAATTGTTCCAATTCATTTTTACATAGATTCAAGAATTTATAGAAGATAAGTTTATATTTTGATGATCTATAATATGAGCAATCACATTTTCAATAGGAATTGGACCATTGAAAATGAATTCAACCATATAGTCAATTTGTTAGATTTCTGGTGGGACCATTTTAAAAATTTTTTAGAGGTGATTAAGATTATTTTAATACCGGAAAAGCTTGGGTTAGTCAGTTTTTTTCTTACCAAATTCAGAAGGTTTTTTTATTCTGAAACCCATTAATCGATATCGATTCACAAAATCATCTGAAATTCATTTTTTGTTTTCAGCTGCAATTATGATCTCGAATGTTGCGGTCGAGTTTGTTGTACACCAACAGATGCCACAGTTCCACTTTGGTTCGTTCATATTTTTCAATTTAGCCTAACTTTCTCCAAAAAAAAAACATTCATTTCAGGCTTATGATCATTCTGATCGTTTTGGCACTTTTGCTTCTTTTGGCTTTGTTCGGACTTTTAGCGTATTTGTTGGGAAGATGGTTGAAGTCACGACCAAAGAAAGGTTAGTCTAACTTACAATTAGTGTGTTTTCTGCAACCAGCAAGTTCTATGAGACCAAATTTCCATTTCCCCATTCAAACCTCTTCTACTTGGCATGTCCCTCCCCAAGTTCCCCTAACTCCCCCCGAATGTTGCAGAAACTAAAGAAACCAATAACAAATACGCCGCCTTGAGAAGCAACGGAGAATCTGACGAATATGCGATCCATGATAATAAACAATACAGTACTCCAGATGATATCTACAGTGCATACGGTAGAAAATATGATGGAAATGGGGGAGCTGGAAGTCGAAACGGATGGAGGAATAATGGGTTAGATATTGAGCGAGTTAGCGCAAATGGAAATGGAAATGGATACGGTGATGGATATCGTCGCCGTGATTTTGCTTTAACCCGCGATCATTTGAGAAGACCATCGAATAATATTTATGATAGTGATAATGGAAGTGTTATTCGACACGGTGTGCATGAAACTGTTGAAGAGAGTTTCAAGCAAGAAATTACTTATGAACGACCAGTTGATTCGGATTCCGATTCTCATGAAATGTTGTGATCTTTTCCTTTCTTTTCCCTGTCATAATTTTTAAAATGTTGAATGCCTGCCTTTTAGAAAAAAACAACAACGATCTTATAACATTTCTGTATGTACAATATCATATCTTCTTCTTCTTTTTCTTTTTCCTTCCTTTTTTATTGCTTGAAATGAATGAATTATACAAACATGGAAAAGAAGCTGTTTGAGCTTGTAAGGGTTCCTGTGGGCGAAAATTGTTTAAAGTTATTCTAACTCAAAATATGAGTAATTACATGTAAAAATTCATATAAAAATAGTTCAGAAAAATAGCATTTTAAGTATCAAAAAATCTTAAATCTTAAATTTTCTGGAAACCGAAGAAATTTGATTAGAGTCAAAAAATTTAACCTGATCAATCAGCATTTTTTGAGATTTTTTAACAAATATTTTTTATTGTAAAATAATTTTCAGCTAAAGTTATTTTTTTGTTCAATATTGTAACTTTTCTCCTCGATTTTTTATCTCAAATTATTCTGGTTCAATTGAAAAAGTTTTTTTTTATTTTTTTTTTAATCTGAAAGTTTTTTTTTGAGTTTCAGAAAATCCTTTGGTTCTCCTGAAGAACTATGAGCAATCAAATTTTCATCAAAAAGTTTCGAAAACATTTTTCTAAAAAAAACTTCGAAGTTCAAACAGCCTCTCTCTTTCCAGTCCCCCAACCTCTCAAAAAATCCAAAAAAAAAATTTGCAGAGAAATTTATTCCGTCTCCAATGCAAGAGACGACATTAATGTTGCCAAAACCAGTTCAAATCACCCAGAGAAGTGAAGATGAGATAAGTCGAGCAGCTGCACCGCAATTCGTCGAGCCGGCTCCACTTTCACCACAACGAGCGCATAATGCATTCTACAGGTCAACTACTGAACAGATTGCTAGTTATAATCCGGTGGATGATTAAAAACTGAACTGCGATTTTGAATTTGAAAAAAAATCACTTTAATATTAAAAAATAGCGCAACTCTCACTACCAATCTTTCAATTTTCAAAAATTTTTATTGAAAAAAAATTATCCTAAAAATATGAGTTTAACATTTTTCTGATCTAGAAGCTGCAGTTTCAGTGTTGAAATCCATTTTTTCAGAATTTAATGAGATCGAGCTTTTATTTTTTAACTCTAGTGTCATATATCCTTAAAAAATCAATAATTCTCCATATCAAATCAGTTTCAAAATCAATCAATATCTTCCAATTATAACTCGCATCCAATTCAGTTCAAAAATTGACTTTCGAAATTTTTCTGCTAATTTTCATGTCCAATTTTTCCTTTCGATAATAAATAAACACATTTCATTTCAAATTCAATTTTGTTGAAATGCTGAAAATTTGCAGAAAAATTTCAGTCAAGATTTCTCTCTCTCTCTCTTATCGAATTTGTTCAATTTTCAGACCATTTGTTGCGGATGAGGTAGATGATCGTGATATGCCAGCTCCACTTCGTGGTTCGATTTCTTATCATTCGGTTAATGAGTTGACGCATAGCCAATTTGGAACTATCAAGTGAGTAGAAAAGATTTGGGAATTTTTGAATTTAGGGTTTTTGCGAGGTCAAACTATTTGAGCTTGTTGTTTTTCTGAAAAATTTGAGATTGCAAATATGAAAAAAAAACAGCTTCCAAACTACTGTACATCTGGACTTTCAAGCAATTTTTACTTTTGAGAAGCTTCCATAAAAAAATCCTTTGAAGATTTTAAAAATCAGAACATGCTCTTTTAGATGAGCACAACTAATTTTTTGCTCAGACTCCACTTTTGAACAATTTTTGAACTTCAAAATAATGCTCTTCACGTTTCCGGTGTCAACTTTTAATTTAAAATTATTAAACTTTTCTCAAGTCCGAAGTAAAAAAATCTATTTTTAACCCAATCGACCATTTTTTTCCAGAACAATCGACAAACCAAAAGACAAAAGTTCGGAAAGAATGTACAAACGTCCAGGATTTGATAACGTTCCATCATATTGATAATGTCCTTTTTTTCCCTTCCCCCTCTCATATTTCTTCTTTCAAAAAAGCAACTTTTCAATGTTTCAAACAACACACCATATGCCTGTTGTTTAATGAAACTTTTTTTGCAAATTTCGCAATATTCATTTATTCCTATTCTAAGTTTCTGTCAAATAAATGTTCTAAAATCAAATGTTCAATTGGACCAGGCAAAGATCAAGATCGAGGAATCAAAATGTTATTGAGTTTTCAGATGAGGAAAAGGCGAAATTTGAAACAGCGAAAAAATCACGTAAGAACTTCCGAACCTAAAAATTAAAAAAAAACTCTTCAGATATCTCTACAAAATGTCCGATTCCTATAGAACAATATATGAAAACAGTCTCGAGATTTTCAAAAACTTGTGGAGTTTTTTGTGTAAGCCAAAAAATCTTCCTATATTTCCCATAAATTCTGAAATTTACAGTTTGAGAAGGCGTTTTCATTCATCTCCGATTATAAAGCCGCACATTTTGGTCCACCAATATCACCATCCAATCCATACATCTTAATCCTGAATATTCTGGAGCAGTTAGCAAATTGTGATAGGAAATATTATATTTTATCATATCTGGAGCAAAATGATGTCACAAAAACAAAACCACTCAGATTGTCATATGCTTCATTGTTGTAAGAGAATTTTTTTTTTGAAAACATTTATGATAGAAATGGTTTTTCTTCAGAAAATCAACAAATATATTGCACAAAGGTTTTCTTGAGATCAAATTTTGGGTGATCGTCAGATTGCTGCGAGAAATTCAGGGATACATCAAGGCACGGATATGTGCCATCAATTTGTATAAATATATGGCTTTTGTAGGTTAGTTGAGTTGGAGCTCAAAAAATCTAGATGAAACCCAAGATTTTTTAGCCAACGATTGTGATATTGAATGGAAAGAGATTACTGAAAGAGGACATTCGATTATCGAGTTTTTGTTACACGGTATGTTGATTTTTATTAGATTTTGAAAATTATTGGGATATTTTTACAAGTAAACATTGTTTCAGAGCAAGTTTCAGAAAAAAATCGACCTCAAAAATGATTATAAAAATATATTTCACAATTTTGTACTGAATCAAATGTGATAATAATTTTCTGAAACTTAATTTGTTCGTACGAACAAATTTTTCAAAAGTGAACCAACTTATCTAATTTTGGAGCTCTGGCTCACAGAACTTTCACTGAATCTTTCTGAAATTCTGATCTAAAGCCTAAACGTTCTAAAAATTTCGAAAAAATTAATCACTTGACTTTTGAGAAAATTTTTCAGCGAAAGCCTCTAGATCTAGTTGCCTAAAAAATTTATCAGAAATTAATCCGGTTCGAAAACAAATTACTTTTCCAGATTGTCAAAAATCAACCACAAACAACGATGATTATTGGGATACTGACAGTGATGTGGAGCATCTAAATTCAACTCTCGAATTTCTACCAATTCAAGAAGTGATTTTTGACGAAGAAAATGATCTGAATGAACGGCGAGAAAAACGACAAGAAGAAAAACGAAGACTTCAATTGCTAAACATTTTGGAAAAACAGAAACAATCATTTTTGACTGAAACCAGAAAACAATCTGCTAAAAGTGACAAAAACAAGGAAAGAAAGAAATTGGAGCCAAGGAGAAAGGTGTATATTTGTGAACCTTCGTGTTCGGAACCTTCAAAAAACCATCGAGAAACCACCAATTTTCACAATCGGTGGTAGTAGTGGAAGTAGTTCTGGATCTGGGTCAACCATTAGATCTTATAGTTCAAACGAGTCTGTGAATTCTGAAGAGCAGAAAAAGCCGATCAAAAAGTCATCTATGAAAAGTGTATCAAGTGTTGGATCAGCATCAAGAGTAACTTTTAGTTCGGCGAGTTCGAGTTCATCTATATCGAGTTTTTATGATAGCCAATCTTCGGAATCTACATCTTCTGATTGTGAATCATCGATTTCTACTGAAAATAATAAAACACCACAGAACAATGTTGAGAAGAAGGAAAGAATATCTGACGAAAAACATCCAAAAATACATCTGAAGAATTCTTATATTCATCGAGTTATTGATAGTTTTGAAAAAAATGAGGATTTATCAAAACTCTCTCTTGCTGAGCTTCAGGAGAAATTTGAAATTGATTTGGATTTAATGAGTTGTGAAAAAGAGAAATTCGAAATACCAAAGAGAAAAAAACAAATGTCAAAAACTGAAAAATCGATGAGAGAAGAAGCAGAGATCGAGAGAGAAGAGGTTATTTGGTTCAAGGAATCTATCGAGAAAAAAATCAGACTCATAGATCGAGAGGCGAGTAAAAAGAGCATCTCATGGTGGAAAAAGTTGGGAGAAGATATTGAAACCCTTGGAAAAATCAAAACTATGCCGGATAATTCGGCTGAGGAGTGTGCGGCAAGGTTTTTAAGGCAGGAAAAATATCTGGGATTTGAAGGCGTTAGTAAAAATATTGCGGATGATGCAAGTCTCTCCACTTTTTATCGAAATGAAAATGAGAAATCTAAAATGAAGATTGAGATGAAGAAGAGGATCTTGGAGCAAAGAAAAAGTGCATCTGGAAATAAAAAACAAAAAACTGAAAACGATTTGGAAAATGAAAAAGTGAAGGTGAATGATACAAAAGAAGGTGCATGTTACATTGAATCCTCAGATGACGAAGATTCAGAAAATGAGAAAAAATCATATGTTCTGCAAAATATGAGAAAACTATTTTCCCATGAGATATATACACTTATGCTCATTTTTGAAACACAATACAATATGGCTGCAGGAAATGTGAGTTGATTTTTAAATTTTGGGAAACCTTATGTATATTCAAAATTTTTCAGATGGTCCGATGTGTTGGCTACATGAATCAATTGTCATTTCAATTCGAATTTCTATCAAGTGAACTTGAAGCAATTGAGCATCAGCCGGAAAAGTTTTTCAGTTTTAAGAAGGAAGCTTTGAAGCCAAGGAATAATTTGATACATTGGTTTATGCATGTTTATCAATTGTTACAGGCGAAATTATGTTTGTATGCGACTGATGTTTTTGGACCATCTTGTTTAACTTTGAAAGATTATACGGTGAGTCTAGAGTCTTAATGAGAGTCTCGTGCTAAAGCTTGAAGCTAGAGCTCGAAGCTAAAGCTCGAAGCTAGAGCCTAAAGCTAGAGCCTAAAGCTAGAGCCTAAAGCTAGAGCCTAAAGCTAGATCATCAAACCTAAGAGATCCATAAGTCTAGAGTTTGAAACCTCTCATAAAAAATTCCAAAATTTCAGAACATTCAAAAAATCGATAATGGCTTCAACTTTGTCGAAAGATGTGTTGAATTCACACAAATCAGTCAAGCATTTTTCCTGTGTATTTGTGTTGGCGGCCGACAAAGAATCTCGGAAAAAGATGGCAATTTTGAATCTTGTATGGTCCTACCAGAATATGGAAAAACAACATATGACGTGGAAATGCAATATGAAAAACTGTTGGAGGAGGAAAAATCGAATCAGGCTGCGGAATTGCGGAAAATCACTAGAAAACGAGTTATAAAACCGATGAGAGCTTTGATAAAAATTCATGATTTGGGAGAGATTTATGATCTACCATTGGTAGAAGCCAGGAAAATCATAGAAGATTGTTCAAGATTATCATATGTGGAGAAAGAATTTTTGAGAAATAATCTTCAATACCTACAATCAAGAGAATCACGAGATAAAGGGGAACCTGCTGAACCTCAATCAAAAATCGAAAAAGAAAATTTGGTTCCAATTATTTTCCGAATCCCTTCACCCCTGAACTCTGAACATAATGGAATTGCGATGGTGAAATCGGAAAATTCCAACCATGCATTTCAATTAACTTCAGTTTTTGTGCAACAACATCTACATCCAAAGTGCTTATTATATAATGAGGAAAATTCGATTGACAGGAAGCCTTATAGATTTGTTCATTATGACAGTGATACAAATAAGGTTTGTTAATTTTCAAATGAGTATATGAAGGCTGGAGAGAAGTTAGCGCATCTTCACCCAGAATCTCTAATTTTTCAGACATATTTTGGAGAATCAATAGAACGTGATCTATACATGGTTATAATATTCAGTGGTCGAGTTCGAAAATGGGAACGCCATATTATTGATTTTCTAAATGATATACTTCCCGAAATTCGTTGCTCAAATTCTTTGAAATTGTTATCGCATGCTGCAAACAATCCTGAATTAGGGGGTCGAGGTCGAGTTGGAAAAACTGAACAGAAATGAATTCACGAAATTTTATTGTTAAATTCTTGTTTAGCTTTTGTTCACATTTATTTTATCCCGTTTTTATATCTTTTTTGAAAAATTGAAACTTCAACCTATGATTATTAACATTTTTTTGCAAAGATACAAATATTTTTGAATCACGTTTATTACTTGTGATGAAATGAAAACATAAAACTTTCGGAACATTTTAAATGAGCATGTAAAAAGGGGAGAGATGGCTTTAATAATGCCAATACAGAAGAAAAATATACTTTGAAGAGCAGAAAAAAAAATGACAAGGAAACAACAAAAAAACGGGAAAGCGGAACCGGGCAAAAAAACCCGAGAACTACCCATAAAATCATGAGGCGGTAAAAATTTGAAAGGGGACAACATTATAAAAATAACATATTTCTGTGCATAATCCAGATGCACTACTCAAAATCTTCTTGATCATCCAAAGATGATTCATCTGGGTTTGGTGGATCAGCATCGGATTTTGAATTTTGGTCAGAAGAAGTCGATTGTCCAGAAGCTGCGGCTGAAGTGGAAGCACTTGAAGATGTTTGTGCAGACTGTTTCGCTTTCTGTAATGAAAAAGTTAGATTAAAAGTCATATTTCATTGAAATTTTGATAAAACTCAAATACTTACTCCATTGAAATATTTTGTGCACATTAGCATTCCTGGTGGGAGCGTTGTTTTGTCCAAGTCATAAAGAGCAACGACCTCATCGGTCATCTGAATAATCATTGGCACAACCTGAAAAAATTGATTTTTCGTTATTGAGAACTCAAAATGTGTTTCTTTCTTTGAAATATACTTACAATCACACCGTCTCGTCGAGTTCTTCCGAATCCCAGTTGCAAAAGTTGTGGATCGAATTGATCATTCCAATTTTTCTGGAAAATGTTTTCATTATTCACTAAAAAAATAGAGTTTTATGCGTTTTCAAAAAACTTTTATTTATTTGAATCTTTTGCAGAAAAGCGGAATATTTACCTTGTCTTCAAAATCCATTTGAGTCAACAATCTTTGAGCAATTGCCGAATTTGTTTCATTTGATGCATTTGTTGTTGATGATGAACCAATTGGGTGAGTTGGACATTCCTGATTTGGCTGAAAATAAATTTTTCCAATTCATCGAAAAAAATTTACTGCTTCATGAGATTTTTTGAAGTTTTTTCTCAAAGCAGAATTTTTCAACAAATCGCATGGAACTTCATAAATCTTAAAAAAATATATAATTACCTCATTAATTGGTCGATTGGCTGCTGATGAAACGATATCTTGATTCATCAAATTCACAGTCGACGACGAAGAAGAATCGCCAACTTCATCAAAATCCGCTTGAGTCAACAATTCTTGAGCAACTGCCGAAGTTGCTCCATTTGATGCAGAATTTGTTGAGGAAGATGAACCGGTTGGGTGAGTTGGAAAATTTTGATTTGGCTGAAAAATAATTTTCTCAATTCATCAAAATAACTTTACTGCTTCATGAGATTTTTGAAGTTTTTTCTCAAAGCAGAATTTTTCAACAAATCGCATGGAACTTCATAAATCTTAAAAAAATATAATTACCTCCATATTTGTTTGATTCGTTCCAGACAAAACATTTTGAACCATTTGACAATTTTCGCGATCTGACTCATTCGGCATTCCTGATGTCATTGAAACTGCCACTTCGGTTGTTGCTTTTTCACGATTTGAATCCGAATCCAATTCTGACGACTTTGATTTTTTGGTGGCCTGAAAAATCAATTTTTTAAACTTATTCAAGTCGACTCGAAGAAACACCATTGTGTTTGTTTTTCAAAGTTTTTTCCTATTTTTGGAAAAAGGTCTCGAAAATAATTTTGAAAGGTTCTAAAAATTGGAAAACTGCTTTTGATCGAGTTGAAATAGCATCAAATTTGATAGGTTATTGTCAAGTTTTCTATTCAAACTCACGGTCGACGAAGAAGAAGATTCTCCACCTTCAATTGGCGCATCTTGTGTTGCTTCACGTTTCGACGACATGGTTTTGGCAAGATCTGAAATTAAAATTTGATTCAAGTCGTGAATAATATCAAAATATACGAAAAAGCAAGGTATAAAATATTTATTTCACAAAAATCTAAAGTTTTCCTAGTAAAAAGTACCTTATCTGTATGAAAAAGAAGAAGAATCATCTAGAATGATTACTTTAAGCTCACAGTAATTCAAATCTAAAAAAAACTAGAAAAAACGGATCTGAAATAACGAAAAAACTAAGGATATACAAAAAACCAACAAAAAACTCACAAGCGATATAATGATTGCATAAACAGACGCCACTTCCTCCCCCTCAAGACATTCCAACGCTGACCTTTTCTCTGCACCCTCTTTTTTTGCACACTCTTTCGTCGAACTGCAATAAAATAAGGATAAACTATGGGTGGTGTCATTTATCGGAATGTTGTTTATTTTTTGTTGTTTGCACGTTGTTTTAAAGGAAATTCTAAATTTTCAGATTTTGTTCTTTTTTAAAAGTGTGAACATTGAAAAAAATAAAATAAATAAAAACCCTCAAAAAATATAAGGTTTGTAGTTTTTTGATTGGAAGTTTCGAAATAGTATACCCACAGAATTTCTAATTTTTCAGACATATTTTGGAGAATCAATAGAACGTGATCTATACATGGTTATAATATTCAGTGGCCGAGTTCGAAAATGGGAACGCCATATTATTGATTTTCTAAATGATATACTTCCCGAAATTCGTTGCTCAAATTCTTTGAAATTGTTATCGCATGCTGCAAACAATCCTGAATTAGGTGTTCGAGGTCGAGTTGATAAAATTGAACAGAAATGAAGTGAAGAAAGCAGAAAAAATATACTTTTGTACATTTTTTTCATTTTTAGGCTGTTGTTTAGCTTTTATTCAAATTTACTATTCTTTTTGTTTGAATTTCAACAGATAAAATTTTTCAGGAAAGGTTTTTTTGAACATGTCTTCAGCCCAATAGAAATAGTTAAGATCCATGTCTCGATTTTTGAAAAAAAAATTTGATTAAAAAAAATGTTAGCCGCCAAAATAAAATTTCTTGTCAATCATATGCATGTTTTACTCACATTCACAATCAACATACATTGTTCTCTCAAAATTTATTATAATTCGAAAACGCGGGAGAATTTGAGGTGTAAGACAAAAAGAAACATTATTAGAATTCAGATTTTGGGTGGAGAACAAAAGAGTAACATGGTAAACCGCTTATAAATCACTCGGATAAAGTTTTGTCTCATAAAAAAACGGGATAAATGCATCAAAGGAGAGATAATTTTTTGGGTAAGAAAAGATAATGCATAATATATCTGGAGGTGAGCATGTGGGAAAAATAATGAAAACATGGATAAAAATATGCCAAAAAATGGGAAATGGGGTGAGAATCTTAACAAGAACTTAACAAAACTTAACAGAATCTTTTAAAACAACAAAATCTTAACAAGAACTTCAAATCTGATTGAACAAACAGGAAAAAAATGAAATAATAATTGTTTGATAAAAGCGTCTTTGAAAATTATTCGACTTTCTTTTCTTCTTCTTTTTCTTCTTGGTTTTGTGGAGCAGTTGCAGAAGATGTTGATGGTGTTGCTGATGAAGACGGTCCAGCAGAAGGCTTAGCTGAAGCTTTTGACTTCTTCTGAAAAAAAAAAAAGATTTTGACTAAAATTCAACGAAATTCAATTAAATACTTACTCCATCGAACAGTTTTGTGCACATTTTCAATGTGCCTTCTCCAAATTCTGGTTGGAGTGATTCCTTATCGATACCATAAAGATCTGCAACTGCTTGGGTAAACGGGATTGAGATTGGAACAACCTGAAAAAATTGATGTTTCTTTATTGAGAACTTAAAATGTGTTTCTTTCTTTGAAATATACTTACAGTCTTTCCATCCGGTCGAATTCTTCCAATTCCCAGTTGAAGAAGTGTTTGATCGTAACGAGCGTTCCAATCTCGCTGGAAAATGTTTTCATTATTCAAAACAAAATAGAGCTTCATGTGTTCTCAAAACTTTTATTGATTTGAATCTTTTGCAGAAAAGCGGAATATTTACCTCGTTTTCCAACTCCTTTGGAGTCACAAATTCTCCAACAACAGCCGAAGTTGCTCCATTTGATGCAGAATTTGTCGATGAAGATGAACCAATTGGGTGAGTTGGACTGTCCTCGGTCGACGACGAAGAAGAATCGCCAACTTCATCAAAATCCGTTTGAGTCAACAATCTTTGACCAATTGCCGAATTTGTTTCATTTGATGCATTTGTTGTTGATGATGAACCAATTGGGTGAGTTGGACATTCCTGATTTGGCTGAAAATAAATTTTTCCAATTCATCGAAAAATTTACTGCTTCATGAGATTTTTGAAGTTGTTTCTCAAAGCAGAATTTTTCAACAAATCGCATGGAATTTCAGAAAAAATATAATTACCTCATTAATTGGTTGAACAACAACATTTTCTTGAACATTCGGACTTTCTTGAATTTGACCTGGCGCTTCTGGAATCACCGATGGAATCGACACAGCCAATTCGGTTGTTGTTGATGTGTCAGTTGATGTCGGCTCCGATCCTTCTGCCTTCGGTTTTTTGGCGGTCTGAAAAATCATTTGGTTCTAAAAATTGGAAAACTGCTTTTGATCGAGTTGAAATAGCATCAAATGTGATAGGTTATTGTCAAGTTTTCTATTCAAACTCACAGTCGACGAAGAAGAAGAAGATTCTCCACCTTCAATTGGCGCATCTTGTGTTGCTTCACGTTTCGACGACATGATTTTGGCAAGATCTGAAATTAAAATTTAATTCAAGTCGTGAATAATATAAAAATATACGAAAAAGGAAGGTATAAAATATTTTTTTTACAAAAATCTAAAGTTTTCCTAGTAAAAAGTACCTTATCTGTATGAAAAAGAAGAAGAATCATCTAGAATGATTACTTTAAGCTCACAGTAATTCAAATCTAAAAAAAACTAGAAAAAACGGATCTGAAATGAGGAAAAAACTAAGGATATACAAAAAAACCAACACAAAAACTCACAAGCGATATAATGATTGCATAAACAGACGCCACTTCCTCCCCCTCAAGACATTCCAACGCTGACCTTTTCTCTGCACTCTCTTCTTTTGCACACTCTTTCGTCGAACTGCAAAAAAATAAGGATAAACTATGGGTGGTGTCATTTATCGGAATTTCGTTCATTTGTTGTTTTTTGCACGTTGTTTTGATGGAAATTCTAAATTTTCAGATTTTGTTCTTTTTCAAAAGTGTGAACATTTAAAAAAAAATAAAATAAATAAAAAAAAACCCTTAAAAAATATTCAAAATTTTTCAAATGGTCCGATGTGTTGGCAACATGAATCAATTGTCATTTCAATTCGAATTTCTATCAAGTGAACTTGTAGCAATTGAGCACCAGCCGGAAAAGTTTTTCATTATCATATGTGGAGAAAGAATTTTTGAGAAATAATCTTCAATACCTACAATCAAGAGAATCACGAGATAAAGTGGAATCTGCTCCAATGAAAATCGAGAAAGAAAATTTGGTTCCAATAATTTTCCGGATTCCTTCACCCCTGAACTCTGAACATAATGGGATTGCGATGGTGAAATCAGAAAATTCGAACCATGCATTTCAATTAACATCAGTTTTTGTGCAACAACATCTCCATCCAAAGTGCTTACTGTATAATGAGGAAAATTCGATTGACAGGAAGCCTTATAGATTTGTTCATTATGACAGTGATACAAATAAGGTTTGTTAATTTTTAAATGAGTATATAAAGGCTGGAGAGAAGTTAGCGCATCTTCACCCAGAATCTCTAATTTTCAGACATATTTTGGAGAATCAATAAAGCGTGATCTATACATGGTTATAATATTCAGTGGCCGAGTTCGAAAATGGGAACGCCATATTATTGATTTTCTAAATGATATACTTCCCGAAATTCGTTGCTCAAATTCTTTGAAATTGTTATCGCATGCTGCAAACAATCCTGAATTAGGTGTTCGAGGTCGAGTTGGAAAAACTGAGCAGAAATGAAGTGAAGGGAGCAGAAACAATATATTTTTTTTCATTTTTAGGCTGTTGTTTAGCTTTTAATCAAATTTATTATTCTCTTTGTTTGAATTTCAACAGATAAAATTTTTCAGGAAAGGTTTGGTTTGAAAATGTCTTTAACCTAATAGAAATAGTCAAGATCCAACCTTGTCTCGATTTTTGAAAGAAAAATTCGATTTAAAAAAATGTTTGCCGCCAAAATAAAATTTCTTGTCAATCATATGCATGTTTTACTCACATTCACAATCAACATACATTGTTCTCTCAAAATTTATTATAATTCGAAAACGCGGGAGAATTTGAGGTGTAAGACAAACAGAAACATTATTAGAATTCAGATTTTGGGTGGAGAACAAAAGAGTAACATGGTAACCGCCTATAAATCACCCGGATAAAGTTTTGTCTCATAAAAAACACGGGAATAAAATGCATCAAAGGAGAAATAATTTTTCGGGTAACATGAGATAATGCATATAAGAAAAAGAAGAAAAATAAATGAAATTAGAATCGCGGTAAAGCCGTTTCGACCTGAACATCAGACGGCGAAGAGGTAGGTCTCATCAGTGATGCCTCTTTGCTGGACCTTAAGTATTAGTTCTAAACCTATCCTACGCGCGAAAATAAGAAAAAATAATAAGAAGTGTTAGAAGGTGTATAAATAAAACTATTTGTGAAAACATGTAGAGTGGAGGGAGACGATATGTTAGAGAGGAAGAGTAGATGAGAGAGTGAGGAAAATGAAGAGAGGAATAGTGAGAGGAGGGAGACCTATATTCAAAATAATATATTTTATAGAAGGAAATAATTGATAGAATAAGGAAATAAGAAAAACGAATGTGGTATAATTTTAGCAGAGATTATTTTTAAGATCAAATCGGTATTTTTTATTACTGTTGATTTTATGGAAATATTTCACTGTTTGTTGTTCAATAAATGGTTGTTTAAATCCATTTTTTACAAATTGAGCAATTAGAGCTTTAATTCTAGGTAAAGCATCATAATAGTAAGTGCATGTGTCAAATATTCTGAGAAGTTCTGTGTATATTGTATTTATTGCGATTCTTTCGGGCATATAACTTTCAGCTTTAGGGTATCGTACTATCTCGAATGTGTAATCGTCTGTTTTATTGTATAGTCTAGTATGAAGGTCTTCTCTAGAATTTATAATTTCTAAATCTAGAAATTGTACTTTATTTTTATCTTTCACTGTATTATTTAATTCTAGAGATTGGTGATAAATTTGCGTATTTATTTCATGTTTAAAGTATCTTTTATCATAAATTTGAAGCAAGTCATCCATATATCTGAAGCATAGAATTTTGTGTTTGTTGAATTTATTTTGATTATTTTTGACGTAATTAAATTCCATCCAAGATAATGTGAGGTCTGCTATAAATGGTGAAGCATTTCCACCTTGTGGAATGCCTTTTGTTTGATGATAAATGTTGTCTCCAAAAGATACGTATGTTTCTGTCATGATTATCCTAATAATATCATCGATTTGAGCTTTTGTGAAATAGAGGTAAGTTTTTTGATCATCTTTTTCTGTATAAAATACACGACTAGATTTGGTGATGGCTAGGAATTTTTTATTTGAATTTTTAAAGCACATATCGGTTATTGATTTTATAGATTCTAAAACTATATCGTGTGGAAGATTTGTGAATAAGGATGAAAAGTCGCCTGAGAATATTTCTCTGTGTTTTTTAGGTATTCGGCAGTTTTTAAGGGATTTCAAAATTTCTTTGGTGTTTTTGACTGACCAATATATAGTACTAAAATTTCTGCTTTCAATAACTTTACAAATATTATGGAAATGAGTTTTGAAATGTTGTAGAATTAGTTTAGTCAAGAGTGAAAGAGGTTTGAGTGAACTATTTGAGGCTCCACTTATGAATCTCATAGCTATGGGATTTTTGTGTAATTTTGGAATACCGTAAATTTTCGGAATATAATATATCTGGATGTGTGAACAAAAAGAGGGAAACATGGATGAAAATGTGACAAAAAATGGGGAAATGGTGAGAATCTTAACAAGAACTTAACAAAGAGCTTAACAAAACTTAACAGAATCTTTTAAAACAACAAAAACTTAACAAGAACTTCAATACTCATTGAACAAACAGGAAAAAAATGAAATAATAATTGTTTGATAAAAGCGTCTTTGAAAATTATTCGACTTTCTTCTCTTCTTCTTTTTCTTCTTCTTTTTCTTCTTGGTTTTGTGGAGCAGTTGCAGAAGATGTTGATGGTGTTGCTGATGAAGACGGTCCAGCAGAAGGCTTAGCTGAAGCTTTTGACTTCTTCTGAAAAAAAAAAAGATTTTGACTAAAATTCAACGAAACTCAATTAAATACTAACTCCATCGAACAGTTTTGTGCACATTTTCAATGTGCCTTCTCCAAATTCTGGTTGGAGTGATTCCGTATCGATACCATAAAGATCTGCAACTGCTTGGGTAAACGGGATTGAGAATGGAACAACCTGAAAAAATTGATGTTTCTTTATTGAGAACTTAAAATGTGTTTCTTTCTTTGAAATATACTTACAGTCTTTCCGTCCGGTCGAATTCTTCCAATTCCCAGTTCAAGAAGTGTTTGATCGTAACGAGCGTTCCAATCTCGCTGGAAAATGTTTTCATTATTCAAAACAAAATAGAGCTTCATGTATTCTCAAAACTTTTATTGATTTGAAATTTTTGCAGAAAAGCGGAATATTTACCTCGTCCAACTCCTTTGGAGTCACAAATTCTTGAGCAACTGCCAATTGTGTTCCAGTTGATGCAGAATTTGTCGATGAAGATGAACCAATTGGGTGAGTTGGACTGTCCTGGGTCGACGACGAAGAAGAATCGCCAACTTCATCAAAATCCGTTTGAGTCAACAATCTTTGAGCAATTGCCGAATTTGTTTCATTTGATGCATTTGTTGTTGATGATGAACCAATTGGGTGAGTTGGACATTCCTGATTTGGCTGAAAATAAATTTTTCCAATTCATCGAAAAAAATTTACTGCTTCATGAGATTTTTGAAGTTGTTTCTCAAAGCAGAATTTTTCAACAAATCGCATGGAATTTCAGAAAAAATATAATTACCTCATTAATTGGTTGAACAACAACATTTTCTTGAACATTCGGACTTTCTTGAATTTGACCTGGCGCTTCTGGAATCACCGATGGAATCGACACAGCCAATTCGGTTGTTGTTGATGTTTCAGTTGATGTCGGCTCCGATCCTTCTGCCTTCGGTTTTTTGGCGGTCTGAAAAATCATTTGGTTTGTTCTCAAAACTTTTATTGATTTGAATCTTTTGCAGAAAAGCGGAATATTTACCTCGTTTTCCAACTCCTTTGGAGTCACAAATTCTCCAACAACAGCCGAAGTTGCTCCATTTGATGCAGAATTTGTCGATGAAGATGAACCAATTGGGTGAGTTGGACTGTCCTCGGTCGACGACGAAGAAGAATCGCCAACTTCATCAAAATCCGTTTGAGTCAACAATCTTTGACCAATTGCCGAATTTGTTTCATTTGATGCATTTGTTGTTGATGATGAACCAATTGGGTGAGTTGGACATTCCTGATTTGGCTGAAAATAAATTTTTCCAATTCATCGAAAAAAATTTACTGCTTCATGAGATTTTTGAAGTTGTTTCTCAAAGCAGAATTTTTCAACAAATCGCATGGAATTTCAGAAAAAATATAATTACCTCATTAATTGGTTGAACAACAACATTTTCTTGAACATTCGGACTTTCTTGAATTTGACCTGGCGCTTCTGGAATCACCGATGGAATCGACACAGCCAATTCGGTTGTTGTTGATGTGTCAGTTGATGTCGGCTCCGATCCTTCTGCCTTCGGTTTTTTGGCGGTCTGAAAAATCATTTGGTTCTAAAAATTGGAAAACTGCTTTTGATCGAGTTGAAATAGCATCAAATGTGATAGGTTATTGTCAAGTTTTCTATTCAAACTCACAGTCGACGAAGAAGAAGAAGATTCTCCACCTTCAATTGGCGCATCTTGTGTTGCTTCACGTTTCGACGACATGATTTTGGCAAGATCTGAAATTAAAATTTAATTCAAGTCGTGAATAATATAAAAATATACGAAAAAGGAAGGTATAAAATATTTTTTTTACAAAAATCTAAAGTTTTCCTAGTAAAAAGTACCTTATCTGTATGAAAAAGAAGAAGAATTATCTAGAATGATTACTTTAAGCTCACAGTAATTCAAATCTAAAAAAAACTAGAAAAAACGGATCTGAAATGAGGAAAAAACTAAGGATATACAAAAAAACCAACACAAAAACTCACAAGCGATATAATGATTGCATAAACAGACGCCACTTCCTCCCCCTCAAGACATTCCAACGCTGACCTTTTCTCTGCACTCTCTTCTTTTGCACACTCTTTCGTCGAACTGCAAAAAAATAAGGATAAACTATGGGTGGTGTCATTTATCGGAATTTCGTTTATTTTTTGTTTTTTGCATGACGTTTTTAAGGAAATTCTAGATTTTCAGATTTTGTTCTTTTTTTGAAAGTCTGAACATTTCTTTAATCTTTTTTTTAGTTGTTCTAAATTCAAAAATTTCTAGATTCCCTGTCAATATTAGTTCTTTTTTTCTAGATTTTTTTTTGGTGAATTAATATTGATTTTTTTTTAAATGTATACTTTCCGAGATATGTTGCTTAAATTCTTGAACGTGTCCAAAGTCGAGTTGAAAAAACAGAAGTAAAGTGAACAAAAACAAATTGTTGCATTTTAGCCAAAATTCATTGTTGTACTTTTTCTGTTTCTTTTTGTTGCTTTTTAGTTCACCGCAATTCTACTTCTGGCTTACATTCAGCTTTTATTCGGATTTATTTTTACTTTGTTATACTAGTACACAGGGTACAAATGTTTATTCATATTTTAAAAAAAAAATACGTAATATTCTCTGAGATTTTTAAAAATTCTGATTTCTAAATTCTCAATAGAAAAAACCTTCAAAACCATTTTTTTTTCAAAAAAATAAAAACAATGAGAATTTTTTTACACTCACAATTAAAAATTGAAGAATAAATAATTTCTTCCCTAGGTCATTTATTTTTTCCACTTGTTTTGTTATGTTTTATGATTCATTAAGTTCTTACAATTTGTTTATTTTTAATACTATGTAGATACATATGTATAAACTAAAACATCATGTTGTTTCATTTTTCGGAAAAGAGCAAGAATTTTCTTTTATTTCTGTTGTTCCGCGTGATTTTTTTCATGAAATTTTCTATGAAGAAAAATAATAAATGGTCTTTTGAACAGAAAGAATCCATTTCCATTTTTTTCCCGCAATTTTGTTCTTTTTTTGAAAAAAAAGTACATATGTTTATGTTTATGTTTACATATCCATATCCATTTACCAAAAAAAAAAAATGGCAAACAGCAACAGGATTTCAATTTAGTTTTCACTCGCTCGTTTTCACACATTTAAATTTTTTTTCCGAAAATGAATACAAATATTTATTAGAAAAATATACTGTTACATATGTAAAATGCAAAAAAATCACATTTGTTTTGTTTTTCCGCGCTGGTCTTTTGTTTTATGAGTGTTTCTAGTGCTTTTAAATTTATTTGCTCAATTGTTTGAATAATTTTTTGATGTAAAGTTTTTTGTGTAAGGTGGGTAATCAAGTTGGTGTAGAAAAGTGCAGCATAATTGTTCATGGAACATTTTCAGATTTTCGAATTCTAAATTGAAATTTTAATGAACCCAAAATGCATAAAGCTACTTTTTTCTTATTTGAAACTTTTCAAATTTTTTCAGAAAATTTTCCTAAGCTCAGATTTTTCAAACTATTTTCTGCTCAAAAAGTTTAAAAAAGTTTTCAAATAATTTTTGTGTAAGGTAATCAAGTTGGCAAAAAAGCATAATTGTTATGAGTCACCTATGGAAACATTTTGATTTATGTCTTCTTTTTTGCCAACCTTTTTTTTGATAAACCTACTTTACCCGATTATTTTGAATAGAACTAAAACTAGTTTCAAAGTTTTCTAAGTCCTAACACATGTTTATGCAAGCTAATAATATGAGAGGCGGTGATATTCACACATTCAAAGAAATTCAATAAATCATCGTAAAATGTTGTGAGTTAATGTTGCACTTGAATCGTCAGTTGTTGATTATACATTTGTACATATCATCAATGTTTTACAGAAAGAGAATTGAATTTGAAATAAATAGTTTAAGAGTTATCTGAAAATTCAAGTTTTTTGGAAATCTTCTTCTGAAAAGTTAGCTCTAAATCTATTTTTTTTATATTTTGAAGAATTTTTCCAATGTGTTTCTTTTTATATTTTTTTGTTGCTTGCTAATAATCTGTTTCCAATTGTGCTCCGCAAAAAAAAGAAAGATTTTTGGACCATTTTTAAGAGTTTATGGCTGATAATTTTTCAGAACTTGTGGATTTTTGTGCCAGAATTTTCTGTTTTTGGGAGCCAGGGAAAATGTGCTTCCTTGATAGGTAGAATTGATTTGAAACTTTGAATCAAAATTTCAAGTTCTTTAGTATTTTAAGCGTTACATTTTAATTTGAAACAATATCTTTTAGGACCAAACTGTTGATACAATTGGTTGTTGTAAATTTTCGGAAACATCAAAACATTTATCATCTCATAACCCCCAAGGTACAGTAGTTTTTCTTCCTAAAAAACTGTTTATTTGTCACCATTCGGCCGCTTTTTGTTGCCAACTTCTAAGAAACCCCGCACAGCAATAAACAATTCATTTACCCTCATAAGGTTTTTACAATCTGATGTGATTTATAAGTGTCTTCTCACTTTTGATTTTAGTAAAATCTTAATTGTAATTTATTTATTTATGTTAGAATTAATTAAAATCTCAATCTCAATCTTCATCCGAATAAATGAGGAGAGTTTTTGTTTTCAATCACGAGATAATTTTTTTGGTGTCCGCGCGAAAATAACTATAGAAAGACATCTGGTCTATACGATTGATTTGTTTCTTTTCTTCTTTTTGTTGTCAGAGTTATAAGAAGTATTTGTGATGAATATTTTGTTTATAGTAGGCTTCTTTGGGAAAAAATGCTCCGGTAGCAAACTACACGCTGTGTATGTAGGTAGGTAGTTTAATAATTTCTCAAGAACCTTTTGAAATTGAATAATTTGGCATCAAATTTCAACCTAATTTAATTAAACTGTGTTGTTTTAAAAAGGTGGCAAAATCTCGCAATTTGATATGATTGGATATCAAATTTCTAATTAAGATTAGACGATATCACATCTTCTTTGGAAAAAAAAAGATAAAGAATGAAGGAGAATAAAATGAATTTATTTATGACTTGATTTCTCGTTTTTTTTTGTTGTTAGCTTTTTGTATGATTTTATGGGTATCAGCCGGTCAGATTTTATGAGAATTCAACCTTTTTACGGGTTTTAGGAGAAGCTTGAAATTTTGAAATTTATTTTTGAAGGTTCGTTTTTCAGTTGAAATTTTGCTTCAAATTTCATAAAAAATATCATTGAGCTCTGAGAAATTATTTTCAAAATTCGGTCCTGATTTGATTCGAATCATACAATCAATGTACTCTGTCACATTCAATTATTTCATTTTCATCTCGAAACAAAACCCTCGTTCTCTTTTTTCTCTTTTTTTTCCAAAAAAAAACGTTTATGATATGTATTTCTCTCATGTTTTTTGGAACGGTTTATCATATCTATCAGTAGTCAATTCATATGTCAAAACGATTTTTTGTCTCTTCGAAGACATACAGTAAACAATATTTTTTGTCTTCTTTTTCTTGTTCTGAAAAAAAATATTTTTTATCGTAATATAAAATCTGTTTCCTGCAATTCCCCAGATGATTTTCAAATTTTCAAAAAAAAAGTTTTGAGTTAATCTTTGCATATTTCATATTTCTCTGTTTTCACTTTTTTCGGTGAAAACAAAAAGTGTGAGGGTTTGACAAATTGATGGATAAGAAAAATAGAGTTTTGACAAATTTTCGGTACATTTTTTGTGTTCGAATGAAAAAAAGCGAACACAAAGAGTTTTTCTTTTCGGTTTCTTTTCAACTCATTTTTTCTCAACACAGATGTCACATAAATTGTATACATACATACATTCATTTTTTTTGAACAATGATTTTCGAAACTTTTTTGAAAATGAATACATTTGGAGAAGGTTTGAGCCGGGAAATTGTGCCAAGCCAATTCTCTCACCTCAACATTTTTTATCTAAATCGTCACAATTCTATTTTTTTCCCATCGATTTGCTTCTAGCTCTTTTTCTATCAATATTATTATTAATATTACACCAAAAAGAATACTGTAGAGAGAGGAAAAACAACATTTTTTGGCCGATTTTCCTACTATTTTTTCTCAACTTGATTCTATGATCAAGTCATCCATCATTTTCTATATGACTAATTGAACATTGTTCATCGCAAAAAAATGGACGATAAACATATGAGAAAAATAACTGGACCGAAAGAAAATGAGAAGACTGAAAGTTCTTCGGATGTCCTGAATTTAATTTCAGGATTATTGAAGAACTTTTATTTTCGGTTCAGTTATTTCAGAGAATTTTTTTATTTTTGCTCTTGAAAAATTCGGGCTCTCTATGAGATCTGAAAGCAGGAAATTGCTCAGAATAGGTTTTTGATAAAATTTCTCTGAAACTATTTTTTGAACCACAAAAAACTAAAAGTTCTTAGGTTCATAAATGATTCTCATTTTTTTTTATAAATATCAAATGAATGTCTGTTGTCATCCAGAAATGTCATCCATCAAGTTGGCACATTAGGCTAGGGTCAATAATGATTCATGCATTGATTACTATTATTTTATTGTTGCCTAGTTAAAAAGGTGAATTTTTTGCAGTAGCGCTGGAAGTTTGAACAAAATCCATGATTTATTTATTCATTTTTGCTCTTTTCATTTTTTTTTCTTTGGAAATAAAAAAAAGTGCATTCGTGATGTTATAAAATAATGCTGTGTTCTGATGTTTCGTGATTTTTGGAGCATTTTTTGAGCTCCATAACTTTGGTTTAGTTTTTCTGGGATCTTCCGGCTCATATCTCTGTCAACCCCGAACATTTTTAAAGTTTCAAGAATCACATTCACACTCCCTTCAATCTCGAAAAATTTGTCTGAAAAAAAACTGAAGCTATCAAATTTCCAACTCTAGAAAAAATGTACCACACTTGACTCTTTTTTGCCCATTCAAACATCCGTTTTCTCTTTCGGCAAAAAGTCGAGCTTTCCTCTAAAAAAGCAACATTTCATTTGTTGTTTTGAGCAAATTTGGGGAAGAAATTCAAGAAGAATTTGTACATTTCAATTCAGATTTTTTGAAACTTTTTTTCTGAACTATTTATTTTTTAAAGAAAATTCCTATCCTCCCGCAAAAAAAGCAACATTTAATCCATCCCATTTGGCCTAATTTTAACTAGAATATATTTCATTTTATTCCTTTTTTGTTTCAATTCAGATCAAGTAATAAATAAATCAGGCCGACGCCTCTCTCTCTTTTTCTTTTTTTTCCTTTTTTTTCTTCGACTGTTAAAATATAACTTGATGATGATGAAAACAAGAAAAAACGAATAGTTGAGATACCAAAAATTTTTATTTTATATTTCATTTCGATTTTTTCCTACCAAAGAGAGAAAAGAAATGAGAGAAAAATGAAATTGATAGGGGTTTTTTTACTTGGTTTTACACCAATTTTTCTCTCTTTTTATTTCATTTCGGACAGTCAGGTTAAATTTAATTGAATTAAATTATATGTACCTATAAAAATGAATTTGTTTTGTTTTGCGAATTTTCGGTGATTTGAAACGGCTGGTCGTTAGGAATTATGATTATTATAGAAGAAAACTGGAATTTCTTCCGTATTTTTTGTTTTTTTTTTTGGCTTTTGGAAAGCCTGAGAGGCCTAGAATCTTGACTTGAATCAAAATTTATTTTTATTTTTAATAACACCTTCTCTCAATTTTCACATTCGTCATGTTCCAGAATCTTTTTTTTTCATCTTGAAAAAAAATGAATGAATAAAATAGCACTCTACAATTTTCATTCGGCTTCCTTTTTCTCAAAAATGTTTTATTTTATACTGTAATTTTGTTTAAAAAATTCTCCAGTTCTCCCAATTTTTGACATTAATTTTTTGTATCTTGACACGATCTTTGACACGATTAATTTTTTCTATTCGAAAATTTTTTATAGAATTCAACACACCGATTGAATATGGAAACAAGTGTACCACCAGCGCCTCCGGTTAGTTTTTTTTGGGAGAATTTCTTGGATCAGAAGGTTCTAGGGAAAGTTTGGGGTACTGTACCTAATTTCAGATGAGGTTGTTATTTTTAGAATTCTGAACTCATAGCATGGAAATCTCCTGAACTTGAGATTCAAATGTTATAAAATCTCCGGTTCAAATGTTATAAAATCTCCGGAACCTCACTGTTGAATCGGAATTCAAAAATATTCTTACTGAATTTTAATTACAGTCACATTTTTCTGGAATTTTTCCCATAACCTTGCTCTTTTATTTTGCAGCGCTATGAACCTGGCCAAGAAAAATCGCCATTTGTCACAGGAGAATCAAATGGTGGATTCATCGCCCCAGAAAATGTTCAAAAATGCACCATCGAATCGAATTCTTGGAAAAAGAATTTCAAGTTTGTGAAAGGTCGCGCGTTTTTGAAGAATGTTGAGTGAGTTATCTTAACTTTATTAGAATTAGAAAACTTATTTTTTATTTACATACATGAAAAAAATTTTCAGTTGGAAAAAAGTGATCATCATTCTGATCCTAGTTATTTTTGCAATTTTCATCTTCACATTGTTTTATGTTTTGGTTTCGACATTTTTGCAAGAGCCAACACATCAGCCGATTTCAGAACATCAGATTAAATTGTCGAGGAATTTGGATACAAAATCTGCAGAGTCGTGAGTTTTGGAATTTTCAGAAAATTCTTTTCAATTTTATTTTATTTTTTTGAATTTGAAATCCAGATTAATACATTCCTGTTATAAAATATAACTTATTCAATTCCTAGGACTCGCCGAAAACCATTCAAACCCATTGAACTTGTGGAAGCTGTGATCATTGAAACATCAAGTTCGACAACAACATCAACTACAGAAATACCATCAACAACAACCACAATTGATATTGAAACAACGCAAGACAAGTTGCATCCGATGGAATATTTTGGGAAAAATTTCGACAAAAATCATGCGCCGGTGAGGATTTTTTGGGGGGACTTTGATGTGTTAGAAAAATTCTGAAGATCACAATTATGAAGGGTGTTCGAGAATTTTTTTGATGAATATTTCATCAGGGAACTTTTAGGGGCAAATTATCTTAGATATTTGTTTCATTTCCAGGCGAAAATTTTCGAAGAAAAATTGATTAGACAATTTTGAACTTACGACAACTCCGACAAAAACTACGAAGATCAGAAAAATTTTTTAACACTGTCAGATAAGAAAAAGAAGAAAAATAAATGAATTCATAAAATATATGAGGAATTTTGAAGAGCTGTGAAAACTACAGTAATTCATAAGAACTGCAAAGAGTACTGTACTTTTTCCAATTCTATAAAACTTCCCAATTATTGAAACCTTATGAAATGAATTCTAGAAGCTAGAAAAGTATATGAGAAAAAAATTCTGAAGCTTGAGTTCCAAGCTCAATCATTCTCCCCAAAAAATTATCAAAATATTTTCCAGGATTGCCTTCAACACTTAGCAAGTGGAGCAGAATCTGGTGTTTTCCCAATTCAACGTGGCGATGATTATCTTGCTGCCTATTGTGATATGGAAAAATCTGGCGGTGGATGGACTGTTATTCAAAGGTACATACATAGCTTAACTTTGCTTTTCAGCCCCCGAAAAAAAATTTTCCAGAAGAACCAACAAAAACGAAGGCTTCTATAATCGAAAATATGTAGAATATATCAATGGATTCGGCTCTCTTAACAATTCTTTTTGGCTCGGCCTCAAAAATATTCACACACTTGCTCCATCCACAGAACCTTATGTGACTCTTCGAATTGAACTTCATGGAGATTTGTGTTTGGGTCCAAAATGTAATGGTGATCCAGAAGGTTTCTGGTATGGAGAATGGGATTTTAGAGTGAGTTTTTTTTTTACTTTTTCTTTTTTGAATGAAACTAGATTTAAAAATTGTGATCTCAGATTGGTGATGAAAAAGATGGCTATGCTTTAGACATCAGTCCAGCGACTAGAGGAAATTTATCGATTGTTGGAAATTATACAGACGGATTTTATGCGAAAAGTAATGGAATGAAATTTACGACAATTGATAATGATCAAGATACTGAAAATGCTTTCAATTGTGCACAATTCAGAAATTTCGGGTTAGTTTGGATTACTTACATTTAGGAGTGAACTTCAGAGTTGAGCTAACTAAATTTCGATAAAAAAATTGGGATCAGCTTAAGAAATTTGAAAAAAAAAACATTTTTTCAGTGCTTGGTGGCATAGTGATTGCACAACAGCCGCCTTAAATGGTTTATACGGTGATCGCAAAAACGCCGCGAGATATATGATGTGGAAAGTTGACGAGGGACGAGCAAATGGTCGAATTGGTCTCAATTATGTTATACATCCAAAAGAATCTCTCATGATGATCAGACCGAAATATTGATTTTTTTGAACTTTTAGAATTATCAAAATCACATTGATTCATAATTTTTCCAATACAGGGTAGCTGAATTGACTTCGAAAAAGTTTTAAAACCATAATCAGATTTTTTTAAACCCCATTTTTTTTTTTTACATAATGTGCCATTTGCACATTTTCTCAGCGCCCCACCCTGAAATTTGAATTTCTCAGGATTTTTTTCTACTTAGGACTATGCAGATCTCTTATGTAATTTTAAGTTCTCTCTAATCTGCATAGGCCTACTGTATTTTTTTTGTATTCCAAAAATTATTCTCCTGCCAATTATTTTCTCATACTTATGTTAATTAACTTTTTTTGGCCGGTACATATCACCGAGTTCTCATTTTTGTACACATTATTGATTTTTTCTTGAAATAAATTCGTATTTTTTTTGGAACCAGGAAGTTGAGTTTAATCCAATGAAGTGAAAACTTTTTTTTCTAATTGTGAACCAATTTTTATTCGTAGAAGCTGAACACACTTGGCGAGAGAGTGTCCCAAAATTTTTGTGCAGCGTGAAAATTTTTAGTTTTTTTTGAATATTCTCATCAAAATCCGCTGAAAATCAATAAACACTTCACTTTTTCGTGAAAAAAAATGTGCAGTGATTTTTTTTTTTTTTTTAATTTTGAAAATTTTTATCAGCTTCCCGCCCGAATCGAAATTTTGGTTTGGGCGGGAATTTTTATTTGAAAATTTTTGTACAGTATCCTTTTTGGACACGCCTCAAAAAACAATCAGGATTTCGAATCCAACACGTAGTTCAACTTTCTAAACTCTTAGGGGAGACTGGAAGAAGCTGGAGCCCGTAGACTCCAATTTCAAAAAAAAACAACACTTTTTTTAAGAGACCGAGTTTATTAGTTGGTTAAACCCGTTTAAAAATACGGAAAAATTACAAAAATGAGCAAAAGAGAAAAAATGGAGAGGGGGATTCAAAAAAAAAAATAAAAAATTTCATGAGACCCGAATCGAGATCATGGCCAAGTTGTTGAGAAGCTTTTCAGATTTCAAAGCGCAAAACTTTGCATTTGTAAACTGCAGCCTCTTGAGATTCGATCTCCATAGTGGTGAAGATCGCGAGCGCGTGGAAATGCGTCCATGCCGAATGGCTCTTCGATGGATTTGGTCCCTTGCACTTTTTGCAGAATTGTCCACCAAATCTCGGACACTCGTCGATCATGTGACCGGCTTCTAAACATCCCCAACATCTCCATCCGAGCAGCAAAATCAACCGTTTTTGATGGTCGTGTAAGCACTCACATCTTGTTGTTGGGTGGTATTCCGTGTTACGACCGTAGCACCAAGAACAGCCGTTAAATTCATGTTCCTTGCGAATCTTTTTCTCATACGTGTTTGACGGATAAAAATGAATATCAAATTTCTCGCCATTCAACGTCATGAATGGTCTTGCTGGTTCTTCTCCATCTCCAAAATAGCTCATCGGTTGTTTGATATCTCCATAGATAAAGGTTCGGAGCTCGTCGAGGAAATGCTCGCGGTTGATGAATCCTTCAGATCTGACGAGTCTTCTTTTGTTAATCTTGTGGAGAAGACGTTCAGTTTCTTCCATCATACCACGAGTCATATAGACGGAATTTTGGCAGCTGTTGTTGTCTTGTGGCGGATTTCTTCTCGCGAATTCGATATTCGATTGGTCTTGTCTTGACATTGACGAGCTTGGTGTTTGTGTGCCAAATATTTGGTCGGTTACCGAGCATTCCGAGTGGCTTGTCGAGTTCTGATTTCTTAAATTCGACAAGGCAGTTTCACTTTCCGTCTTCTCCTGGTCCGAAGATTGAGCCAAAGTTGGAGTTGGCACAATAACAATTCCAAATTTTCTAGCAACCATTTCAAGCTGATTTCTTCTTTCTTCTGCCGTCCCCTTCTCAATGGCCTCGGATGTCTGATCAGCTGAGTTCGAAGCTTGATTTCTCACACTTTCTTCCAACATCAATTTGAGAGCTGGAAAGTAACAAGTTGTTTTTTTTAGAAATTCACCCTGATCACACTAACCTCTTGCAATGTCTTTTTGACTTTCGAAAGCTTCTTTCGCTCGTTGAAAACGTTTTTCTTTCTCGACGAGTTCGAGTTCGATGCGCGAAATTGTTGCACGCAATAAAGCCACGATATCCTCCGAGGCATTCATGTACGTGTCATCCGAGTTGACTTCGATCAAATCGACATGATTTCCTGCCGAGTGTTGAGATTCCGAGTCACTTGGCATTGTTTTACTGAAAAATTAGCCAGATTATAATCAGAAAATCGACTTGAACAAGAAAAAAAAAACGATTGAACATAACTCAAATTAGCCAGAGGGGTTAGTTTAAAAATTAGAAGGAGAAAGGCTAAGGGGGATTGGGTGATTTGATTCGATTTGATTCATAGAAAATCGGGAGAGGATTTACGTACAATTTCAGGTTCATTTTCGGAGGAATCTCTTCAAGAACTGGGGTAAGTTCGGTAATTTTCTCTAACTCAGAAGCGCCAGGGGCAACTAGTTGATGTATGCTCATTATAAAAAGAAATATAACGTTGACCACGCCCACTTTCTAGAAAGTAGACGTGGTCAACGTTATATTTCACAAGCAAAGAAAATATTTTTTGTATGCTGGAGACGCAGAGATTGTCCAATAAAAAATAACATGAGCAATAAATATTGATTAGAAAACGCGATTTCGCAATCAAATCTGATGCTTAAAATGGTTCTAGATATAGTCACAACATCTAGAGGGAGCAGTTGTGATAATAAATCAGAACTCTGCTACGTGAAAACTTAGCATAGAATTTGAAATTTTCCGATTTAGTCCAGAGGATCGTGATCAGCAAGTAAGAAACTAATAGAAAACTTATATTTCTGAAGAAATAATAATTTAAAATTAGAACAATCTTACCAAGGCATTCGAAAAAATTGAAAAGAATCATTTTTCATTTGGCAGGTGCATTTTTCATTCAAAGTTCTTCACACCAATTAGATAATTGTTCATTGAAAAATTTTACAAAAGACCTTTTGAATAGAAGAAAATTTTATTTCGAATGAAAATTATATATTTTTAGAAAGCTTCAGGCATACAAATTAATGAGCAATGATTTTTCGAATTTCTATTTCTTTTTAAAAATCAAACTTCATGGGTGGTCTAGCTTTATCTCATGAGAGGTTTTTTTTTGAACGACAATTTCCCCCTACAATTTTTTTTTGAATATTCAGTTGCTGAGAACTTCAATTTTTTCTAAATTATTAGTTTCTCACAATTACTCATTTTCTAAATTCTTTAAACTAAACACATTCTTCTAAAAATCAATAAATTATCCCTGTTTTTTTCTCAAAATATCTATGACTCATATTGCATTGCTCATTATAAAAAATCAATGATTCCAATAATTGTTAGTTCAGAAAAATAGTAAAAAGAAAAGGATTGAATTATCACTAGTACAAAAAAATTCCACTTGAGCAGAAAAAAAGCTGTGAAAAATGGTACGGTCGCAAAACAACTTCATGTTAACTTTACACAAGAAAAAACGGGGAAGGAAATGGCAATGTTTCTGAATGAGAACAAAAACAACTCATTTTTGGATGAATCATTGGGCTGTGAGAGACTTGTGGGAATTTGACTCTGTCGTTTTTTTTTGCTATGAGCAATGCAATATGAGTCATAGATTTTTGTGGACAAAGGGATCATTTATTGATTTATAGAACAATGTGTTTAGCTAGCTTAAAGAATTAAGAAAATGAGTAATTGTGAGAAACTATCAATTCAGATAAAAAATGAAGTTGAACATTGAAAAAATTGTAGGGGGAAATTGTCTTCTTATAAGAGAAAGCTAGACCTCCCACGGAGCTTGTTCTTCACAAAAAAAAAAAATTTCGAAAAACCAAAAGCTTTCTAAAATTTTTTTTTAAATCAAAAGTTCTTCTGTTCATAAGGTCTTTACAATCTTTTGTGAAATGTTTCAATAAACAATTAACTAATTGGTCTGAAGAAATTTGAATGAAAAATGCACCTGCCAAATTAAAAAAGTTTTTTTTTCAAATTTTTTGAAAGTTTTGGGAAGAAAATTACTGTATGCTGTTAAAAGGGGACTGTTTTAATTTGAAACTGTAATTTCTTATGAAATATAAGTTTTCTATTAGTTTCTGACTCCCTGATCACGATAATTCGGATCAAAACGGCAAATTTCGACTCCTAACATGAGTAATCACAAGGCAGAGGTTTGATTCATTATAAAACTGATCCTTCTCGATGTGTGACTTTATTTTACAATCATTTCCATGAGAATTACCATTTTTAGCATCAAATTTGATTGCGACATTTTGCTCATATCATTTTTTTATTGGGCAATCTCTGCGTTTCCAGCATACAAACAATATTTTTCGGATTATGAAATATATCGTTGAACACGCCTATTTTCTTGTTGAAAGTGGGCGTGGCCTATGAAAAATCAGAGGGCATAAAAGAGCGAGGAAAATCCAATTTTTTCATTCTCAAATATTTCTTCCTATTCTCCCTTGTTCCCCATAGCCAAGCCGAAGCAGAGCTGAAACCTTCTCACAGTTTCCTCCAGCCCATCTCACTTGTACAAAGATAAACCTCTTCCCAACCCAATATAACTAATTTTCAGCCAATTTGTAGATGATACCATATTTCAGATATATTTTATAATGAGCATAAATTAACTAGTTGCCCCTGGAGCTCCTGAGTTAGAAAATATTACCCTCCAACTTGCCCCAGTTCTTGAAGAGATTCCTTCGAAAATGAACTTGAAATTGTATCTAAACCCTCTCCTGATTTTCTCCCAATTAAATCAAAACCACCCTTTGGCTAGTTTGAATTATGTTAACTCAGATCTAGAAATTAAAATGATTTCGTGCTTCTCTTTTTCTTATCTCCGAGCAAATTTCAAAATAACCTGATTTCATATTTCAGATCACCCAAACCCTTTGCAACTTCCCCAAATTCAAGAAAATGTCGACAAAGAAAGTACTCTCGAATGCTGTAAGTTTGAAACAAAGCGCAATTTTGCAGAGCCCTAAAAAATGATTTTTCAGGCTAAAGAGGCGCTTCATCATGCCGATGAACTTGAGAAAGAGGCGAACCGTCGCAGAAGTCTTGAGGTTTGTTTGAATCAAATTTTCATATTAACATACAAATCTTTTAATATTTCAGAGAAAGTCCAAAAATTCTACACCCTCGTATAAAGAGGATCGCACACAATCATGCACAACATCTCGATCCAACTCACGTTCACACCATTCCAATTCGACTTCGGGAGGAGCTTCAGGTAGCAGTTCTTCGAGAAGCCGTTCGAGACGATCATGAAACTGCGGTTCTTCTCAATTATTTCACTTCTTGTTCCCTGTCCCCAAAAAAAACAAAAAAAAAACCCCAAAAAAACTTTCTACTGTCCCCTGAAAACCTGAAAACCCAAAAAAATTTCGAGCAACTTTTTTCTAGTCCATTTTTTCTTTTTCCCCATTTTTTCACCCGTATTTTCCCTTTTTCCAAACCAACGTGTCCAATTTTTTTCTCCAAATTCTTCTCTTTGAATTGAGCTTCAGCTCAAGTAAAGAACCCCGGAGAAAACTTATTCAATTTTCAAATTATTTCCCACTGTACCCGTATTTTCCCTTTGTGAATTTCAATTTTTTTGTATTCTGCATTTTTTGAATAAAAATTAGTTTAGAAAACGAAGTTTTCAATTCACAAAATCTATGAATCATATTGCATTGCTCATCATAAAAAATCAATGAACCCATAACTGTTTCACGTTTTGGAAACGTTTGTAATTCCCGTTCAGAAGTTTAGGCATTGTGGGTGGTCTTTGTTCAAAAATCTCTAAATTGTTTTCATAAGCTGTGTTTTTCTAATGACAATATTTACCTATAATTTTTTTCAAAATATTACTTTCTCACAATTAATAGACCTCTTTCCTGAATTCTTGGTTCAAAGAATTTTTTCTGAAAATCAATACATGAACTTTATTTTTTCTCCTTAAAATCGATGACTCACATCTTGCTCATAGCAAAAAAATCAAAGTCCAATTCCCATAATTTTCTCTCACAGCCCAATGATTCATCCAATACTGAGTTGTTATAATTTTTCTCAATCAGAAACATTGCCATTTCTTTCCCATTTTTGTTCAAAGTTTAAACGAAAAAAAAATCAAATTCTAGATGAAAAAGTATTGAAAAAAACTTCCAATAATTGAAAAATGAGCTTTCATGTTACCCTAAGGGCATCGGAAACCACGAAATTTCGTCGAACTCAAAAACTTTTTCGAATCTAATTGTGAAAAAAAAAATTGTTAGGTTTCCCCTCTTTTCATGAATACAAAAAAGATTTTGTATTACATTAATCCTTTTGCCACCGAAATACAGTAACAAAATATATTAGTGTTATACAAAATGCTTCTTGTATTCACTTCGTTTCTTTATTTTTTTTTAATTGTAGGAAAACAACAATCATCATTTCGAATTAACTGTCTCCCCTCTTATTCTTTTGCGCACCCCGACAACTAACAGGCTGCGCGCGTCTCTATTTTTTGCATGCAAAGTGGGCGGGGCTTGTTTTTGTGTTCTGCCTTTTGTTGAGAAATTGGTTCAATTACACGAGTTTTTTAGTGGGTGTGTTTTTTTCTGAACTGTTTATTTTTTATGAAAAATAAATAAGAATTCAAACTATTTTTTTCTAGATTTTCTTTCTAAATCCAAAATATTGTGAAGTGGAAACGATTTTTCTAAACTAATTTTCATTCGAAAAATTCAAAATACAAAAAAAAATTAAAATTCACAAAGGGAAAATACGGGTACAGTGGGAAATAATTTGAAAATTGAACAGAGGGGCTTCGCTGGCTAACGAAAAAACTTTTTCAAAACTTTTTGAATTTGTTTCTAGGTCATCTATGACCATATATTCCTTCACGTTTTTTCACGTGAAACTTTTCTAAATTTTTTCTAAATTTTTTCTAAACTTTTTCTAAACTTTTTGAACTTGTTTCTAGGTCATCTGTGAACATATATCCCTTCACGTTTTTTCACGTGATAATTTTCTAAACTTTTTCTAAACTTTTTGAACTTGTTTCTAGGTCATCTATGAACATATATTCCTTCACGTTTTTTCACGTGATAATTTTCTAAACTTTTTCTAAACTTTTTGAACTTGTTTCTAGGTCATCTGTGAACATATATCCCTTCACGTTTTTTCACGTGATAATTTTCTAAACTTTTTC